TTGAATATTCATTGGGCTTTCATTCGTGCACCCATGAATGTATATTCTGATTTAGCATCCGGGCCACACTGGATGACTCTCATAGACCCTCACAGGCACGACCACCCCGCCACAGGCAGGGGCCTCTGCATATTTGTCGCTTGATAGTTGTGTGTTGCCACGATCGTCACCTCCCAGCTCTCTGGGACAGTTCAAAGAGAACATTCGGATACCCATGGCAGATCCTCTAGCATATACAGGCATTCTCAGCCCACTAGTATGCCTGATACAGTGAATGACTGACCCTGAGTGTACATTGAGTCTACACTGAATTTATACCTCGGCAACTCTGAACTCCAACATTTATTCATCATGGTTTCTTGAATGTACATCGGGAAAACGCGATGTACATTGGTTCAAACATGGTCTATTTAAAATGATATCTTCTACTTATGTTCTCCGCTGGCATAGCTCGAACTCCACATTAACGTCTGGGCCGTCCCCTCAATCCGTATATGACCGGGCGAAAGGTGATAACGCCGAAGGACGTTCCTAGAGGATATGGTTCAAAATGCGTAGAATAGCTGGAACGATGGTCAACTTGATGATTCATAACTGGACACTATATCCAAGGATACGTTGCCGAGGATTTCAGCGTACAACGCCTTAGTAATGGGAACATTGATTGACAGTGGCGTACCGTATGTCGATAATCGTACACCGTAGTACTTTGGCGATAACTCTCAGCATCCCACTCCAGGATATCTATGAGCACTTGAGTGAAACTCAAAGCGACGAGAATGTCAAACCGCTCTCAACGCGCTGACTCTCGCGTACTCCATGGTGTAGTCACAGTCAAAAAAAAGTAGTAAATAAATAATGAACAGCGCAGGGCAGTAGAGACAATAGTAAATAGAGCATTTTACATACACCATAAGTAATAGTAGGACACGAACTGTAGGTATCGCATAGGTAGAAAGAATACAATTAGAACACGATCCGAAAGGAAGCAACGAATACAGTCCAACTCATACCGTTCTTAGGATCAATAACGAAAGGAGACAAGCCGTGAAGACTCAAGAATTGATCCCCGGCACCTCCGCAGCTTCCGACTCGACCTGCTCCCCCTTGACCGACGCATGGTGCATCAACGTCTCTTCTCCCTCTTTCAAATGCGGCTGTAACTCCTCCTTTTTCACCGCCCTATACTGCAACGCATAATTCCTGCACGCCTCCCTGCTCTCCTTCAGCTGCGGATCCTCATGGTCTAACGCATAGATCCCGAACCCCGGGAAATTGTACTCCAAAAGCTGCTTGAGCTTGGGGAGCATCGCCTTATCGGGCGAATACGTCCCCGAATTATTATCGATCACCAACTCCCAATCGACACTCTCGTCCGGCGTCTCATCGCTGAAGTTCTGCCAGCCGCCCTTCGGACGGGGATGAAACTCCCCGCTGTACCGTACCGTCTCCGCGCAGTTCGAATGTAACGCGTGCTTCGAGGCAAAGTCGACGAAGAAGGCGGCGCCGGTCTCGGAGAACCTGAAGCTCGAGTCTTCGACGGCGATGACATAGGTGTATACGGCGGGCTTGACTCTGTGGTGTGGCGTGGCAGGGGAAGCTGACGCGACAGGGGAGTTCGGGTTTCGTCCTCCTTGAAGGATATGGTGCACGTCCGCCGCTGACTCGATCGTTCCGAAGCCGTTGGTGGTTCGACGAGCGTACAGCATCTTGTGGCCAGCTTGGATACCAGACCGTACAGCAAATGAGGACGGACCCGTACCGAAGATGGTCTGTGCGGCTTGGTAACCGTGGTTCCACGGCTGTTGGAAGTCGCCGAAGATGAGTGGTACACCCTTGAGGTACATTTTCCAGGTGGAATATAGGCGCTCGTCGTTGACGCTCGTGAGTCTACCGACCGTGGGGGAGAAGTGTCGCGAGAAACGGATGGGACCATCGAAGGTGTACTGGGGGACTTTAGTATCTGCAGGCTCTGTCACGTCGATCTATCACTTGCTCGTCAGTGCTGCAGAAACAAGTAGAGCAGCGTTATTCGTACGAACCTTGAGCCAGAACGTACCCTTGGCACGTTTCAAGACGGAACCTTCGATCTCTGCCTCTTTCGCACCGGGGGAGACGGTGATCTGGAAGCCTCCAATGGTATCGTCCGTGGGACCGTTATCTTTGTCCATGACCGCGACGTGGAGCATGGCAGTAATGGGTACGTTCTTGACGTTCCACACCTCGTTCCACACAGGACTGAGCGTGTTCGCCTTCACCTCTGATCTATCGTCGCAAGCATACCACAGGTAATGATGTCAGCCCAACGCGACCCGGATTTAGAAGCCGAAAATAATACGAAAATGACGATAAATGGCACGAGTACCCACATATACTTGATCTGACCGTCAATGTCCGCAGTGAAGAACGGATCCGCCGTCCCAACAACATCCATCTTCGGCAACCCTGACGCGCCAATAAACTGGATCTTTAGATCGACGCACTTGAGCTCCACCTTCATGTCATGAGCGTGCGCTTTGGCCTTGGCAGCCGCGTCGTGCAGGTTCTGCCTCACGTCCTCGATGTTGCTCTTCCACGGTGCCATCTTCGAGATCAGTCGGTGTCCGAAACGGGGTTCTGTCATCTGTGAATATCTTTTGTTAAACATTGTTAGGAGGAAGGCTGGGTACTGACCTGTAGGGTGTTGGTGGTATAGAGGATAGAGTGTATGGAGAGAAAGGAAAACAGATTTCAGGGACTATGACGACGACGCTCGGCGCTCCCAAGTGGCGGTGCAAGCGCTTTGATGGTAGAGATAAGATAAGAACCTTGATGATGGATTGGCAATCACCGTCTTCACACCGTTCTGCATGCAGGCTCAGAAAATCCGAACAAGCCACACTCCTATGTAAACACCCATAAATCCGGTATGTACGTATGCATGCATATATGTATGAATGAAGATAGTCCATAGTGCCCAACCTGACCCGGATGAATAGACCTACAATTACAGAGCGAAAGGCGGGCGCTGCGCTCTGCATCGCCTCGTCCCGCTCGCTCAAGCGCTTCACAAAACCAAGAAAGCAACAACACTAATCAGCACATCTCTTGCCCTAGCGGCTCAAGATACAAAACTCATAGCACCTCGAACCGTCCGCTCCCCGGCGTATGTACCTTATCTTTACTATCCAGATGCACTGGCGCAAGCTCCAACGGCTCATCCTCCTCTCTCCGCCTCTTAGTCGTATCATCCTTCCCACGGCCACCATCCCCTTCCTCGTCCAAATCAACGATACTGTCCAACCTTACCCTCTCACCCCCTAGCTCCGGATGTCGTCTCGAATGCGACAGATCCGTACTGATCAACGAGCCCGATTTGATACTCCCCGATTTGCGTTTTGTTTTTGAATTTGAATTAGAGGTCGACGAGTGCATTGTCAGGCTCTCTGGGTCGGCGGACGAGTCATCGTTGTATCGCGAGTGGGAGTGGGAGTAGTGTAGGCTGGACTGGCCAGCTGCTTCGAGTTCAGAGGGATCAGAGTCGGAGAGGAAGGCATCGGGGCCGTTGGGTGTGTCCGCTACTTTCTGTGTTTCCAAAAAAAAAACACGGACGTTAGAGCCGTGGTGATAAGGCGAGCGAAACATGGATGCACATACTGTATTGACCGCGAAATTATGGAACTGAGGAAGCGAATAGTCATAATGGGCCGATCGAATGGTTGTAATCGAGGGCATCCCATTCCGCCGATGATACTTATTCAACTCTGCACGGCCGTTCCTACATGTCAAGAGGAAATGAATAACCGCTTTGGTCAGCTACTGAGTTTGGGCAAGAGGAAGCTTGGAACTTGGAAGGATGTGCAGATGCGGAAAGGTGGCTTCGGGGTCAAAAAGGAGAGGGGTTGCGGAGAGCATCATGGAAGGAAACAGACGAAGGCAAAGATCGTACTCACAGAGTCGCAAGCAACGAAATAACGTATAGCTTCCCAAGGACAGCCTGAAACATCGTCTCCCACCAATTCTTCTCAAGCTGCACGAACCCACAGATGCAGTAAGTCAACCAATGTGATAGAATAACGGCGATAAGGGAGTCAAGAAGTGCGAAGAGACGTACGAGCGTGACGTATGTAACGAGCGCGACGATGGCGCACAGACATGGCGGTACGGCGGCTTCCCATGCGATCATCATGAGCCGGAAGATCACCTGTATGATATGAGTGTTAGCTCTTCAGCTTTTAAGACGAACATCACGGATATAGTACTATGTAAGGGACAAAGACAAAGAGATTATGAACAGAACGGAGTGATAGGAGAAAGCTGGTATGACAGAGAGGGGACGAGGAGGGATAGATGAGCCCAAACAATATATAGGGAGTAGCATGGAAGGAATGATGCGACGAAGACGTTCAAAAAAGGCACGCGTACATTTTGGAAACGATCTGAATAGGCGGAATGTCGCGAGCGGAGGAGAAAGTTGAGCACTGGGAGGCGAGCAGGTTCGTCATTTGGATACTTCGGAGAAGTGGGAGGGAAGAGGACTTACATATCCCAGTAAGCAGCACATCGAGAACTAATTCGTGGCCGGAGTGAAAAGAGTATGTATTTGTGAGCGTCGGGCAACCCAGAATGAGAACATCAGAATAGATGCGTACTAGCCGGAAGAGTTAACGTCAGGATGTCTGTGATAATCGCAATCAGCTCACTCCACCCCATTCTTCAAGGAGTAGTACTTGAACGCACAGGTAGAATCTATAGGGATCTTCGGCACAGTCCCATCTGCTGGTGTATCCAGATCCTGAGTGAAGTCTATGTGTATGATAGACACCGTGAACTTGATGGCAGCAATGAAGTAGGCGACCACAAAAGCGCCGAGTCCAGCCTGTAGTACCCGAGCGAAAAAAAAGGATATATTAGCGCATCTTCTACGAAGCCGGGAACATAACTGACGATGATGTACCACTTCCTTTGGAGTAGCTAGATGAACCACAAAACAAACCCCGAGGGTCAGCAAAGCGAACAAACGGCATAATGCATGCTAGAAGACGCAGCCGAAACTAGAACTCACGCGCCAACAACGATAGATCAAGAATCCTTGGACAGGCGACGCCAACAACGCAGTCTAGATAACATTGCCATCAGAACACCGTGACGTATAAATCAATGATACGAGTCGGGCTCAAGACAGAAGGTCTGGAGGAGAAGAAGGAAGTAAGGAAACTGACCATGACAGGTTGTGCCGTCGTTACCCAAGTGTCGGTTAATGCATTCTCCTACAGCGGGTATGAGAATCGCCCGAGTCTGGGCAGTCCAGTAGGCTTTAGGTAAGGTATTAAGCATGACGCACCCAATCACCGAAGTTCATCACGAACACGTCCCAGAACGCCCACATCACTGCCACGGTTTGAAAGCTGGATGGTGTGAAGTTGAGAACATTATATGGTCAGAGTGGATATTGGTGAGTGAGCGTGTATGCCGATGCGAATGCGAACATTGTCAGCAGAACTCCTCGGGAATGATAATAGAACGGCATAGAAGTGTGTCGTGTGATGGCATGAATGTTGGGTTAAGAATGGGTCGAGGCACAGGAGAATGACGCTGAACGAGAGAAAGTATTTGGGAAGTAACGAAGAGAAAACTCACATAGCAAGTGAAACGGTCAGTGCCACAATGACCCTGATGCTCCAACTCTCTTTCTCGACTCTCATCAGGAAACGGCAAAGTTGGGACATAAGAAAGCCCATTTCGAGCGCTCCGAGAAACATGCCCATCGCCTGTGGCCCTATGAACCTGTCCGGATGGGCCTGGACGGTGGCGAGGGAGAACGGGCTGCTCATCGCTCGAGCTTGCGGTCGCAGATGCAGCGGACGTCGCTGGTCACCAATGGCCCAAGTTCCGATCCGGCGGAGACGGCTTTGTGAGCTGCAAAGGTGACTAGGATGGCAAGAGTTGAAGGAAAAGGAGGGGAAAGAGGGCCAGGGCTAGCTTCTGCGCCGGTGCATGAGCAGGAAGGGGACGACGACGGGAGCGTGGAGGGCGGGGCTATATAGGAGGTCTATTCGTCCGTCGTATGTATTGGTAGAAAGCCACGGGCTGGAGGTAATTGTAGACGGTAACTAAAACTGTCAACGGCGCATGCCATGGTCGACAGCACCCACCCCTTGGAAGGAAGGAAGCTTTCTAAGATCTCCGCGATAGACGCGCTCCGGCCATGGCAAAAAAAGAATATGAAATACAAATTCACTCACTCTCATGAATTTGCATCCTCAAAGGTTATATTGCAGCCGAGCCTGCTCAGCTCTTCGAGTCCGTCCTGCTGAGTCCGAAGGAAGAAAGAGATCACTTCCCCTCGCTGCCGATATCTGTTCTGATTCCTTCTCTCAAGTGGTTTGCGAGAAGTTTGGTAAGGCCGGAAACTGCGAGAGTCCGCAAATCGGCGCGAGTTCGAGAATCGAAGCCAAGCTGAGTTTGGCCATATTATTCACAAGAAAAACGTGGCCTAAATTGCTTGCAACCGCTTGCATCCGCCTGTGTCACGTCCAGATAATTTTTGCGCCCACAAAGAGCTTACCCATACGCACAGGCGCAGCGCGCCAGGCTGGGACAACACAACGCCATCATAAGCAATCTCAAACTTAAAGGTAACAGATGTTCGGCGGGAGACAAATTTGCACTGAATAGACATCGAAGCAAATCAGAATGACGGCAGGGTCGACGCCACAAATCCAGTTTTCTGACTCTTCGTTGACATGAGCAGCGGCGTTCGTGTTTCCATGGGTAGGGTCGTAGTACTTACAGGTGAGCGTTCGCTGTCTTTTCTCTGTTGCGGGGTAAGACCCAGTTGCGGTGGGTCTTTGTGTAGCGTCTTCTAGTATTGATGGTAAGTCCGTTGGTCGCTCTTCGACTGTAAGCTATGCCCGCACGCTTTTGGTTGCTACTCGAGTGTAAGCTATGCACACAAACTTTTTGAGTGGTACATATCCTACTGAATTCCGCCCGATAGCTTGAACTCCAAGCTCAGGATGCTGACTCCTTATCTGTGACCCTTCTTCCTTTCAAAACCACAAACCTTACTCGATCTTTCACCTTCTTCCACCACTGGCACTTTCCACGGCACGTACGTACAGAACTTAAATAACCTGTGAACTATTCCGCCCCTGAGTCTCTACTCGTGTGTACGTCGTACATTTATTCGACTTTCCAAACCTTGTAATTCTTACGAACGTAAACTTCCCTTCCTCCAACAGTGGCACTCTATACTGCATAAGTACCATGGTATGATTCAGTACGTGCTCGACTCGGAAGTCCAAGACGCCGCTCATAGGACTTTCCTTATGCAGTCGTGCGGTATCTGATCTTCATTTCACAACCACTACGATGTCACCAGATCCCGACGTACGCAGTACCAGGCTGTCAGACGGAGCTCGAGCTCGAGATCCCCATCTCATCAAGACGATCAGAGGATCAGAACGGGTCGGAATTGCAACAGGGACGCGACACTCCATATGTACGATTCGGACCTCCAGAAATGGCCAGCCCATGCTCCAGGAAACCTCCTAGATTGCGACGGAAGTCACCGAATGGAGGACACTGACGGTACGGACAAACAGGAGGGACGCTATTGGATGATTTTCCGTAGGTCGTAGGTCGAAGCCTAGACGCACAGAGAACGAGGCTGAGGCTGAAGTTGATTTCTGATTGGATGCGATCCCCTGTGCTTGTGTTTCTGTGCCAATCAGAAAACTCACCTGAATTGCCCATTTTTTACATCATGACAGTGATATTGAGCGACGTAGCGATCAGATGGTCGACGTCGAAGACAAGACGGGACTGCAGTCGTGCATCAATGAGGTCCAAAAAGGAAGGAAGGGGACGAGGTGGTCAGGGGGTGACAAGGAACACGATGTGGCGTTGGAGGTGGCGTTGACGGGGAAGAGGTAAGTAACAGGGAGAGGGAATTGCAAGGAGGAGTCGGACGGAACATGCTTACCGGACGGTGTCTCCCCAGTATGATCACGTCGAATATCGACTGCCTGGTTGATTGAGGAAAAGAAAGGTACGCATACCTCTTGAAGCTAAAGGATGGACCCATCGGGCCATCATGCAAGTACGTCAAAGCCTGACAGCTAGAGGACCAAAAAAACCGCAGCCCTCGATTATAAAGGTATCGCGACCGCATGTGCGCTTAGCTAAGTAACAGATCGACCATGACCACAACTCGACAGCTACATACAAAAGATGGAATTCTGTTTGTTCGATATGCCGTACCTTGATTCTGAATCATAAGCAGATGGGTAGCTTGGTGTTGTTGCGTTGGTATGTGTGAGTATGTGGGTAAGTAGGGGTAGCGTTGAAAGTAGATAGAAAGCAAGCAAACATTGGAGCGACGGAAAGAGAAAACTATGGTACAATTCATCGATGACGGGTTTCGAAATTCGGGATATAGACATAGGAACATCGAACGGTGGTCAACTTGAAAGGAGATACCAATCATCTTTGTGCTGCAAGAACCAGGGCCGGAAGAGAGAAAGCAGGGCGAAGGTAGGTCAGCATGAAGATCATGTCAGAGAACGGATGGAAAAATAAGTACGCAATCAGAAGTGGAGAGGCGAGAGAAAAACGACATGGAACCAGGGCGGAAGATACAGTTGGAAGTGAATAGAAATAAATGCATACCTGTGAGTCAATTCGATCCAATCCAATAGGTCAAAAAAGAAAAGAACGCAAAAACGGGAAATCCAGAAATCAAAACGATATCGATATCCTTCCATACAAGATCAACGGGTGGGCAGGTGCATACGGACGGACAAACAGATGATTGAAGACATAGCGAGTGAGTTGAGACACGAGAGGGCAAGATGAGGGAGTTGGCATGGAAGAGATGCGAGAGGTGAAGAACGAAATAAGACGGAAGGAGAAATATGTGAGAGCTTGGGGGCGGGAAGAAAAGATAAGAGGACAGAGGATATCATTCCAGATCCATCGACATTTCGTCGGATAACTCTCCTGATTCTTCGTCCACTTCGTCTTCCTCATCCGAATCCTCTTCGTCCGTATCCTCGTCCTCGTCCTCTTCATCTTCATCTTCCCCCACGTCGATATCGATGTCCGTAGGGTCGTGCGCATGCACGCCCACCACAAACTCGTCCTGCAGCATCGGCGCTGGCATGGACAACGACACCGGCATCGGCGCCAGGAGCTCCCGCCTATCCATCGACCTCCCCCTCTCACTCGGCTCTTGAGCGTCACCCCCGCTCCGCATTTCGCTTTCGCTGTCGCTTTCAGCTTCAGCCTCGCTCGCACTTGAGATCGAAAGCCTCGATGAGCTCCTCCTTCCACCCGGACCCCTCTCGTTCGCCACCTTCCTCCCACTCAACGGTCGACTGGTATCCCTCCTCTTGAACAACATTCGCGCCACCAACTGCGACGAACTTCCGATCGTCTTCTTGCCCTTCGCGTTCGCGCTCACGCCCTCCAATCCTAGCCCACCATTTCCCGCATCACCCTCACTTTTCACCTCAACTTCACCCATATCGGCATCGTCCGCACTCGTGCTATCGTCAACATGAGCGATCGAGACTTGAGCTTGGGTGAAAGACGCGTGTTCGCTGAGCTTGAGTCGTAAGAGCGCATGCAACTCCTTTCCCCTCTCCTTCTCCCTCTTCCTGATCTTCCTCGCCTCTGCCCTCCTCGCCTCCGCCAACCCCAACTCCCTCCTAATCGCCCACATCGGATCCGGCACTCTCTCCTTCTCCTTCTCTTTCCTCGTAGACGACGATCCAGAGGATAATGAAGAAGAAGAGCCCTCACCCTCGACGCACTCATCCTCGTCCATCTCACAAACGACCGCCCCAGGGACCCTGGGACTCACACAAATCCCCTCGGCCACCCTCCTCGCCTCCTCCGCCCACATCCCCTCCGTCCTCTTCGCGTTCCTCTCTTTACCCCAATACTTCCTCCTCAGATTCATCAACCCCTCCAATTCCCCCTTATCCACTTTCGTGTTTCTCACTTCCTCCGGAAGGGCATTGAACTCTTGCAAAAGAGATTCGAGATCCGGAGGTTCGGAGGTGAAAGAATCGCCGAGCGAGGGAGAGGGCGAACGGAGGTGGGGATGGGCGTGCGGGTCTGTGGAGGTGTCCGAGGAGGAAGGGAAGTAGGTGGGATAGGAGGATGCGGAGGATGCGGAGAGAAGGGGGAGGAAGAGGCCGAGGGAGGGAGTGTGTGAGGAGGAAGAGAGCAGGATGGGGGTGGGTATTGGTGGCGGATCGGGAACGATCAGGTCGTCGTCGGTGTCGGCGCCGGGGAGGGAGAGGAGCTTCATTGGTGAAGTCGAAGGGACGGGCGAAGAGGAAGTCGAGCTCGATAAGGAGGGATCCAATTCTGTGTCGATGTCTCTGTTTGCGTCGATATCCATGTCCATGTCCAGGTCCATATTAGGGTGGCGCGGAGAAGCCGGATGTTCTACGTCGACGTTCATGTTCATGTCTAGATCGATATCAGGTAGTGATGTGAACGAACGACGAGACGGAGACGAAGGAGATGGGGGCTGTGGGGTATCGCGATCCAAGTCGTCTAGGTCGAGGTCAGGCAGAAGCGACACGCTGCGGCGAGAGGGCGATTGAGGCGCCAGTACAGGCGAATGTCCATCTTCAGAATCAGAGTCATAATGATCATGATCGTGGCCGAACAGAGGAACGCCGACGTTGCCGTGGTTGTAGCTGGATAAAGCAGACGATGGAGAGGGAGAAACATCGAAGAGGTCTGAGAGCCCCATACGTGGTGACGCCGTGAAGTGGAGGTGCCTCTCGTTCATGGTATCGTCCTCATCGTCGTCGTGATGATTGGTATCGCCGTGTAGAATGGGGCGGTGGGGGCCGAACACTTTGTCGTCGTCGTCGTGATGTTTGAATCCAGAGTGACAGGGGAAGTTAGGAGACGTAGGTGTGGCGAGATCCAGCTCGGATGGATAAGACGAAGAAGAGACGGAGTCAGAATCCTGCGAGCGAGGGCCCATCCACTCATCGCCGGCCGGCGAGGGCGAAGCGCCCGGGATATCCAAACCCTGCAAAAACGGACCTGTGAAGTTGGAAGAGTGCCAACTGTCGTCGTCGTCCGTCTCCGTATACCTCGAAAACGGTGTCTGCGTATACTCGACGTCCTCACGAGACGCGTCGTGCGCACCGTGTACATCATCATCATCGTTATGAGGCAGCCAAAGACTTCGATCCTCCTTCACCATGGACGCGAAACCCGAGGAGGGATGATGGTGATGCCGACTGGATCCAGGAGAATGATCATCTTGAACATAACCCATAGCCCCCACACCTATCAAGCGCCCTAAATCTTCCGGTTTGCGCATAAGCGCCGACTGGTCGTGGTCGAGGACGCTCGAGAGATGCACATCCATACCTGAATCCTGCTCCTGCTCCAACTCCAACGCCCAACTGGGCGAAAGCGGTGTCAAGAGCTCCACATTATCGTTCTCCTCCATCTCATCTTCCGCAGATGCCCCACCTCCGGGTCCTGGCCCTGATGAAGCTCCTGATTTCTTTCCCAGAGCAGACGACCCCGCCACCCGTGCCGATGTCCCCTCACCCTCGACCCCATCATCGCTCTCGCCACCCGCGATATTGTACGTTAAAAACGGGCGTTCTTCGCGAGGTGATGGAGAGACGGGGGAAGATTCGGGTAGCGCTTGTGGTGTGATAGGTAACGTGGGGGGTGGAGATAGTGGGAGGGGCGGGTGGCGAAGAACATGAGGCATGTGCGAGGCGGTGATTGACACGTCGGTTTGGATCTTCGGGAGCGGGATGGTTCGTCTGAGTTCAGAGTCGGTGAGTGGTGGGGAAGGGTATGGTTGGTTGTGGATGGGACAGATCTGGGGCCTGTAATCGGCTGGGAGGACTGATACTTCTTGTTCTTCGTCGAGCGCTTGCGATGATTGGGAATCGATGAGTGTTTGTTGTGGAAGCGAGGCGGGATAGAGTGTCCCGATGGAGCATAAATATTGTGTGCAAGGACAAGGGAGAGCGTGCTGTTCGTGAAGAAGGGAATATGCCGATTGGGCTGATGATGATGTGGATGTGGATGTGCTGTGTGCTGGAAGGTCGTGATGGTCGGAAGAAGGGGGCGAAGAGAGGGTCATATTAAAAAGCGTTTGCCGGTCGCTCGCGAGGACAAGAGGACAGACAGGGCTGTTGGATACAGCCAACTGCGAACAATGAGGCAATGAGGTACATCAGAAATCGATGGCTCCGCACGACCTTAGCCTATCTTTGTTGACCAAAGCGGAGACTCACTTAGGAATGGGAAGATGCGAGCAGGCCTGAATCAGCAAGATACAAAAAACATTGCCAAGCAACAAAGCAAAGAGAAATGAAAGCCTAGAAAGGAGAACTGAGAAAGAGCAAAGACGATTATATGTTGCGGACAGAGGCAGAGTGTGTCGTGGTCGCCTGCTTCGCTCGCGCCTCTCGAATTCGAGAAAACTCGTCCGCCGCGTGTTCGACACCCGCCACGCCACAATCAGGACCCCCGCCACCGTTGGCTCATTTCCTTGTGGCACTCGCACACTGTGGCCTCGAGGCAGACAGGCGAGGCTCAGAGATGCGACATGAGGGAGAGAGCTGTCGTCCTTGGTGATTTAGAGCTATAGCAGTATTGTGCAGCTAGCTCTAACACCGACAGATAGACTCTGAAATCCGAGGCGTTGTCGAGTGGCTCGAGTTTTGCATAACATGGGCGTACAACTCTAAGGAAGTCTTTACGAAAGTATCACTCACCAGGTAGCATAAGTACAGTCATCCTCATATCCTTGCAACCCGACCTATGCTAGAACATTGGGAACGAGTTGTGTGGCTGAAACAGTCCTTGTCTACTTCAGGCCACGAACAAGGCCGCTAAGATGCGCAAGCATGAACGTTGTTTATAGCTGGTAGTAGATGAAATGCGCAATGCAGCATACTCGTTATGTCGTAGCAGCTCGTCGAAACATATTGGAAGGATGTGGTGGAAGTGAAGAAAGGGCCACAGAAACAAATTCGCCACAACGACCGCGCCGAAGGTACACGATTGCCTTTCTGGGCCGTGCATATATTGACCGTAATTCTTTTCAGTCCACCATCATCATCATCAACACCACCACCGCGACTCTGCCCTTCGCCTTTCTTCAAGTCTATCTAGGACATCTTATTCTTGTGTATAACAGATCTTGCTTCTACTTGCTAGACGATTCCATTCGCTCGTAATGAGTTTATCCTGCATGGCAATAGTCCATTGGCGACGCTCTCCCTTGCTTTTGTATCCTTGACAATGATTCCTTCCTAACGAGCCACCACAGAAAAGGCTTGCATTCTCCACCTGCGCTACACACAACACAAGCATCTGCCGCCCGGATATCGCAGGCTTCGAATTGCATATAACAAAAGAGCGCTCGTAACATGTAGATCCCGGGGTCCTCGAGCGCTCCCCAAACTTTCCTTTCCACAGCGCAACTACCCCGTGTCCCGACATATCTACTTATCGCACGAAGAGCACCCTAGCAACTCAATGATACGTGAACCTTCCCTTCTCGCTTGGGCGCAATGGCTTTGCAAGTCCGACTCTTCGCTGGCAGAATCCAGATCCTTCCGTTGACTTCAGGATGCCGAAGAAAGTTCTGATGTATAATATGTCTGCTATAGTCGCCAATATGTTACATACGCGCACACTTCAGACTGCGAGGCGACCCTGCTCAGAGGAACGTCGTAATGGAATATCACGACACCATTGCTATAAGATCCCCGCTTGGCGGCTTGCGAAGCTTGAAGGGGACGAGGTTGGGGCGTCGAACGCGACACATCTCATCGATACATGCATATCGCGTTCTGCGCGGATGTATTGACTGACAGCCCCTATCACTGCCTCGAGTTCAACGATGCGTTCGACGACACAGCCAACATCACCTCCATGCAAGCACGCGTAGCGTTAGCATCATACTTACTATGCAGGGTAACTTGAAACTTGCGCAGCTTACGAGCACGAGCTATACCATGTTTCTAATTGAGCTCAGGACCGTTCCTATATCTTCTTCTTTGCCTCGAATAAGCTACGCCGCTCATCCTACTGCTCTGTATTCCGTCTTTGCTTTCGAGTCCGTGTTCAAGCCCTGAGTACCAACTATTGTATGAGAACACACTGCGCTGCCAGCAAGTTGTCGACGGTTCCGTCACTTTCAGATTGTTTAGTAAGCTTGGGAACGCGACCTCGAGCTCGATCCTCGATGCAAAGGTGCGGCATAACGTGAAGGGCAAAGCGCTCAGAGACAGACCCATCATCCGGGTCTGAATCGCAATGAACCAAAGCGGAATGCTATCGCCGGGCACCGTCTACCTTACTGAGTAATCAAAGTAAGTATAATCGCGTACATATGCGCTGTCTTCGAGCTCGTGAGGAATCTGATTGTGTGTATGTATGTACAGTATTGCAAGTTATCGTGTCGATGTTCGTCTATACGATGTGTATTTTTGACTGTGACGGTCATGTACGTTCATACCTCTTTCATGATCATCGTTGTCACCTCCAAGATTGGGAGGAACTGGAGTGTGTGACAGCTCTCCTTAGGGAACTCACAAGCCATCGATATAAGCTGACCTATCTCCCCGATCCTCCGATACCATCTTCTTCCTACAACTCGCCTTCGTAGCGATATCAACCCAGAATGGTCGAGGACGATCACCGCCCATCATGAGGCACCGAAAACCCAACATCGACCCACGCGCGCATGCGTTCACCATGTTGGATCGTCAGCCAGATCAACCTGCAGAGAAGGGAATCGACGGTCAGGATAAGGTTCTGCTCAAGTCATGAAATAAGGAGCAAGAAACGTGGGGGTGGGGTCATATAGGGGAAGATCGACGATCCATACAAAGTATGCGAGTCGATCTCAGAAGATGAAGATTGGAGGGCCTTTGCCATTATAGGATAGGAAGCAAGAAGTCGCTGGGATCTGGAGGGAACACTCACAAGAATCCAAGCCATGCCAGAATAGCAGTGAGGACGTCCGTCCACAGGACGCCTATTTTTTGTATGAGTGGGAGGAGGACAGAGATCCCTATTGCGTTGAGAGCGTTGCGAATTGCTCTGCATCATGGTATGTACGTGACACGTGGTAAAGTCAGTGCCTTGGTTCCGTACGGATGTGGAACGAATGGATAGGAAGAGTGGAGGGGGGTGGTAGGGTAGTTGGAGAGCAGACGTACGCATTCCCGGCCATGACCTGTGCGCTCTGCTCATGCATAACATCTACGAAATATGCGCCTGCCGGCCCGAGCACTAAGTCCAACTACAACAATCAAAATAATCCCATCAGCATCAGCATCAGCATCAACTCTATACATAACCGACCACAAATTCGATCGCATCGTAGAGCCGTACACGGTGTAGCAATCACCAACAACAGAGACTGCAACAAAGGAAAGGAAGAACCGTGCACTCACCCCAATCCCGTTAACGAACAACATCAACAAATTCAACACGATTCCCGCCGTCCCGCCCACCCAAGTCGTGAACACCCCGCTCAGCAACACCGACATCGGAACGAGGACCAAGCCGCCGATGACCGTCGTTCGCAGCCTATCTTCCGGGACCCAGACGCCGCGGAGTTTGCGGTAGCGAATCACAGTTCGGTCGGAGAGGTAGCCCGCGAGGCTGGAGCCCACTGTGTGTGTGCGTGTGCAGAAAGTCAGGAGTTTTGCATGGGGTGGGATAGAGAAGTGTCACGCACTGATGTTACCGACACCGGCAGGGAGAAAGAATGCACCAATGAGGGCTTCGTTAGAGATGTTGTACTTCGCGCCCTGAAATAGAGAAAATGACGATATTGTCAGTCGTGGGTAGAGTTTTGTGGGCAAAGCGAGAAACAGGACAGAGTAAGACGTACTATGGTATAAGCCAACGGGACGAGAAGAACTGCACGGAAAGGGAACAGAGACCGTTTATTGAATGAAGGGCGATGTCGGAGCAGGACGATCAAACTTACCATAGTCCGTCATCAACGCAGTCGTTCCGCCAAGGCACTGCAAACCACACCACGTAGTGAGACAAAAACATGAGCGACTGCATGAATAATATTGAAACATCACCGCACTGTTCACTCACCACAGCTAACAGATTCGGACTCCTGAACATCGCAACACTCTGGAACGGATTTAACCATACCCATCTCCTTCGCCTCTGTTTTGAGCTCCGATCGACATCGTCTTCACCCTCAAGCGAACTTTCGCTCTCCAACAACTTATCAATCCCTCTACTTCTTGGCTGTGACGTTTCAGGCAGGTATACAAGCATAAAAATAGCGAGGAGGGTCGACGCGATGAAGAGGATAAATTGCATGTGGCGCCAGGTATAGTAGTGTGCTGCAATGCCGCCTGCGAGTGGGGCGATGGCGGGACCGAGAAGGCAGGCCTTCCATCCATACCACAAGGCGAGAACGAATTTAGGGGTTTAACAAGAAATGATCGGACGTCAGGTCGGCCAATCACGACAATGGAACGGGAAAAAGTGGACGTACAGCGAAAAAGATCCCCATCGCCGTCCCTCTCTCCTCCAGCTTATAGATGTCTCCAATTACACCTCCTCCAACGCTGAGACCTACACCCGCTCCGAAAGCTTGAATGAAGCGACATATGAAGAGGGTGGGGAGGTCGCGTGCGAGTGTGACGCCTAGTGAACCGAGGGCAAGGGTGGGGATGGCGGTCAAGTATATGGGGCGGCGACCGTCTAAGGAGTGAAAGATGCATATCAGTAAAATGAGTGGGAATTGCGCGAATTGAAGATAGGAAGGCGACTTCGTGTGGCGTGTTGCCACACGGTGTCATGATTGCAATAAGATAGGGCCCGGGACACTCCTATGGGGGTTGCCCGAAGGGCGACCTCGAAAACAGGTAAAAATATGCAATTTCAGCCTGGCGAGGGCTTAAAATATGCAAATTCCGGGAAGGGTAGGGCGCCTATTGGCGGGTTTTGTGTGGCGAGACAGGCTCGATTTTTTCCCTCATAACCCCACATAACCTCAACTTATCCTAACCTAGCCTAATCAGAACCAACTTCTGTCACATCTGTTGGATAGGTTAGGGGAAGTTGAGGTTAGGTTATGTGGGGGTCTACACCAATAATTTGCCAATAATACGCAAATTTTCGGGAGACCTCGGTGCTCCTAGGCTTAAAATATGCAATTGTTCGGGAGGGCTTCGCCCTCAGATCGCGTAAAAATATGCAACTCAAACCGGGCAACCCTCATAGGAGTGTCCCGGGCCCTAATAAGATGCATGGTATGTAGCGAACAGCCTTCCGAAATGGCTCCACACCATTCAACAAGCCTCCACCGTTCATCAAACTCCGAACCAACATTTTGGAAAGAGAAAATGACAAAAAAGGGACGACGTACAGAATCCTGAATATGTAGCCCACGTCAATGCTCCCAATGCCGTCCCTAGAACAGAAAGACTAACCGCTAGACTGCGTATCGGCGGGAGCTTTATGTCAGTCTCTTTCCCGTAGTAATAACGAATGGATGGAGGGATGCTGACCTGATGACCGACCCTGTAGTACCCAGGTCCTTCGATATCTGAGGTATTGAGGGTACGAAAGTCCCAGAGACGAACACTGCACGCACACAGCAAATATCCGAAATGATCAGCCATCGGTATTGGCACCCACGCAGTGAAGACTCACGAGGAACAAGACCGGCGAAAGAGACTATCGCTACGATGCCCTTCTTCTTCGACTTTGAGAAACGGTCATAAACTGAATCCTGTCCTGCTGTGAGTAAGGGAGTCTCTTCATCGACATCCTGAGTCCTGGAGTGGAGGGTGGATGATTCGTCGGACATGGTCACCGTTCAGGATGACGGAAGCGACTCGTCTGCGGATGGTGGTGAGGATGAGAAAAGAAGAGCCGCCTAGATATGCATCGGGCCATGTTTTGCGGGGTCGAGTCAAGATTCGCCCAGTATTCGCCCTAGCTTCGCGTGGAAGAATGAAGCAGAAATGATCTAGAATCATACGATTACTCTGCTGACATCTGTCTGACGTTTTTCTTCAAGACGTTTGTGCGATTAGAGTACTCAACCAAGTTTCGCCACCGGCGGTGCTCTCCTATGCTGTCTGCCAATCGGAGTTGTCGCCACTCCAAAATGGCAGATACTCGGTGGCGGAGTCTGAACTTATTCTGTCATTTCTCTTCAACAAACCAAGTGCGTAGTAAGTACCTGCACGGTTGGTACTCTGATTTTATGGTACGTCAGTATCCACGAGCAGCTACCGCAATCAATCATCTTACCTCTTGACCGGCGTTTAGAACGATTTTCTGTGATCCTAGATCAAACAAACCACGTCAATTGATCTTAGCGGATTCGGAGGACAATTCCTCGTCGAGAAGGCTTGTGTGTCTTTTACACCCAAAGATCCATGATCATTATTGAGCTCTCCAAGTAGAGAACTAAAGCTATCGTATAGCCATGTCTGCTAAAACCCTTCCTCAGGAACTCATCGAACACACCATAGACATCATTCATCTCGATGATGTTGATCATCACTTTCTATCCATCGTCTCTCGAGTCGCAAAGGCGCGGAGACCTCGATCCCAAGCGCTAATATTTCGGGAGATTATTATCGCGAACTCTCTTGTTCTTCCGGGCCGCCTCAAGACTTTGCTTTCACGATCGCCCCATTTGGCCTCATACGTGCAGACACTCCGTCTGGGTGACTGTGGCGTCGACATCGTTGAGCTTTGCGCGATCTGCAGCAGTCTCACGAACGTATCAGAATTGTTCCTACGAGAAATCCGGCTTAGTAGCGAGCATATTCTGCGCTCTTTCGGCGAATTTCTCACTTCTCTCCCTTCCCTCTCCTCCCTGTCAATTCGCGAATGCACGCTTTCCCGGACCGCGGTCCAGGTGGTATTCCATTCTTGCTCATCGCTCAAGGCCATATCCTTCAAATCCTGTAAAGACAACTCCAAGCCGACCCCCCTACCTTTTACCACCCTTACTGCTCCGAGCAGCCTGCGATCTATCGCATGCGATGGCCTATCTGCTGCAGTCCTCGATTCCCTTGTTATATCCTCATTTGCTCCCGGTCTTCCGACGCACCTTCATCTGGGCGCAGGAATTAATTATCAGCCCACCCAAATACAACTTTTGAACTCCGTGAAAGATCGGGTGGAATCGGTGGAGCTGTTGGCATCGTGGTGTTGGGAGAGGGGTTAGTCAAATATGTAATTATGTCTTCTTTCAGCGTTTGACTAATGAATCTTTCACACAACTATCGAAACACAGAACTCTTCCTCCCCTGCAATCGCATTCAGGTCCTCACACTCGATATCGAAACGGCACCCGTATATCTCCCCGAGATCATCCCGAGCAGCATACCCACCTTCCGCGAACTACGAATCATCTTCACCAAATACTGGGGATCAGGCACTTCACCCGAGGATGTTTTTTCTCGGCGGAAAGAGAGGATAGAGAAGATAGGCACGATGGCTGCGCAGAGGGGTGTACAGAAAGTCGTTTGGGAGGTTCGCTTGGATGAGTACGATGTGGACCAGACCGAGTTTCGAGGCTGGTTCGAGGGACAGGTGAGGGTGTTCATGGCGCTCCCGGACGGTAAATGTCGAGTGGAATTTGTGTGGCAGGATGGCTACCTCTCTCGGCCCTGGTGAGAACCGAGAACTACGGAGCTATTCGATGGAAAGCGACCTAGTGCGTACGCTCTACTCTGCAGGTTTCATTTCGTGAATACTGATGAATTACTGCTCAAGTATTTGGCCTCGTTCCGCTGTCTATTGTGTCTTATTTTTTTCGATGTTCGCCAAGCCAGTTCGATTTATTCCTCAAATCAAGATATCGTAGCATAAGTGAAGGCGACATGTCCGTCGACCCCACCACGTCCATGGGCTCGAACCCGAGACGTTGGAGAACAGTACGAGCAAGAGCAGCGGTGACCGGGAGGAGCCTTCGGCAAACTAGAATGTTCCCCGGTAATGCCTCGAATCGAGTGCTCGCTATCTGATCGATGTAATATGCAACGAATACTGGCAGAGGATTTTCCTAGTTCATGTGTCAATAATAGTTTGTACTTTTCGCGCATGAGCGGATGAGTGGGGCGCTCGATTAATCTACAAGATGACTGGAGCGTTCAAATATTCGGGTGGAACAGGGCGTATAGAGTGAAGAACGCTAAACGCCCCAAACATATCAGAGGCGACAACATGGAACATATTGGATGTGGCATGAAAGGAAGCAAGTGACAGGGTCGTGGAAACGGAAACAGAGGCCAACGAAAGCATGCAAATTAGGACATGATGGAGCAATACGAAAACAAAGGCATTCTTGTAGATAGTTCGGTTTTACTTCACCAGAGGCGAGCGTCCTCTCCACCAGGCAACGTCGACACCAAATTCTCGACTTCGTCCCTATTCATCTGTATGTACCGAACGTCGCCCGCCCCCGACCGACCAAGACGATACGAAGCGACAAGATTGTGGATGCGTATGAAGGCAGGATATTGATGAGGATTAGCGTCCGTACTTTCAGAGTCGGGGATGACGATGGACTCGAGTTGCTTGATGACCCCTTCAAGGACGGCGGGACGGGGCTCCCTGTAAGTTGCCCGATTGGTACTGTGTTCAGGATCGTAAACATCAATTGCGAGTGTACGCAGAGGCTTGTCAAGCCTGGTTACAGAGACAACGACTTTTTTCTGATGCGAGGAATACAGTGTAAGGTATTAGTCTACGGTCTTGGTTTATAAAACGAGTCGACGAGACGTGATCGACATACCACAATCGAAGCGTCCGCGGCACTGTCTGTTCCGACAGTAATCATGACGGCCAAATGCTGGAGTTTGCGGCATCTGGCGATCAGAGCCATCATAGAATCGTCATAAGTCCAGCTTTGAGGGTTCTCCAGCCCTGGTAGTACTGCCAAGCTTTCCAGCGTTTCTGTGTGTCCTGGCAAAATGGTGTCGAATGTTTCCCGAGTAAAAGGTGGGCCGTCATCGTCACGGTCAGATATCATCTCTAGGAGAGACAGGTGGCGTAGACCTGAGAGAGGAATGATGGAGAATGCTGAATTGGCAAAATAGCCATATATGGTGAGGGACCGCAAGCTTGTCGATCCATTGCGGTCGGGGGGAAGTGCTCCTGTGGAAGCGGTAGCTTCGTCTAACTCCGCCATGAAGCTGATAGAGAGAGTCTCCAATCGTCGGAGGAAGGGTATCGTGGTATCGTCCACGACGAAGGGGACGTTTAGGAGGTCGAGAGATTTCAATGGTGGTGCGCGTTCGGGAGAGCAGTATGATAGGACGTTTTTGATGGTGGGGTCGGTACCTTCGAATGATTTTGAGTCATAATGGTGGACTTGTAAGTCTTCGACAGCCGGAAACGCCGGGAGGGTTTTCGCCATAGTAGAAATGAGCTTTGGCAGCGTCAAACCTCTGCGGTAGTTTCCAAGGCCATATATGCAAAGGGACAGACTTTTCGTGTTCGAAAAGGTCGGAAGAGCTGGGAAATCAAATCGTTCTGGGTGGATACTAAAGGCTACGTCGGACAATGATGGAAGGGTTGAAAGGGCTTCTGTGACTGCGGCGAAGACATGAGTCTTATAGCTCGCAGCTCTGATGTTCCATCTGGATGAGCGGATGTCAGTACTGTCATAGTCCAGAAGCCGAAGATATCGTACTTGAACGATTTCAGGGCGGTGAATTTGATGAGAGCGTCCCGTATGAGACTGGCAAGTTGCAAGATTGTCTCTGCATCGTCGTCTGGGAAGTTGTCTGGGTCATCCTCCGCTGCGACATCCTCGACATCGGCAACGTCGCTGAACGCAACATGGATCTGCGGACCCATTCCATGCCATGAGCCATCCGAAGATGGAGTTCCCTCGTCTTCGTCTTCGTCTTCGTCCCCGACCTCTTCATTTTCATCATCACCGTAAGTTTCATCGTCACTTGGATGAATGGGACCTCCAAATTCCTCCATGTCCGAGTCATCTGTGTCAGCGACGGAGGTCATGTCACGAAGCGAGCCAATGAACAGGCTCTTCGTGTATTTTGCGATTGGAGAAACGCTCCCAGACGCGATCGTCTCAAGCATCTCGTGCATACCAGATGCTCCCGACAGTATATCCTCTCTATTCAAAGTGAGACGTGTCAGGACTAGAGGCTCAAGCACAACGTTCATCGTGCGACAGATGAGCCGAAGACTGAGCGTCCACTCTCGGTAGCGGCAGGCTATAGCCTTTAAAAGGCTGATTAGATCGTTGTGAGTGCAGAGAGTTCTTAGGAACGTACGATTTCGGCACTCTTCCCCTGTCTCCACACATACCGTGGCTCTGTGGGCGGTAGAGGCTTCGCGGCTGCCAGAGCCTGCACGCAGATGGCGTATATAAGCTCGGTCGGGAGAGTCGCTAAGTTGGCAGGTTCGCGAGACACTATTGGTGCGGAGACGTTCATTTGTCGGGCAGTTGACGGCGGTGAATATGTCTAGCAAAGGTCGACGAGGAGGAAGAAGAGTCAATACCAGGTCAGGGCTCAGAACTATGTATGAATGGAACCAGAGTCAGTTGAGAGTCACAGCTCCGGCTCCGCGCCACACGAATAATTTTGAACTCCGTGCGGTGGCGGTTCCACGTTTGATCTGCGCCACACCATCTTTGTCTTTCTCTGACCGTCATCCTTGCAAAGTCTTTGAAGCTGGAACCTCGGTCAATAAGACTCTTTCGAAACGAAAATATGAGAGATCCTGATCACCGATCCCGATTCAAGTTTTGCTCTTGCATTCCCGCCATCTGGCCTCATATGGTGACTGGAAACATTACACATAAGGCCACATCGTCGTCTTTTCAAGAGCTGGGGAGCGTCCCGATCAATGCGTCAGACCTGATGCATGCACTGAGGAGAAGATCACGAGCTTGTCCAGCAAATTCCTGTTATCGCTGGGTTTTTTTTCCTCTATATCGTTCCACGAATGCTAGTTATCCCCATTCACCCTCCATGTAGTATTCGATTTCTTCCTCATGATCATCTGTACCACACGTTTGTTAGCCAGTACCATAGCAGTCCATATCAGTACTTGTACACTTTCAGCCCGGCACTACCAATGTCTTTGTGCGAGTCCGTAGCCCGTCACTGACGTTCACTTGCATGCATCTCATGTATCCAGCTTCGCACACAGGAAAGAAACCCAGAGCTCGTTTCGTCACATTCATAATTCTCGTTGAGTTGCTCTACTACATACACAATAAAGCTTGATATACCTCGAACCGTTGATTGTCCCAAGAAGAAGGTATCGTAACAACAGAACGGTATCGTCCGAGATCCTTGTTCAAATAACCCGAAATAAAGTTTGGAATGTACACGCACTAACCACTGCTGGCGGCGGCGAGTAGGGCAGAGTAGATTGGAGAACCAACACCGGTGACCTATGGAAGGGCAGTAAAATAGCGTCGCATCAGTAAACAACTCTACGGATTCAAAAACAGTGAATTTTCTGACGGGGTCCCATGAATCGGTTGCTGAGAAGCCGTTCGTGTTACACCCGGGGTTGTCTCCCGAAGTGATATCCGTAAAGGCATCCGTCGCGCTGTAGATCAACGGGTTCAGGAATCCAAGAGGAGCGCCGCCGCCGTTGATGAGCTCGTTATTGATGAGGGCGACCATGCCTGCGAAGAATGGGGTCGAACACGACGTCCCGTCGACGGTTCCAAATTCACCGTCCCATGCGATGATGAAATTCTCGGACTGGGCGCTCATGTCGGGGAAGGCACGGCCAGAGGAATTGAATTTACCGCTGTTGGTGCTGCCGAGGAAGTCGAGATAGGAGGCGACAGCTATTACGGGAAGCAATGGTGTTAAAGAAGAAACCTGAGAGGGAGGGAGGGAAGTGCGTACCATCTGCCTGATAATCTGGAATTCCGAAGAAGTTGGAGAATCCACCCGAGGAGAAGTCTGCAGCGACCTCCGGACTAATACCCGTTGTTCCTCCGACCTGTAATCAAGCTCAGTCTCGGTGAAGTTCAGGTTCGAAGAGAAAACGTACCGAGGTGATATAGGGACAGGTGGAGGGGTATGTCGGAACAAAGTCGGTACAGCTTGAACTCTGACCGCCAGAAACGCCACCGTCACCGGATGAGAAGAGAATGCTAGTACCGAGAGCCCCGAGCTGCATGTATGCGTTGCAAAGGTTGCTGGGTAAAGTGACGTCGGCATCAGCTCGGAGTTGGTCACAGTGAATGGCCACGAAACACTTACTTGGCGACAGAGAAGGTCAAGTCGTTTTCATTGAAGGAGTAACTAAAATACAACAGCATCGATCGACTAAGTAAGTCAAGAGTTATAAGTGAGGTATGTGCGCTAACTTGCCTTGTGCTGAGGACGGTAGGAGGTACATCTTGACCGAGGAAGAGGTTGATTTGGTCAAGGAACCCGTCAACATCGTCATCTAGCGTGCTCGTCAGTGTGGCGATCGACACGTATAGCAGCCACCATGAACGTACTAAAGTCCTCTCCGACAGAGACGAAGGAGACAGGTACTCCAGTGGCTATCCCGACAGTGTACTCTGAGCAATTGAACTAGTTAGCACGCTTCTACACAAACATACGAGTGCGAAATAATGAGGAAAAACGCACGGATGTCAAGATTCTAAACAGGGTTGTACGTATCAGCAGGGGTACCTCCATGAAATCTAGTGAGGCTAGCTTACGGCTTCCACACCAGCCTCGCTTGCTGTCTGAGGGTTGGAGCCTCCGTCCAAAGTCTGCAGCGTGAAAGTCGTGCTGGAAGATATATCTGTCCTGTATGTCGACAGGAATGACTGAAAAATGAATAAATCGTGACGAAAAAGGATGAGCTTCACAATGAGGTAGGGGTGGCCAATAAATGGTACGTACCTTAAGGTCGGCTTCGTTGGCCCATTCGTCGATATATCCCGAGACGGCGAGGGTGTTCGAAGGAGCAGAAGCGGAAGTCGTGGGAACGCCATAGATTGACTGCAAGCAAGCAGGCGTAATCGTAGAAGCGCACGAGGCGGGAACGGCATCGCTCGTGAGATTGACATTCGGAACAACTTGCGTGAGTTTCTTGAAAGCGGGAGTTCCCTTGGCCTTTACGGGGAATCTGTGTATAAAGAATTAACTCTTGCCTGATCCAGATCATAGCCTCGAAGAAAGGGATGTTGACGTACGCCACAGTGGGGTGAACGAAGCTAATAGCGCTCTGTAAAGACGCAGGGACAGAATATTCGAGGGTGCGGATGGCTGTAGAGCCAGTCGACTCGTGAGTGAACTGGGAAAAGTCGGCATCGAACAGGCTGTTCGCCTTCGATACAGTCATGTTGACCGCGATCCAGTCACCAGCGGGAGTAAGGGACCACGAAGTGAGGTCATTGGCCGAGAGCCAGTCGTTAACTGCAGAGACAGTGTCTGCAGCGGGTGCCACGTATGATTGAACCTGCAAAGCAAATCGTGAGTGAATATATTGATCGTCGAGGACCAAGCCGCATGTGATAGTAAGATGACGCACTTCGTCTTGGGACAAGAACTGTCTGTACCGCGAGCTACCCGGAGTGCTTACAGCGTAGAGCTCCTTCTCGAGCCCAGCAATGTCGTTCTGAGCAAGCGCGAAACGGAGGGTAAGCACCTCATCTGATGGGGCCGCGCCGTCCATAACGAAACCACTCGGGACGCTGTCGCGACGCTCGACGACATGCATCTTACGTTGGACATGGGGGCCAGCGTAGGCGAGGGTGAAGAGGGAAGCGAGGACGAGGCTAGCTTGGACCATCTTGAAAACCTGGAGAAGGAGGGTACCTCTGGGGGACGTTTGGAAGCATACCTACCGACCGTTATATACTGCTCTTCCGACAAGAAGACCAGAGGGATATGAGAAGGAAGACGAATCTCGGTAAAGGGTCCAGGAGAGATAAGACCCGTTGAAGTCGGGCTGCTACAGACTGGTGCACGCTGTTACAGAAGAGACGCTGCAAAGGTTAGCAGTGGAAGCGTTGTGGGTCTCATAGGCAGATACATGCCAAGACTGAGTGGTGGTTCTGAGCATGCAGCCAATTTTCTGCGGCCCGAGTAGAACATCCACTGATGACGATAGGGAGAAGTTTGGAAAGAAGCAACCTACGTACACATGACTGGAAGGCCGATAACACACTCGCGCACGAGTTGTCATCGAAAGGTGCCTTTGGTCTATAGAAACCATGTCGCTGCGTATTTGCGGAATATCTAGAAGGAATTTGCGATTGCAGTCGGCGACGAAAGCATGACGATTACGGAGTGCGCACGACCAGGTACCTACCATGTGGACTAGACGCTGTGAAAGCAAGCACTTGTCCAGAAGCAACAAGAGCTTGCAAGATCGCTTTGATTGACCTTAAACTTCGTATTACGACGAAATCTATACATAGAAGACAAAGAAATGCTAAATGGGATGTGTGTCCTGAAGTGGAATCAGAGAACGACTACTTAGATTACATCATGAGGCCGCGGGAGGGTCGGGGGTTGATAGATCGCGCGTTCTTTGCTCCAATACCTATCCGGATGTTGACCTTGGCCTTCGAGCCCGAGAATTGAAAGGCATATCACGCGGTCCCAACAGGTGGCGAGGCACGATGCCTGTGAGATAGAGAGGTGCTTGCCTCAGTCATCATCCATGAACGCTGAAGAAATCTGCTCGTGTGCTCCCTGTGAGAAGGATGCACGGCGAGAAACGAATCGTGAGTAAAACGGTTCATATACAGCAAAAGTGGGAAGTGCAACATGCTGAAAGGTTCGGCATTGCACTGCAATGCTCTGTGCAGAACCGAATCAAGACGGGCTCGCGTGTTCTCCCACTGAGCGTTGTTAGAAGTTGAAGTAAGGCTAACATTCGAAGCTGACTGTCACATATCGGCACAGAAAAGCCATCATGCACAATGCCTCATAAGCTCCGGCACTGATAGAGTCATATTCTGCTTAAGAATAGCAGTTCAGGCGCACATCTTGATAACGCTGATATTGTGAGTTTGTGTCAGTACATTCATAGCGGCCATTGTTCCCGGAGTACAAGAAAAGAGGCGACGTGGTCGTCTGGTTCTCTCTTCTCTTCTTAGAGCCCCACAGCGGTGCGGAGGGACGCGAATATTGGTGTACCGAGGCCAGTGGCGGGCTGTGGGACAACACAATAAGGCGAAAGGACAGAGAAGCGCGGATTTAAAGATACTCACATCCCAACCTGCCAAAGCTGTAAACAGAGATAGATAGAGGTCAGAAGAGATTTGGGATAACCAGGTAAGAGGAGTACTGACCAGGGAAACCGTTGGTTCCACAACCTGGGTTGCTGCCTGAAGATGACATGGTCAGACCGACTGCCACGAGTTATGCCATAAAAGAACGCACCGGTGGTGATATCGGCCAGAGCGCTGGCTCCCGTCGAGTACAAGAACGGGTTCAAGAAACCAAGAGGACTCTTTCCAGCAGCAACAAGCTCGTCATTCAACATAGCGATGACGGACGCGAAGATGGGGGAGCTGCAGCCTAAACAGAACGTCCTTCAGTACAAAGATGGACGCAGGCGTCAAAGGACCAAAAACTGACTGGTTCCATCGACAAGACCGGCCTGATTTTGGAAGACAATCTCAACATTGACGCCCTGGGCAGAAACATCTGGGAAAGCGCGTCCAGAGCGGTTGAACCTTCCGGAGTCGGTATTTCCGAGCTTAGTGAGGTAGGACGCGACATCAGCAGCTATGAATGAGTGGGAGAACAAGTCAGACGATGAGTCGTTATCAGTGTGAGAACCATGTAGGGCGCAAAGCACAGGCGCAGGGGTACAGAAAATGGTGGGTTAGGATGTGTGTTGGAAGCGGATTAGCATACCCTGGTAAGACGGGATGCCGAAGTAATTCGAGAAACCACCCGACGAGAAGGTGGCGGTAGTTTCCGGGACACCTTGGGTAGCACCGACCTGTGCGCAAAAGGTACAAGACATGAGTAGAATGCCCATCACGAGGAAGAAAGCTCGTACTGAGGTGAGGAAGGGGCATCCTGAGGGGAAGGAGGGCACGAAGGTCGTGCAGCTCCCATCCTGGGTACCAGAAACACCACCGTCCCCGGAAGAGAATAGGATGGAAGTTCCACGAGCTCCGAGTTGAGCGTAGGCATTGCAGAGGTTGCTATTGTGAGAAATATGGATTAGATCAGGAGTCCTACCATGAGTTGGATATGAACTCACTTGGCCACAGCGCGAGAGACATCAGCCTCGTTAGATCTGTGGCAATAAAAATGTCAGGGGTGGAAAACTTCAACATTCGAAGCGAACACAAACCCGTAACTGGTCGTAAGGACGTTAGGGGGAGCAGATTGTCCGAGCAAGAAATTGATGATGTCGAGGAAGCCGAACACGCCGTCACCTAGATGAATCGTGAGTGGCTTATGACTTATGACGGCGAGGCCTCCTCGGACTCACGGGTGTTGTCTCCAACGGAGATGAAGGTGACGGGGACACCTGAAGCGACACCAGTCTGCAATGATGATCAGCACAGTCTCTGGTAGAGAAAAGATGGTGTACTGACGGTGTACTGAGTGTCAAGATCCTATCGGTAATGGGGCTTCAGCAACTTGAAGCGTTCATGCGGGAGAGTGTGTGTGCTTACAGCCTCAATACCGGCGTCGGCAAGGGTTTGGGTGTTCTGTCCGCCGTCCAAAGTCTGCAGAGTGAACCTGTAAAAAGCGGAAAAATGGGTGTCACGTCACCACAAAGTTTCAGTTTACGAAGACCTACGTCGTGGTGCTGGGCAAGTCGGGGCGGAGACCTCCCAAGAATGTCTATGTAGATAGTCTACCATGAGCACATACTTTGGGATGTATGAATTGGGTGAAATTACGCACCCTCAGGTCGGCTTGGTTGGCGAACTGGTCGATGAAGCCGGAGACGCCGAGGACGTTCGACGACTGGGTAGCCCTAGCGGTCGGGATACCATAAAGGGCTTCAAGACAGGCGGGAGTGACGACGGAGTCACATGAAGCGGGGACTGCATCACTCGTCAGATTCACTGCGGGCTTTACGGAGTTGGGCACGGGGATCATGACCAGGGGCTTCTTGGACAACTGCGTCGGGAACCTGAATGTAATAGAATTGCGTCAGTCAAGGCTTTGAGCCTATATTGAGCCAAAATCACACGTAGAGTAGAGGCGAACAAGAAGAGAAACGCACGTGATAGTAGGGTGGACAAAGTCTAAGTGACCGGCCAAGTCGGACGGAATGGAATATTCGAGCGTCCTGATGGAGTTCGTACTAGAGCTGACATGGGTGAAGGTCGAGAATTGCGTGGCAAAAAGGTCGTTCGCTTGTGAGACTGTCATGTTGACGGCGATCCAGTCTCCCGCAGGCGAGACTGGAGCAGACGAAAGGCCGTTCTCGGACAGGAAGGCCTGAACCTTGTCAACAGTCTCCTGTGTGGGAGCGACGAATGCTTCGACCTTTGAGATTGAACGAACAAGGAGGTAAGCGACTGTGTTTCGTTTAGTGGAAGTTGTATGGGTTTGGATTAGTACCTCCTCCTTACTCAAGAACTGCCCATATGCTGCACTGCTAGGAGTGCTGACGCTGTACAACGCGTCCTCTAGGCCCTTCGGGTTGTTCTGGACGAGACCGAATTGCAGCTCAAGCATTTGGTCTGCGGGAGCAGCACCGGATTGGACGAATCCGGCTGGAATAGTCGCGCGAGTCTCGTGAAGCTGCATGCTACGAGCAGCAAGGCGCGAAGGCGAAGCAAGCACGAGTGGCGCGAATGCCGCGAGTAGTGCAAAGGACAACATCTTCGTAGGTCTGCGAACGATTGAGAGGTGAATGAGGGGAGAGCGTGTGTGCCCTATAGAACGAGAGATCGGGCACGTCGCGTTTTATAGTCTGGTATTGTGCTGGGAAAGTCCTGCAGGCCCAAGTCGTGAGACGTATATTGGCACGGTAAGCATGGCCCTATGCTTGCCCGTCGTGAAAGGGTGATGTAAAAATGTCGGAACGACGATAACGACGGGACAGTGGTCCGGGTGCGGGAGCACAGTAAAAGCGTGAGTGTGAGTATGTTCGACCACTTCAAAGCCATTGACCGGTCGTAGCTTGCATGTTCGGGAGAGATAGCGAGGGAGTCTGTATGCTTGGCAGAGTATATTTAGTTGTAGAGTCGCGTGGACAGACTCTCGAATAGCAGCCAGATTCTTTGGGGATCAGTGTCAAGATCAGGAACCAAGAGGATGAAGACAGGCCATTGGGTGATTGGTAGCGTACCAGCTCCGATGAGTCTCTTTGAATGGATGATGTTCAATACAAGAATTCAATCTTCTCGATGAGCGCATGGGAGCCAAAGAATGATGCGTGAGTTTGTCACGCGACTACCGCGTCGGGAATGTCATAAGAGTTCAAGGACTACTCAGTTGTGTTGATCAAGGGTGTACTGTCGGCCGACGCACAGAACGCCTCAACAAGGGCGTGCGCACGTCCTGACTTGACAGGTGTAAAAACAGGCGAAAGTCGAAAATCACTCACTAGGAGCGTTTGCGTCGACTACGTGAATCTCTACAAAGTTGTTGACCATGTCAGTCCTCGGATCTCCCGACATCGACGGGTGCTACAGTGAAAAATCATAGACGTCCCACAATGCTTGCCAGGGGCATCCTGAGTAAAATAGGAACGTGACGTGCTGAACATCTAGAGCAACACCCTACCCCTCCCACGTACCTCTCATCATGAGAAGATCGACTGGTATCAGACCGCAATAGCTCGCTTCAGCGCATATGGATCACAATATTAGTGAACATAGAGGGACGTCCAGTCCGGAACGCCGTATGCAGCGGCAAGACCATGGTCAAGGAACGTGCTGGTGTGGTTCCCACCCCAGATGACTTAGGACCATCTATCGGTTCAACGTAGCAGAACTTTCCAGAATAGAGCTGGAGTATATAGAAATGATTGGTAGAAGAGGCGCACAGTGTGAATGTATTGAGCGTCTCACACTCTTTACAAGAAGGCGAGCTCGAAGGCGAACTTCGACTTGTCGAGATAGGCTCGAGGGTTTAGGCATCCCGCTGGATAGACGAGAACCAAAGATACATACACCTTGAATGCACCTGTATGAACGCCTTCGTCAGGAGGCAAAGCATACGAATAAGGGTGGAATGGACAAGAGAGCTAATCGAGCTGCTCAAAGGTGATGGAGTGAAGAACTCCAGGAAAACTGCTTGCGTGGCAGGTGCTTCCTGTGGCACTTTTATTCTCCGCTACGGGCCTTGCCGAGCGGGTCGCGCTTCGTGTCAAGCGCCACCCTCGACGAGCTAGGAAATTACCAGCCTTGAAACCCCAAGAAACTCAAGTAAACGACCTGGAAAGCGATACTTAGACCATGTGGTACAATTTTGGTTTGCGATTCCAGTGCGTAGGCAAGATCGTGGAGTACTGGTAACTATTAGAAAGTGACTTTAGAAAGCGACTGCAATCGACAGAGCAAAGTTGGAGAGCAAATCAACAAGCTAATGCTCTCTCGCTTTCTATTCTTCACTGAATGCATATCACGTTGATGAGCCCTTTCACATCGTAGTATGTCCCCCCTGAATCATTATTCCTTCGCATCTTTGATCATACGTATACCCTCGTCGCCCACATCCTCATATTCCCTCATGCATTTTAGGCTTCATGCACGTATTGTGATATTGAGAATCAAATCAGAATCAAAGCATCAAAGCATGTCATCAACCGGGTTCTGCTGGGGACGATATACAAAACACCAGCATGCAGCCGAAGGTGGTCACCAAGCATCATACTCAAGCGTTTCTGCAACAGTGTCAATGAATAATGCGAGTCATAAGTATAGCACTGGCGTCAGGGTAGCGTGTGAGTTCACTTAACCTGGAAAGACCAAGAAAATTCATGGCCTTCCAATCAAGTTCGATCATCAAACGACGAAGGAGTATGTCCTGACGCTGTGCCGTCCGTTCCTTCTGAAGGCTGAAGGTGGAATCGAGAGAACATTGAAAACTGAGATGACTTGCTACATCCTAGAGGAAGCTCAACTCTGGGAAAGACCCTTCCCGAAGATATCTACCTAACGATGATAAGTCCTCGCCGTCGCCAGACCGCCTGAAGCGATGGAGTGCGATGAAGATCGCATGTCGTCTTCTCCCTAGCGCTTCATCTTCCAGAGGTTCGATGTGCCTGTGTATAAAGTTGACCTTGGCACCATGGAGTGAGATTTGGAAGATGTGGCGTGCGTCAATGCGGGGAAACTCTGAACTGAGAAGAGGAGGATACAGAAGAGGAGGATACCGATGAAGAAGAGGGAAGAGGGGAGTCTTGTGTGGGAATGACATGTAACCGTGTGCACGTAGATGAGTGGATAACTGACGAAGGGGATCTCTGATCCTGGAAGATACTTGCTCGTCCTCAAGCAGTACACTCGAACAAATTTGTGGTATGTCGAGGAAACTGAACCACCTCACTGCGATGCGTCGTCGGTGTCGATCCAAGGCATACGGAAAATGCCGTAGCGATTCAAACATCCCCAATAAGTAGTCTGAGTGGCGCGCCACAACATCGTTCGTTCATTCTTTGCTTCATTTCAAGAATTATCCAATCGGCCAATCAACCCTTCATTCTGCCCTCTCAAAATTCCAGACTCCCAAGAAAGAAAACAGTCGAAAAAGGAGAACACATCGCCCCAACATTGAACATTCAACACGTCTCCAGCCTCGAGGTTTTCGTTTCCCCATCCCCATCCCCATCCCCATCCCCCATCCGCACTCACCTCATGTTTACCCCAGGCCTGCCCCCATAAAGTCCCCACCCCCGACGATTGATCCGCTCACACGTGCCCTCCTCGTGCCCCCGCCCCGCCCTCGCCCACAGTCTGCGCGACCAAATCACCGCCCAGTCCCCGCCCAGCCAGCCGGAGATCCTCTTCTTCTCCTATCCCGGTGCTCGCTCCGATATTAGACCCCGACGCCGCTTACCTCCTTACATCTGCGCCGAGCCTGCTAGCTGAATGCTCAATTGGGGATATCATTCAGGATAAGTGCCATGCGATCTTACTCTCGGTCCATCTAACTAAAGCCGGAGGAGGCTGAGAAATGCCGACTCGATGACCTGCTCTTTATTCAGTTTATTCGAAATCCCGAGACAGAAAATCAAACACCAAGAAAGGACCTCACTCGACCTCCTCAATCTGCACGGGAGCCTCAACCTCCATCATCTCCTCCTCGTCTTCCTGCTCAGACTGGCGTGCTTTCTTCTTGCTCTGCCATCTTCTCAGACCCGGAGTCTTCGAATGATCTATCGTCGAAGTTTTCGTAATAGCCGCCGACCTCTCCCCGTCCTTCACCGACTCCATCGGTATTCCGTTGATGAAACCCTTCACACCCTCCTCCACCTCCCTAATCCCACCCTCCAACCTCGCACACCTCCCATCTCTCCTGTCGTTCATCTCGTACCTCTCATGAAAATAAATCCACCGTCCCCTATCGCCCACGATCAACGGCGGAGGAAAACAAAACAAAACCAACGCCATGCCCAACCCGCCCTCGTTCTGAATCTCGATACATCTCGCGAGGTCCCGCGGGTCGTTGTTGAACGCCCCGTTCATGCGTCTCTTGGTCTGTTCGTGCGATAGGACCTCGACCTTGGACACTTCGAAGTGGGAGGGGGTCCCGGTTCCGAGGAGGCGGTCGTCGTGTAGGACGTGGACGAGCAGGATGTGGGACCGGATTATGGTGCGGCTCCAGTGGGCTTGGAGGGCGACGTGCGTTGCGGCCAGCGGAAGACCCATTCGTACTCCTATACCGTGTACATGCCCAGTCGGAGAGAAATGCGATGAGATTGCGGTTGCGAGCGTTGGGAGGGAGAGGGAAGATGATATCTAGCAACAAAGGTACTTACCTCGCGCCTTACGGAAGCATCGACCATGGGAGAGTGCACCTTCCCGCGAATCTGTTTATGAACTCTCCAGTCAAGGCGTTGACAGGTCGGACTCTGCGTAGCAGCCAAAGCCACAGCAACAAACATTTTGTTAGTACATACATGATGTCCTCTCCCTTCAAACGTCGTACTCACGCAGTACCTAACATACTTGCACTCCCCGCACGCCTTGTGTTTCCCGATCGCGCTACAGGGCTTATACTGTGGTATGTAGCATGCATGGATCAATATATACCAAGCCAATACCACCGACTCCATGGGCCATCACTGCAGTCTGCAACGCGGGTCGTGATTCGCGGGATCGTCGAACTCCGAAGACTCGACGACCATCACATCAGAGCTCGAACGCAAGAGTGTACGGAGGAAGGGAGGGTTGATACGTGATGCGTGATGCGTGATGCTATGGTCGACAGGGCGGGTATGGATTCAGAGGTCGATGGCAGGACGGGTAGCGGGTCGCTATGATCTGCTTGTTTAATTTGATGCGGTGGGACCGAAGTGGTGGTCCGGTCGTCTAGTGTAGTGTATGTAAGTTAATTATGCGGGAAGGATGAGGATGATGGAGTGGGGGATACAGTAATAGACGAGTGTGCACGCGGGCCATTGACGCTGCGAGAGGGTCGGAGAGTCAGACTCAAAGGGTTGCCAGTGATGATAGCAAGACGTAGAGCAGGGCTTCTTCAATGATAAAAGTATAGACTCTGAATCGTGAACAAAGGATGTCTATAACTTGTCGAATAGTCACGTAAAGAAACAGGAATGAGGAAACAACACTGTCACTCCACACAATCTAATCCATGCATGACCTACATAATACCTAACCCCGTCTATCCACAGAGATTTAAATTCAAAGCGTCCCGTCCGAACCAAAATCCGACAATGCCTGTGACTGTGACGGCTTATCAAACTGCATACTCAGGATATGTACTGAGTACTCATTCAATACACCGAATCTCATCGCGCCCCATCACCCGAGCTCGCCATCCGCGTCGTAGCTGTCACAGCAAAACAAGGAAAGCAAGCAAAGCGTGCGAACGCAGATACTTACGCACCAATCAACTTGACCGAGGAAAGTGAAGCAGTCAAGCACGAATCATCGTTGACTGGAATATTGATCCATCATGGTGGGGTATGTAGCAACGGAAAGCAAAGCAAAGCAGAGGACCGGCCATAGCCTATGTAGGGTAAGTCACCTAGGTCCTAGGTAAGTTATCTATCTTCGCGATCGATTCAGATTGAAAGAGACCGAGCATATGTACAGATGATTGGCGTGACGCATCATGGCATCATGCAACACACTGATCAAAGAGGACAGATTTCCACAGTGAAGTAGGCGAAGAAGGAAGTCCTCGGAACATGTGCTCATTCCTCGCCCCTCGCCCATGTACGACCCAATCACCGTCAGTCGTCGTCAGTCAGTCAGCTGGTCTGCATGCACGCACGTCGTGACCATAAAGCGATACACCAGGATACACAGAGTTGAACGCATAACGCATCGATAGGGATTGGAATCTGGACTGTTCATCGTGAATCGTGAGTCGCGTATCAGTGATCACTCCAGCATCCCGGTCCCAAGGCAATCAGAGTGTCCGAGGAGGGAGGGCATCAACAAGCTTTTAGGACTCGGACAAACAAGGGAGCGTATGCGGTGAGAGATGATTGTAGCCAGGACCGAAGATGCAGGAACGAGAACTTCTCGTTAAGCAGCAGCACTTAGTACTTGACAAGCAATGGCAATGGTAAAGTTGGATGTTGGACGTTCAAGGCGTCGATTGATATTGGGCTGTTTGTCGTCGCAGTGAGCAGACGGATGGTCGCGTATCAGCAATCAGCATTCAAAGTTCGACGTTCGACGTTTAACAACCCCACCCGAGCCCAAGGACCAAGGTAATCAGACTGTCCTGACTGTCCGAGGAGGAAGGCCATCGACAGTCTTTTGGGATTCGGACAGACAGACGAGGGTATGTGGGAGATGGAAGATGGTTGCGACCAGGAGTTAGACCGAAGATGCGGGAACGAGAAGACGAAGCAGCAGTCTGTTGTTACCGTGCCTTTCCTATACACATTCATTCATTCCTACGAGATACAACAATATCACAGTGCGATCCCAAAACGAAGCATGATCACAAACAAAGAGGCTCGTGAATCGTGAGTCGCGTATCAGAAATCCGAAATCAAAGTTCGATGTTCGACGTTTTAACAACCCAGCCCGAGCACAAGGCAATCAGACTGTCCGAGGAGGAAGACCATCAGCAATCGTTTGGGATTCGGACAGACAGGCGAGCTCGAGGTCTGTGAGAGATGGAAGATGGAAGATGGTTGTAGCCAGGACCGTAGTTGCAGGAACGAGAAGACGAAGCACCGTGAGGAGCCTGTTGTTACTGTGCCTTTCGAGTCCATACCTTTATTCCGACGAAACACGACGACATTTGCAGTCACAGCCCAAAGGCTGACAAGCAAATATTTAGGCTAGCGATCGTCCCACTTTCGGCGTCTCTCTCTCGCAAAGTCACCTGCCCATATCTGGAAGGAGCGTCGGGGGAATGATGGACGAAAATAGAAGAAATTGACAATTCAATGATTGAGCTTGATTGAGACGGTGAGAATGATGGAATTGAAGTGTGTAGCCTACGGCGAAACTTTAAAGTCAAGTGGGGTGGCAGAAGAGGGGAGAATGGGTGAAGAAGGGTTCATTCATTCGAGTGTATGAAGAAGCAGAAGGGTGGACTGTGAGAGGACGAAGGGAGATATGAAAGATAGAAAGACTTCGACATGAGGAGTCGTTCGAGGGTGGATGTCGATATAGCTGTGCGAGCTCTCCGGAGAACAACACAAGAGAGATGCGTATTCCGATGCTACAGGAGACAAGAGATGACAGAGGTTGTTCCCCAAAGCACACAGCAAAGTACAAGCACTGCCCTGTTCAGACGGGCGCGTGAGAGAAAGCGCCGGCGAACAAGTGCACTGGGCGGTCTTCCATTTTCCACTAAACCGCCGGAGAACAAAAGTCGAGCGAGACGAACAAGTCCTTCCTGTCCGAGGTGGCAGAGAACAAGAGACAACGAGGAGGAAGAGAGAGCGGAAGCGGGGAGATAACGTCAGAGGAGTGGCTACGTTACGTCCCGAAACAAGTACGAGCGTTGAATTTGACCGGGAGGAGGAATTTGTCGCCAGCGCGCCAGAAATGAGATCGCAAACGGAAGCCTGGCCAATGGGCGACGTGCTGCTCCACTGCTCTGGGCTCTGAGGCCGGAGCACGTGGGTGGCGTGGGGCGATTGCGTTGTTGGGTTTGAGCCCGATTCGCAGAACGAGGGTCGCTGCCTATCGCCCTGGGCCGAGGCCAAGGCGTCGTCTGCGTTCGTATATATCCCGCCCTCGCAGCTCGCCCTCCGGTCCCTCCGCCTCCGTACCTCTCCCTCCTCTCCTCGTCGTCGTCGTCGCCGTCGTCACAGCCAGGACCGCGAGTATTCTCCTTCTGTCCCCGACTGCGCTAGTCCGCATCGCAATACCTCATTCTCACTGCTTTCCACGCAATACAACTACCCCAGCTGCTCGTTCCTGACCCGCTCCCAATCCCAACATGATTGCTACCCAATCAGCCTTCCCGGCTCCACATCTTTTGGGCCACTCCGTCCTTTACAACGACCTCCCAGCCACTTCTCGCCGAGCAGCCAACATGCCCTTCCTCGTCTCTCGCACAAGCATCCCCTTGTCCCCATCTCCGTCCCTGTCCGTGTCGTCCCTCGGAAAGAACCCTGCGCCCATCCGACGTGCGCCCCCTCCGCCTCCGAAGAGGAGGAACGCGATCTGCTACCCAACCGAGGAGAACCCCTTTGCGGATCCGCAGTCGGCTGCATCGACCTCGACTACTACTATTCCCGCTCCGGCCGTGGTTTCGTCATCCCTCACTACTCCCCCCTCACCACCACCCGCGGCTCCGGTTGTGTCAGCAGCAGCGGCTCCAACCCATTATACTCGTCCCCGCAGGACCTCCATCGGTCGCGGCAACTCCAGCCCGTTCGCCTCGTCTACCCCTCCTCCACGTCGCGCTCCTGTCCTCTCTATCATCACCTCTACTTCCACCACTTCATCGTCGGGCTCGGCGCCAACGTACGCCTCCACACTATGCTATGCTCCCGTCCCAGCGCCCATTCAAGCCCCTCCGCGCCCTAATCCCCTCATTCAACGCGAACAACGCAATACCCGTGCCAGAGCCGTCGCTTGTATCATGCTCAATCGTACCAACAATCGAGGGAGGACGTGTAGGACGAGGCAGCCCGGTGAGACGGGGATTTACGTGAGGAGCAAGCTCGGGAAGAGTGTCGTTTCGTGGGATGACATAAAGGAGGAAGAGGAGGAGGAGGATGTGTGCATGGTGGAGAACGTACAGGATTGGCCGGAGGACGTGGAGGGTGTTGCTTAAGCTTGGTCGCTCGCTCGCATCGGTTCGGTTCGCGCTTTCCCACAACCAAAACGACAACGACATGGAAACGTTAACGACGCATTTTACACACGTACGGACTGGACTCTGTCTCCCTTCTCTCTCTTTTATTCTTTGATTCGCTTGTCGTCGTCTTTCATCCATCATGAAATCGCTATATAGGTATTTGTTTCTCGTTCCCGCCTCTCGCTCTCGTTCGCGCTCGCATCTTGTTTCCCTCTCTCTTCCCTCCGACTCGTCTTTGATCCCAATTCTGTTCGATAGTGCATAATTATTCCTAAACAGCTATTTCCTTACCCTCATCTCCTCCATCTCTCTACCTCACTCGATGACCGCTAGTATCCTTCCCTCCCTTCCCTTCCATTCCATTCTACACCCATCTCCTCATCTCTCCTCGCATACCACCTCTATCTTGTCATTCCGCATTCCGCATTCCGTGTCATATCTTGTCAGCCCCTCGCACGACTTCTGCACGCTCGTTCTGCCTGTTTATTCATCTCCTTCCTTTCTCCTTTCCTTCTCATCTTGACTTGACTTGCCACTTCAACCTGTACGAATTTCTCTTTCCTCATCGTTCCGCGCTCACCCTCGTTTTACTCTCTTTTTATTACGGTCTCCTTCGAAGTGAGTATCGATCCAGCTCTCCTGATATCCCTCTCTTCTCATCTTGACTCTTTTTATTGAATCTCGTTCCGTTCCGTCTGTACTCCTTGTACCACCTCCTCACCTACTCACCTACGCATTACCGTTTCATCGAACATATTCATCATTACTCATTATATATATACATACATACATACATATACGACGCCTCGGCATACTTAGATCTCCCTCTCGTTCTCGTTCTCGGTTTATCGCTCTATCGGACTGTCTCTTGGACTCGAACTCGAACAGAAGCTGGGTTCTGAAACACCATATTGCCTGTCGGGTTGGCTTCAAAGAACGAACGAACGAACCAAACGAGACCAAACGTCAAGACTCAAGATAACCTGTCAGCGTCAACGTCAGCGTCATGGATGATGGTCGTTTTTTTTTTTGTTGGATTGACGTCGGAGGCCTCTCCATCTCCACAACCCGATCGGCCACGACCCACCCGCCAGCGCGTCGCCAAAGGACCCAACGTGCTGCAATATGACGTCGACGTCGTCAACGCCGACACGAAACAGGAAACACGAAACGCGAGCGTCACGACTTGACCACGACCACGCCCGTCAACGTCCCGTCTCGCCGTTCGTCGCCGGTCATGACGTCCCCCAGCCGCCAGCGCGTCGCCACCGTACGACGTATGTACCATGTATGTACGCAAAGTGACGTTGCCGACACACGACACACGACACACGAAACGCGACCTCCTTCCGACGAGAGCTAGCGGCATATATGCGAAACACGAAAACGCAACTCGCTTCCGTTCCGGCGTGGGCGTGCAAATTCCGGCTGGGCTTGTCACCCAGCCCGCTTGGTTCTTCACGAGGGTGGACGAAATACGCCACAGTCAGAGTGGCCAGGCACACTATAATCGCCCGCGTTGTGCCGGCGGCACACCACAGTGGCGTATATGCATTATCGCCCGTCATTGTTCGCCCCGCTGAGTGACTCGTGTACGGTTATATAAACCACTTGTCCAAGTAATATATATATATATTTTCTGAATTACACATGGACCATTTACAGCACAATAAGAGTTGTGTTCGAGCTGGAAGCAAGCCGCAGTTCAAGCCTGGTCCGGAGATCCGCCGAGCCGCTTACATACCAAAGCAGCAGACCCGTCGTCAAGAAAGAGTTATTGCTAGCGCTTTCCGGCCTCCTTTATTCTCAGAAATATTCATGGGCATTCACAAGGCTGTATATGTATCAGGAAATTTGTTTTTGGAGAGCTCTATGCATTTGTTCTTTGTGTACAACATTAAACTGTACGATATACGGTCCTGCACTACAACTCGCGATCGGCACCGCCCGGCCTTTTCACTGAACGCCACCCGGGAATCTGAACTCGCCCTCGCCACCCGTAAATCTGAACTCACCCTCGGGAGTCAACTCGTATGCGAACGGGTTGTTTGCCAAAAATGAAAACAGCTCCTCGTTGTTTCCAAGTGCAGGGGCTGGTACGTTGGCAGCAGGCCGATTTCGGAGGAGTTCTGCAGTCTCATCCTCGAACATGCTCTCGGGATCGCGGTTGGCGGGTATTGTGGCGTACGGGTTTATGAGCATATCGCCGTACATGTCGTCGTAGGGAGGGTCATGGTCATTTTGGTTCAAGATGTATCTGTAGAAGGGTTATAAGAAATGGAGAAATACAGAACAGGATGAAAGCAGTAGAGCTTACAGCTCCTGGTTTATCATGTCCGAGTCCGAGTCGTGCATATTGGCTTCGGGTACCAGGGCCATGACAGCTGTTGCTAGATGATAACAGGAATAGTAAGCTTCGTATAAACAAGAGAGGTGGAAACAAATAAGAGAGTAAGAGTTATGAACCCACCTTCAGCTTCAAGTGAGAGATATGGGTGCACTCGAGCATTGCCCCGCGATGTCTGACTCTTCGGGGCACGCCCGCTACTTGAGCTGGCCTCTCCCTCCGTGACCTCTGTTCGTCTTACACGCGTACGGCTCGCCTTCCCCTTCTTCGCATCGAGCTCCGCCTTCAACGCCTTCTCACGTTCAGACTCCAGCTTTCTACTTGCCTTTGCTTGCTCGTATTGGCCTGTGAGTGCAGCGACCTCTCGAGATTCACCTGCAGCTGCCATAGCTTTCCGAGCGATGCTCTGGTTACGTGTGATGCGCTTACTGATACGATCGCTGTACTCGTTGTGTTTGTTCTTGAATACACCACCATGTTGACGAACCGCTGCAAGCTCAGCAGCAACTTGGCTGTCAACCTTTTGCGCTCTAAACAATGAATATGAATCAGGATTAGCGGAGGATAAAGGTAGTGGGGAAGACGACGAAGGCGATAGAGAATACAGACGACATGATAGCCTCCAATAGTGACATCCCCGTCCCGGTCTGCTGATTCGTCCAAGCATGCTGTGATTCATTGCCGTTAGTTGTATTGGGTGTGCTATCCCATGCATTCAGTGCGATCTTGGTCCGGGACCGCATAGCGCAAGGGAGAATCCACGAGTTGTCGGTCTTATGCTTGAACCAATCTGCTCGAACACAAGATCATGATGAAGACGTGTTCGAAAAATCAGGGGGCGGTCAGCGATAAAGAGACAACGGATATGATAGACAGGGACTTGGAATGAGCGTACCACGGAGTTTTTGAGAGCTATGATTAATACAGAATACTTTATATCTCTCGAAGTCATCGTCCGTCTCAATTGAAGGTAGATTAGAGACATATATGTAGTCCTCTTTGGAGAGATCGTGCCGGAGGCTCATGATACCGCTGAGTTTAGCAATCCGAACCACCACAGAAGTTATTATCATTCAGCAAGTTGGGAACAATGCAAAGCGTACCGTTTGAAGTGGGTGAGGCATATCTTGATGAAGTACTGGATGAGTATCTTCGGATCGTCTGTAACCACACCGCTATGGGCTGGATCATTCAGAGGAAGAAAGGCGTCACCACACCCGAGGGCCTGAGCAATCTCCATGTCACATCCAATACTCAGTAACTTTCCATCAGGCATCAACACTTTTGGACCAAAACGGCGGCCAGTGAGCTTAACCACGATGTTCTGGATTTCCTCCCATATGCGCTTGTAGGCTGCACGTGTAGCATGGTCACAATAAACGCGACCCACAGTAACCACTACTCCCCAGGATATCGAAATCAGTCCTGAAGACGAGACATAGTAAGACGGAGAAAAAGGACTTACAACGATTATGAATAGGCGACCACAACGTCACCTCGAACTCATTCATACCCCCTGCTACACGTTTGAAAGTAACGTCGACCTCGATGGTGGTAGCGTCGTGGATGAGGTCGAAAAGCGAGTGAAGGCCGGTAACGACCATATTGATACCATTGGATGTCACGACGGTTCGTATATAGCGCTCATCTTCGGGTCCCGAATTTTGCTTGATTTGCAACTCCATGACACCTGTATGCGGCGAAAGGCGAAAGCGAGAATGATCAGCGGGCGGTAGACTCGTTAGGTAGAAGATTGTGAATACAACGTACCGATGATATCCCGGCGTGACGGAAGCTCGACAGCCTTGAGTCCACGGAGAATATCGTTCTTCGCACGACTCTGAAGGAAAGCTGGGTTGTATGCCGTCAGTGTCTTGCCTCCGAGCACCACCTGTGTTGAGGCGGCTATGATATTGAGTGATGAGCTATGTAATTCAGGGAGTACAAGGAGATGTAGTCAGTACATACCCTTGTCGATCTTATTCACTGTTGCACCAACTACCCCGAATGCCTGAGATGCCTTCTGGAACACTAACTTCCCATCGACATCGACCTTAGTGAACGGCGGCATCGGATGATTGTGTGGGCTTGTGTGGTCGGGGACCACAATGGCTAGGCGTTGGAGAGAGGCGTCCACGGGAATGAAGATGGTCCGAGACGCTGGGCAGGTTCGTGTGACGGTCTTCATGGTTGTTGGCACACCGTCAACAATATGCGTAAACTCTATGTCGAAAGACTCGTCAGTAATGATCAAAATAGAAGACGGACTCTTAAAGCGTACTGCATTTGTTTGCCCTGCGTCCAATACGGCCATGTACCACAAAAGAACAGCTAGCACGCCGAACAATGATTGGCGAAGTCGAATCGGGCTCTGGCGGCGGGAGCGGCTGGCCAGCGATGATGCGAGACAGACGATGTTCGTCAACGTCCGTGGGTATTGCGATGTAGCGATGACCAGGATTGGTCTCGCCTGGCCTGAACCGAGTACAACCGATGAAGTAGGTCTTGCCGTTCTTCGCACCCTGGATATGGTATGACAACAGTGCATGGGAATGATAATTGAATGTAACGTACATTTCGGTATCGAGCCTGCGAGAGGCTTCCGCCACAGTTGGGAAACGGGCAAGGGCGGGTCTGTATGGAGCGCCAAAACCTACCAGACCATTGGTCAATACAATGCATCGGGCTATAGATTATGTGATAAAGGTGTGAACGTACGTTGCTACACGTTGATTGGCATCCATTCCCTCCTGGATACGAATGCGTGTTTGTGCATCAAAAAGAGCGGCTCGCTTCTCGGGCTCAAGCTCGAAACGCTCGCCGCTGATGATGGATAGGTCGGCGTCCTCGCAGTGCTGAGTGCCCTTGCACTCCATGCGAACACGTCGACACTTTACGGGTCCTTGGGGCAAGCCGAACCGTTCACCCGGTATATCTGCTGTTGTACAGTTTTTTCCTGCACCATGCGAGGCCCATGAATCCTGGTCCTGCATCATACAGGGCAGTGTAGTCGTCAGATCATGAGGGGGAGGGGAAGCAAAGTAAACATACCCGGTTCAAAATGATGGAGTCCGCTCGATCCGGCGGTGAACGCTTGCCAGCAACGAGATCGCTGAAGTCGTATTGGGTGTCGCGAAGATCTAGGATGTAGCCAGTAGAGACACGAGGGATTGGGTAGTAGTGAGGAAGGCCGTGGACGGTCTCAAGGACCTTGACCCTGCATTGTCTGGTGATAAAGAATGTTGGGGAGCCGAATTCGGGGACAGATCGTATGCTTTCGTCGTGCCAAACTGTTGCTGCGATGTCGGTGACCAAGGAGCCGCTGGGAGTATCGGCATCAGGCTCACAGGGAGTGTCACGGCCATCAATAGAGGAGGAAGTAGAGGTAGAGGCGAACGAGCGAGAGGATGAACGACTAGAGTCTCCTGGCACAGTCCCGAGTATTGAAGCGACCTCGTCGTCGCTATCTAGAAGCTCCAGACCCTCTGTACCATCCGGAGCGATGAATGATGACCAGCGTGAAGCAGCGCTCGATGAGGCGCTCGAACGGCGCCGGCGTTGGGCTCCCATATCCCCATAGAGTAACACCTCGTCATCTGTTGGCTCAGACTTCACAGCGGGCGCCTCACCGGGCTCCACCTTGACCGAAACGGAACTCATGCGTGACGCCGAACGAGAAGGAGGTGCAGAGCCTGAGAAGGATACTTCACTCCCTGCTCGAGAACGCAGGAGAGCAGCAGGGTTCGTCTTCAGATAGGTTCTCAGCTCGGCAGCATCGACCCAAGCAGTGCCAATAAATTTTCCTGGGTCCTTTTGAATGTCGTGAGAGGAGTATCTCTACAAAAGGAGGCATCAGAGTGAGGTAGAGACGAGAATTGACCGCAAAAATTTACCCATTCACGAAATCTATCCAGTACATACGCCGGAACGTTGTGGGCGAGGTCGGGGTCATCGAGCTCGACGTCGTTCATGGCAGTGGGATGGAAAGGGGTGTCAAATAATATTTATTACAGTATCTACATATTTCAACATTTCCGTGGCTTTTGGGGGGACAATTCTAGGGATTTGTTTTCGCCGCTTTGTTTAGACGCTGTTTGCAGTAGGTCTGCAACACGCGGCGACGAGATACGCCACTGTGGGCAGGCACCGCCCACAGTGGCGTATCTCGTCGGGTCTTGGCGGTGCCTGACGAGTATGTACATGGCGTAAGTTGTATATACTCGTTCTTCACTTTGACGCTAGCCGCTCACTTAGCCGAAATGGCATGTACGATCGGTTTCCGCTTGCTCATCTCGTTTGCTCGTTTGCTCGCGAGCGTTCAGGAGCGTTCCTGGCAAAGAGACGTGAGGCTGGAACGTAGGTGCTTTATTTAGTCTCATTCGATTTCGATTTCGATCTCGATCTCGGAGGTATGTACATAAGCCAGGTGAAAAGGGGAAGGGGTGTCGGGCCGTTGGGAGCGTGTTTCGCGTGTCGGAGGCCCATTTGACTTGGCCCGATGGGTTTGAGATGTGATGGGAGATGGCAGAAGATGGAGGAGGGCAGATGGGCGATGGAGGGATCGGGACGTAACTTACGTGAGGATTGTGACGAGACGTGGGGATCGTTATCTCCGTTGTGAGGTTGATTATGGGATGAGGAGGGAGGGGAGGAGGAGGTGGAGGAGGTGGAGGAGGTGGAGGCGGGCGGTGAGGACGATTTCTGAGTATGGCGAGGACGTTTTGGAGTAGGTGATACAGTACCGACGGTGTCAACTTAGAACTTATTGCAACTTGGAGATATTTCCGCGCTGGACGTCAAGCTTTCAAAAGCTGGTCGGTTGCATCGACTCAGTCGGCTTCAGCTAGATGGACCGGGACTAAGATTGCATGACACTTATCCTGAATAATATCCCCAGTTATCCCCAGTTATCGCCCTGTCCTACTACTTAGCCTGCCTCGCCGTCAGAGCATTCAGCTGGCAGCCTGCTCGCAGCGGAGGTAACGGTAAGGAGGTAAGCGGGGTCAGTGTTGGGGTCGGAGCGTGCACCGGGATAGGAGCAGAAAAGCATCGCCGGCTGGGCGGGGACTGGGCGGTGATTTGGTCGTTCGACTTGAAGAGCGGCGGGGGCGGGGGACACGAGGAGGACACGTGTGAGCGGATCAATCACCTCAATCATGATTCATCGGAGGAGGGGGGATTACTTATGCACATTGCATGGGGAACATGAGGTGAGCGGGGCTGGGGCTGGGGCTGGCTGGGGAAACGGAACCTCGAGAGTCGAGGCGGGAGACGTGTTGAATATTTGCTGTTGAATGTTGGGGCGGCGAGTTCTGTTTTTTTTTTGGGACTGATTTTGTAGGGGTCCTGTCCGTTTTTTTTTGTGGGTGCAGAGCAGATGGGTGACCGACAAGGAACAAATCGACAATGAGTGAATGCACTGACGAACGACGTTGTGGCGCGCCACAGACTTACCTTGCCGGTCATTGAACGTAAAATAATCGGCTACTTCCGAGGTGCCCAAAAACGCGTGAGGGGCGCGCGGTGAACTTTCCTCCTGAACCCCAACATCCACCACCTCACAACCACCTCGCGTCCAATCCTTACGCGTTGCGCCCCTAATACTTACTTGGCACCCTCAGCTCGGCGAAATCATAGCGCTACTAGTACGATGCTCATAGACTCGAAGAGCAAGATGATATTCAACGACTATAACCCCGAAAAGCGGACGTGCCAGTATAAGCCCTGTAGCGCGATCGGGAAACACAAGGCGTGCGGGGAGTGCAAGTATGTTAGGTACTGCGTGAGTACGACGTTTGACAGACGGTTACTCAGGTCGGACAGGACAGGACGGTATGTATGTACTGACAAAGTGTTTGTTGATGTGGCTTTCGCTGCTACGCAGAGTCCGGCCTGTCAACGCCTTGACTGGAAAGTTCATAAACAGATTTGCGGGAAGGTGCACTCTCCCATGGTCGATGCTTCCGTATGGCGCGAGGTAAGTATCTTTGCTGCTAGATATCCTCTTCCTTCTCCCTCCCCGACGTTCGAAACCACAACCTCATCGGGTTTCTCTCCGACTGGGCATGTGCGTATGTATAGGAGTACGAATGGGTTTTCCGCTGGGCCGCGACGCACGCTCTCCAAGCCCACTGGAACCGCACCATAATCCGGACCCACATCCTCCTCGTCCACGTCCTACACGACGACCGCCTCCTCGGAACCGGCACTCCCTCCCACTTCGAAGTCTCCAAGGTCGAAGTCCTATCGCACGAACAGGCCAAAAGACGCATGAACGGTGCGTTCAAAAACGACCCGCGAGATCTCGCGAGATGTATCGAGATCCAGAACGAGGGCGGGTTGGGCATGGCGTTGGTTCTGTTTTGTTTTCCTCCGCCGTTGATCGTGGGCGATAAAGGACGGTGGATTTATTTTCATGAGAGGTACGAGATGATAGAGAGGAGAGATGGGAGGTGTGCGAGGTTGGAGGGTGGAATTAGGGAGGTGGAGGAGGGTGTGAAGGGGTTTATCAACGGAATACCGTTGGAATCGGTGAAGGACGGGGAGAGGTCAGCGGCTATTACGAAGACTTCGACGATAGATCATTCGAAGACTCCGGGTTTGAGAAAATGGCAGAGCAAGAAGAAAGCACGTCAGTCTGAGCAGGAAGACGAGGAGGTGATGGAGGTTGAGGTTCCCGTGCAAATTGAGGAGGTCGAGTGATTCTTGGTCGCGGAGGTAGGCAGGTTTAAATTGGATGGTTCAAAAGCTTGTATGGTCTTGCTTTGTGGTGGATTTTCAGTCTCGGTATTTCAACATAAACATGCATAGTTGTGTGAGGGCATGATCGGGTATAAGAGTACATAGACGAAACATAGCTGAGGAATGTTGACATATCGTAGCGCACATAGGGAGAGAGTTGGTTTGGTGCATAGGATGACAGTCAAAGCATAGCGGAACAGAAAAAAAAATGTTTCGAACCAAAGTCAGACGGAAAGACGAAAAGTGAGGATATCGCCACTGGACCAACGCGTTGCACGTACAGAAATCAAAATCAAAGCAAGAACACTCCTAAATTACGCCTCCTATCCCAATCCTCTGATGATTCAAGCACAAAAGGTTTTGAAAGATCGATCTCTGGCATCGGAACCGTCCACGGGTCAATATCAGGAATCCCCGACATCGGGCCTTCCTCCCCTCTCTCCTCAGCCAAAGTCGTCTCATACCTCAACTGCTTCATCGCGGCGTCCAAGATCTGTCCCGCAAGCGAATCTTCCGCCATATGATCATTGTCCCTCTTCAGGTTTAATGCCTCATCCCAAATCTTCTGCGTCTCGTAGAAATCCTCAGGACGACGGAGCCCCTCCCTTTCGTAGCGCATGTTCACCGCGTAACCGAAGAACATGAGAGCGAGTTTTCGTTTGGGATGGCCGACAGGGTGTAAAGTCATAATGCGTCTATTGAGCTCGACGACCTCGTCGATGTCGCATAACATGAACTTGAGAAGGTATCTGTCCAAGAGGAACTCTCGAATGCTCTCAAGGAGACTAAGGTAGTGCCCCTCGCTGGGGTGGCACGTCGTGGCAGCCTCACGAGAGTACTTGATGCACATGTCCAGGTCAGGAAGTTGGAGATCGTAGTTCGGTTCCGTTCTGTCGACTCTGTAGGGCTCGGTATTGAACTTGTCATGGCGGATTTCATATACTTCGGCCATAAGGCGGAGAAATGCAGGGCGGAGGTAATGGCCCTCTGGTAGAAACGCAATGGCTTTCCGACTATACTCGAGAACACGATTCAAGTCGTCATGGTGGTCGGGCTCTATATGCTTATGACGGGATAAGAGAGCACCAGCAAGCATTCGCAAGGAGATCGCATGTTTCCCTGTCGTGGAATCGTGCACGAGGTCAACGGCCGTCGTGTAAAGCTCAATCGCCTTGTTCAAATCTTCGAGATGTTCACCGAAGTGCATAAATCGGTTGTGATTCGCATGCGCCAGATCGCCAAGAATTTCTGTGTATAGAGTATCCGAAGGCGAACAGATAGAGAGAGCGTTCTCCAGCCATTCGAATGTACAGTCCATCTTGTCATGATCCACGAGCTTGTCAACGAGACAAATGAGAAGAAACCACTGGAGGAGAGCTCGTCCAACCGTGTATCTCAATAAGGCGGTGTCGGGAAGATGATAATCGAGGGTAGCCATTTTACGGGCCGCCACTGCGAGACGGTGCGCCTCATAAATATCATCAGGATCCATAGATATGCGCGCGCGAGATAGCCATGTCTCACAGAGACTATGCATTGTCGCCATCTTCATAGGAATGCCATCATCCGGGGGCCAAAGCGCAGCCGCATCGTCCAAAGCGTCGATGGCCGCATCAATGTCGTCTGTGCTCTCCTTCAAGAAAGGGGCTTGACGCTTGAAGCGAGCGAGATGAGCACGACCGAGATTGGAGAGGATGATGTGGCGGTTGGGGTGGTGTGGGGAGTTAGAGAGGATCTCGGAGCATTTCTGGATGAGACCGATTTCTTGCTCTTCGCCAACGGGGTTAGCAAGAACGCTTGCGAGAGCCTATTGCACGTAATTAAGATGGCTGGTGCTGCGACATGAAATGAGGACCGAATGTGAAGTAGGGACTCACGAGGTAGGAAGCTGAGTGGGATGGCATACGTGCGTCCGAGCTCGAGGACAGGTAAGACTGAGAGGAAAATATGATCTGCATGGCTGACATTAGCTATATTTATAGGCATCTACTCTGAGACTTCGTTGCGAGCCTCCAAGACTGCTTGTTGTCTAGTTGGGACAGATCGCCACCGTTGGCACCTGGTTTCAGAACCGATCAATGCCAATGTAGTCCGCCACCAAGAGACACGCCAGGAATACACTGCTGTGAGAGAAATCCAGAGGCACTTCTGAGACAAAGGCGACGCTATGGCCCAGAACAAAGAAGTGGTTGGGAACAATATCGATGGACGGTCGAGCGACGAGGAGGCGGTGAAAGCTGAAAGTCAGACGGTCCCGGCGCTTCTGAGTTCCAACATTCTTCGGGAATGTCCGTCTAGGCTGGCAATGCGGTGAACTCGAGTCCGAACTCTCACCGGAGCGCAATGCCATCCAGGTTTCCTGCACTTCATGCTGCTAGTGGGGAGAAGGGCCAGGTTCAGTTTTACGTCCCGGGAAGTATGATATCAGAGACAGAGACACAGGGTCCAGATTAAGTATCAGCTGCTGTCGACCTGGAGGAGCTGGAGAATACTTACGTTGAAAGGACACATCGATGGCTCGGTGGTTCTAGGAATTCCAGATGGGTTGGATACGGTAATCAAAGTCGTTTTCCTGAGTGAGAAGACCCGTAAATTTCCAGGATGAACTCGCTATCAGGACGAGACTTTGCGCCGTGTTGGCGCCATGACTCGCCACACTGTTTCCGTCCCTTTTCTTCTTGTCTGTTGCGACAAGATTGTTATACCTCATACTTTCTGTGTAGATTACTCTTGAAAATCGCTTGTTCCACAATTCTTCTAATTTTACTGCTTTTTTGTGTGAGACATGAGATTGGCAGGAGCACAAGCCGTGTGGCGGTTCGGCATGGCCCAGAGGCTTTCGGCATCGGAGTCTGAATGCACATCTTCCGGTTCTCGTGTTCTTCGCTTCGTCAACATTCCCTCGCCACCCATCACATATTCTAGCCTCCGGAAGAAACAAGGTAATGAAAGCTTCGTGCTCGAGCTGTATCAGGTTTCATCATACCGGTTTTTGATTCCCTAGCAGGCCTCGAGCCTGCCTCGAGGCGTAAGCTCGTGACGTAGCGTGTATTGTGAGCCCGTGTATATCAGGCAATCCTATCTTACCCTTCTTTCTCTCACCGCCATGCCATTCCCTCGTCTGTAGTGCGTGTAGAACTCCCGGTGCTCTTGGTCTGTGGATCTCCTCCTGCTCTCGTCTAACACCATGCCTTCCATCAAGGAGTACGAACCACAGTATGTTTTTCGCCGTAGATCGTCGGTTCGTCTTGCTCAACAGAATTCGCAGGCATAGTGTCGACACGATGGACGTCGATGACTTGGGTCTGGGGTACCGCTCATCATCTTCGTCGGATCAGGAGGAGTACATCCCACGTAAAGAGTCGAGGTCTCACCATAGGTAGGTCTTCCGTCCATCAGAGGTGTTACGATATCGCTACGAACCTCTGTGTGGCGCCTATTCTTGCGTTCCTGGGGCTGCAGTCGAGCTGAATTGTCAGCGAGCCGAGAAGGCTCTTCGGCTCAGTCTGTCCTGTCAGCGTCACGTCCACGTTGAATCTCATTTACATCCTGCCGCCGTCCCGTCTTCACCCGACGAGGATCAGGCCATCCTTGAGCTTGCGAGCATATGAGCATCATGCATATGACAAGTTTGAATGGGTATAATTTGTTGACAGCACCAGGACGCAGCATGATGGGATACTGGAGATCGATAACATGCCTTATAAACGCATTGTTGTCGACTGTTGCTTCTATACCTTGTGGAAAGTGCATAAAATGATACGTTCGTGGGCTGAGGACATGTCTTAACGCTTCGCATAGTTTCAGTTCTCGCCTCTTCAACTTTTCATTTGATTCTCAACACTTTTGCCGAATTGTGACTGACAACTCTCTAGTTCCACCAGACGCACATTCTCTCATTTCTTGGCTCTCAAGGATCGTGACGCGAAACAGTTGCACAAGATCCTCATTTTGACTTTCCAGAAGCTGGACCAGGAGTCTCAGCGAGCATCTTCCGCTGAGCGAAATCTTGCAGCCGCCCTTTTACGTGTCCGTAGCGAAGTTGACGCTCGTCAAGCCGTCGAAGCTGAGGCTTCGCGAGCCAGAGAGGAGCTTGGCATGTACAAAGTACAACTCGAACAGGCCCAGAGGGAGATATATCGGGCTCAGGAAATTTTGGATGAGACGGAGGCGAGACGAAGGGATGCGGAGGAGGAGGCAGCCAGGGCGAGAAGTCTGGCGAGGAAATTTAAGCAGGAAAGGGTGATAGATCTGGCAAGGGAGGACGGGAGGACGGAAGGCTACCAGAAAGGGTGGCGCATCGGGTTTGAGGAGGCGGAGCATGAGAGAAGAGCACGACGAGTGCACGAGGTTTTAATCGAGGATGATGAAGAGGAGGAAAGTCCTCCACCTTCCGGAATTGAACGTCCCAGGCATCGTACACGGTCGGCGCCGAGTGCACCGCCGCTACCACGACCGTCAGTGCAGTCTCTGCACTATTTCCGCCCTGTACTGACGATACGACTTGCAGTGTTACTATTATGCCAGAGCCAGATTTCGGACCAGAACACATTCCTGATGTCGCTCCGTTCGCCTCCGCTCCTACCATTCCGACCGTCACCACACCGTTCCGCCCTCCCTCACGCACCGCGAGTCAGCCGCGTACGCCAGCTACCACCCCATATCGATCGCACACGCCTTCCGCTCGCCGTGGCTCGACGTCGGCATCTCGCCCGTATTCGCCTCAGTCCTCACAGCCATCCATCATCCACCCACAACCCTCGTTGCTGACTCCCATCGTCATCCCTGCTCCTGTGGCGCCGGCGACACAGACGGTGCGTCCTGTGCAGCGTCGCGCTACGGCAACACCCATGCCGTCCGACCGTTCGCAGTCTCCTATGCATCGTCGGAGCCCAGTCCCTCCGGATAACTACATCCCATACGCAGAGGTGTCGCCAAACGGGTCTCGTATCTATCTTCCCCCTCCTCACGAACTTCACAATTCCATGCCCATGACAGACGATGGATACGTGAATATCCCGACACCTGTAGTAGAGCGTGTGTATGAGGACGAGGCATCCCCTGTCTCTGCACTCCCGCCCTCTAGAAACGGACCGTACGAACCAAGACAAGTGCCTTCGAACCGCGGTGAAGTCAGGACTCGTGATTATGCATATGGTTCAAGGGGCCCGACACCTGCTCCCGTTCCGGTGCCACCGCCACTAAGGGTGGCACAGGCCCTATCGACCCATTCGAGGGCATCTACGAATGTGTCGGAGTTTGAGTTAGTCAATCCAGTGCAGGTACCGGCACCTTCAGTGTACCATACACGACCCAGGACAACATCTCAACCACAGCCCTTCTATACGAACCCTCCTCCTGTCCCGGTACCCATCCCAGGCAGAGCACCTTCTCGTGGATCGGATAGAATGGCTGATGACGTGGGTTATACTTGACTGACTGACTTATTTTATTTTAGTCTTATCTGACTTCGAGCTTTCATAGTCATACCGCAGAGTTCCTCCACCGCAACATATCCTTCAGCGCATGGAGACTCAGCCACAACAGGTACGAATGGGTGTGCCGAGTTCCGGTGGATACGCCGCGCCCCCCGAACGGTCTCAGTCAAGGCAGTCTTCGAACGGGATGTATACCCGCCCGAGATACGACTCTGGGGCTTCTACGTCTCAGTCCGACAGACCTGCCAGGCCTGTCCGACCGCGCCGAGCGTCCAGCGGCCCACCAGGAATTACAGTCGAGCCCCCTGTGAGTCCTAAGATCTGGAGAATAGAGTAGCCCACCTCTTTTGTTCCGACATTCCTTTCTCCGTCATCGTATTGTGTCATATCTCCTGTTATTCGTGCGGACTTAATCTAATGTTTATTTATATTAATTTCGCTCATTTCCTGCTTCCCCGATCGTGAGTTGTTATTTGTGCGTTTGCTGACGTTCAATGATGTTTTTAGTCACCAGAAGGCTCCCCTCCTTCCCCCACGGCCACTGTCCAAACGACCACCGACCATCGCTTCCTTAGTCCCGAGATTCAGGCTCGACCACTCACTCCTTCTTTACATGAACTCGAGGCTGCTCTGCACGATACGCCTTCCCGCCCTCAGTCTCCACGTCACTACCAGCCACGAGAGCGGTCCCAATTGAGAGCACATCCATCTCGACCGCCTACTCTCACTCCTCTCCAAGAACTTTCAAATCTGGAGCTTCCCAGGAACGCGAGCTCGTCCTCGAATGATTCCGTGCCAACCCCTGTACCACCTCGTTCCTCTTCTCACTCTCGTAGTCATCGGTCGGAGACCCCTACGCCCTCGCGGCATGGTCGTCGGAAGTCAGAGTCCCCATCTTACCAGACTGCTCCCATCCCTCCTGGCATCGAATACCCCACGACGCCTCTCGCCAACGTTTCGAACCTCGCTGGTGCCGCCTCCGGGTCTCCGGGGTCTAGCCGCAGGAGACAAGCAGAGCCTGTCCTGGAACAGACGACCAGCGAGTCGACGGTACAGACAGAATCATCGACTGCTACCAACAGGCCCCCGACGCCTGGCGAATCTCGCAAACCTTCGAAGGACAAGCATCGGTCCACCGATTCGTCCGGTATGACATTCCCAGGCGACAGATTATGGAGGAGGTATACGAGTCATTGATTTACCAAGCATGAACCAGAATCATGAACTGATGAAGGGTTTGACCCACGATGCATGACGGACCTATTTCATTTTTGCAATGTTTTTATTCGCTTGATCCCTTCTTCTTTCCTTTGTTCCAGCAGCTCGTCAAGTAATATGGCTTGAGGACGAATGTCCAGAGTCGAGATTCGGTTGGTCGATAATGTGGCTGTCGAGGGCTAGCTCTCTCCGGTCTCATTATCTGATCATTGGTGCGGCTTTTGCGTCCTGCTTATCGCCTTTGCGACTCATCTCGTCTCGTTTGTAACGATTGATGATTGATGCCGGTCCATTTCGATGTGCAGTGCATATAGAGTCGTCATCGTCGAAGCCCGTCTCATCGTGTTTGTTCTCGCCTCTTATTTCGCCTCGCTCATGGATACATTTTTTGACTTATATGCTCGTTTCGGACGATTGCTTTCATTTGGATGTGCTGGTCACCGTTTCTCAGCCTCCATCTGACTCTTACGCACGCACAAGCATCTCTTCGTACGCCTATCGTTTACGCATACCGCACAACATAACATAACGACCTGTATCATTCTTCGTGTACTTCATACTTCATGGACATCCCTATGTGCTCATGCCACAATACTTTACGCTCATTCATCACATATTGTCGTATGTTTTTCGGATCCAAGTAGCACCTATGGACACAAGTGTATGGAGTACTTTGATTGCTGCTGTTCTCATTGTATGGACCGATGTTCGGATCTTTCCCCCATCATTTCTTCTTTTACAGCTCACAAGACGCCACGCACTAAGGACAGAAGTCGTCAACAGGTCATCTACATAGTTCATTCGTTTCGTAAGGTATCGTAAGAGCCATCAAAAACAGTATCCGTGGTCATCGTTCGAATAAATCCTCAAATCCGAATCTTGCGATCGATGGAGGGTACCACCGCACGCGGTCCACCTTCTAGAGGGCAAGGCGCAAAAAGACTATGGCACTGACTCTTCGCAATCGTAGCGATTCATATTTTTGAAGAGTTTCGGGATTTCGCATCGCCACTCTTTGGCGTCTTCTGGGACTCTGAACCGTAGAGCGGTCCATGGGTCCATCCTTAGTCTCGGAAGGGGTAGGCAAACAGGGCCTGTAAGTTATGGAGAGAATATGTAAGCGGGAGTGCAAGACAAGTGATCGGTGATGGATCAAGTACCTAGCTGTTTGCGGGCTCTAACGTCAGACCAATAACTGAAGATCGAACCATGTGTAGTCAGCGACTCGGGTGAGTCAGAGAGAGAAGAAAAATTGGCTTACGTGCCACGGAAGTAGGGATGCATGGTAAGCTCGTTCAGATGGGGTCTTTTGTCAGGATTTTCCTGGAGAAGCTTGAAGCAACAGTTACATTAGCGAGTGCTGGATTGTGGGGAAGGGCAACGCGTTCAACTTACCGCTAGGATCAAATACTGAGCATTTGGGTCCGTCACATAACGCATCACGTCCTCCAGGAAGCGCCACTGGTATAGGAAGTGATAAGCCTCCTCGAAGTTCTCCGCCTCTTGCAACTCCCGGGGGAACTTGAATGGAAAATATTAATTACGACGATATGAAGCGTATGGAAGAGACGAACCTTGTCGCCCATGTACATCTCCAGCAAAATCATCCCCAAGGACCACGTATCGACCTTGCAATTATAGAAGGTGTGAGTGATGACCTCCGGAGCCGTGTATGCAATTGTCCCAATTTGACCGGAAAAGTTATCTCTATGGAGATATTCGGAGTAGTCGTGCTTCGGAACATAGGTGGGCACTTCATGGGAAAGACCAAAATCGCAGACGACGAGATGTCCGTGTTCGTCGATTAAGATGTTACTTGGCTTCAGGTCCATGTGCACGATGCCAACGTCGTGCATTTCTCTAATGGCCAAGACCTAGAAGCGTATGGTAAGAGGAGAAGATGTCCGATCATGCAGAAAGACTACTTACTAACTCTCGAGCATACAACAAAATTTGGGCATCGGTGAGACGGGACTTGCGCCCCTTTAGATGCATTACGTCCTCGAGTGTTCCGTGACAGAGCTCCTGAAGAAACGATAAAGCATTCCGACAACATGAGCACGAAATCACCGAGATCTCACTCACGGTGACAATGTATTCATTGTGCGCGTCCTTGAACGTGCTCGTACATCCAAGGAGAAACGTCGAGTCCGACTCCGTGATCTTCCGTTTCTCATGCCTTCCCACTTCGTCCGATGCTCGTCTTGCGCAAGAATCTCCCTGTTGAAGATTTTGATGGCGACCGGGCACGCTCCAAGGCCATCTCCCGAACGATTGGGTCTCGGGATAGCTTCTGCCTGGACGACTCTGCCGAAAGTCCCGTTGCCGATTACGCCTTTCATATCGTAGTTGAAGTGTGAGTTCATGATGTCCAGGAACGGACCATCGGTCACGTATCGGGGCCCGGGAGGGTTAGCTTCAACATGCAGAGCAGTATGGTGCTCGTCTGGCGATCGTGAGCCGTCTCCTACATTAGAGCCATTGACCTTTGACACGGGAGTGGTGACGAAGTAAGGAAGGGTATATCTGGCGAAAGCGTTGGACACGTACTTCGATCAACGGCTCGTTCCTGGACTCAGACAACAGGTGAAGGGAGGAGTACTGGGAATTAATCAAGGGACGCTGCCCCGAGCTCGGGGCGACTAGACAACTCGACGAACTTGGGTATGGCTCAGATCTCCTCTCGGGAGGATCGTGACGGGCAGGTACATCAAGACCAAGGCCCTGGTAAACGATCCTGGTGGGCTTCTTCTGAGGAGAATAAGAGTCGGAGAGGGGAAGAGGTATTGTCCGGAGCGCGTTGGTAGGCCAACCTGAGTGGAGGGTGGCTTCCGTTGCTGTATCGAGCGAAGATGGACGGAGAAGATGGCCGACACCTGCACCAAGGAATGGACGAAATGGATGGCGTCGAGACGAGATATTCGTTGTTGATCCCATGCGGGCGTCATCCTGCAGAGGGGAAAGCGACCTCCTGAGAGTATCAAGAGCATGGATGTTCGTCTGCATTACGGCTGTATATATGATCATGTTGGGAACCTATAATCAAGATGAGAAGAGTGAAGGCGCATACCTCGAGAACGGTCAGTGAAAGGGCGTCTTCCTAGGCCGTCTCCTAAGAAGACCTCGAGCTTCATAGTATCAAGTACAGATAACATAAAGTCGTCATCGAGATCATAAAGGGGAAGCTCCCGAAGGTAGATCATCGCCGCGTCTTCCATGGTGAACGGGGTGGCGTTGGGCGATGACCGCTTCGTTGACTCGGCGACACCGTCCATGACATCCTCGAAGAGGGGGGCGAATGCGTCGACCAAGAAGGCCCTCAATCCTGTCAATATGGTCTAAACGAAGATGATGAGATGCTGGAAGCACGATAACAAAGGCATCAGAAAAGCTTACCAGCGCAAACTCCAGAAACAGACCCGTCATGGCCTGTAGCACATGCCCGGCAGCTTTCATGTTCATGTGGCGAACAAGAGAACAAAACACGGAGCCTGTGGTGGAATGTGGGGAAAGTACTACCAGACGCAGTTGACAAAAGAGACTGCCGTAGAAGATGCTTATATAGTCGCAAGAGGTAGTTCAAACACATAGGCCGTGAATGCCACCCAAGGGTCAAAACGCATCGCTTCCAACCGCCCTGATAAGCAAGGCGAGAAATCATTCGTGCAGATGGCCCATACAAGATAAAGCAGAAGCCTCGAGGTCGGTACATACGTTCCCTTGCTTTTATGCTTCATTTGACATAGAGCCTGTCAGTGGCCAAAGCGTGTTTCACAGAGAATTATTAGACACGGTGGCAAAACCGCGAGGCAGCATGGACCAAGCACGGGCAGCCCTGAACAATGCAGTAGCTATAGCAATCCGGGGGAAGGAGTTGGCTATGAATCATAATAGTTTCGACCGTTAGAGCATCGTCGTGAATGGGGCTGGACAATGAACGGAGAGGAGAAGGACGTGCTTGGCACTGCAGTAGTTAGCGCCCATCGCCACACCCGCTGCTACGCCACAATTCCGCCACTCTTGTCTGTTTTCCGAAAGTGCGCTTCATGAAGACTCTCCCCACTAACATCACGTCTTAGGATGTTCTCATCCTCACGAAGATGATCTTTCATGTCGGGGTCAACAACGACGAATCAACGACATGCACAACACAGTCTGAACGCCTATACTCAATCATCCCAGTCGTCACCACCGTCGTCGTCGTAGTCGTCGTCACCACCCCCATCGTCGCTAATATCATAAACATCGTCATCCACAGCAAAGTCCTGCGCATCCCCTTCGCCCCCGTCATAACCATAACTACCCACAACAGCGTCCGGCTCCCCTTCTAGGTCTTCGTAGTGCTGCTCCTCGTATGTCTCCTGCACCTCCTCACTAGCATATGGCTCCTGAACGTGAGCATAACCCGAATAACGAATCTGAGGGTCCTCCTCCTCCTCCTCGTCATCGTAGTCGCTTGCATACGGTTCTTGAACTTGCCCATAACCATAACTCGTCTCAGGGGAGTTTTCCTCGTTCCGTCTATCGAGCTCGTACACGATGAGATATGCTGGCCGAACCGCGTCATTATTATATACGACCGTTTCTTCATAGTTCATATCGGGGTGGACTCCAGGTCTACCGATGACCTACTCACAAGGTCTGAGCGATTTTATAGACAGAGATGAAAGTGAATCTACGAACCGAATCATAGCCACCCGGCGGCGACTGCAGGTAGTACCCGTTGGTAGTTAGGGCGATCGGTCTGCCCAGGACTACGCGAGCCAGTATCATGACTTTTGGAGCTTCGGGTACATCAGGTGGTAGATGATTGTCGACGTAGTCGTGGGCCTCTGTCGCCAATCATCTCTCGTTAAACATGTATATGTCTACAAAACTGGAGATTTATAGAGCGTTGGAGGTAAGACTGACTCGAAGACACGGGGTTAGATAGATTCCATGGCCGAATCTGTGCGGAAAGGAGGCGTCACTAGCATCAGCAATATTTTGAAAGAGTGAGAATAATAAAAGGAAAGACCATCCACACCTCTTGAAAGAAAACTTCTTCCCTATTTTGCGCAAGCATCATAGTCTGTATTCATCGCCGTGATTTGGAGAGTATTGGAGAACGTACCGCTCTGTGCTACATCAAATGAGTCCCGTAGAATGCAACACAGAAAACACTGATCCGAATGGCAAGGAGTCACTGCGTCATCGTCTTCACCGAGCATGCATTGCCTGTTCGTTCCATGGAGATGGAAAGACTCCTGTGCATATTGACCGGTAAGTCTCGACCTTGCCCAATAAACAAGCATTAAGCGGCGGGATACTCGCGCGAAGTTCAATATGATCGTCGTACATATAATCCATATACGGCCGCATGGTCTGCGCGTCTTGTCTCACCTCGAGAATCCTCACGACACGCATTGTCTCCTTGTCGTTGTGTAGCCATCTGGACTGAAAGAAGTCTTCAACTACCCCGGACAATGAGCCAAGAACAGACGCTGATACAAGTAATCGGAGATAGCATACTGTTTTGGAACCTATAATCGGTTCGCACGATAGGAAGGAGCCCGACGGATTGACTGCCAGTGTAAAGGAGAGGGTCGACATAAGAGTGTATTTTGAGGGAATTTTGAATATTTCAATACTCAGTAAATACCATGACAGGGTTCAAACAGGGTTTGTCTCTTACCCTGAGGAGTAGAGGATAAGTTCATCACGAGGCTGAACATTGGAGTAGTTCATCGTGCCGACGAATAAGGTTAAGGTTGTCCTACGTCGCCAAAGTGGCGCGTTGTTTCGCCATGTTTGGCCCAAAATAAATGAGACACGTCGCGACGCGTCGCTTGACAGTTGCACCTTGTCCTCGTACCCCCATCACCACTATCAACATGAGTCGTAATAACGTTCGCGGGCCTACTTCAGCCCTCACCGAGTTTCTAAGGGTAATGCGTTCTTCTGGTCTACATGTTAATGGTATGATTGACCACCAAACGACTTGTAGGAGTCGAATATCACAACCAACTTTATCCAACGAAGGGTTAGAACCAGGCAGCAAAACGAAACCCAGCAAGCTCAGGGTCAACAAGCAGCTGGCCCAAGTAATGCTGGAGATACTCCTGCGGATCAAATGGGAGTGGATGAATCGAGTCCCAGCACGCGTAGGCGCAGCCGTGCGTCGCGTGCAAATGCAGTGCGTACCTCCTCATTTTGTGTCGTTCGGGCGTCGTTGTCCTCTCCAGAAGGGTTTCTCATCTGCAACTCGACTCTGCCACACAGCGCGATGAAGATTCAGACCATCTCGATGAAAGCGAAGAAGAGAAGGCCCCAACAAAGAAGCGCAAGACCACGAAAGCAGCGGAGGCGAAACAGAAGGCCAAAGCCAAGGCTGCCGCAAAGAAGAAGAAAGGTGACGGAGACGAAGACTACGAGGATTCCGAAGACGAAGACGACGATGTTTACACGGCCCTCTCGAGGAATATGGTCGCAAATGCGGCAGCGTCGCCACCGAAACCAGGCAGTTTCGAGGAATGTGCGAGGTGCGAGATACAGTTCACGGTGGTACGTCTTGCTTCCTATACACGACTTACAACACATCGTGGGCTGACCATCAGTTCGACTTCGTCCAGACAAAGTACACGATGGCAGCAAACCCGCCACCCGGGTACTTGTGCCACAAGTGTGTCAAGGAGACTGGCGCGGACAAGAAGCCTGCCGTCGCACCTAGGAAACGCAAAGCCCCCGTCGACAAACGAAGTGTCGTTCATTTCGAAGAGAAGAGATTTCCAACTCTGGTGTCTTTGTGCATTCAGGCAAGCGTTTTGTTATCGTGAGCTGGGTGATCGTACGTGCTGACACTATTCATTAGATGCTCTCGAAGCACATTAACGACGTTGAGGCATTAGGCGATATTGGCTATCAAAACATAGATAGTATCATCCGTGCCCTATCACGAAATCGGAGCTTGTCAGTCCTCAACCACTTCTACAATTTCACTTCATACCAATATGACTTTCAGGACACCCGAAAACGCCACTCTTTTCTACGGACTGGACAAGGAGAATCTAGTTCTATACGACGCGACCAGTATGCACACCCACTCCACGTTCTATGTCGCATTATAACCCTCTGACATCGCCACAGAGCTCGTCCCCGACTCTCTCTCAACGCTCGCGATGATGAACCCCAATCTGACGCGACTTCGCCTCGACTTCTGCGGACGAATGGACGACGAAGTCATCAACACCTGGTCGACCAACTTCCCCGCACTTACTCACGTCGAACTCCTTGGTCCATTCCTCGTCCGTGTTCCAGGATGGCTCAACTTTATTCGTTCACACCCCGACCTGAAAGCATTCTGCATCACGCAAAGCCCGAGGTTCGACATCGAGTGTTTGAAGACCCTAGCAGACTCGTGTGCCGGCCTAGAAGAGCTTATGCTCAAGGAAGTTGGGAAACTCGGCGGTGGCAAAGAGAAGGAGGAGCAAGACGCATGGGTGGACGAACTATGCAAGTTTGAAGCATTGAAAATGCTCGACATTTCCGACCCCAGCAGCGAGGGGATGGAAGAGGAGGGTTTGATACGTCTGGTGAAGACTCTTGGTGAAGAATTGACCTGCTTGGACCTCTCAGGCCACAGCCGTATCTCAGACGATTTCCTGAATGAGGCATTACTTCCGACGTGCCGCAAGCTCACCAGCCTGTCGTTGCAAAACTTGCCGCTCCCCACGGACGAAGGGATGGCAAACGTCTTCGAGCAATGGGCCTCGCAGAACGCTAACCCCAACCTCAAGCATCTTTCATTCCTGAGGATGGTGCAGCTTGGCTATATGGCGCTGTCCGCCATCGTCGCACACCCTGCAGCGCCACATCTTCAATCGCTCAACATCAATGGATGGCGCAACACAGACGCGGAATCGCTGGAAGAGCTCGGGAAGAAAGGTTTGAGGGAGTTGAGGAGATTGGATCTGGGTTGGAACCGAGAGGTTACCGACATGATCGTTGGGGAGATATTGGAAGGGTGTGGTAAGCTACAGGAGCTGAAGGTCTGGGGCTGTAATAAGTTGACGGTGAATTGTCCTACGAGGGTGCGTCCGTATTCTCTCTTCATGTACAATCATGACATTGATGCTCTCTTCCAGAGGGAAGTGGCAATCATGGGCGTTGAGTCGCATGCCGCGGCATAGGATGTCTATCCGTAGGGTTGAACGGATGTTCCGCGTGGAGACTAGCTAATATCTTGATTCTGCTTTTCGCTTGTATTTCCTCGTGCGCTGACAATAGCATTATTGCATCAAAGTCTTCAATATCTTCTCTCCTATACTTACGTGTTGTGTTCCACGTCCGGGCTTTTCCTCGCACAAGGGCGCCCACGGTCCGTCGCATTTACGGCTTTTCAATGTCAGACGATGGCACCATGAGATCTCTGGACGGATCCTGCGGTGTGCCTTATCATAACCTCTGCGATACCTGCCTCTTTACATGGGTATAAACTAACGGCGACCCTACTCTCACAGCTCCCCGGACTTCCGCATGCATCTAGACTCGCCGTGTCGAGATTATCCACATTCTGGATTTGCTTGGGTGCGACTAGTCTTCTTCGCCGCTCTATGCAAATACGCCTTCCACATGTGGGTCGATTCGCCTGGGTCGGTATGGTCGGAATGCTTACCCTTCCAGGTGGCCGCTGTATGCTTCGAGCGTCCATGCACGGTCCTGTGAGAGATGTATTGTAATGGCATGGCGCTTCTCCTGGATCCTCGCGAAGCCTTTCCAGAATCGTAGCAGCTGGGCGAAGTAATTACCCATCAGTACTCAGTGATCGCGGGGCGACTGGAACCAGCAGGTCTGTGGATCATCTCGTTGGCGAGGTCTGAAAACATCTTGTTCGTCCGCTCTGCTCTTGCCGCTGCGGCGATGCTATCTGCCCACACTATTTTGATTATGTGTAGCAGCCTTCTGGAGGTCTCTCGCCGTCTTAGTCACGACAGGCTCACCTCGTGCTCGCTGATTGTTCCACTTTCGTCGTGTGAACGACTTCAATTTATCATCTCCGTTCTTGCGCCTTCGGGAACAATGTGAAGCTAAAATCGCACGGTCTTTCGTTGAATCCAACTGCGGCTTTGAGGCCGGGACATTGCTTCGTGCGTATTCCAGCCAAATCTGATAGAAGTTCCAACCATGACTGATCCTTCATGTTCGAACCTTCTCTGACAGCAACATCACCCGATAAAACGGCTTTTCGGTAGTAATGCGTCTTCAGCGGTCAACTTTTACATGCGCTTAAGTTGTTCGGCGTCGACGAGGCCGAGGCTCCAAGCTTCAAGCGCACCTTCACCGCGACTGGAATGAGCCTACCATCAGTGCGGAGGAACGTCGGTGTGTTTCAGGTTTACTCGTCAGTTGTGCTTTGATACTATCTGACCATTCAATAGCGGTGACAGGAATTCGTGTATCATGGTCCGACTGATTTAGTTTCTTCTGCATGAAGGGGCGCTTTGATTGCAAGCCTCTAGGTGATGATATTGCACAACGATGAATATACAGCCCTTGCGAGAAGAAGGCGATCTACCCCCACGTCGAGCCACCCGCAGCACTTGTCTTGCAAATATTCTGGTATGTCCGACCTCTGTTTCCTTTCATCATTGCATTCTACCTATACTTTTCGCTTCCATCTGATTCTATGGATTCATTCTTCAGGAAGGCTTGAAGCACTCAACTCGCTTGATTGCATCGAATTCGTCAAGTAACGTGCACCTCTAACTAAACATGGTGAACATACTTTGGGACCTCCACTGAGACCGAAGTCAAGGCGTAACAAACCCAGATCTCGAGGAGGTATGCGTAAAGCATCAAACTCTTCATTTCAGGCTCTGTGATGGTTCGTGACACCTGAAGTTCATCATCATCAGTGTCCAAGCCATTTGTGGCACATCATCGTACTATTACCACCATGATCGGTCGGTGAACACTACCGCTTCGTAAGCAATGGTACGTTCCAAACGCCATGCCTATCCGTCTTCCTGCATTTTCTGGATCATAAAAAGAGGAGTTCTATTTGACCGCTTATACACGATCGTGTTCTAGGAACAACTTTGTCTCCTCGGGGTATATCGGCTCCACACAAACTTGCTCTTTGGCTGGTCAAGTGGTGCGTGGTTCCATTCATAATCCTTGTTATTAATCGAAGCTCCAACTGGTAAAGCCTAACAAGTTTAGCAGGCCACGCGCTACCTCGGAGGTACTTGTTCTTTACAGCGCTAGCGCTTCTCGATTGCTTTTTTGGATGGTCCTTTGTAAGTTTCCCCACGTCGTGACCACGCTGTAGCGCAGACTCCTGTCAGTACCGCCCCGAGTTGGGCCTATGGCATTGCAGTAACTCCGGTCAGTCTGGCGGTCGACCTTTCTTTGGAATGTCTATTACTCACAATGCGCATCTAGGGTTTAGTTCCACATTTCCCCGCGTCTCGCGTGCGACCATAAGCTTTCATATCCGAGGGGATACACACCCTCACTCATCTCACCTTGTGTGCGTAAACACGCCATTCCGATCCATCCGAATTGGTTCACAATAGAACGCTAGCGTTGTGGATGTACAGGTAAGTTGCGCTTTGACCCTCTGCCGAATGGAAGCGCAAGGCACACTCGGTCTTGCACCGCTTTCCAGGCATTCGCGTGGACGGGTTGATACATTGACTTTTCCAGGAGACGCGTGCTGCTGTGCCTGTAAATCAGGCCCACTTTACCTTCTGTTGATCGTGGAGATGTTGCTCGCTCGGAATCGGGGACAGGGGCTGAGTTCGGCTGTGCAGAGGCGTTGTAACGATGTGAGCACCCCAGAAGTTTATTCACCGGACTCTGGGTCGAATGATTCAGAATGACGACGTCGAAGCAGTTCAGGTCCAAGATGGCTCCGTCGTATGAACATATGACGCTTTGAACGTTCTAACCATCAGTTTCCCGAGGCCGCTTGCAGATCCTCCGAAGGATCCCGTCATGCAGTGAAGGATACAGGGATACCCCAGTTCCTTATCCATTGGTGAATGATTGACTAAGTATACCGACACATTTCCTGTGGGAGACACTAGGCGGTGCAAGGCCGCCGTATACCTTTTACTCACTCTCAACGGTGACCCTCCAACCGTGTCCGGTCTGCCCGTTCAACGACGATCGGGACTACCCCAGTTCCTTGTTCATCGAGAGCACAAGCGAAATAATGAGAGTGCATTCTCGAGGCGTTCCTGCCTATCCTGTACCTTCGACCTTCAACGTCACATCATCTTATGACATGCTCTATCCTCGCTTCTTGTTCATCGAAAAATCAAACCATGCAATGAGAAGCGCTCCTGACCCGTACCTTGTACCTTCGACCTTCGAATTGAACCCTCGGTTCCTTAAGCTTCTACCCGCTCGACGAAGCTGCTTTGCAAGCTCTCGGGGCTCATTTACCGCCGGAAGAAGACCAATGTTGCTGGAAGTGAGTAGAAGACTCTTCGAGGATATCCTCCTCGAGCCGCACCTTGTACCTTCCATCGTTAATGACGGGTCCTTCAGCCCGTTGACGATCGTCCAACCAACTGTGGCGTTCTGTAGAACATCATCGTCCATACCTTGGTCCTTGAATTCGTCCTGTTACAAAGCTGCTCCGTCGACGGCGACGTTACCATCCTCCGTCCTCTTCTAATCCCGGTCCTCCGAAAGTCGGATTCTACATCCCACTCGCAAGTCGTATCGGAGCAGAGGTGTTCCGTGGCTTTTCTTCGCATCGTTACATGCACAGGATTGATGATGATGACGGATGTCGATAAGCATCGAGCTGAAGGAACGCCGTGGTATACGTACTAATGACTTCTATCCATCTCAACAACGCCTATCCATCCCTGTATTGGCGGGACATTGACAGCCGACGTTGCTACCCTCACGCCACGCTAACGCCACGAACTTCACTGACATACCGAGAGAAAACGAAATCGGATGTCCTGTACATACTGTAGTTCAACCATACTCCCGATCTCAACGATAAGTCGTCAGCGATGTCGACGGGACTCGCTTGTCCGATCGCAATCGCGTGTACTCTGCGTGCATGGAGAAAATGACGAACAGTTGTCGTGCAAGGCGCCACACCACACTTTACGCCGATGGATTCGGGTGCAAACCTAGATACGCCACACATGCCCCACACATCACAAAAGTGAAACTGACAGAACGCACGACAGAGTCTCCATCCATCGCGTTTCATCTGCATTCCATCATTCGTACACGTACCGATATTCCTGCGTACTCCGATCTCCTGATCATGATGCATCATCAGCGAAAGAGCTCATCGGTATCATCATCATGTCAATTGCGACTCCTCCCTATCATCCGAATGTCCCATAAGTACATGCACGCTCTCATCAAGTTTCAGTTTCGAGTCCAGAGTCTGAGCAGACGCCGCATCCGTCCACTCAACCATCCTTTTGTGTCAGATTCAGATTCAGATTCAGATTCAGATTCATTCGATTCCATATGTAACAAAACAACATTTGTAAAAGCCGCCTCAACACGAAGCACGAAGCAAACCAAGTAAGCAGGCAAGTAAGTAAGAGTAAATAATACGAGTTGGCCAAAAGTCGAAGGGGTAACGCAAAGGGAAAGGAGACGAACACGAAATACGGGAAGTAACAGTAGATACTTAGGATATACTTCTGTACTGAACACGGAACATGGACGCGGAACACGGAACGCGGAGAGCACGTATATGTGACAAGTAAGGGTACTAAGGGTGTATACTATGTAACAAGAACATCGAAAAGAGAAAAGAGGAAAGAGTCCATCCGAGAGGAGGGGGGGTAAGCTGACGCCTCTTTTTGAGGGGTGTAAATGTAAATAAAGCAAATAGTAACAGGAACACGAAGGGGGTAATAAGCAAATAAGCAGTCCACAGACGATGAATAAGAGGAGGAAAGATTTTGTTCGAATTTTAGGTGGTTGATTTTGAGGTTGGAGGCGAGAGTCCGTTGGATGGAAGGGGGAGGGAAGAGGGAAGAAGAGTCCTCAGTACGAAATTATAAAGGACGAAAGGGACGAAGGGGACGCGAAAACAGTCCGAGACCGAGACAAGCAAACAGGAAAGAGGAAACAGGAAACAGGAAAAAAGGAACGGAGGAGTCCGAGCAACGAAACAGGCAAGGATAGTAGAGGTTGATCGCAGGGTGAGGAGGTCGGTACGGATACGGATGGCGCAGAGTCGAGTGGGTGTGAGCACGAGTTGGATCGGCAGGCGAGAATGGTCGGACGAGGACGAGGTCGAGGGCGAGGGCGAGGTCGAGGTCGAGATAGGGATGGAGACGTCGAAGTCGGGGTCGGGGGAGTCGAGAAGACGAGAGGGACGACGCGGCTGAGATGGGGCTCGAGACGAGACGACACGAGACGGGATATGAAGGAACGCGGAGGGAACGCGGAGAAAAGGGAGGGGAAGGGTATGGAGGCGTCCGAACAACAAGCAGGCGAAACCGGAAATAGAACGAAGACCGAAAGAGAGAGGAACGAACCGAAGCAAGGAAAAGAGAGTCGAGAGGCGAGAATTAACGAGCGAGAGGAGGAGGGACTAGAGCAAAAACACAAAGACGAGAAAGGAGAGGAGAGTATTTGACGGACGACGGACGACGCAAATAGAAAATAGAAAATAGAGATGGAAGATTAATGAACGGCAGACGAAGAGACGGAGAAAGAAGCCACACCACGCACTAAACACACCCCAAACAGACGCAAACGAGCGACCAAAGTTCGTGCCCATGCCCCAACAGCCCAATATACGACGAACGACGAACGAAGACCGAAGACGACAACGTCCCAAAACCGAGAAAAAAAACAGTCCAAAAGAGCGAAGACGAACAAACCAAAAAAAAAAAAAAAAAAATCCCAGACAAACCGCGTCATCGCCATCCCTCTTGTGCGTTCTCGTCGTACGCGCTCTCAGAGCTCAAACCCTCATTCCAACAACCCCCGCGGACTGCCTCGGAGAGAGCTCAACGACTCCTGGACCGACCCCTGCATCCCTCCCATCCCCCCGCCCATCCCTCCCATCCCGCCCATCTCGATCCCCCCTATCCCCCCACCGCCCATTCCCATCCCCATTCCGCCCACCATTCCCATTCCCATCATAGGCACCGACATCCCCATTGCGCCTCCCATGTTGACCATCCCCGCCCCCAAACCGTCTATACTCATCCCTATCCCGATCGCCATTCCACTCCCGTCCTGCACCTGCTGCACCTGCTGCCCCTGAGCCTGACCCTGCACCTGAGACGGGGACATGTTGATGTTGAATCCCGCCAACTCCTCGTACGGCGAACCTTGCGGCTGGGTGTGGTGAGAATGCGGATGATAATACGGGTGAGCCCGGACCCGCTGCTGGTGACCCCCGTGCGCCTGCCCATGGACTTGCTGAGCCTGATACGCCTGCTCGACCCGCGACTGAGGTTGCACCTGAGGTTGCATGTCGAAATACGGGAGACGTGACGGTTGAGGCTGAGACGCTGCTCTCTGGAGAATCTGACCCTGCTGATCCCGATCCCTCTGACCCAGCTGATGCTGATCCCTCCCTATCCCTTGTCCCACTCCGTCCTGCCCATCGCCCTGTCCCTGTCCCCCGACCGGCGAAGACTGTCCCGAACCCGAACCCTGCCCCTCGTCCCGCCGCACCTGCTGCGTTAACTGCCGCCGAAGCTGCTCCTGCTGCTGTCTCCTCAACTCGGCCGAATAACTCACCGGATGCTGCGTTTGCTGCTGGCCGTTGGAGTTGTTGGGGTTGTGTTGGCCGCTGGAGGTGTGCTGCGCCTGGTGTGGGTGTGGTTGATGCGGAGGCGCCGAAGAAGGCGGAGCCGGCGGATGCTGGAACTGCTGCTGTTGTTGCTGCTGCTGCTGTTGTTGCTGTGAGAGGTGCTGCGAATGCGGCGCCGAAGACGACGGACGAGGAGGTTGTGCGTGCGAAGGATGAAGCGGACGCGGCGTTTGCGGATGTTGTTGTTGTTGTTGTTGAGATTGAAGGTGAGCCTGAGTCGGAGGAGGCTGCATCCCGGTCCCCATCGTCCCCATCCCGGTCCCCGAGGGCGAGCTGCTCCGCATACCTAACAAGCCCAGCCCCACTCGTCTCTGGCCTCCCATTCCCATTCCCCCCACTCGTCCCTGGCCTTCCCGTTGAAGTTGAAGGCCTTGACTGTACTGCTGCCCCTGACCCTGCGCCGCCTGCTGAAGATGCTGATGAGGCGGAGACTGAGACACCGACGGGTAATATCCGTCGAGCGCCGGGATCGTCATCTGTGTCATTACAGAGCTCCATGACCGAGAGCCTTCTCGAGACCGGTCTTGAATCTGCCCCGTCCCCGCCGCCTGAGGTGGTGGGCCGACCATACCCGTCCCCTGAGGTGGTTGGCCGAGCATAGGACCCCCCACCACCGCCGCCGCCGCCGATGACGTCCCCGGAGGTGTGTGGCCTCGCAAGCCTGTAGTGCTCGTCGTCGTCTCCCGGGAACGGTCGTTTCCGAGGGTTTGGGTTTGGGTTTGGGTTTGGGTTTGGGTTCGAAGGGGGTACGCCCGACCCTGCTGTTGTTGAGGAGGAAGACTCGGAGGCGATAGGCGGCGGCTGGAACGAAAACGGTGAATCGTTTCCTCCCTCTGCTCCCTCGGGTCCCCCCTCTGAGTGCTCGTGCTCGACTCCTCCGAAAGCGACTCTTGCGAACGATGCGGGGGCCAACTCTGCGGTTGTTGCTGCTGAGGTCCTTGTTGGTAGAGCGCCCAATCCATCCCTTCCATATCCACCCCCACCCCCATTCCCTGCATGCCCATATCCACCCCCATATCCATTCCCTGCATGCCCATGCCCATGCCCGACAGACTGCCCATGCCCATGCCCATGCCCATAGAATCCACCCCCAAGCCCATAATGCCCATGTCCATTCCCTGCATATCCACCCCCACCCCCATACCCATACCCACCACCTCCATTCCCTGCATGCCCGCCATACCCACCCCGCTCATACCCACCCCGCTCAAATCCAACCCCAGGTCCATACCACCCGCCGCTAGTCCCACCCCCGCCGAACCCACCCCCGGCACCGAACCCGACCCCGAACCCGAACCCGAACCCTGTCGACGCCGACGCCGGAGCGGTCCCTGGCCTGATTCCCGAACCTGGTCGACTGCTGATCCCGGAGGGAACGGGAAATATTGATGTTGTTGACTCCCCACGCTCCCGTTCACGTTCACGTTCGCGTTCCCTGTGAAGTGCGGAGAAGGGTGCTGTTGTGGATGATGTGGATGTGAATGTGGATGGAGAGGATGCGGATGCGGATGCGGATGGAGAGGATGTGGAGGGTGAGGAGAGTGAGAGTGAGAGTGGAGGTGGGAGGGATGTGTGGGCGAGGACTGTGGTGAGTGACGGGAGTTGTGGTTGTGAAGTAGCCCCAGAGCCAGTGGCCGGTCGTTGACCCCCGCCGCCTGAAGTCCCGGGACGGACGAAGGCGGACGTGGCGCCGGAGGTGGATGGCCGTTGCTGTGGTTGAGATTGGTCGGGGAGACCGAATTGGAATGGCGAGGGTTGCTGCTGGTGCTGGTGGAATTCGCCTGGGACTCGAAAGGACTGGGTGTGCTGCCCAAGTTGGGGAGCTGAGGGGGTGTTGTTGTTGTTGTTGATGTCGACGACGCTGGTAGATTGTTGGGCACGAAAGGACTGACGGGAGTCACGAAAGGAATGAGAGTTGACCGCCCGGGAGCGATCAACAGGGTTATGATTATGGTGGGGATGGTGGGAGTAGCCGCCGTTCATATGCGCGTCTCCGTCGCCGTCGACGTCGAAATCGCCGCTGCCCTCGTAGCCGGTACTCGTTCCCGGGCGCTGATGGAGCGGAATCGACATAGACATCGGAATCGAGCCGATGCCTTCTTCCTGCTTGACGATCGTCGTCGACAGGGGCGGAGAGCCGTTATCGGAGCCGGAGGTGTTGTGGTGGTGGATGCCGTCGGAGCCGGCGTTGCCGTTCCCGTTCCCGTTGGCGGCGTTGGCGTTGTTGGCGTTGGCGTTGTTGGCGCCGCGTTTGGTGCGGTGTTGGGTCGCTTTGTTGGCGGCGGCCATGGAGGCGTGGAGGGAGGTGAGCTCGCGCATCATGCGCTCGTTCTGGTCCTGCTTGTCGGAGTGGACGGTCTGGGCGTGTTGCCTGAGGTTGTCGAGCCTGGAGAACTGCTTGCCGCAGTGGCAGGTGAAGGGTCGTTCGCCGGTGTGTTTACTAGAAATGGAGCGAAAAAGAGAGGAAAAAACATGGAGGATGATGACGCGGGCATTGATGATGATGAGCAGACGATCATGAGCGACAGCAATGGAAACGCACCGGATGTGTCTGGCCAGGTGTTCAGACCTGCTAAAGACCATGCGACAATCTGTTCGTAGACAGGCAGGAGATCAGGAACGATGGACGAGAGTAGACAGGACAGGCACGAAGAGACTGACCGCCGTAGCCTCTGCACTGGAAAGTTTTCGCTGGCGCGGGTCGGTAGCGTTTGTTGACGCCGTTGAGGCCATTGTTGGGCGCATTTGCCTGCGTCGGGGACGTCGAAGACGATGAGGAAGGCGGGTGAGGATGATGAGGAAGGACGTCTGTAGCCATTTGAATGTCGGCAGAGCTTGGATGCTCCATGGACTGAGGGCAGGCACACACGGAGGACAGGAAGGGGCAGAACAGCAAGCGAAAAGAAGGGGCGAACCTATAAGGCACCGCTGATCGCCTCTCTCCCACCTAAAGGCACACCCCGGCCACACCCCGGTCCGGCACACGTGCTCTCGCCCCCGCCCTCGCCCCTCTATCCCCGCCCGCTCTATCGCCCTTCCTCCTCCCCCTCTCCCGTTCACTACTTCAACTGCACCCCTCGACGACCTCGCATCATCACCTCCCTCTCGCCCTCCCTCTTCTCCTCCTCCCCTCCCTCCTCTGTCCCTCCTGCGACTCCCCCACCACCTCCTTCCCAATTTCAAAATCAATCTCAGATCCGCGACCCACCGCACGCTATCTCCTCCTCGGTCCCGTACCCGGTGCCGTTCTCCCGGCTCCGTCCGTCCCCCCGCATCTCCTCCAATCCCTCTTTCTCAACCGCACCCCTCCCCTGTGACGAACACACCCGTTCTTTCTTTCTTTCCTTCCCTTCTTCACATGCATATGCATCCAAGGAACCAACACTCTTCCTCTTTTCCCCACCCCTCGCCAGATCCAGGGAAGATTCGTCCATTTTTAAATATCCCTTTTTACCCTAAATTTATTCTTGCATCCACTTCGGCTTTCTCCGTCCTCTTCCTTTCGTGGGTGCAGCGCTTCTCTCTCCTCGGTCAGTGCGCACTGCGATATCGTTTTTCCATCATGACGAGACGACTGGGTCCTCCCAGTTCGCCGTTCGAAAATGCACATCCATCACCGCACGGTAATTCTGGGCCCTTTGCGCTGATGGACTCCATACCCATCGCCGGTGAATTACCGAGCGTCTGCCTCGGCCTGTCTAAGTTGTGAGTTATCTTGCACTCGCCCTTCGTTTCATCTCAGCTGCTGGCGCCGACACTCGCTCTCTATGTCGAGGACAGGACTCTCTTGCGCTCGCGCTTTTGGTCTACGATTTCGGGCGGTCCTTCGATGCGAATCCCATGTCTTTTGTCTGCTATCGTACGAAAGCTCTATCACGAATTTTACTCAGGCTCGAGTTCAGAAGAGACGGCTGGAACGCTCATACTTTGCAACAGTTCGCATGTCATACCCTGTCCTATCCTATCCATCCATCACCTACTCCTTGAACTCAGTATCTTGATTTTGTCGTTTTCTCCGCTGGCTGGTACGTCGTCTCGACTTATCCTCGACCTTGTCTTCGTCTACCCGTATGTCGACATACACATCCATGTCCATGTCCATGTCCATTTCTGTGCCCGTCTCCGTCCTGCTGCCCTTCAACCTTTGATAACCCTCTCTAATAGCACAACTCAATACTCGATACCAATGCTCAACCCACTGACGTCTTGGATCTCGACTGTCCCCGCCTCGCACTCAGACTGTCGAATAATCCAGTTGACGCTCCGATACCGCTCCTCCACGCCGCTGCACACGCATAGGCAGGCGCAAGCTCGAGCTCGCGACGTCAGAGTTTGGGTTGCAGTGCGGGTTCTAGCTGTCACCGTCTGTCAGTGTCAATGTCGAAGACTTAGAAGTGGAGCAACTGTGACCGTTGGCGGTTCTGCGGTTGATTGGATTTACGGTACGGTACAATAGGATGTCGACTTCTCGTGATTAGGGTCATCTACCTACCCACCTACGTACCTCCCTACGTACCCATATCCCATGATAATAATTCAGAAAATACTTTGTCAGAAAAACGGAACAAACTGCCTCTCCACAGGATTATGATACGCTATCGATGTGCCGTCTTTCCTTCCTTCCTTCCTCTACAGACAACGGACGAACGATGAAGCTTGAAGAGAAACTGCCGGTCCACCGTGACATCGACATCGACAGTGTTCTGCGTCGCGCGTCGCGTTGGCATCACGACAACGGCGCGATCGCGACTTCTTCACTTCTTCACTTCTCGAGGATATCGATCTAGCGCTAACAAAATGAAAGGATACTAAGGCGGTGCCGGGGGTTCTGAATGATGGGTGTAACAGTGTTGGGAGTGTTGGGAGTGTTGTGGGGATGTTCGTTGTTCCAGGAGGGGTATGTCATAGACCCGGGGGGGGAGAGATGGACTTGCAGTTGATTTGTTGGTTTGTTGGTAGGTAGGTAGTGTAGTATATTGTATGTAGAGACTTCCAGCCTACTCAACCACCTGATCATCGCGACCGTTCAAACGTCCCTCTCGAGCCCAACTTTCTATCTCGGTTTATTCGCGATCGTCCAATCCAACCACACATCGCGATAATCACAAGATCCGTAGACCCTCGCCTCCTCGCCTCCTCAACATCACACTATGTACACTAATTCGAAATCGCGTCCGTGTCCTTCACGACGCCCGCGTACATACTACTTTAGCACTAGTAAGAATGAGCTTACGCAGCCGGGCGCGAGAAGCCTCTGCGTCTCTACGCCCAGTCACCGACGACGCCGACATATGCATTTATCTCGACAAAAAGGCTGTGTGCGTAGTACATATGTTGTACTGGCAACGTTAGCGTTAACGTGATAGTCACTCGACTGTGCTGAAAAACGAGTGGGTTCATCGATATCGGCGCCTGCGCTCGACCGATTGACTGAGATCCTTTTTTGCACCTTGACGATCTTGACGGTGACGATTCGGACGGACTTCTGCTATGATCATGGCTGTACTTGAAGTTACGAGTTACATATGAGCTGATATGAACCCCCGATACTTAGTGATTGCACAGCGTACTTACTGTGCATAGTGTGAAGAATGGGGAGGACGACGGGAAGAAGGTTTTTACTCGAGTTGAGGGGAAAAGTCTAACGCTTTGTGCACGCAATCTTCAACTTCTCCAGACGGCCGATTTCGATACGAGTGAGCCATAGGCCTCGATATGGCTTTGACCAGGATTGGATTGGTACAGTCGAATCGAGTTGAGTTGTGTCAACTTGGTCAACCAATACGCCACGCTTCCGGGATAAAATAAACAACGGCAGGTTACATACAGCCTGAGGGCAAGCCGTATAATTCTAACCATCTACGCGTGGTCGCAAGCCTCCTCATGCCACTGAGCTTGGCGATCGCACCTCTAGAAACCACTGTCGATTACGATGTGTTAACTGGATCGACAAGACATTTGTATTCACGCTCCAACGTACATGTGCGTATGACTTCTCCGCTGTGAAGGAACTCGGAAGGACGCGCGACGATCGAGGAAAGGTACCCGCTAAGGTACACGAGTCGAATACTTGAACGCTCCTTACAATAGGGAGATTTGGCAACCGGCGCTTGCAGGGTGCCAGAAGGTCGCGGTGGCGCAAAATGGCGGGGATGTGGAGCCAGATCGGGAGCGTCAAGCGTCTTGGGGCGGGTTGCCAAATCTCCCTAATGACCACAGCTCCACAATACGGATGGATGGATGGATGGATGGATGGATGGATGCAATCAGTGTGAATGAACGAACAGTAGAATTTCTTTCGTCGGTCGGTAAAGGAATTAGGGGACGAGCCTTTCGTGTTTCATGCACAATTGTCATTGCCATTGCGTTCCTGCATACACGCACACATGAATTCGAAAGTGAGACGTTCTTTATGCACTGTTCAGTAACAGGTATTGCAGAATTCTTTCATAGCTTCCGTGTACGGCGAATGGGAACGGGACGGGCATGAGAAATCCGACGCTGACGTCGGAGGTCGAAGGTACCGCCCTGAAAGAGTACATTCGGCCTCCGAGACTGCATAGAAATCAGCGTCAGCACTCAAATCCACAGCGAAGGAAAAGTGAAAAGAAAAAAGAATAGTGGAACGCCGCATCGAGACGGGCTGAAATGCCCGACGTAGTTGCTTAGAGGTTAGGTTGAACATCTAACGTATAACGTTGACGTCGGAGGTTGAAGGTACATCCTAGGTACACGATCCACGATCGCGCATACATAACATACACAGGTGCCTTCGGAAGTCCGAACTGCCCTGATCGTGCTTGTTTTCTCCCACCCTACCGGAAAGGCGCATGCGTCATTCGTCTTCCGGCGAATAAGATGAATGAGGAACTGGGGTACTTACTCACTCTGACTGCACCACTCTAACCTTGAAATGCATAGCGGGCTATGCCGGAATCGTTTTCAGCGATCTGCGAGTTTACGGGCTCGAGAGACCGACCGTGGAAGGTGAGGTGGAAGCTGTAGAACAGAACGAGTACATTCGTAAGTATCCGCCATTGGTACACATAACGATGAACGAAGGAACACTTCCAAAGACTCACTCACTCACGTACACACAACTCCGGTGAATAAACTTCTGGGGCACAACAACCACCGCACAGCCAGCGAGCCAGCGAGCGCAGCCCCTGTGCCCGATTCCCAAGCCATTCCAGCATCTCCACGATCTTCGAATCCCGAACTCCAACATCATCCTGATTTACAGGCACACACCACACCAAGCCCACTGCGCACGCGTCGCACGGCGCACGCGGCGAAAAGGCAATATATCACATCCCTCGTGATCGTGGCTCGCACAACTCTCTCGGAAGCGGAGCAATGCGGTGCAGTCGTGCCTTGCGCTTTGGCTTCGAATCAGGATCCATCACAGGGTCAAACGCGTATGTCCATGATCTGCGGATTCTTGCGGTGAGCCAATGAGCCGACTCGGAGGGCGTCGGAGCGTGTTTCGTGTGTTTGGTAGAGGAGGTTATAGTACGCATGGCGAATTCGATTGTCTTGGCCAGCGGGACTATTCGACGGAATGTTGGTGGAAGAAGGAGTGTTGTAAGCCTGTTTTGGCTGGGAGGAAATGGCTGGAAATGGCAGAATGCCGCTCGGGGTGATGTACGTCTGATGCGCATGAGCGATCTCGTGGGCTGTCGGAGTCTGGAGGAGAGTACGAGAGCGATAAGGTGATGAAAAAAATCAGCAGCGAAAGGGAGCTGACCGCTGAATACCGCCGGAGACGAGCACGTACATACCAGTGATCAAAATCCTGCTTTGCAATCGGTTTCTTACCTTCCGATAGTTCTGCTTCGTGGCCCAGCTCATCGCGATCTGCACGGACTTTGCACATATATGGCACGAATGAGCCGGTCAGTAGTGCACCGTGCGAGTCGATACCCACTTATCTTTGATGGCATACTATGCTGACGGATCCGACTGTAAGTCCTTACCCCACACGCGGTGCCTGTGAGAAGCTTGCGTGGAGGAGTACGTTCCATGCCCGAACGTTTTCATGCGCTGGCCAGGGGCTAATACGAGGTCATGCAGCAAAGAGCGTGAACGTGGTGAAACAGCAAAGTTATCCGCACGGCATTCGTGGGTGTCCCAAAGGGAACACCGTTCATCCAGCGTACTCGGCATAGTACGAGATGACCCCCGAAGTTCGTATCGAAAAGACCGCAGAAAGGTTCGTGGGATGCCTTCCAATGGTGGTATGTACGTTAGAGTGAACGGGGAAGTTTGCAGAGGTTTGTAGCGGTGTTCCGCGGCCGCCGATATTGAATCTAAAAGTTGTGAGTTATGCAGAACTTCTGTTTTGAAGACGAGGTACAAGGGTGCTTGACATTAAGTCCGCGAGGCCTTGAGGGAAGGCAAAGTCCGTTCGAGTCATCAGGAACTGTTCATGCTCAGAATCTGGTGGGACACCAATCAGCCGACCAGTCCATTTCCCCGCGAGCGAAACATCAAACACTCACCGTTCGGCGCAAACCTCAACTATTGATGGCCAACGTCATAAACCGTATAATAATGCTTCAACAAGCTTCCTCCAACTAGACCACGATAACTCTCGTCAATAGCAATGATATTCTCTGATAGAAACGCAACTTATCCGCGAACGATCCGACGCTGAGTTCCGAGCTTGGGACGGCAGGGTTGAAAGGCACCCGAGACGGCTGCTAATGTGTGATCGAGGACGGTGGTGAGGATGAGAGCAAGGAATGCCGTATGTTCCTGGTTCGTTGGCGTCAGGTTAGATCTCTGGAGATATGGGGGCGTAGATTTCCTGAGAATGGGGTAAGGTATGTAACGGATGGGTGGTGAGTCAGACGGCGATTGGAGTGTGAAGCACAAATATGAGATGACGTCTCGGACGGGCAGGCCTCACCTCGGCTGCATTGGTCTTGAAGACGGCGTTACTCGTTCCCACTGTAAAAAAAATATGGCTGAGGAAGCGTTGGAGAGCGGAATAGCCTCGCCGTTAGCGGAGATTTCGAATGGAAAGACGGCCCCAACACCGTTCGGGTCAAGGTATAACGACGGATTCATCGAAAGTTCCTGTATGGAAGACAAAGACAAAGAATTAGGGGAGCACAGCAGGAGAAAGGGTACATCGGAATTCACGCCCAACGCACCCTCATATTTTGGATGGTCAATTTCCCCGAGGGTCAGTCCAGCACTGCCATTCGCTGGTGGGGTCAGAAGTATATGGAACAACGCCGAAGAACATGGCTGAAGAACCGGCGGTGAGAATGAGGCACCAATCCGACTTGTGAGAGAGAACCCCACCAGGCAACCCCTGGGCAATCGATCCAACGGAAAGTGCCTGGGTCGAAGTCCTCGATCCTGCCTGCATGCTGTTAGCCTCTGCACTTTCCGACTAATAAGAATAGGTAGCGACCCACCTAGCAAATAGCTATAGAGCCCCAGCTAGAACACGCTCGTCCCTTTCATGAGTCGACAGAACTGAACACTTTCGACCGCAACTTCTCCGACCGCAACAATATCCGCATGATTTCCGAGCTGGAGGACGTATTCCTCTCCAGAGGGAAAATCTACAACGCCGCCTGCACCGACGGTTTCGTTGGGTGTAGGTAGATGAACCGTCGATGAAGGTCGAGCTGGCGGAGGCGTTGGATCGTGTGGCGTTCGGGTTTGGACAACTTTGCGCCACAGTGTGTACCTGGGTGTACCTAGATCGCCACGCACCGTTAGCGCTAGAGCCGGGTGGCGTACACACGAGGGACAGACTTACGAAGCACCCTCTGAATCCGTGTCGAAGGCGGCTTGTCTAAGTTCGGGAGATTCGTCAGTCGCTCTCGAAGAACGAGACACTTTGCGATGGATATGCCGAAGCGTTCTGAGGTGGACTCCCGACTGCGAAAGGGACGGTGAAGGAACGATCAGCATAATCTCATCTCTGTATCATCTTGACGAACATCCTCACCTCTAATATTACCATACCACCGGGAACATGCAGACATATTAGCATAGCGAAGAAAGATAGAAATCAAGGAGAACATACCGCAGATCCGGTCCATTAAGTAGAATGCTCGCTGAGAGGGATGGTGATACGCCTCAGAGTCCCGTTATCGGCCCGTCTCGAAGACGTCTGGGGAGTGTGCCGTATACAACGGTAACGTAAAAGGACAGGGACCTACGTCCACGGGAGTCGTAATCACAGTTCTGACAGTGACGAGACCCAAGTAGCAGCATCGTCGAGCTGCGCCCGACGAAATGGGACGGCTATGTGACAAATGTCTCTGCATTGTGCACTGAACCATGAGACATCGTGGAAAGCACAGGAATCCACTTCAATTCGAGGGTCACTAGGAACAAGCAACGGTAGATTGACCAGGATGCTCAGTGAGCGGCAGCATAAATGAATGGGTAGCAAGGTCGTACGATCGAGGTAAACGTTGACGTCTATGTCGAGCACAACATACTCGTACGTCGTGATCTGCACATGCCTTCGTCTCATCCGCATCAAGATGAACAAAGCTGACAACAGCTTCATCGATGATCAGGATACAAGAACACCCTTGGAATTCACCATATGCGCATAGCAACGACAACGAAAACGACCAGGAGCGACAACGACAACAGATCAAGCACCGATGGCATCGACAGACATCGAACCACCCACTCCCTCAGTCGACGACTGAACGCTCAATCCCTGCGGATTGATCTTGTTCTCGATCTCGAGCATCGCCGTGAACGCCTCGGTTTGTGGGTTGTTGTACGCAGGGGCTATAGGAGATGGTGAAGTGGGTGAAGAACAAGACAAGGACACGTCAGCGATATATACGAGCGTAGTTTGTAATTGGATGGTCTAGGTTGGTAGAGTCTGAGAGGGGTGAGAAGCTCACGCTGCTGGTTATTTGGCCCTTTATTTCCTCGAGGCCCAGGGGCTGTCATGACGAATTTCTGACACTTCTCGATCTGCCATCTCAACGCCTCGTCCTTATCGTTCTCCTTCCTCTTCTCCTTCCCCTCTCCCTGACTCTCCCCCTGGGCGTCAGCAGATGGGGCACCTCCCAGCTTCCCCGGTACGTTCTTCCTAACCCACTCCGCCTCTTTCCTCAACATCTCCCACGCTTCGTCCTCAGTCGGATACGTTGCTTGTTGATGTGTAAGGGAGAAGTAAGGTTGGAAGGCGCGGGTGATCGTTAGCCATTCGGGATCGTAGGAGAATATGGGTGTTGGTTTGGGTTCGGCAGAGGCGGGCGCAAAGGAGGGATGGATGGGGACGTCGACAACCTAGAGTAGAGTGGCGGTGACGGAACGGCCAAACGAAAAGGTCAGCGCCGAATGGGGTAAGATCAAGACATGTAGCAGTCATAAGATCGAGGTATGAAAGAAGTTGAGGTGAGGATTATGAAGACTGACCTCGAGGAATTGACGCCGCGGCAGACATTTGTCTAATGCGAGAAATTTTGTCTGTCGACCTGATCCTTGTTGAAAAGGTGTAGAAGATGATGATGCGGCGGGTGCAGGAGGTGGCGGTGGCGGTTTGTCAACCTCTTCCTCTTCATCGTCAAGCAGAATTTCGTCTGGATTGATAGTCGCTCGGGTCGTTGGTTCTTCGACTTTTGTGTCTGTCGCTTTCTCTGACGAAGGAGCCTTCGCATCTGCCTCTCCAACCTCATCCCCATCATCCTCAATAACGATCTCATCCGGATTCCCCACCTTCACATCCTCCCCGCTCGTTACACCCGTTGCCTGCTCGATCTGCTCCGGCCCCGACTCATGTCTCACCAAAGCCTCGAACTTCACATGCAGGTGCGCAGCGAACCACCATTCGGGCTTCAACGTTCTCAGTAAATCCATGAGCGGCGGAGAGCCGAGTTGGCCTGATTCTATGTCGGCGCGGAAGAAGGCTTTGCGACGGAGGAGGGACGGGAGGTCGCCGAAGTGGGGGATGGACTGGGGCCAGTCGTGGGAGAGGAAGATCGTTGGGGAGGAGAGCTGAATATGCGTGGATTTTAGTTGTGGGTAGCGATATACTTAATCGGAGCGGAAATGTGAGGGAAATATGTACAAGCAAAAGGAGAGGGGGGGTGAGGGTGAGGGTGAGGACGAGGATGAGAGAGAAGGAGATAAGGGAGTACATACGAGTGAGAGTCGTCGGACGTTGTATTCGCGGATGTGGTAGATACTTCGGATTGCTGAGTTATCGTACGGTACTCGTTCATAGTGACCTTTAGAGATTTCAAAACGATGCGCAGAATTTGGTGATGAGAAAAAACAGACGTATATCGATCTGAAAGAAAAGAAACGAACCTTTCCTAAACTCGCGACCGTTGAATATCCCAGAAGCGCCGGCTATCCGGACGCCATTAACCTGAACACACCCTGCGTGGCCCAAGAAGTAGATGTTTGGCGCAAGCCAGCCGCCGTGGTAACTGAAAGAAGCGACGCAACATTTCAGCATCAGTACTAGAAAAATATGGTAGGTGAGTGGCGGCACTCCATACAGTTCCCAGAGGTAGCTTGACGATTCATGGTTTCCCCCAATTATAATGGTCAAAACAGGAGCAACAAGTTCCCCCGTATAATATCTATCGTTCCAGAAATCAAAAACGTGCCAGGTCAGCTCCGCGGGAGGGCCACACGCACATGGCAGTAAGTAGCTCGGACTTGAAAAGGTCTTACTGATAAAACTCTCCAAGCTTTCTGTACTTTGGCGGAACAGCCATGCACATCAGGTCTTGGTGATTGCGAATGGCCTGGAAGTCGCCACAGCAGAGAAGAAGATCGACTTTGTAGCCGTTGCGACGTTCGAGGTTCGCGATCTCTTTGTAGATTGCGCCGAGCTCGCCGTGGCAGCAGCCCTCGACTGCGACCTAGTTGGTCGTGTAAAATTCATGGGCCAAATGAGAGATTCGAAGAAAGGCAACGTGGAATGACGACCGACTTTCATGGTATGGGCAGTTTCTTTGGGTGACTTCCTTTTGAGAGTATTTCTTTTCAGTGTTGAACTTGCCTTTTTGGACCTCTTGCTAGTCAAGGTTCTGAGCTGCAAAGTCGGTATAGGAAGACGACGAAATGACAAAATAGTCGATGATTGCAGTAAAATCATAACCAGGTATTGAACCTACCTGAGGTGGAGATGGTGTGGCGAAGGAAAGAAGGAAAGAACGATGAACGGCCCGCCACGTTTCCGTCTACGGGATTAAAGCTCCGCTCGAAAGTGCTGGCTGTGTGGCGTCATAGCCACCTCGTATCCTCACTTCTTCTTTCTGTGCCCATATTGTACTCTTCTCTTCTATTCAAATGACCCTTAGCTGCCTTTCTCAGAAGCTACTCTGGGAGAGACTTGCTCCTGTGACCGCTATGTTATGTTCTTCCCGACCGTTCAGGCTCGCGTCCAGACCTGTGTGAGATCCTCGTAAGCATGTACATGCAGATGATATCATCTTGTTCAGCGATATATAAGTATGAGGCCGCGATGGATCACACTTCGGCCAGCAAGCCGTCCTCAACTCCCATCAGTATCGCCTGCCCAATCTGTCTGCCCTTGCCGTCTTCTTCCCCGCTCGACATCTACCAAGACTTCGACTAGCCCCTATATCCCTACGATCCCAACGATTCAACATGTCCACCGAACCCGAAGGCCGTCCAGCCAAGATGCAGAAAACCGAAGCCTATAAGCTCTACTACGTACGTCTCGTCAACGTACTCCCTTCGTCCGCTCGCACTGACTCTTCACTTTCTTATCTGGATCGTATTGCCATCCATCCAGTGGCCCTCTATCCCTGGACGCGGTGAATTCATCCGTCTCGTCTTCGAATATGCCGGCTCCTCCTACACCGAACACAATGACCCCGCCTCCCTCATGCCCACCATCGGCGATGCCACCAAAACCGGCGGAATCCCACATTTCGCGGTTCCCGCGCTCGAGCTTCCGAACGGGAAGTTTCTCAGCCAGACGCCGGCAATCTTGAATTACTTGGCGCCGAAGTTGGGGCTGGATGGTTCGAAGGGGTTGAAGGGCGAGGAGAAGGAGGATGTGGAAGAGAGGGAGTTGGTTAGGTCGTGGGTGAATCAGTTGGTGTTGACGGCGCTGGATCTGAATAATGAGGTACGTCTTTTCTCTCCCGCCTCCATATGGAAGACAGCGTGTATATTGCACCAAGGTCGAGATATGTAGCTGATCGAATTTCGTTGATGCATAGGTACACGATGTCCACCACCCAATCGCCAGCTCCCTTTACTATGAAGAGCAAAAAGATGCGGCTCTCGAACGTGCTAAAGATTTCCGCGCGCTTCGTCTACCGAAGTATTTCGCGCATTTCCAGAACGTCCTCGAGAGTAACAAAGGTCAGCTTTTTGTCCATCTCCTCTCAATTTTTCTCTCTATCGGGTAAACTGATGATATGCCTCTACGTGAATGATAACGGCGTCGTCCTTGGTGTATAGCTGGCAAAGGAAAATACCTCGTTTCGGAGAGCACCACTACTGCGGACATCACCCTCTTCCACATTATCACCGGTCTACTCTATGCGTTCCCTAAAAGGACGGAGAAGCTCCGAGCTTCGGGTATGTCGCCTTTCCTTTCTTCTATCGCCCTCCCACCCTTTCATCCGCTGTATCATCGCCCTCCACATTTCCGCACCCTCCCCTTCATCCACCTCGCTATTCTACCAAACCCGAACCCGAAACATCGACTAACTGACTCATTAATTACTCACCTCCAATCCTCTCGCCCATGACAGACGACTACCCCCTCGTCTTCGCCCTCCACGAACGTGTCTCGAACGAGAAGGGAATAAAGGAGTATCTCGCCAGCGAGCGGAGGCTTCCGTTTGGGATGGGGGTGTTCAGGCATTATGAGGAGTTGGATGGGGAGGAATGAGTGGTGTGCGTTGGTAAAATGTTGGCCTCTGTTGGTGAAATGTTGGTGAAAGGTAGGCGGGATGTTGTTGTCGACGAGTGTGGGACTGTAATGTGCTGATCTTCATAGAAATTGAAAAGAATGATGGGAGCTTGGAAGGTTAAATGTTCGTGATAAGTAAACTGTGTTCGCCTCGTTCGAGTCCTTCTCCTCCCCTCAAACGTCACGGGCCTTTTGTCTCACAATAAAATTCATTTCATTCGGGTTACCTCAATGCATGACGAACACATCACGTTGATGAATACTTGTATCCAAACAAAGGTCGGACGAACTTGAACCTAGTGAACCTGGACGACTGCATCGACCGGCATCCGCAGTGGTACAGCCAGTATATCACTAGCCCCCCTCCTCACCGCCATCCATCCACCCACTCCTGTAGCTTCCTCAACATATCCGCCTCTCGGCCATTCCACATCTCCGTTGAGATTCATCGGATATGTTGCATGCTCCACCTTTCCTTCCCAGTCGAAATCAACGAGCATGGCCCCTTCGTCCGTTATCAGGACGTTCACATGTCGTAGATCGCCACGCACCAGGCCAAGTTCACGTAACTCCTTCACGGCCTTCCTCAGATGTGCTTTCACCTGCCCCTTGCAATTGTTGGCCTCCGTCACGCAGTGTCTGGTCCGAACGTATTCCATGACGACGACCCACCGGTCGTCGAGCTCCTCCACCCGTTCACAGAAAAACATCTACGGTGCGAGACCTCGTGTCAATGGAGGGTGGTGCGCCTCTTTCGAGTACGTTCGGGCGATTTTGACGACGACGGTGCGTTCAAGTTCGTCATTCGCCAAGGAGGTCGCTGTCGCCTTGAATATGGGCTTTGAAGCGTGACTTGGTTGTTAGTAACCGGTGTAAGCGAGGTCAAACATTGTGTGACCGATCTTGACTTTCCAAAAGTTAGGGGTGACAAACTGTGGTATGCTCAAGCCTATTCGTCGATGAAGACCGTTAATCGAGCTCAGCGTCGGTTACCTGGAATTTATCCGCGACAAGCTTTAAAAGCTGTGGTATTGGCATGGTGGGAGCACCATCTATTAACGGCTGTAAGAGCTATCAACGAGCGCATTTGAGCTGTCAGATAATTGAGACATACCGTGTATAACGCCCAATCATCGGGTGAGTTTGGGTCACTTTCGAAAAACAGAAAAGAGTGGCGAGAACGAAATTTGGGAGCGACCGGGTGTGGCGACGGCAATCGATAATTGTGTGGCGCTAACCATCAACAAACCACTGTGAGTCGTTGCGGCATACGGTGAGCAGGCGAGCCTCAACCTTATTCTTCACCACGATGGACCACGAATTCGAACCTGTCCTTGACTTTTACTACTACTCCGCAGGGTAAGAGCCAAATCCCGTTTGACCTGTGATGTTATCTAGTAGTGATATACCCAAAATTGATTCCAAATTGACTCTCATGTCGAATTGATACCAAATCTCACATTCACACCAGTCAATCCGTCGAGCTCCATCCTATCTCACGAAGCGATCATTTGTTCCAGGATAGTATGCGAATTCCAATTCCTTGTCTTAGCGTCTGTTCTTTGCTCATTGTCCGGGGTAGTCGAAGACTTCTTTCAGTCCAGATGGCTACACAACGACAAGGAGACGATGCGCGTCGTGAGGATTCTCGAGGTGAGACAAGACGTGGACACCATGCGGTCATATGAGTATTATTGGTACGACTATCATATTGAATTTTTCTCGAGTCGTCTACTACTAATGCTTGTTCAACTTGGGTGTAACGCGACAGGCGGAGATTTACCGGTGAACATGCAAAGGAATCTTTCCAACTCCATGGAACAAACAGACAATGCATGCTGGGTGAAGATGATGACGAAGTGACGCCTTGTGATTCGAGTCTGTGTTATCTTTGTTGCATTCTACGGTACTCTTTTGACGTGGCGCAGAGCGGTACGTTCCTGAACACTCTCCGAATCATAGCGGTGAATACTTACCATGATATTTGCGGACAATAGGGAAGAAGTTTTCGTTCAAGAGGTGTGTACGGTATTTCCGGCAGTCATCCTCACTCTTCCTGAACGTTGCTGAAGATGATAACGCCTCCTTTCGCCGTAGATTCGGCCATGGAATCTATCTTACCCCCGTGTCCTCGAGTAAGTCCTATGCTCTAGAATTCTTCAGTCTTCTGGACATATGTATGTTTAACGAGTGATGATTGGCGACAGAGGCCCACGACTACGTCGACAATCATCTACCACAAGATGCACCCGAAGCCCCAAAAGTCATGATACTGGCCCGCGTAGTCCTGGGCAGACAAATCACCCCAACTGCCAACATGTACTACTTGCAGTCGCCGCCGGAGGGCTACGATTCGGTTCGTACTTACATTCCCTTCGATCCGTGTATCCTCGCTCATACATTTTACTAGGTCATCGGTAGACCTGGAATCCACCCCGATATGAACTACGAAGAAACGGTCGTATACAATAACGATGCGGTTCGGCCAGCGTATCTCATTGTGTACGAGATTGATGCACCGGAGGACGAGGAGTCCCAGTGGCAGAGTGGCGAACCGGATTACGGTGACGGGCAAGTTCAAGAATCGGATACTAGCGATGAGGAGGAGGAAAATGGGGAACAGGACCCCGAAATTCATTATTCAGATGATGGAGAAGTCCAAGAATCTGATCATGGCGAGGAGTTGGAGGTGGAGGTGGATGAAGAACAGGAACCTGGGACGAATTACGATGACGGGCACTTGCAAGACTCATATACCAGCGACAAGGCTGAGACGGAAAATGAGGAAGGACAGGACCCTGAGACTTATTATCCGGATGATGGAGACGTCCAAGGATCCGACCCTGGAGAGGAGGTGGAGGTGGACGAGGACGAGGACGAGGAACAGTATCCTGAGATTCATTATTCAGATGATGGAGAAGTCCAAGAATCCGACCCTGGCGAGGAGATGGATGTGGAAGCAGAGGCGGAGGAGTATGAGGAACAGGACCCTGAGGTGAATTACGACGGGCCAGTACAGGAGCCGGATGCTAGTGACGAAGACAAAGAGGTGACAGACGAAGAGCAGGATTTTACTGTGGATGATGATGCTGATGATATTAGCGACGATGGCGGTGGTGACGACGACTACGACGTCGACGATAACGGTAGTGACGAATGGGATGACTGAGTGTAGGCATTCAGATTGTTGTTGTGCATATCGTTGATTTGTCGTTGTCGACCCCAACATGAAAGATCATCTAAGAAGACAAGAAGATTATAAGACATGATGTTAGTGGGTGGTCATGAAGTGCACTTCCGAAAAAAAAAAACAGAAAAGAGTGGCGGAAAGGAAAGGAGAGTGATTCGGGAACGAACGGGTAGGGTAAGGTAAGTTTATTCGGGGTCTTCCATAATTCAAAATCACATCAAAAGTAAGATCGGCAGAGAGAAGGACGACTCAACAGTATAGGAACAGCCCACCAGTCAAGAAACAGGATATTTTGCATTGCAGACACGGTCTAATACATCATTCATACAAAATCTAACACTTCACACTTTCTAAATCCCAAGTAGTCAAACCTCAGAAGAAGACGCATTCGTCCGACACCTCACCAATTCGTAATCTGCACCTTAATCGCCCCACTCCTCACATCCGCACTCGTCTCAAACGCCTTCACCGCCTCCTCAATCGTAAACCTATGCGTCACCAACCTCCTCACCCGTCCCAAAATCCCCGAATCCACCAGCCTAATCGCCTTTGGCCACGTATTCGCATACCGATACTGGAACTTCAGATCCACCTCCCTAGTCGAAAGCCGCATAAACGGAAACTTCATCTCGTTCTTGCCCACGCCCACGACAAACACACGTCCTCTGAATCGCACCGCATGGATCCCAGCGGCGATGGACGACTCGACGCCTGTGCATTCGAGGACGACGTCAGGCTCGAGTCCGCCCAGTGCGGCAACGAACGCGGCGCCCACTTCTTCCTCCGTCTTGCCACCCCGGGGGACCTGGTATGTTCGCAGGGTACCGGGCAAACCATCCACGAGCTCTTTCGCGAACGCTAACCTCCCCTCATCAATATCCGTAATCAGAATCGGCTCAGCCCCCGCCGCCTTCGCGCACAAGAGCGTAACAAGTCCAATCGGGCCCGCCCCACAAATCACCGCCGCCTCCCCAAGCCTCAGCCCGCTACGATCCACCGCAGCGAGCGCGACAGACAGAGGCTCGAGGAGCGAGCCGTCCTCGTACGACATACTTTCGGGCAGCTTGTGGCACCAGATTGCGGGGTGGGTGATGTAGCGGCGGAGGAGGCCCGGCACCGGGGGCGTGGAGCGGAAGAGGACGGATTCGCAGCCGTTGTAGGCACCCGTTAAGCAGGGGAGGCAGGTGTGGCAGGGGATGTTGGGTTCGATGGCGACTTTGTCGCCGGGTTTGAGGTGCGTGACGGAGGGGTGGACGGCGAGGACCTGGGAGCGGGTGGTTTGTTAGGATTTAGGGAGCTTGGGATGGGGGGAGGATGGATGCTGGACATACCTGGCCGGCGGATTCGTGGCCTAGGATGTGTTTGTCTGTTACGATCATAGGTCCGATACACCCCGCATGCCAGAAATGAACGTCGGAACTATCGTGTTCATTGTCGACTCACTATCAGCTCATGAACACTGCTTTTGAACGGCGTAAAACTAACGTACCCACAAATCCCAGTATTCTTGACCTCAACAACAACCTCCCCATGCTCCAACTTCTTCCCCTCAACGATCTCCTCCACGCTCGGCTCTGCCGCATCGATCCACAGCTTATGTGCCGGATCGGTGAAGACACCGATGTTGGGCTTTAGGTCCGCGGTTAGTGTGGTGGTGGTAGTCGACATCGCTTCCTGACTTGCAAAGACTTATTGCAGATTTTTTGGGTGGTGGTGGTGGTGGGGGCGATGGAGATGTCGACGATGGATGGATAAGAGCTCGAGGTCCTCGCCTGGGAGCATCGAGTCGGCGTTATATATAGGGTAGAGGGTGACAGAGTCCGAGTCCGGTGGACATATGACGAGCCTGGCTGGCCCGACATGCAGTAGAGATGTGGTTTTGTGAGAGTCCGGCACGGGTGCGGGCCGGGAGGCCGTTGGAAAAGCCCCTATTCGTTGTGGCCCACCGTTTGTTGTCGGTCGAGTCTCAACATTTGGAATATTCTGCCCGTGGAGAATAAGGTAAGTGTGTGGAGATCTGGGAGTTTTATTGTGAGTATGAAACGAGCGCAGAAATGAGATTGACGCACGGGAGAGCCACGGTACGGAAATTCTGCGAATTTGAAAACATGGTAGTGACCACCGTCGCCGGCATAAAGTAAGTAGTCGATCTATGCAGAGCTGCCGAAGGACAAACGGCAGTGTGACGTCGTCCGTGAACGATATACGCGCATTGGAAAAGTGTAGAGTAGAGAATATGTGCAGCGAGCGAGACATGATACGGACCCACCGGTGTGTGGTAAGTATGTACTTACTCGTTCTTGATGGTCGAGAGGTCTGGGATCAAGCACAGTACTGGATGTTCGCTGCGAGAGGTAGCTCCAAGTTACGAGGCAGAGCGTGAACAACATGAATTGCGTTGTGGACGTGCAACTTCAACCCTAGAAACGGATCTTCACCAGCCAAGTACAGAAGCACTCATACAACGCTGAACGCCATAGTCGACCAACATACACAAAACACGCGATTGCAACTTGCAGGCAACGAGGACAGGTAGCTTGCAAACCCGCAATAACTGGCGGTGGCGCCCATGCGAATACCCTTGTCATGATTAATGAAGCCAGACCAATGCTAGAAAGGCGAGATCATGTGCGTGTGGCACATGGAGGCCATTATTATGATGGTCGACTTTGAAGTGCCACGCAGATAATAACTCATTCACGCACCTGAGTACGCTCGCGAGAGTATGCGCAGCTACATGCAAGAATATCAGAGAGAAATGGGCGAGTATAGACGAGAGGAATGCGGGCTGAAAGCCACGGCATGCCAAGACTCGTCGACACAGTCACTGCGCAACGAGCAAGCTCCGTATCTCCCAGCACACACGGAAACAAAGCACACAAGCTGGGCGTGTTCGTGTTCGGCGGAGTTGAATAAATTGTAGAGGAACGAAGTTTGTGGGGCTGAACGTGATGAAGAAGGGGCGGGACTGCATCGTCAGGCTGAGGGCCCTCGGATTCATATGTAGACGGACTCACATGTTCCCTGGAAGCAAGGCATTGGGATGCACAAGAGGAGGAGGAAGAAAGGTAGTCGGTAGAACTCACGCGCTGATAGCAACGAGCGGGCATATCCAGAAGAATGTTGCAGGACCCATGCATATGCGGTAACAGGTCCAATCCAAAATCATGAACTTTAGGCCTTTCCGTCTCTTTCCGTCCGCACGAATTTTGGCCCTTTTCGTCCGCATTATGTATGGAACGGACCCCAGAAATTTGGCAACGTTGCCCATCCTCCGAGCGTCGTCTAGTCCGTCGGCGACACTAGCTTGGCCTACACGACCGTCAGTAGAGTAAATCCATGAACATCTCGCTCCTTTCCACCCACGCGCGCGGAATCGCCAACGGACACCACCACCCAACGCAACCCCATCCACCACGCACCCAGTACTGGCCAACCCAGTCGGCCCGTCCATCCCCAGCGCATTCACATCGTAAATTGTGCCTCTGACCGTCAACCCCAGCGACATGCACGAGGTAGAGCGCGAGGAGGTCGACTGGGAGGGCTGCTCGGGGTTTGGCGATCAAGTGATCGGTGGCATAGAGCCAGTAGAGGGAGGTGACCAGCGCGAGGACGGAGAATGAGACGGGCGAGGATGTAAGGAAAGAGAATGCGGAGATGGAGAGACAGACAAAGACTATCGTGCGTCAGAGCGGGATCCTCAAGCTCGCGCTCGTCACGGTGTGACTGGGTCTGGGTGCGGTGCGCGGCTTGGGCGTCGAGAGCTCCGAGTTCAGAGAGAGTGAGGTAGGACGATGGGATGCTCGTCGAAACATCATCTAGACCTCTATAAGATGTCCTTTGCACAAGGACCGCATCGCGCCCGCTGAAATATTAATGTTGCAGTCAATCATGGTCTGAGGCACCGCTATACTTAGTTACATAAACCACGTGCATGTTGACTTCCGGATTGGTGCTTGCCCTTGCCGCGATAGAGGCTCACGCCACTGCAAGTGGCCCAGCACGACTTTCATCCCTCAAACAATGTCTTACATACTTGCGCAGCATTGAAAGTGGCATCCCTCTCAACAGTAATGAGATCGGTCAACGAGAGAAAGGTAAGCTCTCACAAGCGTCTTCTGTAATGGGGAAGTGCACATTTAAATATATTGCATAGTAAACTTAACCAGAACGCCAGTCTACTCTAGTATGTGTACGTTCATGATTATGCAGGGTAGACTTAAGCGCATCAATCATTGGGATATGCGGGCGTATTTCCACGGAATAACTTGCTGAAATATTGACAAATAACCTCACATATTCTATACTTAGTCTGTTGCTGTGCATAACCCTTGAGACCAACACGCGTATATGGCTACCTGTCAAGTTGTGCGCCAACGCACACCTTCCTCCTCGACAGCCATCTCTTCTCATCATACAGCTTGAAGTTCATCCTTCCACATTGCTTGACAGCTCTTACTTGATGGAGAATACTGAAAGGTCCTGCGGTATCTGGAACGAGGCTGTGGACAAGTACAAATCGGAGACGAAAGCCGACTCGTTGCGCTTTGGCTCTTCAAGTTGGGGCACTACCGCCAGCGCAGAGGCTATCCTGACAGCGATTGCAGGGAATTGGAAGGATTTTAAGGACAGTCGGACGAAGAGAAAGTGCCATCTGCTGGATGTAGTGAGGCCTGTCGTGAAGATCGCAGGGAATCGGAAAGATTTTGAGGACAGTCGGGTGAAGAGAAAGTGTCTGATCGATGCATTGAGGCCTGTCGTGGAGGTCGTGCAGCTGATGGCGGAGGTAGCAGGAGAAGGTGCGAGCTTGGTACGTGCGCGGTGTGATGATCGCATGCGAGCGATGAGCTCTTCCTTCCTGATTACCTATGTTGACACTGACTGTTTATGTTGACAATCAGACTTTCGCTCCGGGAAAGACGATATTCGTTGCCATTAGGATATTGCTTAAGGTTTTTTTCCCACTTCCAACATTGTGCCCAGCTAACTGAATATTCTTCAATTATTTTTCTACTATAGGCCTCCAACAAAGTCAGACACAGCTACGACTCGGTGATTGACATCTTTGAGAGCCTCGGCAGCTTCCTCGGCCGCTTGACCTTGTGCCTGGAACCCAATATTTCGAGTCCGATGAAGGAGGTGATCATTAAGATTCTCGCTCGCCTTCTGTCGATCTTGGGAGTGGCGACTAGGCTCATAAGGGAAACCCGTGCGGGTAAGTAAAACAAGGTATCTGATAGAAGCACGCAAAAATAACAGGTGACTTTCGGCAGTCACGTACTTCAAAACTTTGATCGGAAAGAACAGCGAGGTTCAAGCCGCGCTGGAGAAATTGGAGAAGCTAGCTGCTCAGGAAGGTCGAGTGGTTGTAACTGCTACGCTTTCGGCGGCGAGTGAGATACTCTCGGAGCTGGAGACCAGAATGAAAGGTTTGTTTTCTTGTTGTGTGGTTGTCTTACATATGTGATTAACCGCACCGTCCCATACTTTCTAGCCGATCAACAGGACGCGAACGCAATCAAGACCATGCTGATGAAGATCGCTCAGGAAGCCGAGGCGATATCTGGTATGATTAAATCACGCTCCCTGTTTCTGTCATTGATTGCGGATCACACGTGTCGTAGGTAGCTCCCAAGAGAGTCGAATCATGCTCGAAGAAATCCGGGAGCAAATCATGAACAGTACAGAGAAAGTATTTCCATATCTTTGTAAGTATGTCCTATCTACCAAGGGAATTATTTCACGGCTTCTACTTTTTTTGTAGCCAATCGGTATCGTTACAAAGTCCATCAATGGCTGTCAGCACCGTCTCCAGTGTCAAACAACGAGAACAATGGGAGCGTGCGAGAAGCCGGGACCGGATCGTGGTTTCTCCAATCTACGGAGTACAATCATTGGAAGACCAAGAGTAACTCCCTATTATGGGTTTCAGGTGGCCGTAAGTGGTTCGATGGTTCAACAAAGAGCATATGCTGATCGTTATCACCGGTAGCTGGGTCTGGAAAGAGCGTGTTGTCGTGCGTATACCTAACATAGACGACTGACATGATTACTGATGCCACTGCATCCTAGTTCCACCATCATAAGGGACATCGAGTTTGACTCTGAAGTCGACTCGTCTATTTCGCTTGCCTACTTTTACTTCGACTTAAGGCAGCCAGAGAAAGAGCAGTGTCTAGGGCTTATCTCGTCGCTCGTTGATCAGCTTGCTTCACGTTGCTCGGACATGCCTGCCGCTCTGGAGTGGCTCTATGGTATCCATCGGAATGGGATGGAGCAACCGACGCTGCACAATCTAGTCGCAGCCTTGAAGGAGATGATAGTGAACATCGCCTGCAGCGTTTACATCGTTATCGACGCTCTTGATGAATGCTCAGAGCGGAATAATCTCATGGCTCTCATCGAGGAAATCACACAGTGGAACCTTGATAATATACATATGCTGCTCACGAGCCGAAAGGAAGAGGACCTGAATCGTCTCTTGATGCCGCTGTCAGCAGAGGTTACTCTCGAGAGCTCTATCGTGGATAGAGACATTGCATTTCATATTCGTGCCGTCTTGCAGAATGACCGAGACTTTTCGAAGTGGCAGCCACCACAGAAGCTGGAAATTGAAACCAGGGTGACGAGCGGTGCACACGGAATGTGGGTGTTAATTTTGAACGGCATACTTAATTTGATGCTCATAAATCCATGTAGGTTCCGACGGGTATCTTGCCAGTTGGACAGTATTCGAGGATGTCCTAACGCAAGAATGTTGGCAAAATCCCTAGCCACCTCGCCAAGGACCTTGTACAAAACATACGACACGATCCTTAACCGCATCGACGACCAGGATTTTAAGTATGTTCAGACCACACTGCAGTGGCTCGCATTCTCGATGCGCCCGGTCAAGCTGGAGGAGGTTGTGGAAGCACTGGCCGTGGATTTCGACAGCGTCCCTTTACGATTCGCACCGGAGTATCGCTTCCCTGAACCCCGATATATTCTCACTATTTGTTCCAGTTTGGTCACACTTTCCGGAACTGGTGTTCTAGGACTCTCGCATATCTCCGTTAAGGAGTATCTTGACGGTAACATTACCGAACCCAGTATTCAACACTATTCATTCAATGCCCTGATCGCCCACGAATTCATAGCCCAAGCGTGTATTGCATATTTAATGCAGTTCACGCACTCTGTGGACATCGAACGCTTCCCCCTCGCTCTCTATGCAGCAGAGCATTGGATGAACCATGCTGGACCCACTCATAACGATGCCGTGGCCGACCTTGCTTTCGATCTTCTCCAGGCTCACAGCATGGTTTTTGTCAATTGGGTCCGAATTTATGACGTGGATCGCGATTCCAATAACACAGAACTATCACGACCACCCGATGATATTCCTCCTCCCCTCTACTACGCAGCAAGGGCAGGATTCGTCAGAGTATCAAAGAAATTGCTCGAGAATGGGGCCGACGTGAGTGCGCAAGGCGGCGTATACGGGAACGCGCTCCAGGCGGCGTCGGTTGGTGGTCACAGCGCTGTCGTGCAGCAGCTGCTCGAGAACGGGGCCGACGTGAATGCACAGGGTGGCAGATACGGGAATGCGCTCCAGGCAGCATCGGTTGGCGGCCACAACGCTGTCGTGCAGCAGCTGCTCGAGGCAATGAGTACTGACAAGGTGAGAGCTATTTACTGTTGTCAGTCCCATCTATTTAGGTACACTCTTGTACCAAACATTGAGACTAACATACATGATTACGGGTACTCTTTGACGTATGGATCACGACCGATGATAAGAAGAAACCAAACGATGAGCCCGTTTTGGAGCAAGACAGCAAGTTCTTCGATGGCTTCGCCGACTTATGGACCATCTTCGTGGTGACTTGCTCCTCATTGCTCCCCATCAGTCAAGTTCGTATCGTGGTTGAAGAATCTGTCCTTGACCATTTTACGTACTTCCGAGAGCTCCGCGAGGCAGATCAGCGTGCAGATGATGACTTGATGGGTGTCGTCCGGAGAATCATCGAGGAGTGGAAAACCATGGGTGCATTAGTACGTTTCTTTACTTCCATTTACGCCCAAGGATCAGGCAGAGATTAACCATCAGGTTCTACTATTTTACACAGCTATTCGCCTTGGCAGCGTGATTATCTTTTGCACTGACTCGGCGAAATACTTTCTGACTTTTACTTCTCCGTGACAGGCTTGATGCTGCAGTTTTTGGTTTCTCTCGTGATGGTACTATTTTTACCGTGAATGAAGGATCGAAGTATGCGATTGCCATGTCAAGCGTCGCTGCCTGCGTTGGTGGCGTTGTTGATGTATGTTTCCTCATCCGCTATAGTTCATGTGATGCAGCTCTTTTCCAGGTGCGTTTCTAATATTGCTCTCAAATTTTTATATACTCTCCCTGACGTGCATCCAGTCCTACGCTAAAGATGTCTTGAAATCATATCTCTTCTTCTCCCTCTCCTCTCGAATTCCCGCATTTTCAGTCTTGGTAGCTGTAACATCGCTCGCCGTCTTCATGTGCATGGTGGTCTACACTATCGCCCCTACCCTCGTCATTGCTTTTATCATTTTTACTCTCATCATTCGCTTCGGGAATCCTCTCTTTTGGGTACTGTACCAAATTGCGTATGTTGTGAATCTTGCCATGGATTGGGTTTTCGAAAAGTTTGGGGTAATCCGGAGGACTGTTTTGGATAGAATCTCCCAATGGTTCCAGTACATTATGCACCAAATTCGTCCATAGCGAGCTTTCATTGTGCTTCATAAGGCTCCAACAGGTTAATTTATGTGTACCCAAATCGAGTATGTGCGTAGTATATAGGTATCCATATGGCATAAGTATGGTTAGGTTGACGCAAACGGGTGACGGTGCGAACTGAAAACCATTGTAAGTGACACCTGCGACCGGTTGGAAAGAAGGGATGCGTAGAGATGTCGCAGAATCGCTCGTAGCTCGTAGCAGACGATCTGACATCTTCCGTGGACTATATACGAGGATCAAAAAAGTGGAAAGTACAGGATATACTTTGAAGCCCCTATTACGATACATTGTCGTTGTGGTCCACTGAGGTTTTGTTGGCGGTCGAGGGGTAAGTATAAGTATGAAGAGCTACGATGTTTATTGTGATGGTAAGATAAGCGAGGAAAAGAAGTTGACGCAAACGCACCGGAGAGCAGAGTACGGATACGGCCTGGGGTTGAGGATTCTGCGAATTTGAAAACGTCGTAAGTAATCACCGTACCGTCACCGGCACAAAGTAGTCGGTCTTTGCAGACCCAAGGATAGTGCTCTCGACTTCGATATAGCTGTACGGAGAAATGGAGTGGACTTGCTCCGAGTCGGTGACCAGGTTGGAAGTAGGGACGCCTAGATATGTCTGGTACATCGTGGTGCGCCGTTTGTGTTGAGTAGGAGGCTGAGTACCGACATCCAGTCATAAGAAGGTCGGTATATGGGGATCTGAAGGATTCCTCGTGAGGATAAAACGAGCGAAGAAAGGAGGTTGAAGTAGATTCACCAGAAAGCACGGTCCAGAATACGACCTACTATTTTCCCCCTTTGAAAGCTTTCGGTATAAAGTAAGTAGTTGACCTATAGCTGCCGAAATATGAGCGCTGAGCTAGATGGGCATTACTAAGGATCGATTCGTGAGTCCATTGTCTGTGTCAATCGTACCATACGCCGAGATCTGCATATTCCGTCATCTTATCAGCTGGCAACAGTTTCATCAACGGTCAGAAAACAAGGAACCCTTGAGATTAAATAGCCAGTTCAGTTTAGCATCGACGAAGAGAACGACACAGAGCAACAACGACAACGACAGCGGCTCAAGCACCGATACTGAGCATCGACAGACGACAACGAGGTCGAACCACCCACTCCAGGCCCCTCGGTCGACTAGTGAACACTCAGTCACTGAGGATTGATCTTGTTCTCGATCTCGAGCATGAGCATCGCCGTGAATGCCTCGGTTTGTGGGTTATTGTACGCATCCGCTGTAGGGGAAGGATAGTGAAACCAACGAAGAACAAGATGAGTCAACAATATATACGAGCGAAGTGTACATTTGAATCGTCTGGGTTGGGAGTCTGGGAGGGGTGAGAAGCTCACGCTGCTGGTTATTTAGCGCTGCATTCTCTCGAGGCACAATTATGGGCTGCACTGCCATGATGAATTTCGGGCACTTCGCGATCTGCCATCTCGATCCCTCATCCTTGTCATACTCTTTGTTAACTTCTCGATCTCCTCTCCCCGAGTCTCCCCCGACTTGAAGCATCGTGGTTAGGACTTGGAACATCGTGGTCGGGATGTTGATGCAGATTCAGATGCGAGGCACCTGTACGAAGAAATGGAGTGAACTTGCTCCAAGTTAGTGGTCTGTTGAGAAGAAGGGGTGCATAGAGACGTCTCATGCAGACGGTATCTCTGACATTGTGGCCCGCAGTTCGTAGTGGGCTAAGTCAACACTTGGAACATTCTGGTCATAGGTAAGTATAAGTGTACGAAGAGATGGGATGTTTATTGTGAGCATGAAACGAGCGAAGAAAGGAGGTTGATGCAAACGCATCGGAAAAGTACGGTGACCGGCTGGGATAACGCACCATCGCCGGCAAAGAAATAGTCGACTTATGCAGCAGCTACCGAAGGGCAAACAAGCGTTACAGAAGATGGATTTGCGAGCGGTCTGTCGGCCCAACCGTGGTGGTCTCGATGTTGATACAGCTACGGAGAAACAGAGTCGGCCTGCTCCAAGTTCAATTGATGGTCGGCTGGGAAGTAGGGATGCACAGAGACGTCTCGTCGCGGAAGGTATTCCTTGTCATCGTGGCCCACCGTCCGCAGCGGGACAAGTCAACATTCGGAGCGTTCTGGTCGTGTGTATGTGTACTGTATGGAGAGCTGTAATGTTTATTGGGATGACGAGACGAGCGAAGAAACGGAGGTTAGGTAATGTAAACGCACTGGAGCATATGTACGGGTACGGTCTGCGAATTTGACACGTCGTGAGGGATCACCGTCGCCGGACAGTTGGACGCGCAGAGCTCCCGAAGGATGAGCATTTGGAGTAGGGGAGGTTGAGTTGTGAGTGGTCTGTCGGGCCCAAGCGAGGATGGTGTCGATGTTGATTCAGATGCTGGGCGCCTGTACGGAGTAATGAATTGTACAAGTTGATCCGGGTTGAATTAGTGACCGATTGAGAAGAAAGGATGCCTGTGATATGTCTCGTAGGAGATAGTGTGACGTCTTGCGTGAACTGCATACTTACGCGTATTGGAAAAGGACAGAAGGCTCAATATAAAAGGCGAACGAGATATACAGACCTACCGATATGTAGTATGTACTTACTCGGACCTTGATGGTGGCGAAGACGACCGGGATGGCGCATGTCTGGTGCGAGAGGTAACTTCAAGTTCGAATTACGAGGCAGAGCGCGAGCGAATTAACGGCGTGTGTGCCGATTGCGCTACACTGTGGAGGTGAAACTTTGCCGCCAGGATCCTTCGACCAAGTACTCTGAATCGTACAGCACAGTTGAATTATACACAGAACAAATAACTTGGAGGTACTGAAGACAGGAATCTCGCAAGCATGCAGGACATGACGGTGGCCCCAGTACAAATGCCCATGCCATGATTGGCCACGAGAAAAGTAAACAAGCCAGACCAATGCCAGAACAGCGAGATCGTGTGCGTGTTGCCTGATGGTCGACTTTGACATTCCACGCAGAGTTTAATCCTTTCACGCACCTGTGGACGTTGCGCAGCTACAATGTCAAGGTACTATGCGAAAGCACCAGAGAGAATGGGCGAGAGGATAGCGAACAAGCCACGGTCTGCCAAGACGCGTCGACACAGTCACTGCGCAAGTCGCAAGGCCCATATCTCCCAGCGCACACGAAAACAAAGCAGACATGGTCGGAGTTGGATAAATCGTAGAGTGGTCGTGCGCGTCGAAGTGCTGCGGCCGTTCAAAGCAGAAAGCTAGTTTGGCGAAAATCACGAGGGAGAGCGGGCTACGTCACCGGGCACTTGGCGAGAAACGAACGCACGTGGGGACGAACGGCGCGAACGGCTCGAACGGAATTGGAGGACTGAGCAGTAGACACGCTAAGCCTTAGCCTTCACACCACCGTTCCTCATCACAGCCCACGACGAGCGAAGGACTCGGACCGTCGCCGTCGCCGTTCGCGTTGCCCGTGGAGAACAGGAAAACGATCGGGATAACCGGAAGGGGCAAAGAGAGACCTGGGGGAATCCTTATCTCTGCGTCTGTGTTGCTTATCGGTTGAGTGGAAATCAAGTGGATAATATATCGTGGAAGATGTCGCACGGGACGAACTCGTTCGAGTCGCACTCAGCAGCATCGGTCATGACGGAGGACGAAGAGGACTGGGAGGACTACTGCAAGGGCGGCTACCACCCCGTCCACATCGGCGACTCCTTCTCCGACGGCAGGTACCTCGTCGTCAGAAAGCTCGGCTGGGGCCACTTCTCCACCGTCTGGCTCGCAAAAGACTCAAAGTCCGTTCCTTTCCTTCTCCTTCCCATCGTGCCCGCTGATCACCCTCACCCTTTTCATTTTAATTTAAACAGACTCAACCGCCATGTCGCCCTCAAGATCGTCAAGTCCGCCCCGAGATACACAGAAACAGCCCTAGACGAGATCAAGCTCCTCCAACGTCTCATCACATCCACCACTCCCCCCGTCGCACCCACCTCATCCAACCCCCACCCCGCGCCCTCACCCTCACAGACACACCCCGGCAGATCCCACGTCATCTCCTTCCTCGACCACTTCAGACACAAAGGCCCGAACGGCACCCACGTCTGCATGGTCTTCGAGGTCCTCGGCGAGAATTTATTAGGGCTCATCAAGCGCCATCAGCGGAGGGGCGTCCCCCAGACCCTCGTCAAGCAGATCGCGAAGCAGATCTTGCTTGGGCTCGATTATATGCATAGGTGTTGTGGCGTTATTCATACCGGTCAGTCTTTCCTCCCTTCCTTCCTACCCTTTTTTTTCTCTACCATTGCTTTTGCGTTGCTTTGTTCCGGATGAATGTCGGCGTGTGGCGAGTCGTTCGCTCCACACTCGCCACAGAGCCGCTCCCCACTTTCTCAAGGCTTGACGGACACTCGTTCGTGTCCACGAGCTATATTTGCCGCACCCCCTGCCCTTACCCACCTTCTTCCCCTAACGCCGCACGCTGCCAGCCCGTCGTTGACTGGGATTTAAGATCCGGGCCATGGCCATGAGTACGCTTTCCGCGGACTTGGATGTGGGCGTGCATCGGTCACCGGTCAGCGTAGAATGCAGAATGCAGACCGCGTCTTTTGTATCTCCTCCATAATGCACGCTATGTCCTCCCGGCAGTGAAGGAGAAGGAGCCGCTTGCGCTCTAGCTGTCGCTGTCGGTTCGTGGCGTGTGTGGCAGTGGATAGGTCGTTGCGTTTTCATCGTTTGTGCCGTTTTTGATACGGTCTATGCGCTTTTATCGATGTCGACACAGTTGGCTGCGTTTGCGGGTTACGGCACATTCGTGGATTGTGGAGTAACCTGTGGACCGCTGCATCATGCACCATAGCGGGCAACAAAGAAGGAGCCGTTCGCGCTCTCCCCCTGCATGAGTCGACAGTCGATTGTTCGCGCCTTCTCGGTACAGTCCGCCGTTCGCGGCTCGATTGTGTTCGTATGCGCGGAGAAGAGGGCGACGATATCGCCGTCTGCATTTTGCGCGTTAGGCCACATTTGTGAAATAACCTGTGCATCGCTGTATGCATGACGGACAGCGAAGGAAGGGAGAAAGAGCCGTTCGCGCTTAAGCGGCATGAGTCGCATGGGGGCAGTGGATGGGTCGATGTATTTCGTTTCGGTCGTTCGCGTCGTCGAGGGACTGTGTGCGGTTGAAGTAGGATCGTGTTCGTATGCGCTTGCCCGCACTGCCGTTGACAAGATCGCTGCCTCTGTCCGCGTTTGCGTTGGCAAGTCACGCCACATTTACACCAAGTGGGCTGAAATGAGAACTAAACCTGTGGACCGCCGTCTTGTGCATAACGGGCAGCAGGCAGCAGAAGAGAAGGAGCTGTTTGAGCTCTAGCTTTCGGTCCGTAGCATGAGTAGCAGTGAATGGATCGGTGTGCCTTCGTTGTTCAGAAGGAAGGAAGGAACGCGAAGGGGGTGGTTGTATGCGCTTTTGAGGCGTTGATGAAGTCGGCTGCGCGTGGAGTACGCCACAACTAAAAGGATGGACTAAAAGAGCCCCCGCACCCACTCATTTTCATTTCTGCAAACGCGTCGTAGGCGAAATGCACACACGAGAGAACCGATGAACCCGATACCGCTTCAGCTCCACAAAAGAAACTCCCATCTTTCGTCTCTTTTTCCGCGGCGCCACATAAAACTCTCGCTGACCCATCCCCTCCATCCAGACCTCAAACCTGAAAATGTCCTGATCTGCATCGACGACGTCGAATCCATAATCCAAGCCGAACTCGCCTCCGCCGCCCTCCTCGCCTCCTCCTCCACCTCTCCCTCCTCCCCCTCCAACCCCAACCTCTCTTCCGGCGGCCCACACATCTCCGTCCCCGGGGTCATGCACAACGCCCCGACGAAATTAGTGGGCGTCCCGCCGTCGAGGGGAAGAGGAGGGAATCAGACGCCGAGGAGCGAGAGCGTGTTTATTACGGGGAGTCAGCCGCTGCCGAGTCCGAGCTCGAGTTATGGGGCGAGTCCGATGTTGGATAAGTGGGCTTTTGGGATGAGTAAGATTGAGGATGGGGGGTCGGTTAATGGGGGGAGTTCGTTGAAGGCGCAGGTTGAGGACGCGGTGGAGGATGGAGGTCCAGGAGGGGACGAAGGAGGGGGAGGAGGAGGAGGAGGAGAGGGGACGAAGAGGGGATTGAGCGCGGAGATGGATTCGGCGTCGGAGAGGATATCGAAATTGATGAAGGACGAACATGGACATACGAATCACTCACATAACAGCAACGACAAGCACGCACAAGCACAATCGGCGGGCCCGTCATTGCTCTCACAACAGGCCCCACCGCGTAACGGCCAACAACCACCCCAATCACCCCAACCGGCTGAAGTACCGTCAATATCGAGCAGCTCGCGGGGAAAGGCGGGGCTCGTGGACAGTGGCGGTGGGGAGGGCGTTGCTGGAGGAGAAGAGGGAGAAGGAGAGCCGGGGACGGGGACAGCGAGGGCGTCGGTTTCGAGTGCGAGTTCGATGCCGCTGGATGGGACGGAGAGGATTACGGTTAAGATTGCGGATCTGGGGAATGGTGCGTTTCTTCTCTCGCAACGTTATTAACCGTGCCCCATTTGCTGACTTTTTTTTCCCGCTTGTACGATGGACACGAACAGCGACGTGGGTCGAACATCATTTCACGGACGATATCCAGACGAGGCAGTATCGCTGTCCGGAAGTCCTCCTCGGCGCACGGTGGGGCCCAAGTGCGGATATCTGGAGTGTGGCGTGTGTGGTACGTCCCTCTTCGATGGAAATGATCACGTTCAGTCCGCTGACAGAGTCTCGTCTGCTTCATGCTCCCCTTGCCCTCATCGTTGCTTGTGTACCCGACTGGACCCATACACTCACTTGTCTTACCGCAACCCACCACCGCCACGCTAACGACCGACGAACACATCACGCCACAGCTCTTCGAACTCCTCGCCGGCGGCGACTACCTCTTCGACCCCCAGGCCGGCTCGCGGTACAGTAAAGACGAAGACCACATAGCGCAGATCATCGAGCTCATCGGCGAGTTCCCGCAGTCGATGGCGTTCTCGGGGAAGTATTCGTCGAGGTTCTTTAATCGGAAAGGTGCGTCGTTTGGCAGTGCAGAGTCTTGAGATGGGCGTTGATCGCTGGATTGCTTTTCGTTCTTGTTGGTGGTGATGTTGATTTGTTGGTGGTGGTGATGCATGATCGGTGGATCAGGCGAACTCCGCCACATCAACAAACTCCGCTTCTGGCCCCTCCAAGACGTCCTGCACGACAAATACGAATTCTCCACCGAAACCGCCAACACGATCGCATCCTTCCTGAACCCCATGCTCCGTCTGAACCCAGAAAAGCGCGCGGGCGCGGGCGAGCTGACGCACCATCGCTGGCTCGACGGCGTCGTCGTCCAGGGCGAGATCGACGTCATCCGGTGGGCAGAGGAGGACGAGGCGCGGAGGAGGGGCGTCGGGATCGGGGGGGCGAGGGGCGGTGGTGCAGGGGGGAGTGGTGCCAGGGGTGCAGGGGCTGGTGGGGAGGGGGTGAAGGGGGAGCATGGGGAGCCGTTGGCGGTTAGGGAGAGCGATGAGGACGCGTTGAAGCCTGTGGATGATGTGGGCGACGGGGCGACTATTGGGGGCAGTGGGACGGACGACGAGAGGTCGAGCGTGAAGGGGGGACAGCAGCAGGCTCCAGTATTGGGGATGCCGAAGAAGGGGGGTGCTCAGGCGCAGGCGTCTCCCCAGAAGAAGAAGGGAGGCAGTAAGGGGCGTAAAGGTGGTTGATCATGTTTTGGGGGTTCGACGTTCGGGGTTGGGATGGGGACGAGTGGGGGGATGGGGAGTGTACGATGTGATCGTCTAGACGGCTTGTGCTTGTTGTTTCTGTTGTTGTTGTTGCCGTTATGTTGTTGTTGTTGTATCTCATCGTTTCGTTGACTGGTGGTTCTTTTTTTTTCCCTCTCGCACGCCTCTATCCTTGTGTTTTCCACATAACCTTTCGATTCTTGCTTTTCGTCCTTAGTGCGGCGCTCGGAGCCCAATCCAATCCAGTCCATTCCATTCCGGTCCAGTCCGTTTCTGTTAACGTTCGGCGCAGTCCCAAGCGATTTCTTCAGCTTCAGTGAATCTACGCTAATCTTTTCTTTTCTTTTCTCTTCTTTCTGGGCTTCGTTTTCCTTCTTCTTTTCTTTCCCTTCTGTTCATAATCCATATATCGACCGATTCAGACTTCTAACCATACAATTCTTGTGCTGCTAGCGCTGTTTTCCGTTTCGTTTCTTTGCGTTTCGAGCCCGACTTTGTTCTCGCGTCGAACCCATGTTGTCACTTGTGCCTATATGCGTGTCGCAATCATGTTATGTTACAGCCGTTCTCTTTCGTTTGGGTGTGTCTCCACGCAATATGGCAAGGATATAAAAAGGCTTCAAGGTTGTGGTGAGTAAAAAGTACAGATACATACTGCTGCGCAACAGTGCCGGCGTGTATAAGACGGAGTACAGGAAGTAGTAGAACGAAGGAAAGGACGAGGACGGACGGGTAGGTACAGAGCGCATCGAAAGCGAAAGCGAAAGTTAAACATCATGTGTAGAGGGCGAGAACAATTGAAACCAGAGGAGAAGCGAAAAAGAATGGCGTACAGAAACAGATTCAGAAACAAGGCAGATAGGGTATCCAGTTTAGATTGTATTGAACTTGAAGTCATCATGGCGACACTTAGCGATCACAGTAAGTAGGCGGCGGTTAATCCCAGCGGTCGGCAGATAAGGAATGAGGTTAGATATGTGGGTAGTATGGGTAAGTAGGGGTATACAGACGCCCGGCCCCTTTGAGAGGATGAAGAAAGGAAGAGAAAGAACGGAAGAATAAGGATACAACCGGCGTCTACGCACGAATGGATAAGGTAGGAAATCGTGTGAGGGGGCGTTCACTAATGGAACGAACGAAGGATCAAACAAAGAAAAAGAGGTAGTGGTCAAAAGTGAATGACTGCAACGAAAGCCCGGGCCCGAGGAATCCAAAACAGAGAATAACCAAGAAAAAGAGAAAACGAGTGTGAGGAAGAAAAGAGCATGTGTCGTGTCGCGATCCCGTGTATCTTGTATTTACACAGGCGACGTGGCGAGCCCAGCAACATACCAACTGCCACCCGCAGGCCCGCCTGAAATCCCATTCATATATATCTTACAGGCCTGCCCTCCTCCATCAGCCGTGACCGTCCGGTCGATGCCTCCTCCATCCACAATCCAACCCCGGTCGACCGACCAACCGATCCTCCATCTAACTCATCTAACCTGCAAAAAATCCGTCATCCTCGAATCTCCGTCATCATACTCGTCCTGCCCATTTCTCAATCCGAATGGATCGAACGTCCCCGGCCTAGGGGGTGGTCGAGGCGGCCTCACGGGCGGCATCGCATGCGCAAACAATCTATGCCCCGCACCCACTCCGATTCCTGGACTCGGAATTCCTGGATTCGAGAGCTCCGATGGTGGCCTGTAGTTCGCCATTTGCGGGTTAGAAGCGGAGAAGTGTGTACCGTGTTCGTTGTTGGTGTTGTCTGCAACATCAGGGTAGGAGAATCGGGGCGCCTGTTCCAGGTCGGTTCGTGGTCGTCTTATGGAGCTGAAAAAAGGAAGTGACAGCGACGGGAGCCAGACGTGTTTGGGTTTCGCAGAGACTGGCGGAAGTTCGGAGGTGGGTGAAGGTGGCGTTCGTGGGGAGATGTACGACTCCGGTTGAGGTTTGGGTTCGGTCGGACTGTGGAAAGGAGTGTTGGGGGTGGAGTAAAGTTGGTTGGGTGGTGGACCTCCACCGTGGCGGAATGCGCGTTCTTCAGCGGAGTCGCGATTCCTGACGCTGCGGAGGAAAAAGAAGGTACAAAAGGCAACGAGGAGGACGCCAAGGATGGAACCAAGGGTGCAGGCAGCGATGAGGGTGGCTTTGGAGGTAGAATTTGTAGACCTGTTGAGAAAGGAAAGGATCTGCGCTGAGCATGAGGTAAAGAAAAGAAGTCGAGGAGGACCGACGTTGAGCCGCTGACTGGTGGTAGAGGTGACGCGGATATGGATACGGTCCTGAGGGAGTAATATTCAGGCGTGAGTTGAAATGAGGAAATATGACCTGGGCTCACTCAGTCGCCCATGGAGGTGTCACGGTCCCAGAGGATGCAGGTGCTGTTGTCGTCGCAGACGTTACGGTGCCACTGATCACCGCGAACCTCGATCAGCTCCTCGGGAATAAACATAAGAGCAAAGGAAATGCACGCACTTGGGCGACTGCGTGAAAGTAATGTAATCCAAATCCAACCAGTCTCTACCGTCCGCAAGGTGTGCAGTTATGGAAATGAAGTGTTGACCGTCGCTGGGAAAGGTGTAGTCGAAGAGCAGTTGTTGGAAAAGCGTCGTGGTTGCGCCGGCGTCAATGTTTGGGGCCACAACGTCGTCGCATTGAACGGTAAACCTTCCCTACATGGTCGTATAGATTCAGATGTAGAATGAGTTTCCACGTTTGCTAGAGGGCGTGGACAGAAACGCACATGATCAGGACCTTTGGAGCCAACAACGAAGATGGCAGATCCTACAGGAACAGCGACGGCCATCAGCGCTTAACATCTTCGCAACGCGATCAGCGAGCAAACAACAGTAATGACATACCAAAGAATGTGAAGTTCACAATCGCTCCGTCACTCGTCGCAGCGTGATATGTCGACTGGAAGAAAGATGAGAGATTCGGATCGGTCGATGGCTGCGTCTCCCAGTCCGACGAATACAACAAGTCCGCTTCAGAGTCATCAAAGGTGAAGTTCATGGGAAGCTCTCGGAACCCTCTGAGCTTTGCAGAATAAAATAAGGGTTGGCCGTGCGATGGTAATGACAGGAAAGCTCTATGCCTTCAATTGGTGCGAGACATGGACCCAAGGGGAGACAGACTGGGGAGTTGGGGTGGGAGTGGTGTGAGGAGAAAAGAGGAGAGCCTGAGAATTCGCTATCCAAGATGAGACAAGACGGACGACCTGGACCAACATTCATAATGACGAGCTTCCTTTTGATACGAGCGTGGTCACCCTGTAGCAACGGCACCGGCGGATGGGTGCTACGAGTGCGCATCACCCTGCATCACCTTGCATCACCTCGTATGGAGGAATGACGGCGTACTTTTTAGGCACTACCAGTGCCGGTGGCTTCTAGCCATTGGCTGCAGCGTATGTGTCCTTCCCTTCGCTTTGAATTACGCTTTGAAGATACACATACTCAAACGAAAGCACAAGAGACTTCCCTGTTTCAGCTGGGAATATTTGACGGAGATGAACTAGAAGAGGGTGAATGTGACCACATCGAAGACGCTGTGGGAACGACGCGGACGAGCAACATTGCCTTACCTAAAAAGGGGGTAAACAGAGGCCGATTGGTAGCCGTTTTGCCGTAACCATATTGCTCGAAAACAAAGGCGCATCAATGCCGCCACACATCCATTTTGTTACAATTAAGATCGTCAGGACGACCGACCTCAACCGACATGCACCCTTGTTCACAAGTATCAAACACTGGTACCCCGAGAAGGTCAAAGACGTCGAATGAGGATGTTCACCGTAAGCCGCCGGAGCCTGGCATCGCTAGAGTAAGAACCTACCTTCACTGTCAAGTTCGAATGAAGCTCCTGAATTATGGGTTTTTTGAGAATCGATTTTGGCTAAGGACGGCGTTCTGCGTGAAGGAGGGGAAGCTGGAAAATGCTGAAAAAACACAAGCTTGCAAGTTGCGCCACAAAGACATTCGGCAAATGCCGTGCCATTGTACCCCGCCTCGTGGCACTGGCCACACCGTTGCATTTCTCTCCCCGACCACCACGTATACGTAGGTCGGTTTGTTTGCTCGCTTTACACGTCCTATCTCTTCCTATCTCTTCAAATGCGGGGATAGGGGCCCTCATCCCTCGATCTTTCATGGCCGATTCCAAGCACTATCACCACTCCATCTTGGTCTTTTGCTTGAACACTGTCATTGAGTCACATTTTGTATCGAACGTACCAAGCGCAATCAATCCCTAAATCAAGCTGAACATCGTTTTCGACCGCCGTTCATTGCCAGTATATACTTCACGCTCAATTTTGGCTGCTTTCGCCGGCCGAAGGCGGGCTGAATACCTGAGGCTTGAGGTACGCGCTCCGTTCAGAGGGCTTTCAGTCATCACATTCTTCCACATTCCTCTCTTTAGTATCTCTACTCGCAGAATCGATACTGGATGCTGACTCAGCTTTATTGCTCGCTCAACAGGTAATATCTCCTCTTATTCTGGCGCACCCACCGTCCTTTCGGTTTAGGTGTGCGTCAGAGTCATCATGTACGACGAAAAGGGCCTGCAGCATCTCCGTCTACCTCTCTTCATCTCGGCATTGTCATCGATCCCAGCAGATGTCCTTCGTTGGGTAGCGTTGACCAACAAAGTCTTCTGGTAGGTCCTGATACATTAAGATCGCCTATTCGACATAGTATGTGTTCAGACTGACCGTATCCTACTACATAGAAAGCCCTGCGCCGTATGTTTATTTGAGTCTTGGCTTCTCCTCCCGTGTGTGTCTACCCTGTGCGTAAGTTGTGAACATAAGAGTTCAAGCTTGCGTCTACAACACCTGTTGTTTGTGTCATCCGTTTCTTAGGCGTCCAATCTTGGGTATGCTGGCTCAACCACCTCTCCTTTACGCCCAGATGTGTGAGAGATAGGACATTCCTGTACATCCGATACTCTTCGGCATATTTATCTCCATACTCGGTTCTCGTTCGATCATTGATGTCAGCCGATGACTGAAATAAGACGCATTCATGCTTTCTTGGTCTCAGTCCATCAGTGTCTAAGACTGCCTCCTTGCGAAAGGACTTCTCATTGGTTCACTCGGGTGCGTAGTCTGTTTGCTTGAACTTCTAACAAATCCGCGCGGATGGCTCTTTCAATAGGAGTACATAACTTGCACAAAGGCTCTGGTACGTAGTGCTCACTGTGTGTCATGGCCAATCCCAAGCGATGGGATCCCGATGGACCACGGCCATCCGAAGTCTCGAGGATATGTGTCGACTCTATGCAAGTTTCGAACACGTGAACCCCGAATGAGAGACTTCCTGGCTTCCGACCTATCTGAGTACACACAGAAACAATATACTTCCACTTCCGATACTTCCACGTCGAGTAAATCGGCCCTATCGGACTCTCACAGACCCTACCTGAACTGTTTGAGATGTACATTCGTGTCATTTGTTGAGCTCATGGTCCTTTCGGTGTCACTTGTCTATTAGTGTCTATTCTCGAATCTCAGCAGCTCTCGTACTCATGACCATAGGTCGGACTTTCATAATGCCGTTACCCGCTGATACCACGAAGTATTAATGTCGAGCTAGGGCTTTTACTTGCCGTCCTTAGCGTCTCATCCATCCTCAGCCCACATTCCTCCTTGTCTCCAGTACGAACTGACCCAACGACCCATCATCTCCTAGACATCACCCATGTCGACCATTACCGCGAACTCGAAGTCCAACATCGGCGTATACACGGACACGGAACATAACTTATGGGTTGGTGCGGCAGAGCCGAGCGTCGAGGAAATCGTCAATGGAGTCCAACTCGAGCATGGGCAGGCTTTGGTGGAAATGAAGAGCACGGGTATTTGTGGGTATGTGCGCATCTACTCTATTCATAGCCATTCGTGTGGCGTGATACTTGTGGTCCTCTGTGTGGCGCGTACGAAGGAACGTGAACGCTGATGGGCTGACTTTGTTACAGTTCTGACGTCCACTTTTGGCATACCGGACATATTGGACCTATGGTCATCAAGGACAAGCAGATACTTGGTCATGAATCTGCTGGCCAGGTTCGTTCGTTATTCTTTCTATCATCTATATCCACTGAGTCCAGAGTCCTGACTAATACGTATCGTGGACTAGATTGTCGCTGTCCACCCCTCTGTCAAACACCTGAAACCTGGCGACAAAGTCGCCATCGAACCCAATATTCCCTGCCACACGTGCAAACCCTGTCTTTCCGGCGCCTACAATGGCTGCACCAGTATCCGCTTCCCCTCAGCGCCACCCGTCCCCGGTTTCCTTCGTCGCTACTTCACCCACCCCGCCATATGGTGCCACAAACTCCCCGAGACGATGTCCTACGAAGACGGCGCGCTCCTCGAACCCCTCTCCGTCGCACTCGGTGCCGTCGAGCGTGCGGACCTCAGACTCGGAGAGATCGCGGTTGTTTGTGGGGCTGGTCCTATTGGTCTGATGACGCTGCTTTGTGCGAAGGCGGCGGGGGCGGAACCGATTCTTATTACCGATATCGACGAGGGAAGGTTGAAGTTCGCGAAGGAGCTCGTAGAAGGCTTGCCAGGTACAGTGCGCACCTACCAAGTCCCCCGCGATAAAACCGCCGAAGAAGTCGCCGCTGCGTTCGTCGAAGCCCTCGGCGAAGAACCCGACGTCGTCCTCGAATGCACAGGGGTCGAGTCCTCCATTGCTGCTTCGTCTCACGCTGTTCGGTTCCGTGGTCGCGTCTTCGTCGTGGGTGTGGGGAGGAACGAGATGACGTTTCCGTTCATGAAGCTTGCGACGAGGGAGGTAGATTTGAAGTTCCAGCACAGGTATACGAATACGTGGCCGAAGGCGATCAGATTAGTCAATGAGGGGGTGTTAGGTAGGGTTAGGAAGTTGGTTACGCATAGGTTTACTTTGGACGATGCGATGAAGGCCTTTGAGACGAGTGCAGATTACAAGAGCGGGGCGATCAAGGTGCAGATTACGAATCTGTGAGATGGCGGTGGAGGATGTACTTTGGGGGTATGTCGCAAAAGTTGCTCAAAACTTACCAGGCATTTTGACAGACGCTTGGACCTAATGGACCATATTGGACCTAATCAGGACGATGTATGGCCTATGATGCACCGTTAGGTTGCATCACCTCGCTACTTTTGGAGTGATGCAAGGGGGACGGACAAACTAGACCTAGCGTATATTCAGTGAACTTTTAATAAATTCTCAGTTTCCAGTGCGCAGGAAAACATCCGCACCAATAGTATCCATGAGGTAGTGTCTCCATCTCTCGGGTTGAGAGAATGTCGGACACATGAGAACACCACGCTTGAGCTCTTCTACCAGAACAAATTCTGCGTGCGACTCCTCCCTATACACTCTGCAACCCTCCCAGAAAGTCCTTGGCCTCCAACTGGTACGGCGAAAGGCCGTCATGAACGCAACGTCTACGTGATTCGGGCCATTTACCATTCCCGGTAAGTAGCAACGATACAAGCCCCTAAGGCGTGCGCAGTGCGGGAAATCTTGCCCGAAATAATCTTGACAATCTCCTTGACACCGATAATCGTCCATTCAAGTCACTGCAACCATAAAAAAATAGCACAAGTAAGGATCAGAACGTCAAGAGCACAGGATAGCGCGTACCCTATATTTTATGCACCATGATTATCGATTCACGCCACCCGCAAATCAACGCTCTAAGGACCAGTCGTTCCAGCACAAGAAGTCAAAAATCACAAGTGGTATTCATTTAGCCTGCCTCAGTCTGTACGATGGAGAGACGAACAGACTCATGGGCGAGTCAGAACGACCTGCTCGTCGTCGTTCATGACGTGGGCCAACGTGTGGCTTACCGCCGGTGTGGGCCACAGAATGCACGGCGGAGGGACCAGTATTTGGAGCACGCCAAAGCCATTTGCATTGTGAAATCCATATCCAGAAAATAGATAACACATTGGGATGCTCCAAATTATGTATTTAGCGTAGTTCAGTGGGAAATCCATAGTGCTGCTTTGGATTTCGCTTTAGACTCGCCCGAATGAGACACTGAAGAAAGACAATGGTGCCCTGCAAATAATAATTTTTTGCTGAACCTCAGAGCCCTCCGAATCAAGAGACAAAGGCTGGCTTTGGATCCCAATCTCGCGCTAGCCAAAGCTATCATTTAGACCGCTCGATTTGGTGAACCAAAGGCGAACAACTGAGCCCGATATGGTGCTCTCTATAGTTTGGCTTTGAGCACAATCTGCCACGTGGCGCACGCTGATTGGCTGTCAATTCGCAAAATTTCCAAAGTTGGACTATGGAGAGTTCCATACGGGACCCGATTGTTCGCCTTTGGTTCACCAAATCGAGCGGTCTAAATGATAGCTTTGGCTAGCGCGAGATTGGGATCCAAAGCCAGCCTTTGTCTCTTGATTCGGAGGGCTCTGAGGTTCAGCAAAAAATTATTATTTGCAGGGCACCATTGTCTTTCTTCAGTGTCTCATTCGGGCGAGTCTAAAGCGAAATCCAAAGCAGCACTATGGATTTCCCACTGAACTACGCTAAATACATAATTTGGAGCATCCCAATGTGTTATCTATTTTCTGGATATGGATTTCACAATGCAAATGGCTTTGGCGTGCTCCAAATACTGGTCCCCCCGCCGTGATGATCAATGAGGGAGGAGCTTCACACGCCTTCAATGATGTCATCACCCACGCCCACAGACGTGCGTCTTTGTCTTTGACCACCATGTGCATCTCCCTCCTTGTTAAATACGCTGCATGCTATATAGCCCAGCGACATCGTGAAGGTATGAAATATTGTGGAACATTAAAGCATGCAGAAGCTGGGGGTATACAGGAGTAGATACATCGCACAACCGAAGAGGACTGGATCATCACCGCTGCGCCCGTCCCCCAATCTCCAAATCTTCCAGTCTATCTCACCCATCTTCTCTAGGACTGCTCTTATTCAACTTGACCTGACATACCGGTCGGCCAAAGGACGACTTTCGTATGATGTACTCGCGCTGCATCGTACCGTGCTTTACCGATCTTCTCAAACGTACGTCGTTTCTCTTGCTTAACGCCAGGCTACTAATCTGATCATATCTTCTGTGCTTACAGTGCATGTATAGGAGAACATGTTCCAAATCACAGCCTGTCTTCTTGTGTTCACATACACTGGTGAGTATAGTCGTTGTTTTGTGTTTCGAGTACTACAGTATCAGTCTGTTACCAGACTTTGATCTCTCCGTCGAGTAGTACAGAATGATCTCGTCATCCGGAAGGTGCGAAGGTGCCGCTTGTTTTGCGAGATATCTCTCCTGTGATGTCTGCTATTGTATTTTTACTGTCCCTACCTATGTAAATGCCAAATACATTGTTTTGCGGCCAAGCTGAAGTCGAGAGAGCGATCAGATCAGAACACAACGCCTGGAAAGGGCTTTTTAGGCTCTATACTGTACGGTTAGGTCATACAAGGTCCCATAAGGTTATGGACCTTATTGGGCCATATTGCCCTCTTTGCTACCGTATAACGTTCTGCGTCACAAAGAGCCTAATACATCCTTATACGCACTTATACGGCCTGGTATGTTTTGGACGACTTTTGCGACATATTTGGTCATTATGTCTGCATATTTTCTTTTGGTATAGACATGTTGTGTTTATAGACAATAGAATTGTTGATATCTTCTTGTACTCTGACGGAACGCTCGTCCTGAAGTGGGTAGTATTACAGAGCAGTCGTACGACGAGATGAGGTCGCTGCGAGGAGTTTGAATACTCAACTGTATTCAACTGCACGCTGTAAAAAGGTTTCCTATCATCCAGGCTTTCGACCGTGGCGTCAGGCTACAGTATAAAGTGATACATCCAGGAAATTGTGTTCGTTATATTCGTTGTCGTACAGGAGATGAGAAGGAAAGAGCGACGAAAAAGAACAATGAAGATAGCACAGGATAACCAACAATACACGTTACAAGGAAAACAAGCGACCACCCTCTATTATAGCTGCATCAACGAGCGTATGTAGGTGCGTCTGAACGTAATCGATCAGGAACCATTAGGAGTCGATAGGCCATAAACTCACCATCGACAAGCTCGCCAGCTGACTTCCAACTTCCGTCTGCCGTATCATCTTCAGCGCCACCCACGCCGATCCCGCCACAGTTCCCGCCTTCACAACCGTCCTCACCGCCTCCCCAATCCTCTTCCGCCTCAACCAACTCGTCTTGTCCTTCCCTTCGAAGACGTAGTCATTCCACCTGGGCCGCCTGAGCCACCACCAATACTTCGCGAGAGGTCCCGGGAAAGTACTGAAAATCTTGCCTTCCGTCCCGGCGCGGTACCATGAGTCGCATTGCGTCCACACAGAACCTTCGAGACTTGATTGGAGGAGATCATTGTAGGAGTCTGTGGCGTCGGCGGTGACTTCGAAGGAAGAAAGGGAGCCGGAGAGTATGGGTTTCAGGAGTTGGAGAGCGTATTTGACCTGTATCAATGTATGGTCTCGTTACTGCGTCTTGTTAAGAAGAATAACATGGCATACCTGAATCTCTTCGGAGAATATGACGGAGTTGTGGCCGGTCGTCGTGTTGGGTCCTATGGAGATAAGAGATTAGTACGCCCACAACGAATTCTTGAGCGAATGGCTGACCAGACAAAAGAACGAGATTGGGGAAACCGGGGACGGCGGTGCCCATATAGGCTGTCGGACCACCTTTCGAACCGTAGTACTCGTCGACTGTTTGGCGAGTACGTCCTCGTACGGGAAGCGCGTATTTATCCTGCGACAGAGGTCAGAACATTGACGGATAGACCAAAGACGAACACGAAGGGATTCACCGTGATGAAGCCAGTGGCTAAGACGATAACATCAAAAGGCATATGCTCCCCTGGATGTTGTGGTTCATAGTGTGGTTGCAAACACGCAGCTATCAAACGTACCTTTCTTTGTAACAATGCCTTGCTCGGTGATCCTCTCGATACCGTCCCAGTTCATGGAGTTGTTGGGTCGGCGGAGTGACGAGAGATATCCAGCGTCGAGAACCAAGCGTTTACAGCCGGGAACTGCATTTTTGTCAATACGAGTTTGGAAATCGAAGAGGGATAAACATGCCGTAGTCTGGAATGAGATTGTCGTGATACACAGGTGGCACTGTGGCCCGTACATGGCGCGTCATTACCTGGAAAATACAGAATGAGAAAGCAAGTTGTGAAGGCAGCAGTACAGAAGATAGAAGACGGACCCAGGCGAGGTATCTGCTGACGAGAGATTGACGCGTGATTACCGCCTGGATGTCATACTGTAATGATAGTTAGGCTCTTTCAGTCGCCATATTTCGAAAGAACATACGCTTAAATAGACCCAGAACCTATGGAGTTTCATGATAATTGGGAAAGTTGAGAACAGCCATTTGGAGAGGTTAGAGTAAGCTCCTTGTCCGGGCTGTCATCGATGCGGGTGGTCAGTGCCGCGTCCTCATGAACGCCACGAAGGATAGGGAACTCCGACTTACGCGGGCGAGATACCACATGCGTGTTCGACAGAAATTGACAACTTGGACGGAAGGGTCTTCTGAGATCACCGGTATGATTTGCGCACTGGACCCACAACATGAATGGAAGGTGAGGGTGATAATTGTTTAGTAAAACGCAAGGCGGCGGGGGTAGGGAGGTCACTCACGCGGAACATCCGTTCCCTATAACGGCCACCCGTTTTCCCTGCAGGCTGACATCGTGGTTCCACTTTGCCGAGTGGAAAAGCGTTCCTGTGAACATGTCGATCCCTTCAATCCTCGGCACGAACCTCTCGCACAGGATCCCGATGGCAGACACCAAGACCTTCGCCGTAGTGTACCTCCGCTTGTGGGTTCGAACGTCCTCGGTCACGATGAGATAGTGCTTCCTGGAAGGATCCCATTCAGCCGCGACGACGGAGGTATCGAAGACGCAGTGGGGTCGGAGCGAGTGCTTTGAGGTTACATTGAGGAGATACTTTTCGAGTTCTGGTTGGGTGGCGAAGGAGTGGCTCCAATCCGGGTTGAGGTCGGTCGACATGGAATACCAATGTACCCATATATCTGAGGCACAACCCTGCAAAATACTACGTTCAGTGAGCTCAGGCGACGGCAAAACATTTTACTCACAGGATATGTATTGACCTATCATCGAAGGCAGCACGTCAGTGCCGACCCAATCCCAGATCTCGAAACGCTTTGACGCACCCTCCATGTACCACCCACATCTGATTCTCTGTCGAAAATCTGCATAGGTTCTAGCGTCAGGATTGATAGCGAAAGTCAATTTAAACGAAAAACATACTACGAAGTCATTGTAGCCCAGCTTCTCCCTCAGCGCAATGGCCATGGTAAGCCCTCCAACGCTGCGACAAGGCTGCATCAATATCGCTGTATGCAATATCAACGCATCATAGACGTACCCTGCACCGACGATGACAACACCATGCTGCGTCTCAGAGCTGGATGCAGCCTTTGAATCATTTGCGGACGAAGCCATGGATGATGAGGAACTGAGTGGATGTGGGAGAGAAGGGGTGGGGGGTAAAAATACACAGTGGGGCCGAGAGGTACAGAGGGCACGAGGAGAGAAACCCTCCATACAAGGTTTATAAAGTATTTCGGGATCTCGTAAGACTGAAACCGTGCCGTCCACAATCGTGATCTAAAGACGTATGGAAGCGCCTACACCCCGAGAAAATCGAAGGAAGGACGAGGTCGTGGCCGCATTTGCATATGGGAACACTACACGATGTCCCATTTGGCTAAAATACGGACGACCATGTCTCGGAGGTTGGACCCGCTCCTATCCGCTCATGGGCACCGATGAGCACTGACTTGAGTGGGAAAAAACACTCTTAGATCAGTGAAGTCGAAACGTGGTGGGAATGCAGCAGCTTCTGGGCTGTAACGAGACAACCCTCACGTATACAACACGTTATATCAGTCATGGAGTGAGGCGCATTAGTGTCGACTTATCTGTAAATGGTGGTACGTATGTACACATCACTTTATGGAGCAAAGCTGCGCCATGACCGACGAATGTTGCTGACCTTTTAAGTTCGAAAGTGAGTTAGTGGTTTAGGGCCTTGGCCTTGTGACATGTGTTCTAGCTGGCCGTGCCTTTGATATACTTGGTATAACATGGTATAACATGGGCGCTGAGTGGGAGGTAAACGCGTTACCGAAGGCCTGCCTAGAGACACAAAAAGGATGACTAAGAATTTGCGGCGATCATGAAGCAAATTCAGAGCCAGAGAAACGCTAGGTGTGCCCATGCGTAGAGCGCATCATCATTCAACAGCAGAAAAGTAATCACGCGCAAGCAACCGTCAGCTGGGAGGACTCGAAGGAGATCTGAACACGACCTCGATGAGAGCCTCTTCGGGTGCCTCGCGCCCATTCATCTTCCGAATTTGGTAGATTTTCAAAGCGTCACGAGAACACAGAAGCAAGAACCACTTGTGCAGGATGTATAGAATATCCACGATTCGAATCGCATGCCTCGAGGCTACGTACGCTGAGGCACGCCCCATGTCCGAGTTCCGACCTGATTCGTTTGGGAGAAAGGCTCAGAAAGGGTTGATAGATGGGCAGATGGATACGTACATACATCGCACAGTCAGGTTCGGAACCGCTATCACTACCGCCGTCAGTTCGGCCGCAGGAATAAGGACTGAGGCTCTGTGGGGGAGTCGTTGGATCCGCGAGACTACATACCGTTTCCCCAACATAAAAGATCAGACGTTCCAAAAGGTACGGCCTAAACAGACGCTTTTTAGTGAAACCGGCGGATGCTTACCTACCTTCACGCCAGTATGAAGCACAGGATGTCGGGAGTACCGACAGGCAGGGCCCAACCAGGGGTGCACCGACGCTAAGTTGTATGACTATCAGATTTTAGTTGTTTATGTACACATTTGAAGAAAAACCTGACTATCGCTTTGCGATCAACTGTCATGGCACGCTCTGCGGAGAGAGGACTTTGCGAGCCGCACAAGCCGTCCATGGCCGCATCAACGGGAAGAGTGCTTCTAATCGCCTCGATACCCTTGCGAAAGGCGTTCTCCCACCAGCAAGAACCGAGGAGTACGTCAAGGGTGCGCTTGAGGTTCTTTGCATGGCACGATCCCGGAACTACGGGGCAGGAGGCATAAGAGAGTGAACAACGCCTTCTGAGTCATGATGCGTATCTTTACGCCAAGGTAGATGAAGGCACGATAGGAAGAGGCCAGTGATCTGCGTCTTGAGCTGCCATATCGCGAGTGAAGACTAACGGTGAAAAACAGAACCATGGATAGGATAGTACTCCCTGCTCATGCCATCATGTAGCGCATGCGCATGAAGGAGATCATTAACCGCCATGGACGCAAACGGTAAGTTGGGAAAAGAACGGACCGTAAATCCGCGGCCTAACACAAATGTTACCATCTTGTTATCCAGATAATGTTAGTACAAGAAGCCGTAACACTTATGTGGAGTATTAAAGCGTGTTTATAGCGGTCATCATGACCTGAATCAGGCCACTACGTAGTCGTAGAGCAGACTTCTGCCAACCCAGACGATTTGTGTCGTGTTCGACCATTCGAACCGCTCGGAGGGCAACCGCGGTGGCAGAATAGACGATCAAAGTACCAGCTAAGTTCTAGTCCAGCCACCAAAACATTCAATTGACCATCCTAGACCACCAGTTCAGTTAAGGCAGAGGCCATCAGCGACCGACAAACGTCACGCTCAGTGGCGTTTCGACAGTCCTCTGCAAATAGCAAATGCTGAAAAGACTTTTGCAAAAATTCGGTTGCGCAGTCCTTTAGAGGTGATCGTTACTCGTTGAATTGTGTAGTCATATTCAGAGAAAATGCAAAACTGTGAGGGGCATTCACTGCAGAATGGCAAGAACAGCTGTGGCGTCGCGGCCCGGATCTTCTGAGCGTTGTAAGTTGAATGGCCCTCGCAAAACCGACTCGTTTACAAAACGGATTGCACAGGAATGGTAAACACATACGTTCGCGTCGACCTGCGCAATTGAATTTTTGACAAAGATCTTTTTGTACGCGCTATTCTTGAATAAACGGTTTGCGCCACAACATGTGATGTTCGTCGGTCGCTGATGGCCTCTGCCTTACATCGGTGGCCATAGATCTGGATACGGGATCGAAGCCCGGGTCTTTCGACACGGCATCGAGCCAACTGCGGCAAACGAACAGATTGCACGCGAAAGAAGTTATCGTGATGTAGCCGAAGAGCGGGAGATTAGCCCTATGGAAGAAGGGTTCTGATTAGGGCTTGACAAAATTACGATTTCGAAAAATTAGTTTCCATTTCTTGGGAGTGTGCTACGATTACTTACGATTTCGCCGAGGGGCTTGCAAACTCGTGGTGGAAATGACTAGTAACGAGTACGGTCTAGACGCGTAACCGTTTGTAGGCCTTTCTAGCGTAACAAAATGATCCGTAAGCTTTGACCCGCCGGTGCGCCACGTGGACAAGGCGGTGTCCCCAATCCGAATGAGCCCCGCTCAGAACGCTCTTCCTCGCTGTTCCATCGACTCTACGCCCAGCGCTCAAAACTCAACTGTCGTGGCCTCTGGTGCAATGGCGTGACTATCTGCGCCATGTTGAACTTGGCGCTCACTGTACTCCATGAAACGCGCTCTCGCTCACTACGTCTCGAGCGCTAACCTCGTGGCCCTCGCCGCCTCTCGGAATTATTCGCGAAACGACTTACGGTGAACTCACCTTTTACTTAATAGGTGAAATATTAGTAGCCTCGAGCTCTCTTAGCATCGTAACCAGTGGCTCTCTAGATCGCTCTAGTATGGTACAGACCGCTTTGCCGACAGCTCTCGATTCTTTATGCTCTATAAACAACCTAGGTCTCAAACAAGTGTATGGCAGACCTCGTCACATATAAATGCATCTACTTTATGAATGCCGAAACATTTCCCTTTGCGCATCAGCGCGTTTTCTATCTATGGGTGATAGAGCACAGCTTACCCGTTTGTTACGGGTCCTCACTACTGCTGTCTCTGGTCTGCCCGACTCCCTGCTCGAAGGTAGCATTGACGGGCCCCTTCGAGTATATCTTTCGGAATATAAGGTCAATGATGCTCATGAAGGACCATACAAGGCCTTCAATGAGCCATGGGAAAGAGTCTTCCAAGTACCAGAGGCTCAGAAGCTCGGGCTTGTTTGTCGTGGACCTCATGGAATCTCACTTGCTGTCGAGTTCATTAGAGCGTGTTCCAAGGAGAATGGCATTGACGGGGACTTATCCATGGTTCTTCTTCGGGGAGTCGATCTTTTGGAGCTGATACGACGAGTGTAAGCTGAATGCATCACTCTTATTCCACCCCATCATCTTGATACTCACGCATCTTATTATATATATATTGATGGTGTTTCTAGGGCTCCCGACTCTGTTGCCGCTGCTGAATCAGTTGTTGCAACTGAAGAAGCTAACACGAAGAGTTCAGTACCTTCCGAGCAATCTCCACTGGATATTCCGATTCGCAAACGACCGCGAGGACGTCCGAGGAAGCTGAAGCCAGGTAACAGTGGTATGCACTACCTTTTTTGTCACATAAGTGTGCTAGACTACATCTAAAACACATCAATCATTTAGATCAGCCAGTAATCAATCCGGCAAATGTATCTCGCAAGCCTAAGTCAACGAGATCTAAACCCGCTGCTCTGACAGGCAAGAAATATCGGTCGCGACATGACCAGAGCCAGAAGCGTAAAGCAGCAGGTATGCCTCCGATCAAATACATATTTTGTCTAATATTAACCTTGATTTCTGCGGCAGACAAAGCAGAAAGCTCGGAGGACGACACTGACTATGTGGCGCATGCCTCAGACGATGATGCGATGGATGTAGACTCAGGCGAGGAGGCGGACGAAGACGACGACGATGATGATAAAGAAGAATCCCAAGAGCAAGCACTCGAATCTGCTAAGGTTACCCTTTTTGTGACTCAGTTCAATACTTCACGCTAACGTTGAGATCCGAATCTTTCAAAAGCCGGCCGACTCGCAGTTTGCTGATGTTCACATCCCGGATAAGGCACGAGCACGAAAGAAGCGACGAACCGCGAAGGTAGGCCCTCCCCTGTATTCAATGGCTTATGCTCTGCTTCAAGGCTTCGCATCTGATATTCACCGCATCTAGGGATCAGTTCCCGCCGGTCAGACGGCACCGTCCAGTGATGAAGAAGACGGAGGTGAAGTAGCGAAGGTGCAGAAGGTTATTCGGGGCCGAGCACACTCACGTTTCCAGTGGGCGTTGTCGTTCTTCAAACCTGAAGCTGTCCGGACGGATGACGGTAAAGATGTATGGTGGTGGACTTGTTGCTTTTGCGGGTAAGTGTTTGTATTATCTTTGACTTCATCTTACTCGGATTGCACCGTCTGAAACGTATGTCTCTGTCCAGTACCTTTCGCACTACTCCACGTACTCCAGGTTGCACCAATCGAGCTCTTGAGGTGAATAAGGTCACCAACAAGAGCAACTTCATCTCACACATGAAGACTTGCGAGAAGCGACCTGCCAGCGAGACATTTGAAGCCTGGAAAGAGAGGGGTTGCACGGTTCCGACTGCGAGAGATCATATGGAGGTTGTGGCGAGCAGGGCGCAACCCGCGCTCTTAAGTCCGGTTACCCAGCGCGGATTTCGTGAGGTATTCGTGAAGGGTGTGATGGAGGACGATCTACCATTTTCGTTTGGCGAAAATGAAGGTATGAGGACCATGTTCGAATACATCCTGCCACCGGGCATCACTGTACCATCCGGGAAAATGGTTCGACGCGATCTGGATATTCTTGTCGATGCTTTACTGAGATATGTTGATGGTGACATCAAGGTACGTCTTACCTCGATTGCGATGGTACATTCTTTCGTGGCACCCACGCCACATCAAACTTACAGCGGTCCGTATCTATTCTAGGCGCTGAATAGTCTGATTGCGATCATCGTGGACGGGTGGGTTGCGAAGAACTCGGTTTACGCTTTTGCGGGCGTGATTGGTTGCTGGATTGACGATGAATGGGTGTGGCACGAGCATGTACTCGATCTGCTCGCACTTAATGGTGACCACTCTGGCACGTCGTATGGTAAAGCGGTGTTCAAGGCCTTGGAAGCTCGCGGAATCTCCGATAAGCTCAGTACGACTTTCAATCTACCTTTGATACCCACTTGAATTGATTCTGATGAAACATTATTAGTTGCAACCACGAGCGACAACGCCGCGAGCAACGGTGTAATGAACCGCGATATATGCCGACGTATAACCAAGGTGCACGGCCGCAGATTGAATGCGGAGAATATGCAGATTGGATGTGCGGCACATGCCCTCAACCTTTCAGTTCAGTACGCACTTTTATATGTCTTTCATGCCGTCCATTTAGAGTTGGGCGTACAATGTCGGACGTTGATTGTCATGCGTTACTCTTAGAGCATTTCTTCATTCGCTTGGATTTGCGCCGGATCCGGAAACTGAAGACACATTTGAAGAAGCCCGAGATTTTCCACTGGTGTATGATCCCTCGAAGGATGCGGATGTGATCGAGGAGACGGCGAAGCACAGTACAGATCTTCAAGAGGAAAGCCTTCAAGGAGAAATGATGCAGGAAAGTGTTGGCGATGCTGATACTGACGGTTCAGAATCGTCATCTGATGGTGAGGAAGGAAACGGCGGGCCGGAATCGAATCCCATGGACGCTCTCATCTCTAATGTCGCTGCATCCTGTGCGCCACAAAGCTCCGATGGCACCGCGGCAAAGTCGTTGAAGGTCGATCAGAAGAAGGCGAAGAAGAAGGCGAAGAAGTCTGACGAGCCGTTGAACCCATTGCAAAAGGTATGCTTCCTCTTTTCGAGAACTGTTCTGTGCAGTCGAATAACAGTACACCCTATCCTTTACCAGCTCCATAGTGTTGTTGTCGATATTTTACATTCCGAGCCCCGACGCAAGCGATTCCGAGCTCTTACACGCCGTGTGTGCGAGTCGGATGGCAAGAACCTTGTACTGATTCGGGGCATGCCAGTGCGCTGGAATACTACGCATGCAGAGATCGAACGTGGGATAAGGTTAAGTCCAGTAAGCGCTGTTGTGTTGTTCCCGTCTCTGTTGTCGTTGTTGACTTTGGCACCCTCTGGTGTCACCGTATCTTCCAGGCTATAACACAGTGGGTGAACGAGTTGGACAAACATTTATCGGGGAAGAAGGCCACAGTGGCGATTGCAAGGAAGAAACAGCTGGAGCTTACTCTCGACGATTGGGATATGTTGCGTAAAGTGTGTGAGATTCTCCAGGCAAGTTGCAACGTCAAACTTCATGTATCCTACCCTGTTCCGTTGAGCAGACTCTATGAAGCTGCCAAACTTATACACAGCACAATGTCCACCTAGCCTTTCTATGAAGCCACCCTCGACCTCTCACAAGCCGGAATACCCACCCTTCCTCTCGTCATTCCTTTGTACGATACAGTCGAGAAGTCCCTGGAGACACACCTCTCCGCAATCCGGCAAAGCGGCCTCACGGACAGATACAAACTGGGCCCCGCACTCGAAGCTGCTCTGGCAAAGTTGAAAATATACAAGGCCAAAGCACTGACAAGAAGTCATTACCCTCTTCTGGGTGCAGGTGAGTATATCTATATCTGTGCTCAGGTGTATTCGAATGGGGGGTCGGCTTGACGTGACTGATTTCTCCTTGTGCCCGTCCCTGCGACGGGTTTCTCGCAGTCTTACACCCAGGTATCCGAGGTGCTTACTTCGAAGATCCTTCTCGCGGGAATAATCCACCACTTGCGGCGTTATCCCGGACCCTCCTTGAGTACATCTATAGGGTATACGACAAGAAGATCCCCATCTTTTTTGGGCCTGAGCCACCGCCACCGGCCCCTGAGCCATCAGAATCCAAGCCTCGAGGACTGTTTGCGCGCTCGATTCACTCGTCTTCTTCTCAGCCCTCGATTGCGCTACCCTCTCGGTCAACTCGGCGCTCGGGAATGACCTTTCTGGAGAGGATGGCGGACGAGCTTAATGCATTCTATGGTGGAGAATTTCCGGCTGAAGATCATCGCGAGAAACGCAGAACCCGGGTAGCTCCGGCCGGGACGTCTGAGTTCGTACAGCCGGACTGCCGGACGTGCCAGCTCTTCCAGGTGGCGTGAAACGGGCGCGACTGCTCGTATATGTTCTCTCAAGTCCCGTCGTCGTCGTGCAAGTTCATTCAAGCAATGGGACATGTATGTATGCACATGTATATGAGTACAGGGTCGCATATGGCCTAAGGTGCGCTAAATCCAGCTCTATCCCATACATCCTCATCCTCATCTGCTGAGCCGTTCCCCTCCGAGTCCTCCCTATCCGGTCCCTCATAGATGTTCGCCTCGTATACTCTCTCCAGCGGCTCCTCTTGATCACTATCCCCAGCTCCACCCACTTCTTCGTCAATACCGCGCTCATCATCGTCTCCTTCCGCGCCCTCTGCGCCACCCGTCACTGTGCCGCCCTCAGCCACACTGCGCTCATTCTCAGGATCGCCTTCGATCGCCTCATCATCATCGTCGTCCCCCTCTAAGTTACGTCCGCTATCGTCGCTCTCTTCGTCGCCTGCTCCGTCCGCTACTTCTCGGTCTTGTAACAAACTTTCGTCTTCTGACTCCAGGTCAACTTGTACGGTATCCTGCCGGAGGACCACATCACACGCACGGGTACTGCGATGCCCGACACCACCTCCACGGTACCTCATAACCATGTCCCTGTCAACAAAACTATTCGATGTAAGTAATTATCCGACAGAAAACTTGAAGCCTTAAGATACTCACATATTAACATACATAGAGTTCCAGTCATCGCACTCGTCCTCAGAGTCTCCGCCATGGAACCTCGCAAGCGACGGGCTGGTCAAAAGGTCCTCCCCGACACCCCCGTAAGTAAACGCAGGAATCAGGTGAGCACCCCGGATGATATCAGCCGGGTTAATGAATCCGAATGCGTTGGGGTCGTTCTGCGCAAGAAAGCTAACACGAGGTAGCCGCTTAGCTGCCCAACCACAACGGCTGAGGGGCTCGCTGTACCACCGCACCCAAACGAAGTCCATGCGGGTGAACTTTCCAGCGTCACCAGGTGCGTTACGCTGTCGAACGTAGGCGTGGAACACAGTGATGGCCCTTGCATACCAGTACGGATGGGCATCGTCGTCTGTAATGCTGTCTGAGAGGACCATGAGATCACGACGGGTGCGAGGATTAATAGAGTCTTGGGCTCTTCGAATATCGTAGGTTGTGTAGTTGACTCGAATGCGATGGTGACGATATATTTCATTGTCTCGGATCTCGAGCGTAGTCAGTTCTGAATCCGAAAAAATGTGGCCTGACTCAACACCTTGCAGGCGAGCTAAGCAATGCTGGCGTAGTTTGGGAGAGAAGTCCTGATTGAGAAGCATAAGTTGAGACACAAAGGAAGCCAAGCAACTGTGAGATAAATATACCTTGGTAGCAGGATCATTGTGATGATCCCGAAGCCAGACCTTGAGGTTGAAGTGGTCGCGTTCGGAGTCGGCGATATAGTGGTGAGCACGCGGATCGGTTGTGATCTTGTCATCTGAGCGTCGATTGTTATTCCTTCGCCCGTCTTTATTCCTCTGAACTTTGCGTCCAAGTTTCCCAAGGCGTGGATAGACTTCGACAAGTCGTCCGAACATCCGTCTGAGAAACCGGACACGTGCCTCTCGGCGCGCTAGCTGTGGGACAAAGTTGTTCTTGCTGCCCCTTCGGTAAGAGTCCTTAGGTTCTCGGTGTGCGGCTTCGAACTATTGTGGCCGGGAAATCAAGGGACAACACATAAGGTTTGGGTCTCAAGGAGCAGAAGTAGAAAGCCGAAAGTACAAAGAGAACTCTCGTACCCGTTGTGCACTAAATAGTTCATAGGTTCCAATGCGACGAATTGTGCGAGGGTAGTCTGGGAGGCGGTGTAGCTTGTATGTAGAGTCGTTGAAAGGCTTAGGTTTAATTTGGGTGGCACCGGTAGTTGGAACTGTATTCGACAAGTCCTTTTCTGTGTTAGTGGCGGCCTTTTGAGCTTGTCGATGTTCGCGTCTTGCTCGTGCACGGGCCTCTCGGGGAAGCTCAAATGTCTTCCATTCGGCGCAACTCCGCTTCTTGAACAGCCGAACGGATGCCCCTAACTGTGTAGTGATATTTTCCAGGTCGTCTAAGGTAGAGTCGGTGTGCAGGCGCATCTTCGCGAAAGCGAGCCACGAGTTCAGATCAAATAATAAATCAAGAATAACCTTATTGTGCTCGCTGGGAAAGAGACCTTCGAAGACCGGGATAGCGCACTGAGAGAGGCAGATGTAAATTTAGTTCATGTGCTTCATTGACCGCCCTGGTGACATTTAAGGTTACTTATTCATCTCACCTGAAGAAGGTCTTCGAAGTCCCTAGCGGCAAGCTTTTTCATCTCCGAGGCATTTGTGCTGAATTTTCTGATAGTATCGTCTCCAAAGGTAGGGACACGTCGATAACTGAATACTTTTGGTCAGCATGCAAGGTGTAAGCGGCAAGTGAAAGATGAAAGTATGCAAGGTCCAAGTCATTGACGAGCAAGGAGACCCACCGTTCGTTAAGTTCGTCTAAGGCAGTTCCTTTGATAGCAATGAGTAAACGGACCAGGTGAGCAAAGATGGCCCTCCAAACACCGGCCTCAAATTCGTGTAGGAGGTCGACGAGGAGTATAGCAAAAATGTTGAATTCATTGACCAATGCAAGCTTTGAGAAAGCATTCTGTGTGGGTGGCGATCCGAGCGTTAGTGGGTAACAAGCAGCGTTGAACACGGACAATGAACATAAGTACCCGTGTAGGTACTCCTGATCCGCCGAGAACCGTGTCAATTCTTTCAGAGTTGATGCGAACTCCACTCTCGAAGATGAGACGCCGTGCAGTCTCTATGTCAAACCGCCGGTTCTCATCGTCGACGCGAAGATCCTTCTCACGCGTCTTCATATCGGGCTTTGTTCCCATCTTGTGGATGTTGGCTTTTTCGACAAAGCAGGATGGACACGGACATCGCCCAAGGTTCTTGATCGTTGCGATGAGTACCCTGCAGCAAATTCAATTTTGTCAGCTCATGAGAGACGATTCCGTTAAGGGAGAAACAGATAACATGACATACTTCTCTGGATAATCAGCTGTATAGGAGAAAAACCGGGGGAAGATACGACGTCGTCGGCCATCGCCACAATCCACCAAGATTCCGTTTTGGTATGCGTCCATAAACTTCTCGTCAAGGAGTAGGTTCCATATTTCGTGGAACAAGTCTCTTTTGCAGTGGGTGAGAACTTCGGGTCGGGCTTTGTCCCCAAAGATGTGGCGGTATTCGTCTTGAAAGTCGTCGGGAAGCTGTGTGGCAAGCGAGTGTTAGCATAGTCGAATGACGACAGCAGACAGTAGCAACTACATACCGATGGAACATATGCAAGATGATGGCATGCGTGCGCAGATGGTCGAGCTAAGGTGTACTTTGATTGGGCGGCGATCATCATATAGAACGGCCAAAGTGAAGCATCACCAAACTGAGCAAGATGTGTGGCGTCTGACCCGAGTAAGATTGGTGCCACAATGCACTCAAATCCATCGTCAGGGTTGCCGGATAATTGCTGAATGGCAACATGTTCTTCAAGGAGAGCGGGGGAGGTGAAAAGCTCGCCGTAAATGCGCTCCGAAGATGAACCATCCACAGACTCGCAGCGAAGTTCAAATGGCGTTGTATGGAGGGTGGGAGCGATCTCCTTGTTACTATAAACATCGGTAACGATGTCGATGATAGAGCGGTGCATGACTTTATCGACCGTGAGTGTGGGCGCAGCGCTCTCCTGACCGCAATCACCTGGAATGTTGGCCGGCGGAAGACGTATTCGGACGGAAGATGTGGTCCAACTGCAGTCAGCCTCGATGTGTTTGTCAAGGCGCCTAGTCTCATGCTGAGCTCGGAAGGCCTTGACGTCTGTTGCTGGAAAATGCTGCTGGAATGCTGTGAGACGGTCCATCTCGGCATTGGACTTGGTCGAAGATCCCGTCTGCTGCCAGTAGGTCGTCAGAGCAGTTCCAAGGTTAGGAAAAGGCGCAAACGCGGCTCTTTTCTCAGCTTCGACATCCACGACTGTGGGAGCTTCCGCAGCAGCAGCAGAAGAGGTGCTGGCCGACTTGGCGTATCGAGCAAGTGAGGGAGAATCACATAGGCTAGCAAGTGAAGTATCGAGAGTAGGCATAGCGCTCGGCCGGTTGGGATAAATTCTATAGAGCCCGAATTCATCCGGTTCGGTAACAAACGGTGAGCGTGATTGAGGAGGAACGGTACACGGGGGTGATGGTGGAGTTATTGAAGGTGGAGTCGGTGGTGGAGGCAATGGGGCGACTGCTGGGGTGTTGGGATACTGTGACATGCTTTTGATCTGGGTGCCTGGTACGAAGTCCTTCAAACGTTTCGGTACACGGACTGCACGTCCAGATCGAGAGAGCTGAACGGGTACGGTGTCAGGTAATAAGGCAGGTATATCATCAATGAGGGTGGGCGGGTTCTAAAGGTGGTATAGACATTATATTAGTAATAACTCCTACCGTTAGAATAACAGTGGCGGAGACAAACGGGTTGGTCTTCGGAATTTATGACCCTTGGGGACAGTGTCGTCGCACACTGCTTGCAAGAATGTTCAACACCAAATCTCGAATAAAACAGTTACAATGCAACACTTACTTGCACGCTCGCGCTACCTGATGCTTCAGGCTGTTCATCTGCGCGTTGACGTTTTGCTGGTTCGTCCGCCGCCCGAGGTGCAAGTCGTTTTCGTACGCGTCGTGAAGTCTTCTTGCTCTCATAATATTCCTGGTAACCTTGACATTTCTGCTGGTGGTGTTTGAGTGCGTTCGATGTCGAAAAGCTGTTCTTGCTGTTACAGCCAGGGCAGGAGAGGGAGGGCATGGTGGTGGTGAGAACAAAGAATAGGACTCCGTGTCGTGACCCCAATAAATTTTCGGCGAGGATGGGCATCTGCTATACAAGCTCATAAGGTGTCCAAGGTCCCATTCTTTTTATGGGATCAGATATGCCCAAGTAGGAGAGAAACACTTGTGAGCAACACTCGGGCCATATTACACCGGAGGCTAAACCCCTCCAAGTGACGTCACACGTTAGAAGCATGATATTCGAGCATTGTGATATCATTCAAGTTATGAGAGACATGAGCATAACATACACTGATATTGGAGCCAAAAAAATGTGGTCTCGACAACGGTATGGAGTGGGTTCATAAGACCTGCTGTCTAGCTTCGAGTCCCTGCCACTCCTAGCCTCAAAAGAACATGACAAGCCAGATGGATACAGGAAGCATCGCCAAGTGATGGCGCTGAAGATGCCTAGCTGGTCGAGATTGATGCGAGTACGAAGATGTGAATAGGGTCGCCAATTGCGGCGAAACATAGAGAAGCCCAGGCGCCGTTCCCAAGCCATCAGGTCAAGTGGGCAAGAGATGCAAGCATAAGCAGTCATAGGAGCACAAAAAAGAGCACAGTATAACTCATCGATGTGATGGTGTCTAATAAAAGCCAAGAGTTGATTGCTCGAACAGGGTGCATGCAGGAAGGAAGTGACGAATGCAACTTCAATACCTAGAGCCTGACTCTACGAGTGGCGGTTGGATAGCCCCACAGTCGTGTATGAGCCTTCAATCCTGCTTCTCATGCGCTTGAGCTTGGAACAAGGAAATAAATGTGCATCAGTACGAAGGACAAGGCCAAAGAGAAGGTGAGAGGGAGACTTGAAGCTCGAGAATGCTCAACAGCGTTGGACGCCCATCCAAAACCGGGATAAGTAACGCGATCACGTGTCATGAGGACGGAACGCGCGCCGCATTTATCCAGTGATGCCTCGCCACTCTCTTTCCTTCCACTACCATGGCCAGTTCTTCCTCTCGTGTCTCACGCAAGCGGTCGCCCACACCACCCTCGTCATCCTCTGAAGATTCAGAATCCTCCCAGAGTGAAGACTCCTCCCAAGAGTCTGAAGACGAGCAGGAATCAGCTGCAAAGTCGAAGAGGGGCGAAAAGGCGAAAAAAAGAGGCAAGAACGGTAACAGGCGGGGTAGAAAAAAGAGACGATGCGCTGACAATGGGTGCGTGTATACTCAAAATTTTCTATCGCTTCTTCTTCAATATCTGTCTTGTGGCATCTTTGTAGCAATGCAAAGATCCTTGAACGTGCCAAGTGGTTTCGCCGAGGAATCGACCTCTACGCTAATTACCAGGAAGTCTTCAACGTCGGAATGTCGCTGGATGGCCTTCTCGCTACCGATGACGATGTGGACTCAGAGGGGTACCTCGATACGACCAAGGTGATGACTTCACTCTGCGCTGAGTATAACGTGTGCGTACACCTCTCATGATTTTTTTTTTCCATTTCTCTCCACTGAGTATTCGACAGGGAGGACACGGTTATACTGCGAATGCAGAAATCTTACAATTCTATGCTGTCTCACGCCCCCGGACTCAAGAAACGCATCCAGCAGTATATTGATAAAGACGACCTCGATGGGCTGTGGCAGTTGGTCAACGAGGTAAGTATTCTCCTATTGAATTGGGCTTTATATATGTTTGGTTGCTTTCGTCTCGCCTGGAACTGCTGTGTCTGTGAATGAAGGGCCGCATATATGCACCTTTTACTATGGTAAAGGTGCATATATGCGGCTGTATGCTTGCTCAACACATTTTGCGCCACTCTCATTAACCCACCTGTGGGCTGTGGGCCACAGTGGCACCGGCTGGTATCCGAGTTCCCGGACACCACATCCGTGCAGCTCACGCGTGAGCTGCACGGCCTCAGGCTGTTAAACAAACACCTCCGACCGTCAAGCGATCGACTGGCACTGAAGCAACAACACAACACAACAATCTTTTTGACTCACACTTATTATTATAGATTACATCGGCAGCGAACGCTGGCAAGAACGAAGACACTGAAAAAGCCAAGTCCGGAATTGCGAGTTGGATCGCACACGCAAAGTCTATATCAGCCAATAGCACTGCATCAAGTGGATCGATGCCGTTCACCTCGAATGACAAGGCGGACCGAGGCTTTAACGATCTCGAATATGCTCGCTTACTGACTCCACCATCTTTACTCAACGAGTTTGATGCTGATCCTATAAAGTACGTGTCTCCACCTCGATCTTGAAGCTCACTGTTCACGCTGCTCCAGGTTCTCTGAGCGTTACGGTCCGAATGGCGAAGAGGCACTAACGACCGAGGAATATCCTTCGGTGTGCTATGCTCCAGGCTCCTACTCTCCCGGTGACCTCCTCAACGGGTTTTCCCAGTCACCCATCATGGCTTGTGTGAGTACTCTCCTCTTGTACCATAACAGTATGGTGATACCGCCTATAAGTTTGCTCGTACCGTCTTGCTCGGGAAATCAGCGACGTTCAATGGAAGCCGTTCGAAGAACGCGCGGCCGTGTATTGCGGATATCCACGGAATCACGAAACTAACTGCACCATTCATCTCGTACCTCAGCGTTCAGGTATGTCTGCCACTCCTTATCTCATTGTGAACCGTGACATCTACTGAGCATCTGGAATTTTGAGACTCGGATTGCCATCAGCTCGAGGAAGTTCTGCGAGAAAGACGACCTCTTTGATTATCCTGAGATGTACTACGATGTCATAGAGCTCTTCCAGACAAAAGAGCCTGTGATCGAGAGGTGGTCCGGCCCGACTTACGAGTGGTGGAATATGTGAGTGTTGAGCATTAGAGTAATTTACCCTCGACGTACTGATTGCTTCTCCAGAGAAGTCTTCAAGAACAAGGACGGCCGTGTCGTTTCAAGACCAAAGTCGAAGCCTAGTGGAGCTCTGACCATGCGCGAGCGGATTTTGGCTCAAGCAGAGGCAGCAAAATCAGCTACTAGTGAGTTCTTGATTGGCTATAACATGGAACGACACGCTGTACTACTTATCCCTTAGCAGCAATGACGAACCCTACCGCGTCAACAGGCTCAACGACTGACTCTTCGACCCGCGCTGATCCACCCGCCTCATCTAGTACTAGCTCGTCAGGTGCCACACTGCCAATGATTTCCACTTCGGCTAGCGCTACTCGTCTCCAAGTAACATCCGTGTCTTCAAAATCGAACTCTTCTGATGCAGCTGTGCCCATCCTCTCGTCCCAAGTGTCTCAGGTTTCCTGCTCTTCTCGTCCTTCTACGCTCGGTCCACCTTCAACGACTTCTGTTCCTACTTCTACATCTGGTGCTTCGATTTCTTTTCCTTCGTCAACTCGTTCCTCAGCTCCAATAGTGCCATCTTCCTCAGCTTCGTCTTCCTCAGCTCCCTCCTCTTCGGCTCTGGAACCGATGCCGCCTTCGTCAACCTCTGCAACAGCCGTAAATACCTCGGAATCTCGCACTATAAGGCCTCGCACCATACTCTCAGACCGCCATCCTGAGGTCTCTACCACCGTCTCAGATACCAGCTCGATGTCTCTTCGTCGCTCGTCTCCCGAAGTCCTCCCTTCTAGTTTAACCTCACCCTCGCGCACGTCTTCGCCATTAACAAACTCCACCTCAAGCGACAGGGACTCACCTGGACCATCTCGTTCCTCTGTAGGTTTCGTTAGTGGCCGTAATGGTCGGGATGAAGAGGAACATCTGGAAGATGAGAGAGTGCAAAGACGGAAGCCACGGAAGGTAGCCGCGGATGTCAGGGAGGGCGAGGATGAGGACGAGGACAAGGAAGGTCGTGTGAAGAAGCATGGAAAGCGTGCGGATATAGAGGATGTGGAGCGGAGCCCTACAAAGACGAGGAAACGGAAGAGTAGGTCAGATGAGGGTGAAGGGGAAGACGACGACGACAGTGTTCAGGCGGCTTCACAACCAGCGAAGAAGACTAAGAATCAGACGTTGAAGAACTCGAAGGCAGTTAGCTCGAGGCCACGTCCGAAACAGAAGAAGACTTGATGTTCCTTCGTTTACTTCATCATTCTATTTTGTCAATGTGCGCTCTCTTCGTTCGTATCGTGTCTCTTCTTGAGCATGGACCTGTTGTAATCGCTGTGGCCTCTTATCGTGATGTGTTCTTCTGCTCGATCCTTTCTGCCCGGCTCCTATGGTTTCATTTCATGTGCATGCTAGTCTTCCGTCTAAATACAATGTTTGTGGCAGTCACCTCTCCATTTGCACGCTGTATGACCATGGATGCAAATACACGTCACGGCACATTCTATATATGCGTGCACCTGAATACTGTGGCCTGTATGAACCTGCAAGTGAATACATGCTCGAAATGACTTGCAACAAACCTCCAGTCTTACAACAAAAGACCTTTGTTGTATCTTTATGCACTAGGGTTGGGTTACTGGGTATGCTATACGCAACGTTGCGTTCTTGGCGTTGTGGCGATGAGCGCACGCGACAAGAGGAGTGGCGTAGTTGTGTTGTTTCCCACATAGGGCTTGACAAAATTACTTAAGTTATGTTACGGGCCGGTATTGTAACAAAACCGAATCATGTGGAAATCGAGTACACGGAGCTCGAAATGTATCATATTGTAAGATCCGCCCGAATTTAGCATAATCATTTGAAACAAATACTACTCGTAACTATTCGTTCCAAATACCATGTCCGTCAAGATAATCCAACTCTTTTCCGACACCCTCCTTCAGCAAATCCTTTGAGACAACGGCCTTGGCAGCTGTTTCCGACGCCATGGAAGAGCGCAATTCCGTCATCGTTTGGCGGCAATGCGAGAACAAACGCTCAACCGCCACACTAACACCAGGGATCGCCAGAATATCCCGTGCGATGAGCGAGAGAACAGGAAAGTCAACGCTGTGCTTCTGATATCGCCGTCAATGCACGCAACATGATTCATAAAACAGAGCTCAGTAGTTACCTTCCACCACTTGAGTACGTCACACCCATCATCGCGGAAAACTGCAAAGACTTACGGGAACATATAGAATAGCTGTACAAAGATGTATGCACGTGTAAGACCCGCACGGGAACCTCGGGCCCAAACAGGCTACGCTTCATTTCATCCTATAACTCCATCCTTTGTTCTATAACTATAACTGACAAAAGGACACCATTATTACCCTTCTCCCCATCCATTCGTATTCCAAACACATCGCAACAACATCGATATGTCCGCCTTCCACGATCTATCTTCGAAACTGAAGGATGCCCTTGAAGGCGACTCCCATTCGCATCATGAAGAATCTGGAGCTAGTATCAGTGGTACGGATCAGCCTCTGAAGGAAGGGGGAACGTCTGGTGATATGAAGAATGAGGAAAGAGCGCAAAAGAAAGAGGGGTGGTCTGAGCGTGTATGTCCTCCTACTTCCCCTATCGTCATCGTAGCCTTTCAGTCGCCCGGATCATGGACGAAGAACTGACCTGGTCTTGAATTTTTATTGCTTTTGAATGGCCAATTACTACCGTAGATTAAGGACGTGCTTGATGGCGACGACGGGAAGAAGAAGAGGGAGCTGGAAGAAGAGGAAGAGAGATTGAGACTGGCGAAACTTGAGCTAGACAAGAAGGCTGCAATGGAGAAGGTGGACGAGGAGCGTGGATTCATGGGCAAGGTATGCTGTCGCATCGTACATCTGTCTGACTTCCGTCGTGTTGACTATCATGCAATTATGGGTGTACAGGTTCACGATGTATTCGACGGCGGTGCTGAGCGTAAAGCAGAAGAGGAGGCTGCGGCTGCAGAGGTCCAGCAGGCTTACGAGGCCGAGAAACGCGCCCATGAGCATATTGGCGACAAGGTACGTTCGTCTCACCTTGATGTGGTATCATATTCCATGTTATCTACAGTGATATGGACGGATCTAATTATGTACTCAACAGCTCGAAGATGCTATCAAGGAACATAAGAACGAATTCAAAGAGAAACTCGAGGAGATTAGGAATCCGCACCGCGAGAAAGCCGAGAAAGGGGAGATTCAGAAGGAGGATGAGCATAGGACGGAACATAAGGTCAATTCGATTCCTCAACGCTACGCTCATATATCTCCGGTTTTTTACGACAGTAACTATCCCGTCCATCTCTAGATTGAGCAGTTGTGGCACCATGCGCCCGAGGGCGAGAAGAAAGTCCAAGTCGAACACGAGAAGAAGTTCGATTTCACGAAGGTGGACTATCTCATTGAACATGTTATCCATCAGAGACTCAGCTCTAGCTCACCTTTATACCTTAGATCAAGGATGTATTAACCGGTGAAAAGACGGAGGAGAAGAAGAAGACCCAGCGAGGTTGGCTGGAAGAAAAGGTACGGCATATCTTTACGGGGCCCTCTTTCTCATACTACGTTCTGACTATCGTTCCGCTTCTGTGATCCAGATGAACTCGATGGCCGGTGGTGGCCGAAAGGGCGAAGTAAACGAGGATGGCCTCGATAAGAGTGCGTCTCGTGTCTCATTCTACACGTCCTCTTTACAGACTCCCTGCGCGGTGTCCCTGTTTCTTACCCACCATTGACTGTCTTGAATGTAGTGATCGACTTTATTCAAGAACATGCCCTCCATAAAGGCGATCAGTCGGACGAGTCCGCAGCCGAGCAGTTCAAGGATGAACGTATCGCGGATGCGATCAGGGCGTCGTACCAGCAGGTGACGGGGCACCAGCTCCCAATCAAGGACAAGAACTAGGTGACGGGTGCTGGGGACTCGGTGTCAGGAATTGTGGGTAATGCATGCTTGGCGAAGCGGGGACGCGTGAAAGCACGAATGGGCTGTACGAGTTAGAGGAGTGATGTCTACTTGTATGCTTTGGGGAGAACCGGGGGGCGAATACCTATGTGAATGTATGAATACCCAATGAACAGTACCTAGTCCAATCCGAATAGCTTCTTTTTTAGGCCCTCATTGTCGACCTTGCGCCTGGGCCACACTGCTCGAGGACGACATTTTTGGGTGGCGCAGTTAGCTCGGCTGCCAGTCTTTTCCGTTTCGTCCAGCTCAATGTCCAGAAATTCATCACCACTATAGACTCCTACAACCATCATCGTCTCGTGCCATTGTCTCGATTATAGTCCGAATTTGCTACTACTGGAAAATATGCCGCTCGAATGCATGTTGACGGACGTCATAAGCCATATGTAAGACGCCTCGAGCACAACTGCGGTTATGGACAACTTTCAGGCCTCCACCACTCCTACCTGACCTCGATGTCCACCCATACGAACTCTTCATAGTCGACCTTATTATTCCTCAAACGCATCATTGTTTACCATATCCACGCCGAACTCAATAACCACCACCTATGGAGGACAAGTACATTGGCGTGATACTCGCCCTGGCAGGCGCAGTAGCAAACGGTTTCGGGTTCATCATCATTAAAATGGTACGCCAAAACTATGCCTTTTCTTTTCGGTTCTCACTAACCTATTCTGGTACGTCTGTATACAGGGATTGACGAACGCGTCCGAGAGAGATGGGACGTACGCTGCTTCATCTGACGATTACGCGTACCTCAAGAACCCGACATGGTGGGTTGGCACCATCACCCGTGCGTTCGTTTCTGCTTGCTTATTCTGGGGAAGAAAAGTTAAGACGGTCTGGGATGGTTGTGGGTACTGCGTGTCGTTGAATCAGTGGTGTTGGCGGAATGTGAGTTGTTATTTTAGCACGTATGGTTGGGTTAGGTTGACCGTCTCTTGCCCGCCCTCTAGTCGTGAACTTTGCTGCATACGCTTTTGCGCCTCCCATTCTCGTAACGCCGTTAGGATCCCTCAGCGTTATCATCGGGTGAGTGCTAGACGGCGTATGCGCTGGGACGGTGTGACCCAACATCATGTCTTCCCCCCACTCTAAACGAGCGCTTACATCCACGCCGCTCCTCCCAACAGCGCCATCCTCGCTTCATACCTACTCAAAGAAGAGCTCGGTCATCTAGGACGTGTCGGATGTGCACTCTGCCTCCTAGGTGCGCTCACCATCGTCCTACATGCACCCGAAGACAAAGAAATCAACACTGTCGACGAGGTTCTGCGATATGCACTCCAACCAGGTCAGAGACGGTGTTCACCTCTTGGTTCCGCGCTATCGAGGACCCCTATTGACATCGTGTCTGACTGTTCACCCAGGCTTCATGACGTACTGCTTCTCTGTCCTCGTTTTCTCCCTCGTCATGGTCTACGGCGTGGCCCCACGCTACGGTCGGTCCAACCCGCTCATCTATATCTCCATATGTTCCCTCGTTGGCTCTGTATCGATCATGGCCATCAAAGGCTTCGGTATCGCTGTCAAACTCACCTTCGCGGGCAGCAACCAGTTCATATACCCCAGCACGTATGTTTTTGGAGTGACGGTGATAGGGTGTATCGCAGTTCAGATGAACTATTTTAATAAGGCGCTGGATACGTTCTCTGCTAACGTGTAGGTCCTCTTGATCAATTTCCATCTCCGTACTCTCACCGGAGTGACTATTATTGCAGAGTGAACCCGATGTACTCTGTCTGCTTCACGACGGCGACCGTCATCGCCTCCCTTCTTCTTTACCGAGGCTTCAACACCGACGACGTAACCAATATCGCCTCGCTCCTCACAGGCTTCGCAGTAACATTTATTGGGATACACGTTCTCGGACTGTCGCAAAAGCCAGGCAAGGGCACGAAACCGTCGCATGAAGAATATGCGCTCGTAGACCAGGATGCCCGGCATAGTGAGGGAAGTGGTGTGGATGACTTGGAGGCGCGTCGAGATAGCGGAGTATACACTGGGCATGGGGGAACGAGTGTGGATGAGGAGGGTATGGAGGTGACGAATATGGTGGCGCCGGTGAGAAGCTCGAGGGGGTAGCAAGTGCCAGGGTTGACTCAGGAATATCGTTTGTGAAGGGGTTGTTCGTGGCATACCTTGTATGACGAGAGATGATTTCAATCGTGCTCTCAAGCTTTACCTGTGAGTTTCGAATCACGACCTTTGTCAAGATCTTGGACTGACTGAAATCGTATGTGGGCCACAGAACATCATGACACCAATAGTGTAGTTCGTCTCAAATTTAACAGAACCATCGCGGTCGGGCAGCATGGCGTCTTGTACGAATATCATGAGCTGTTACACAAATATCGTGGTTCCGTATGTCCTCATTCCTCCGCTCACCTTTGTAGACGCTTGGAGCATCAAAATGCCACACTGACCCTGGTTCCAAAATCTCCTGAGCGACTATGGTGATATATCTTTCCGTTACGCTCGAAGGGACTACTCTCGCGCATGGATTTAACGAAGCATCTTAGTGCGAAGCTGTTGCGACCTTCGCCGATCTGAACAGTGTCGCAACCTTCCCTCCTACGGGGACGTTCTCCTTCGAGGCCGCACGGGTCAAACTAGAAACGATAGTCTATAACGGCTCGCATTTAAGGATGATATACGAGACGTACCTTTCCTGTGGTTTTGCACTCTTAACCGTCGTTTAACCGCTCCCCTTCTTGTCCGTCTTTCCCTTCCCACCCACCATGCCGCTACTTTTCTTCTTACTCCTCCTCCGAGGCGCTTGACCTTTGAGATGAGCAGGCCAGGGCCATGCCACAGGCTTCAGCCCAGCCGCTGCTTCCCTCTCCATCCTTTCTATCTGCTGAGCAACCGTCTCCAAGTATCCTTCGTTAGCGGGGGTCACTTTGTGGTCGTGAACATCGATGGACCTGTATACGTGTCCTTGACGCATCGGTGGGAACGGAAGAGGGAGGGGTGGAGGAGTTGGAAGGGCTGGGACGAGGGGTAGTGAGCGACGCTGCTTTTGTGGTGTGAGATTTGCCGACGACGTGGGAGGCTTGGGAGTTGATATGCATGGAACGGTGGCAGACGTCGCAGGTCCAAGCGCCTTGTTTCATGATGCGCAAAACGTAGGAGGGGTTAGATGAGCTCGTTGGAGTGTATATTGCTCAGGGGTATGAGCCAGTAGCGACTGGTTTATATACCGGCGGGTTGATGTGGCGAGGCCGGAGGACTACTCCCACGGACGGCGCAACGATGTCACACGTACTGTATTAGATTTAGTGAACTTCTGTAGCTACTAGCGTAGTATTAATAGAGTACATTAGTGCACGCGTAATGGTAAGGTAGGCAGGAGGGTCCAACCACGCCACAGTCATACACTGAACTCAGAGCTTCGCTTTCAACCTGTCCCCGGAGCCGTCATCTCCAGCACGACGAAGGAATCCCATCTTCTGCCAGTAGTCAACCCACCGCCTCACGTCCTCTCCATCCGTAGGTCTCTCCTTTGCCCGCCTCAGGCTCTCCGACCCTTTCTCCGCTTCTACAGACCGCACGATTGGGAGGTTGAAAGCACCTTGGTACGATTTCGTCATGCACATAAGGAAGAAAGAAGGCATTCGGACGGCAGGGTTGGCCTTCTTCATTTCTTTTGTAAGATCTTTCGACGTGCTGGATTCGAGTCGGCGGAACCACTCGGTTCGGGAGACGAGTTCGACATTGAGGAGTCTGGAAAGAGGGTGGAGGATGGAGGTGAATGGGATAGGGTGGCTGTGGACGATGTGGCAGACAGGGACGTTGGAGCCTATGAGGTCGATAATTGTGGATGCAGCAAGAGGCGCGGAGATCCATGCTGTCCACTGCCAAAGTTGTCTTTCGTGAGCAAAATACGCCAATACTTGAAATAGAAAGATGCACGTACTCGATCCTCCATTGGTAGACAACCAAGGTATTGGCTCGACTTTACCATGATAGGGAACCACTCATCCGTCTTCCAGTATCCGTTTATGCTACCGCTGATCTGTCCTATACGGGCTACGGTAGCGCGCAGAGCTGCCTTCTTCATGGCGTCTTTGATGATGCTTTCTACAACCCACTTCGAGCGGCGGTAGCCTTCACCAGAGACCCAAACAGGTGGTGCATCTTCAAGAAAGGTTTCAGGGATTGGTGAAGGGATGTCGAGGTCTGGAGTGCATAGAAGTACAGTGATGAGCGTCGAATTAAACCAAGAGGAGTTAAATTGCGCTCACCTTGGAGTAAAGCGAGCGACGAGCAGAAAAGGAAGTACGGTGGCTGAGATTGTGGCGACCTCAGAGCAATGTTGATGAGGTTCCGAATCCCATCGATCAAGTCCTCGAACTCCGAGAGAGGAGAGCGGAATTCAACACGCCAACCATTCACTATGATTGCAGTGACGGACTTAGAGATCTGTTTGGTATGATGAGCCCCTCAATCAGACCGTGGACGTTGAAATACCGAAAAAGTCAAAGTAAGCACACCTCATCAAACATGTCTCTGGTCAACCCCAAAGTAGCGTGTGAGGTCTTCCCTTCTAGTAAGACCAGCTTCTCACTCTCCGCCAACGAGGGATCCAGGCCCTGCAGGTGAAGCTCGTCCCTCTGCCTCTCCTGGCTAGTCCTCCCGTCGTCGTGATTACGATTCAGAGCGTAGACTTTGCGGACACAATGTCGTCTGAGAAGCTGAGAGAGTAGATTGGCTCCTATGCCGCCGCGGCTACCAACTAGAAGGACGGTGTCGAGTACCGCTGGTGATGGCTGTTGTGGCAAAAGTGGCTGATGGACTGGGAAGTCGGTAGTGTACTTCTCCGCTAGTGCGTTTGCGAAATCCTTGCTGCCGTTAACGCTTGAGGAAGGGGTCGGGGACGACATGCAGTAGAGACTGGCAAGTGATCTTCGGGATACGTAGCGAGCAGAAATGCAATCACATAGGTTGTAAGAGATGCACCTTTATATACTGCATAACCCGAGAACGTGAGTCACAACATTGCCCGAGTAGACTCGACACGGAGGACACAGCTTCCGACTATACATCGCCCTATACATCCTAACTCACTTAACCGTAAGCGTGCGGACCACCTTCGCCCCCGAGGCGCGCCCTATGGTCCTTGTACCGGCGCTAAGGCTGGTTAGACTTCAATGAGCGTTGGATTGGAACGTTGGAACGTCGGAAAGCCGACTGTCCTCGATAGGCAGACATACATACCAACACCATAGTCGGAGTATCACCTGTCATGTGGCATCGGTCTCAGACCCGTCCCGTTCCCAATCAGTCTGAGCATAGGTAGGTCCCACTTTGGAGGCGGAGAGGACCATTGAAACGAATGAAACAGCAGACACAGATCCTCGCCGAGTCGGATGCCTGGAGCGCCAGGAAATACGCTGGCATTGGATTGATACAAAACCTGGCCGCTAGGGGGTTCGTGTTCTTGAAGACATATGTAGAGTTCGCTTATAGTTGGTGGTGTCTAGTAGACACTGTAGAAGCGATATACGGCAGTGCCTGCAAGCTGTGCGGCTGTATCGTCTCGAGGGTCCAAACAGCATCTTGTATAGCATACTTTGAGCTGTGAGTAGCTCTGACTCCCTCTTCCCCTGGTCCGATGCACGACAGAAAAGGGGGATGACGGAGGATAACGGACGGGAAATAATGAGGTCAACGAAGAGCACGAGTAAGTAAGTTAGCAACGACACGTGGTCCTCTTGAGGTGGCACCTGTGTGGCGTTGGAACACGCCTTTGTCTCCCGCCGAAGTAGAAGTACGCAATTTCACAGGTGGGCTTGAAGCTGTCTCGGGCAGTTCATGCGGCTTGAGGAGAAATTTCGATCTAAATACATGTACATATGCCAAACAGACCACAAAGACAAGCCGAGTACCAAAAAGAACAACATATCTGCGGTTTGTTTTGGGTCATCCCGACTCTCCATGAATCTTTCTTTCCTCCTTCCTTCCTTCCTTCCTTCCTTCCAGTTAATAATAGGGCCTATGTACCTTCTTCTTCTTGCCCTTACTCTTGCAATTCCCCGTCTTCGGCTCATCGTCCTTTACATCTTCAAGTTTCCCAGCGTCGATATCCTCGATCGGCGATACTTTCACGATTCCTTCTTCAACATGCCCTTCTTCAACGTCAGTATCAGCTTCTGGACCGTCGGCGTGGCCATGGTGGAATCGCGGGGTGACGTACTGGAGAGTCGAACGAGGGATGAGGGACCTGACCTTCTTAGTTATCGCGGCCGTGTCCGGCAGCGAAGGCGAAGACGAAGAACGAGGTTTGATAACGGGTAGGGGTATACTCTGGCAATTTCCGTAATAGTTGGTCTGACAGGGAAGGGAGGTTTGCGTGTTATTGAAAGAGTAGTTGTGTGTGGTATTGCACGATTGGCAGCGAATGCTTTGAGTCATTTCAATAGGTTCAGCGGCGGAAGCGTTCGATCGAAGTTCCTCTCTAACACGGGCGATCGCAATGATGTCCTGTTTTTCGAGTCTGTCGCCCTCCTCGGGGGTGAGTGGCTCCTTCCGTTCGCACAGACCCGTGTAGCCAGGAAGGAGCCACTCTTCGAAGCGGTAGCGATGACCAAGGACAATCTTGTCGACATCGGAAGCGGACGGGGTGAAGTTCTTGATGGCGAGGTTTCGAATAGATGGAAAGTCCCACTCGGTGGCGAGATGAAGGACAGATGCCCAGGCCGCGGCGCTTTGGGCTGGATCGGAGGTGAACGAACTGGGAGTTGGCAAGTCGCATCAAGGAGCCATGAGAGTTCGTAAGATACAGTTAGGCTGGGTAGCGTTGACGTACGTGCGATACAGGACGTTCAAGAAGGCATCAAACTGGTCCTTCTCGACATCCTTTAAGATGATGGGATCCTTGGGGTCCGTGTGTCCGGCGAGAAATTTCTGAGCGAAGGTCGTGGAGTGAAGCTTGAACAGGAAGCGATGAAGGAAGTATGCGGTTCCTTCGACCTAGCCAAAGCGATGGTGATCAGAGACGGTAGCTGTGTAAAGGAAACCTGGATCCAGTGATAGAGGGCGTACCACGAATGTTACACTACCATCATCAAACCAAAATCGCTCATGCGGCGGGTACTCGGGCGCAGAGATTCCAGCATCATCTTCGCCAGAGCCGGGAGTGGTGAAGCCATCACGAGTAGGAAACTTAGACATGTCTATATCGACGGAGATGACTGAAGAGATAGCGGAGGCGATGTCTTCGAAGTCTGACTCGCTTGAGCCTGAGGGCTAAAGTGTGCAGCGTGTGCTGTCAGAACGGTAGACAAAATCCCGAGATAGGGACAGCTAGAGATGCTTACCATTCGACGAGGAGGACTCAGGCGGAGAGAAATCAGACGAGTCAGGGGAGGATGCCCTGTCGAAGTCGGCAGGCTTTATGTACCAGAGCAGAATTACAGTGGCGGCGTACATGCGTCCTAGGCGTGTCGAGTGTGAGAAACTCACAACCTGGGTACGGCATAGAAAAATATCAGAAGGTCCAATGTCACAGAACTTCGTCTCGATCGCACATTTTGAAGGAGACGCCCAAACCCTGGACCAATGTGAAGCAGCCCTCCTCGCCATTTTGAAAGTAGCACTTTCAGCTCGGAAGTCGCCTTGGGATCGAACACGTCCTCTTCTGCTCGTCCGAGCAAAGGGTCGGACGAAGGGGATTATCCATTGCAAGGCGTACGAGGAAGGTGCTCACCGTGTTCCAAAAGAGAAGCTCAAGAAAGCAGAGAGAAGAGAACAAGAAGGACAGCCGGTTGTCTAACGACATACCTAGCCAGATAGCACTCTGCCTCCCTGGTGGTAGGATGCGGCAATCTCGAGGTACTCATAACAGCGAACGAGCTCTGGGAGCGTTACGCATCAGTTTTCGCTCGCTGAAAAATGTAGGTACGCCAACAATATGCGGCTGTACCAGGCAAACACAATCGTTATGAGCCAACACCAAGCGCTGTTGCATCGGCAAAAAACATCAACAGCAAATGATACAAAATGAAACCAAAGAAAAGTTGACAACAGATACGAAACCGATGGGTGCGAAAGCGAGGAAGAACACGGGGTAAAAATGGCTCGAAGAGATCTTTCATATGAGCCGATAGGGGAAATAGATGTACAACAGACAGATGAATGAATGGCAGACGAGAGTAACCGAGAAGGCTATCATGCGAAAGACATTCACTGCGGGAGAGAAGAAGAACACAGATAGAAATACATGCATCCAGCGCGATGCGATCAAAGGCTTTGGTTAGTTGGAGTTTGCGGGCTTCAAACACGGCGGCTTATGCCAGCCTCACGAGAACTTGATGTGGTGCGAGCGGTGGCGGGTAGAGGCCCGAGAGGTGGCTGGTCCGGCTCGCGCTGTATACGTGGATCAAGAGAAAGTAGAGAGTAGACATGGAACCAAAGGAGTCGTATTGATGCATCATATGGTCAGAAGGAGTCAAGATTAAGAAATTCGGACAAAAGCATTCACCTCGAACTTGAACCGACAGATTGCATGACCACTCTTTCCTTTACCCAAATAAGCCTACAAAGAGAAGGACACCAACGACGTCAACCAGAAGAAACGGCCAACAACAGCGCGCCGCGATGATATATGTCGGACAGCAAGCAATGGGTCGACATCGAGGAAGACATACCTCTGTGACACGATACATCCCATCGTATCGGTATCCTTTGTTGATCGCGCGGACAAGACGAATGGATCGACCCGTTTCATAGGTGATCTACATGTCTCGTTAGCCAATGAAATTCTCAGAGAAGAGAGGATGAGGCGCAAGCTGTGGGACATGGTGCACAGGTACGGGTGACGGGAAATGACAGCAAGAGGGGCCTTGCAACAAAAGAGAACGAAGAACAATGTTGGGGACATACCCTGAGCTTGAGATTGTGTGGATGTTCGAAGGATTGGTCTTTGACCTGAGGACCGTCCATCTGCATGCAGAGTGAATAAATCGAGCCGAGAGGGCCGGGAGAGGCTATGGAATACGCACGTTCCATCCCTTCTTTCCGTCATCCTGCCTTCCGCCTGATAAGATCCCACCATGTCAACCTCGTATTGAAGACTTGATTATAACTACGTCAAAGACATACCAGCACCGGTGTACCACCTGCACCATAGAGCGACCGCCGATAACCCGTCAGCATCATACTATATTACACACCGACAACAAAACAGCAAAGAGGGAGGTGCAGATTGCATGAGGAGAGCGAGACACTCACACGACATCGCCCTGATCCACATCGTCCTCGTACTTCCCAGACAGAACTACCGACGTCGCACCTTTCATACTTCCTGCGATGCCGGCTGGATTGGCACGGTGGACACCGCTCTGTGCAAGTTCCTTCCTGGAGAATAACAACCCCAGCAAGGTGATCAGCTTGTGTCAGATTGCTACTCATCCCATCTCGACGTTCCCTCCCAGTTACGGAACCCGAATGCATGTCGGATATCGAGACAAAACGACGCACCTAGAGCGGAACATCGTCCCAACTGGAACTCTGGGTATGGGTCCAAGGCGATTATCGTCGTTCGGATCTTTCTCTAGGCTCTGGGGGCTATACAGTCTGGTGTTTCCTGCGAGCCGTTTTCTCCTACGAGAGCGACCCAATCGCAGAATCATGGTGAGCTCAGTTAGCTAAAGAGATCAAGCTTGAACGTACAATTCTTCCATTCCAGGCATGGTCAGTGGAGTGCAAGTTGGCTTTGGTGTTCACAAAATAGAGCAAGATGAGTGTCCAGGGTGAAGATGCGCATGGGCCAAGACGCGACTTTATACGCGTCGTGACTTATTGTTCTGTCACACAGAAGCGTGACAAAACGAGATGCATGGCAAGCTGAGTCCCAGAGGCATTATTTGAAGTCGCGACGGACGACGACGAGTGGGGGACAGACGACGGTCAACGGGAGGTTGATGGATGGCGGAGACGACGTTGAGGAGGCGCGCACTGCCGGCGGAGCGTTCTCTATGGCTGAGTCGAGCGATTGCCTTTTTGAGAGGGGTCTGGGACCTGGACCCCATCACTTCACGTGGCTGGCTAAGACTCACATCCTACAACGACTCACAGCGATTTCTCGTCTCTTCTCGTTTCCTTTGCTATCACTGCTCAGCTTCGGCATCCTGTCTCTTTGCTAGCGTGCCTTTCCATGTTGATCCCTAATAGTAAGATTTAGGCTATAACTTGCGACTCTCCCAGTTCCTCATTCAGTCTCTGGTATCTTCTGCTTCCATGGGTCCCGCGTCGATCTGCCACTCTGCTTGTCTGAACACAATATCGCGAGAAGAGTCTTCTTGAACTTTCTTAGTCTGAGCATTGTGACTCAGTAGTCAATGAAGCCCGGTTCTGCCACTTTCTGACTGCCCTGCTCATCTATCCGGTTCGCTTTCCCAACGCTTTCCTTGCATATCGTACTCAACTTCATACTCCAACCCTGAGGCTCAGACATAGAACCCTGACATATTCGTTCAGTTGAATGAAGTCCTTTAACCAGGCTGTTCTGAAAGCTTGACTCTGAAAACCCTGGGAAAGAGCAACGTTGGAGCAACGGCGAGCAGGGGTCCAGGAGCTGGAGGGTCTACGGACTGGACCGGCCCGAGTACACATGAAAAGGTGTGGCGTAGTGGCGTCACAATCGTTGGTGTCTATGTTCATCATCACGTACAGCAGCGATACCTCACATCTGGTTCTCGGTTCTCTCGTGTTCACTGTTGGTTCCCCGCGGTCCACTCTCGAGCGATAGGAGAGCTTGGTCTGACAGAAATCTAGCTTTCGGGCACTTCCCGTCATATGGAGTGGTCGACTCAACTGTCAGGGCGTGTCCGAAGAGCAATACATCGCGTTCAGCTCTCTGTGCGCTGGGACTGGTACTATTTCCTCATATAATTCCGAACGAGACGGTAGACTCTTTAATTACGACAGAACTGCCACACAACGAAACTCCCGCAACAGAGGCGGAATGGGCTGTCAGCCAACAATAAAATGTTTGCTGCCTCGCCAGTGATTGTACGAATCACCATCTCACTTCGACTTTTGAGCTACGGTCAACCGATGTCCTTACTCAATGCTTTATTTCATTTTACAGTCTGTTCACCCCGTCGCTTCGGCTTAACGATGTGAGCTAGGGACTTTCCTCTCCGCGGAGGTTGGTCCATATTTACTCGGATTCATCTACATAGCAGTTTGACCTTCGAAGTTTCTTATGGAGTTGTTGGAGAGAGACAAACAAGGCATAAACTCCACTCATTTCCTGCGACAAGAATGTTGTTGCTGCCACGACAAGGCCACTTCCTCTTCCAAGCTGAGCTCGGCGGTCCACCGTGCGCATTTGTAGGCAATTGCCCTATTGCACTGTGACTGTATACGTAGGTGCAAAACCTGTACATCAGTCATATCATCGTTTCGATGATGCGGCACGATGGATGAGCACGCCACATTTCAATCATGTAACGAACATCTTGATAGCAGCGCTCAGTATTTTCATCCTCAATGTTGTTCTTTCAGTAGCACATTCGTTGCAAGCTTTGCAATCAGTCTCACAGTGTCTTCCTGCTATGCGGAGTGTTTCCGAGCCTGTACTGCCTGGAAAGCTCAGACAATCAAATCTGTTTCTATACTTATGCTGATGGGCTTCGGCCACCGTCTGAAGAATATCAGCTACGGTCCTCTATGTGGCTACGTTGCTGATGTTACCTTCCACCTTTCATCTCTGGAACATGTAGAATATCAAGGTAACTTCAAAAGTCGTGGATGGACGCCCGTCATCGCAAAGATGTGATCAATGACCCTCTTTCATCCATCGTGGACGCACAGACTATGAATTGAACAAGAGCTGAGGCAGATTGGCTTTCGACCACCCCGCACCCACTTCCTGTATCCTCCTCCGTCCTCCAAGTCGCATCCGTTGCTTAAGGTGCTGGTCATGCCTAGTCCCATTCCTCTCGATAATACTTTAGGTGCTGTGTTCATTGGAATCATATTTTCCTCGATGTGTGTTGGCCTCTTGATTGATCAAGCGATTAGCCGCTAACCAAGTTACCCGTGCAGTGTGTTCGGGATTACATGTCTTCAGGCATATATCTATTATACACAACACTGTGATGACGACCGTTTCTTTCTGCAGTTACTAGTGAGTAGTCCTCTTGGATCTATGAACCCACTACCTGTATTAACACTGTGGTGAAATGTAGGTTGCAGTGTTGATGTAAGAATAGCCATGCTACAAAATAAAAGGTACTAATGAACATCGTTTGCAGGATACTAGATGCGATTCATCTCGCGTTACTTGTTGTCTTCTTTTATCACGTCACCGTTTCGAATTTCGGCGACCTCTCGGTTCTACAGCATACTACCTGGTGAGTGGCTTTTTCTACCTTCATTTCCAGATAATCCACCTGATTCTGTGCTGTGCAGGAGTATAACAGTACGTACGCACCTGCGTATTCACATCCGTGTCATCTGTTCCTCATTCTCCGATACAGTTTCAAATTCTGTTCGTCGTGAGTGGTTTATAGTACTCATATGTGGCGACTTCACATATTACATACTCATGCCTATCTACAGCATATAATTAGCACAATCATTCAATTGTGAGGTTTCCACGAGGGCATATATGTAGTGATCTACATCCAACCCTCCGCTGCGTAAGGTGTAAGCCCTACTGAGGGCAAGTTCAACTTTTGAAATTACTACATATATGCCCTACCCACGTCCATCACGATCTCCTCACATGCTTACCTGAAACCGTAGGTTCTTCGCCTGGAGGATATATCACAGTACGTTGCCCATCCATTTCAGTGTTATCATCCACTAAAAAACCGATTGGGATGCCATTTATAGTCAGCGAGAAGAAAAAGCCCATTCCTCTTGTCACCGTAAGGGACTACCATTCAGTGGTTTTTGTGTTCCTGGCTGAAATCTTGTCGAGCAGGCGGTCATAGCTATATCTCAAATTGGTATGTATCTCCGTCGTTTCCTTTAGAGGCTTATTGTACTTTAACATCTGTGTAGCATGTGCCATAGGTAAGTGTCTATCCTAAACATATCACGAGTTGAAATATGGCGACTTATATGTTCGGAATTGCAGTGTTCGTAGTCGCGATGTACGAAGTTGATCATAGCTTGAAGAGCACAGTAAACTAATCGCCTCACAATAGGTTGGATGAAGACACACTGGGCATGCCTGGCTCGAAGGCTGAAGAGGTTCGAGTCATTCGCTTACACAAGCTCCTGATCGCTTTATTTGGCTGAATTCAGATCTGGTCCCCCCTGGCTTTGGGGTTGAATACCATATGCGATATATTCATTGTATCGGCGATGGTATCCCACTTCCGAAAGACCAAAGACATGTTCTCCAGGTATAATCCTTGATTTTGATATCTTGAAGCTTGTGCTCATCATTCTGACTCGCATTGAAACACAGAACCCAAAAGGTCATAACTAGAATCATCACGTATGCCTTGAATACTTGTATGTGTATTTAAATATGTGGTGAACTTTGGATCGATTAATGACATATCGACAGGTCTTCTCAACACGTTAGCACCAAATTCTATCTCATTTCACGGCGTGGGCTCTGATATCCCCTCTTACACTCTAGATTCTTCGCCCTTACTGGTTTGATTGTGGTCAGTTGTGAAGCTGCCGTAGCTCGCGGAGACGAGCGTCCTTCACTGAAATGGCTCTTCATAGTATCTAAGTGCACGATCAACACTACTCTATACACCATTTTTCTTCATGTTATCACGAGGTATGCCCATGAAAGGTCATTCGAGTCCGTCCCCTATTGTATTCTGACGTTTTGCGGATTTACATAGTATATACTTGCTCATTCATTTCAACGTGCGTACCCGATTCAAACCGAGAACTTCAACGCTTTCTCTTCGCCCTTCTCACTACACACCGGCATACAGTCTCAATACCCGACAATCAATGCGCCAAGATCTGCAAGCTATAGAGTTATGGAACCCTTCCTCGACAATCGTTACAAAAGACACCCGTTCTCGTGCACGAAACCTTTCTGACCAACTTGAGGAAGGGAGAAGTCGTGTATAGCGTAAGCTTCGAGGGTTTTTGCTGGTAGAAGCCTTTGACCAAGTGGGCAATCCTATCTGTCTTAACGTATCCTCAACGCTGTTCTGACAGCGGTGCGTGGATTAGGTCCGTAGAACAAGACTCTTGCAGCAGAGGTCGCTTGGGCTTGACGATGTCAGTCAGGAGATTTCCTCACCGCGGGTTCGTCCATATTTACGCTGGTCCACAATACGCTTGCCTAGTGGTTTGCTCTTGAAAGTTTCTCGTGCGAGTGTTGGAGTCTACTGAGAACGTCATTGCTGCTACGGCAAGACCATCGTCTCTTACAAGTTGAGCTCGGCGGCCGTGTGCCGCTATATATCGCGCACAGTGTGCGTTCGTGGGCAAGTTGTTGTACTTTGGGAATATGGCCGGGCGCTCAACCTGCACATCAAACATGGCTTCTCCCAGATGATGCGGCGCGATGGATGCGTACGCTCCCATCCAATAAGATGTTTTCCTTGGTAGCAGTCCAGTCGGGATTTTCATTCTCTGTGCTGACGAATTCGTCTTCTAGGTGGCACATTCGTTGCAGGTTTTGCCACCAGTCTCAATGTCTTGCTGTTACTATGCAGAGTATTTCTGAGCATGTGTACTGCCTCGAAATCTCGGACAATCAAATCTATTTTTACACTTGTGATGATGGCGTTCGGCCGCCGTTTCTCATCCCCGGGACTATCAGCCACAGTCCATGCGGCTACGTTGCTGATCGTACGTCTCTTCTTGAATGCTTTTGGTCCATGTAGAGTAGCGAGGTCGCCTCAAAAGTCGTGAGTGAACGCCCGCCATCGCAAAGATGCGATCGATGACCCTCTTGTGTGTCATTAATCGTGGACCCACAGACTATGAATTGAATGAGAACTGAGGCAGACCGATCTTCGACCGCCCCGCACCCGCTTTCTCGATCTTTCACCGCCCTACGAGTCCCATTCATTGCTGAAGCTGCTGGCCATGCCCAGTCCCATTCCGCTCGATAATACTTTAGGTGCTGTGTTCATTGGAATTATACTGTCCTCGATGTATGTCGGCTTCTCCATTGACTACCCGATCAGTCGCTGCTAACCAAATCATCCTTGCAGTGTGTTTGGGATTACATGTCTTCAGACATATATGTATTATACACGACACTGTGATGACGACCGTTCTCTTCTGCGATTACTAGTGAGTACTCCTCAATCTGTCATTCCACTAGTATGAACATTGTGGTGAATTGTAGGTTGCGGTGTTGATGTAAGGACAACCATACCGCCAAATAAAAGTACTACTGAACATTGTTTGCAGGTTACTGGATGGGACTCATGTTATTCTAATCGTTGTTTTCTTTTATCACGTCACCGTCTCGAATTTTGGGGACTTTTCAGTTCTAGAGCGTAATACCTGGTGAGTGGCCTTTTTCTTTCTTCATTTCTGGGTTACTCACCTGATTCCTGTGCTGTGCAGGAGTATAACGGTACGAATACATTGCATATTTACTATCCGTGCTATCTGTTCCTTATCCTCCCATACAGGTTCAGGTTCTGTTCGTTGTGAGTGACTTATATTAGCTATATATAGCAGCTTCGCTCATCAGGTGCTCATCGCCATCTACAGCATATAACTAGTGCAATCATTCAACTGTGAGCTTCACATTCGGGATCACCACATATATGTCCTACCCTTGTCCGTCAAAATCTCTTCTTATGCTTACCTGAAACCGTAGTTTTTTCGCCTGGAGGATATATCACAGTACGTTGCCCATCCGTTTAGCGTGATTATGCAATGATAAACCGATAGGAACACCGTTTATAGTCTGGGAGAGGAGGAAACTCATTCCTCTTGTCACCGTGAGGGACTCCCATTCTGTAACTTGCGTGTTCCTGGCTGAGACTCAGTTGAGCAGGCAGTCATAGCTGTATCTCAGATTCGTGAGTAATAGCTCCGTCTGCTTATTCCTCGTTAGAGGCTTATCGAGCTACAACATCTATATAGCATGTGCCATATGTATGTTTTCATCCTCAACATAGTGTGACTCGATATGCGATGGCTTATGTCCTCAATATTGCAGTGTTCGTGGTTACAACGTACGAATTGACCATGACTTGAACGACACATTATAGAAGGGTGACCTACTTGTATCTCAACAGGTCTCGCGAGGATACACTTGCCACGTCTAACTCAAAAGCTGGAGAGGTTTGATCAATTTCTTGATCCAAATTGTCTACCTCATAATCACATTATTTGGCTAAACTCAGATATGGACCGCACTGGCTTTGGCATTGAATATCATATGCGATATCTTCATCGCATCGGCCATGGTGTTTCACTTTAAAAGGACCAAGACTACGTTCCCCAGGTATGATATTTGATTTTGCATCAATACCTCGGGGCCTGAGCTCATCCGTCTGTATCACAAACTCACCACAGGACTCAAAAGATCGTCGCTAGACTCATCACATATGCCTTGAATACATGTATGTGCATTTCCCTATGTCGTGACTTGTGGATCGATGACTAACATGGCGACAGGTCTACTCAACACGTCGGCACCCAATTTTCTCTGATCTCACGACGTGCTCTCTGACATTTATTCTTACATTCTAGATTCTTCGCCCTCACTGGCTTGGTCGTGGTCAGTTGTGAAGATGTAGCTCACAGACGAACTTTCTCCCACTGAAACCGTCTCTATATAGTACCTCAGTGCACGATCGACGCTGGCCTATGCGCCATTTTTCTTTATGCTACCACGAGGTTTGCCCGATAAAATATTCCTGTCCTATATCGTGTTCTGACGTTCTGTGGATTTACGTAGTATATACTTGCTCATTTATTTCAGCGTGCGTACCCGCTCTACACCGAAATACACAAGCCTTCAACTCGTCCTTCTCACTCTGCACCCACATAGTCTCAATTCGCGACAATCAATGCGGCAAGATCTGCAAGAGATAGAGCTTTCAAGCCCTTCCTCGCTATCGAACCCTTCCTCGACAATCGCTACAAAAGACATCCATTCTCGTGTGGAAAACCCCTCCAACCACTTGGAAGAAGGGAAAAGTTATGTGCGTATAGCGGAGGTTTCGAGAGCTACTACTGGTAGAAGCCTTTGAAGAAGTGAGAGATCATGTTTATGAACAATCTGTCGCCAACTACTTAGGCTCAACCGCTGCCAAGGGAAGTCAATGTCGTTTAAAAGACGAGAGCTGATTGGCCTCCATTCCTGAGATTACAACGAGGTATGAGATCTTTGACCCTCTGCTGAAGGTTTTCCTGGTCCATAGACAGCCATAATGTCGACTTAGCAAAGATCGTGGGTGATTTTGCCACAGGGATGCGACAACAAAAGCGGCAATCGATCGTCGTCTGCCGATGGCTCACGATGTACAGCAGACATGGAAGTGCTTGCATTCGAAGCACGGAAGATCGACTCGCCTGTCGGACGAGCTTGAAGAGCTGGTGTAAGCCGTAGAAGGAGATGAGCTCGAACTCGTGATGGTCGATTTCGATCGTAATGCCTCTCTCGCCCTCGTAATAATAATAACATGCTGTACTCCTAGTCTTTGCCCCTCCTCGAGGGTAAGGGTCTCATCCCGCTCCCAGACAGCGACGTATCCAGGAAGAAGCCATTCATTTACATAGCGCTTGTCAACGTCGGAAGAGCACTGCCACAGAGGCAGAATGGCCAGTTTGCGGATGGAAAAGAATGACCATTGAGTGGCCAGGTGAAGAACGACGGCCTAGTCGGTGGCGTTAAGGACAGGCTCGTGCGTGTAGTGGAAAACTATTCGGCAGCGACTTCAATAATTTCCTCGCACAAAAATTAGCTTAGCCTATACATATATGATCTCTCTCTAAACTAAATGAGAGGATACCGCCACACCATAGCCAGAAGTTATCTGGTACCTGAAACTGCACACACTGGCTACAAAGCTACCAGTCAACGCCGTAGCCCAGCATCGAGACTGATCACTGCTAAGGAGCAGCCCTCCAACTTGATCTAACCGGAGATCCGGTACACCAGCTTCGATCCAGTGATCTATCGGACAAGGCATAGCGTGATGGATGGATGAGCATGACATGCAAGCAAATTCAGCAAGATCATGCTCACCTTGCCAGCTTGGACGGCAGCAATACCATCCGGGACTCCGTGCAAGCCACCATCTCCAAGTACGACAGGATTGGCCTTGAATTTACCTTTCTCGAGCCAGTCACTCACGGCTTGGTAGCCCGCCTTCGCAGTCTCCATGTCCCTCGGAAGGGCCTACAAAGCAAGATTGATTCATTAAAAGTCGTAGACAAGCCGGTGAGAGCAGCAGCAGAGAAACACACCGGAATACTAGCTCCCAAGAACTCGTAGGGTTTGTTCCAGATGGTCTGGATACCAACCGAGTGATATTCCACATGAGGATCCAAACTGGACGGCGGGATGGGCAAGACCACAGCAGCCTTCTTGAAACCGCCCAGCTTGGCATTGAGGACGCTGCTGGCTATCGTGATGGTCGAGCCGAAAGACACAGCGTCGAACACGTAGTCAACACCTGCTGGTCCTGCCTCCCGTATGATTTGTTCCTGAACATCAGAGGCGTGGCGATCGACCACGGCACTCGCCCCAAGGGAGCTAACAACTTCAAAGTTCCCGCGGGATGCAGTGGCGATAACACGTAGACCAGATATCTTTGCCAACTGACAAACGTACATGCCAACCGACGCTGAGGAATCGAACAAAGAAGAGTCAGAATGGTTAAGAGAAATCTGGAGCACAGTTACTTACATGCGCCTCCGCAGACTAGGATAGTCTTCCCCAAAGGCGCTCTCTGAGGAAAGTCAAACAAGCGGGAAAGGCCAATGATAGCCGTAGTGGCGCCGACGGGGATAGCGGCGGCCTCCTCGTTGGGTATGTTAGCAGGAACTTTGATAAGTAAGTCGGAGCGCGTTATTAAATATTCTTGAAATGCAAAATGTGTCTTGTCAAAGGCGGCGTGCATCCACCCGGCGACCTGGGAAATGAAATAAAATGCGACTAGGTGAGCCCAAATTCCACCAAACAGTAAAGAGCTGAGGAAGACAGACCCGTTGACCGACTTCAACAGTATGTGTCCCAGGCCCGAGGGCGACTATCTCTCCTGCGTAGTCATTTCCCGAACCATTTCCAGGTTGTGCTCCACCGAAAACAATAATCTTCCCTGGGAAAAAAGCTGTCATGGTCGGCGTCGTTCGCACATTTGGGACAGATGTGAAGCTATGCACTCACAGTCGGTGGGGTTGACGGCCACTGCTCTGACCTTGATGAGAGCTTCGCCTGGACCTGGCTGGAGGACGGGGTGTCTCTCAACGACGAACGAGGGAGTCGAACCTTTGATGAAAACACCCAGCTGAGAAGACGGGATAGACATGTGTCAGGATATGAAAGGCCTAAGGTGAAAGTGCGTTTCCTGGTGCGGGGAAGGGAGGAGGAGAGCCTGAGGACGACTTGAACAGACGCAGACCCTGACCCAAGACTCGAAGATGTTCCTGCAATCATGAGTGGCATCGAGACTGGTCACAAGGAATGATACATGATGGCAAAAAGGGTGGTGGCATTCAACTGCGTGCGCATCAGACTTCGATGGAAATGAGTCAGTGCTTGCAAGAACCCTACGGCAGTATTGGGCCGGGACGTATAGCTATTCGCCAACTTGCGGGACAGCAAGTTCAGACCAAATATTGACAGTAATTTGACGACCGGATGGAATTGACGAGCGGGAGTGTTGAATGGGGTTGTGGACCATGGCGAAAGGATGTGTACTTTAGAGGGCTATGACTGTTCGGACGCTGCCCCAAAACGGATGAAGGTCTAAGCTTGCCCAATTGAGTTGACTTATCGCAAATTGCCGAACTTCCCAGGATGTCGCCAAAATGTCCAAGTCATCTACATCCTCCTCGGGGCTAGGATATCCAAGTCTGGTACACGAGCAAGAATTTTCGTCAACTGATGTGCCTACTGGTGAGTTTAACCCATTTGTGCTACTGTAGAGCAGGCGATGTGGGTCAGCGACAGTATCTCAGACCTCTGAAAGATACGGCGACCAACTGCTTGTCTCTGCTTGTACGGCATGACTCGTACGCGCTAACGCTATACATAACTTTGATCCATTTCGTGATACTTACAGAGGGAAAATGATGGTCCCTATTGAGCATCCGCGGATCTTTGGTTACACCGATAGTGGGTGGCACCTGGATGACGCGGCAGTACCGAGTTCCGCGTTGATAGCTGTATTTTTTCAGACACAGCTCACCTACAGACGGGCGAAGAAAAGATGTCCTGATAGGACTAATATCGAGTAACATGCGATAGGAGCCACTATCTCAGTCGAGTGCCTTAACGAGCGAAGAGAATCCCGCTCGTGCCAGTGAGGGTACACGTATGATAGCAGGTCAGAAGGCAGCTTTTGACCTTTACAGATACAGTGGACAATATAGCGCTGTACAAGAATTAGTACTCCTGGTTCTGAAAGGTACTGGGAATCAACAGTACGTCTGCGGAGAAAAACAAGGAACCTATCTGACTTCTTCCGTCTGAGGTAGGTCTCTGCAATGAAGGAGGCGTATCACGCCATACCTGTCGTGTATGTCCTGCTGTTCCTAGCGAGGCTACCTTCATGCCAATTTACACCAAATTTTCACTCGACCGCTATGATTCCTTCCTTCCGACTGTCACCGCGTTTTTTGTTACCGAAAATTTGTCGCGGCTCGAAAGAACTCACCACCACGGGTAATGCCCGCCATTTATCCGGTGTCACTGCAACACAACTGTAAATTGGACAAAACTAGACGAAAATATACAGGGGTAATTGCTGCATCGGTATAGAGGTGGGAAATCCGCATGGATTTGCCAAGTGTACACCGTTTTTGGGATTGTGAAGAGTTCAGAATCAGGCAAGGCGCTGGAAAAACGGCGACCGCGTTACCACCGTGTTGTTGGGCTCTGATTCAGCACGGCGGGTGGCTCTCCCCGATTATTTTATTCACATCTAACCGGCTTTCTGTGTTCCTCTTTCCACGCTCTAGTCTCGTATGTGGGACCATCTCAACTTCTGTATGATGCTGGACTTCAGGTATCGGTAGGCCAGATAGGAGCTCGGAGCTATCCGTTACGCTACCAAAGGCTAACCTTGGGCTAATCACATACCTCGCAAAAGACAAGGGATATCTCCTTCTGTTTCCTCTTCTCCAGACGTTGCTTTCTGATGTTCTACCCCTTTTGTCAGGCCCCTCGTAACAGCATACGGCTTGCTTACGCTATGATTGCGCTGGAAAATGTAGATCAAACGTGATGCTTCTCCCAGTATAGCAAATCTGGTCTCAGTGAGTATACAGCCCCCACCTTTAGGTTAAAAATTTCACTTTGTGCGTGGGGCCATATTGCGCCGTCCCATCCAGTAGAGTGGCCACATCCCGAGTGTTTCTCATCGAACAGCCCACTCGCAAAACGCATCTGCGACTGCTATCCGTGAACGTTTTTCTCAAAGTCCCCAAGTCCTCTCATTCTCATCCAACCTAACTTTTTAGGCTCTACTATGCTTACCCCTGAGCTGCAAGTCATTTGGACCTCGACGTCCACGAGGGCGGCTTTCGTTGTTTTTCTCGGCGTCGCCGCCTTCTCTGTGGTACGCTATGTTAACAGTCCGTGGCGCAAACTCCCTCCTGGACCTGCAGGGCTTCCGATTCTGGGCAACGTACTACAGATGGGTGGAAAGCAATGGCTTACATTCAGCAACTGGAGGGATAAATATGGTCGGTTGATAGTATCTCATAAATGCTCTGTCGTCTAAATATATTGCAGGGGACCTTATCTATCTCAACGTCGCCGGGCAGCCTCTGGTCGTCATCAGCTCGCAGAAGATTGTAGGAGACCTTCTGAACCGTCGCTCTAAGACATACTCCGACAGACCAAAGAATATTGTTCCCAACGAGCTTATGACGGGCGGAATGCTGATCACATTCACCCACTACAACGACGTGTACGGTACTTCTATCCTACTCACGACCTCTCACTCACGATGTCCACTTGTTTCAGTTGGCGCCGGCTGCGAAAAGCCGCTCATGAAGCATTAAATAAGGGTGTGGTACATAATTATCATGCGACGCAGGCGAGGGAAGCTGTCCTCTTAGCGCATGGCATCCTCTCCGACCCTAGGGAATGGGATGCACACCTTCGACGCACTGCAGTCTCTTCCATCATGTCTATGCTCTACGATACGGCGCCAATCGTCTCAGAGGAGGATCCCACTGTCAAACGCATCAACGAGTTTGTAGCTCGATTGACGAGGGCCGCTCTTCCCGGCGCGCACCTCGTAGAGTTCTTCCCGTGGATGATCCATATACCTAGCGGGTAAGATTCAATTTGGATTATATGATCTCATGCACAACTTGGCACAATTTTACCATCAGGCTCGCGAGGTGGAAGAGGCAGGCCCAGGAATGGTTCTTGCAAGACTCGCTCTTGTTCGAGGGTCTTTTCAAAGCCGTCCGCGATCGCGTAGTCAGTTTCATTGTTGGCCGAAATGTAGTTGGAGGCTCAATGACATTCTCTAGGACCAGGGAGATGAGAGGCCGAGCCTCTCTGCTAGTCTCATAAACAATGCTAGTCGACACGGACTCTCCGACAGGGAGAATGCATGGCTTGTCGGAACCATGTAGTGCGTTTTTCGTTTTTCCTTCTTATCTTCTCATCGTACGCAAACCGTATGCAAATACTCTCCCCTCATCAGCGGTGCCGCCACGGACACGAATGCGTCTGTCATGTCATGGTGGATATTTGCGATGGTTCTTCATCCTGAAGTTCAGAAGCGCGGGCAGGCGGAGATCGACGCTGTTGTGGGACGTGAAAGGTTGCCCACCTTTGCCGATCTTGATAAACTGCCGTACATTCATGGAATAGTTGAGCCCGCTCGCTTCTCTTTCCTTCGTATGCTAAATGTGCGTATGTTTAGGCTAGAGAGACTCTGCGTTGGCGGATGATTGTAAGTCGCATATCGATTAAAACTAAATAATGGCTCATCGTGCTGCTACGTTCAAATGATGGCTCATCGTGCTGCTACGTTCTAGGACCCCATCGGCATACCGCACCGCTCCACTGAGGTTCTGTTCTTACATTCAACGTCGTAGACTTTACGCTTCATATTGATGTTGTTTGTACAGGATGACTGGTATGAGGGCTACTTCATTCCTGCCGGCAGCGTGATCGTGGCGAACGTGTGGCATCTTAACCGGGATGAAAGAATCTACGGACCGGATGCCAAGGAGTTCAATCCTAGCCGCCATCTCGACGAGAACGGTGCACTTCGTTCCGGTGTCTTCGCGGAGACTGCTGATGAAGGCCACTTCACCTATGGGTTTGGCAGACGCATCTGCGTCGGGCGCCATGTTGCGAACGACTCCCTGCTGATTGAGATCGCGATGATGCTGTGGTCTATGAACATTGAACGTCCGACAGATGAGAATGGGAAGCCCGTCGATATGGATGTTGAGGGCTGCGTGGAGGATGGGTTATCTGTGTGAGTCGCATATGTTATCTTGCTCTCTGACCTGTCTCTGATGTGCGATGTTCGTCTTCAGTCGTCCGCTCCCTTTTGAATGCCGCATGACTCCCAGACACAGCCAAGTGGTGTGTTTGTTGGAACAAGCGACACAGTCCTGGTAATTAGTACTGCCACTGTTGAAGTAGGCCTGATTCTACATGACATCGGATCCAGTATCGAGCACTTAGAACCGTGGATACGGTCTTCTACAGACACTTCTGCCGCCTACTACTTACTGGACAAACAGACCATACTATAGCATTATGATGCTTGAGTGATGCTCTACAGTGTCATTGGTGAATGGATACTGCCTTGAATATGGGGTGCTTGATGATACGAGTAAACCTGGGACATAACACTGATTTTTGATAACGTTGAGAGTGCCTTGAAATGAAGTCTGCTGTTTAGCTGTAAGGTGAATCAGTACTTCAGTAGTGCTAAGGACTTGCGTAAATCCGATAGTGAGGACAAGGAAGGTACATACATCAGAACTGCAACCGGCAAGGGTGTGCGCATTCAGTGCTCGTTTGAGAGCTTTTTGCGGTTTGCAACGTCACCGATGCGGACAAAGAAGGGACTTTTATGCTTTCCAGAACACGGCCTCATGAGGCTGAAGTCTTACTGAGATTGCAAACTCTGACAATATTCTGACGGTATTTATTGAATTGTAGATGGAGAACGCAGAATCTCACAGTATTTTTCCATGAGCCCAATCTACTGACACATAATAACCGATAGTGCTCGATACTAAATAATAGCAATGCACGCATAATTTTCATCTCCTAATTCCTCTACGATCCAATTGTAACCACAACACTCGAGCTCTTGCACTGTGAAACACTTAACCAAAAAGCGCAGATGCAACGGTAGCTTGAATACTAGTTGGTAGTCTGACAAATCAAGGCAATTGCTTCCTCAGATCTCGGCTGAAAAACGCAGTCAAAGCGGGAAGGATGGCTTGAAAGATCGATCAGCACACTGCATTATCCATCCTCCACATCGGAGACACTCACTTTATTGTAGACCGGCGAATGCCAACTGAGATTGGCACTGGGTGACCAGCTTCGTCCTTCGCTGGTACAATCATATACACGGAAAGGATTGTGGCCATCGCTATCCAAACCGTGTCGAGAGCCATATTCTTTCCCGCACAAGACCTGAAATGTAGGATGAGTATCATGATGACCTAGGAGCAAGGTAAATCTTGAAGCACCTTCGTCCATACCCAAATACACCGTAATCGATTGGATCTGGTATGTCGTTTTCATTAAACCGGTCAGGGTTGAAGACCTCAGGCTGCGGATAGACGATCGGATCATGCATCAGAGCCCTAGATTAGACCGGATCTTCAGCACAAGAAGAGAAGCAATGAAATAAACTCGTCTAGCCATGTATTTCCGAGAACTGTGGCGTTGGCTGGAATTCGGAACCCGTTGTATATGTCTTCTTTCATGGCTCGATGAGGAATGGCTACATTGCACAGGAGATCCAGTTCAATATCTCCTTCATCATGACGTATTAGCAGCGGTAGTACTCACCGAAAGGGACTGTATGCGTAAAGCCTGAATGAGTGACATGATTGCGGTAGGAGAACGGAGACCTGCACTGACAGACGACGAACCACCTCAACACTTCACGCATCACGTTACTGAGGTATGGGAGATGCGTCTTGTCCTCAAAGGTAGGCAGCCGCTCGCCCTTGAGAACTGAGTCCAGCTCTATTTGCACGCGCTTCTGAACTTCTGGATGAAGTACCATGGCCAATATAAAACTTGTCAGCGTGGCAACGTTCTAACACGTATATCAGATCTTATACGTCAAGCTTGGAGCTTCGTGAAAGATCACCGTGTCACTACCTACGGCATCTTATTAGTAGGGCGTAGAGATTGGCTGGCCTTTTAATGCTCACCGGCAGCATACAGAACCGCTGCAATACTCTTGATCACATTTTTCTCGAGAGCATCTGATGAGTTGTTCATGCGGTCCTCGAGGCATGTACTGACGAAGCATGGGTTAGAAGAGCCTTTGGACTTTATCAAGATTTAGCAAAGATAGCATTTCACAACATCATGTAAGTAGACTCAACCTACGTGTTGGTCAACCACCACGTTGAAGAGTCCATTCACCACAGATTCTTGTAGGGTGCGCCAGGACCGAGCTGTTTTTTTGAAACCAGCACCAGGCACCCACTCCGGAACATACTTCACTAAATAAAATTGCATTATTATCAGAAATTGAAATTAGTGAACGAACGCTTACAGATCGGGAAGATGTCAACCAGAAATGTTCCAGGAACAGTAGCAGTCGAAGTAGTTTCAGATGCTTCTTTATTGACCAGCACGAAAGGGTCTGCCATCGCATTTTCGAAAGTGTATCCATATCTACATTATTGATTTAGTTGGTAGATTTCGAGAAGACATATTAAAAGACCTACACCCTCTGCATAATGATCCGGGCAGTGTAGCTGAAGACGATTATGAGTCAGTACACCAGCACGAAGGAAAGTCGCACTCACTGCTCCAGATGATCTAAATACTTGTACCGGTTAGTGTTTGATAGAAGTAGGCGTACAAGTTCTTGAGTAGCCGATACTTGAATCGCTTGATGCTCCGAGACATTAGTCTCGAAGTGATGATGGAACACGCGGCGGTGCTCCCTCCACCGAGAACTATATCGCATGAGCGCAAATGTCCAGTCCCAGCCCACACTGTGCATTATCATGGTGATTAGCCCACTCAAGCCCTTGAAGAAAGAGATTAAATTCGTACAGATCCACAAGCATAGGCATATCTGGTCTGTCTGAGTACGTCGCTCCACGTGAGACGAATAATTCCGTGATGGAACGCGGTGAGTTCAGTATAACAGTAGTGTGCCCGAGCGCCGTCAGGGAGATAATGTCGCTAGCTTGAGATACATGAGTGAACGGGCTCGACACTTTGAACATAATGTTATCGCACAGTATTCTTTAGCCCAATCTCGCGCTGTCACATAAAATGTATCTCCCTGGAAGTCGAGAATATTTCCGACAATAGGTAGACCTAGTGTGAAATTTAGCTCGCTGGGAGCTAGACGGAACTGAGCAGGATAGATACCTCGAGGACCAGGGGGTAAAGGAAGCGCTTTTCGCCTCTTGAGCCAGAGGATCAGAAGGAACATAGACATCAGAAGAGTTAGCAGTAGAAGAGACATGATTAGTTTGCGGATAGAGAGACGACTTCTGACGACTCCTGGTCTGTCTTAAGTTATTCATCGCTGTGATTAGAGGTTAGTCAGACCGTCAGGTACTCGACTCTATTCCCGGAAGATGCATGATGCCGTCGTAGTCAATGCGACCGGTCTACGGAGGTGATAGGTCTCAAGTCCATCACAAGGTGAGACCACAAAGACCTGCGCAGGCGAGAACAACTATGTGGGCAGATGCGTTAGCACGCACGTTCGGTATCTGACGCTCACAAGACTATGAGAGTCTGTGTGCAGGTCTACCCATATCAGAGACGTAATGATGCCGGTGCGCTAGCACCGTTCGTACGCATTGATTAACTTAGTCCCAGGTGGAGTTCAATGTGATATCGGACGAGTTGTCGGGTAGAGGACTTGGCATAAGTGCGACTCGCAGGGCAAACAGGATGCGCCAGTGAAGAGGCATATTCGTAAGACATTTACATCAGCGGAGCTTGGAACTATTTTCCGACAATTAGTATCGGTATATGGGACTGTCTCCCGCAAGTGCTTCTGTGGTATCAAGGACAGGCTGCAGTACGTCGAATATTGAGGCACGAATCCGTGTATTTGTCAAACCCGGCCTACTCGAGGCAATAAGCGACGTGCACTACTGCGAACTTCAGCATTATATCACATAGAAACAAAGCTTGAGATGCATATGATGAAAGTCAATCAAAAATTTATTCGTACGGAGAACATGAACAGGTAGTGAAAAGAAAGGCGGCATGAGAGTGAGTCATAACTAGCTAGTTAATAAGCAGAAAACGGTGCGAGAACAAGTGAAGTTGTTCGTCCATAGCGCTGACAAATTAGGGGCGAGCAATTCGGGGAGGCAGCAACGAAGCCTTTACAAGCAAAGAACCTCGAAATCACGATCAAATATTAGTTCCTTGACAATGTCTTTCGCACTTGCTACTCACAGGAAAGCGACATGTAACCATTATAATTGTCGTAAGAGTGTAGCTCTCTCCTGCTCTAAAAACGACGCAACTTCCTGAGATCTGGATGTGATCTTGACCTTGAACGGGATGGGGCGCCTGTAGAACTCACTGTCAGCTATCATTTGGAGCGAAGAGTACAAGTCTTTACTCACACAACAAGCCCGTCCTCGATGCATCCCGATAGATCGAACATAGGCTCAGTCCCGTCGATGTAGGGCTCGATTTTCAATGCCCATAGCATCATTGCCATATCAATGAAGAGCGAGTTGTTGGCAACATGGCGACCAACGCAGATTCTCCTTCCGAATCCATACGTAACATGACCTTCGTCCTTGGTGTCGACTGGCCCCACCCTTAGCTGTCCGTCATCGTCTAGGTGGCGTGCAGGATTGAAATGTGCCGCATCGGCACCATAGATATCGGGATCGCGATTGAGATGCCATACATTTGCGATGATGATAGATCCCGCGGGTATGAAATGCCCGTTGTACCAGTCATCCTGAGCAACACGATTATCAGATGCAACAAAAGGTAGAGAATATAGTAGTATCTCTGACGCACCTCCATGGAGTAATGAGGAAGTCCAACGGGGTCCTGAAGGCAACGCGTTAGGCATGTCCACACCACCAAACAGTATTGTACTTACCACAGGGCGCCATCGTAATGCCTCTTTGACCTGAGAGTGAGCACAACATCAGCTTGCAATTATATGGGATACGTTTTCTCGAACAGACCATGGCACATAGGTAAGGCAAGTTGTCAATATCGGCGAAAGCAGGTGGCCTGTCACGTCCGACGACTCTGTCCAACTCTGCCCTCGCCTTATCTTGAGTTTCCGGATAGGCAACCATGGCGAGCATCCACCAGGCCATCACCGCTGATGTCGTCTCGGCTCCAGCAGCACTAAAATCTATTAGCCACGTCGGAAGCGCAGAATGAATAAAATACGTACTACATGGTTCCAGCAAGCCATGCATTCTCCCTTTCACTGAGGTTGTTCCGGGTTGCATCTCGTACGAGAGTGTTTGCAAGACTTGGACGTTCGTCTCCCTGAGACTGTCAAAATACATGGTTAGCCGAAGGGAATGGGCTTGATCCAGAAAGACATACGATTCGCTCACGGACGCGACCGAATAGGCCTTCGAACATGGCCGAATCGGAGGTGTAATTTCTTTCGGCTTGAAGCTTCCACTTTGCGAACCTGGAGTACATGTACAGTCGCAGTGTAAACATAGCAAAAGGTAGAAAGACTCACTGGCTGGGAATGTGCTTCATCCACGGGAAAAACTCCACAAAATGCGCTCCAGGATAAGCCGCGCGTGTAAGGCGGGCAACAAAATCGTTGATTGCGACAACCGAGGAATCGTTTTCCGACGAAATAGGGGCCGCATCGTATACAACTGACATAATTCCAGAAGCGGCAGCGCGTCGGAGATGTGCATCCCAATTGTCCGGTCTGGTTATCATGTCAGCAGCGAGAATTATAGCCTCAGTTACCTGTGTGGCATGATATTTGTGTGCGACTTGTTTGTTGAGCCCTTCATGGGCGGCGCGCCTCATTCGACGCCAGCTATAATGGAAGAAATATCAGAAAATTACATCAAATATGGGGCGTATGCCTACATGTCACTGTAACGGGTGAACACCACCAGAAGGCCACCCGTCATAATTTCTGAGGCTACGATATTGCGAGGCCTGTCTGAATGGATGGTTGCCCTTCGGTCAAGAAGGTCCGCTGCAGCTTTCTGTGAGCCTACTACGATCAAAGGCTGGCCGGCCACATTGAGATATATTATGTCGCCTGGTATGCGTCGCTGTCAAGGTCAAAGGTACATCACTGTAGATGAATAGAATCTCACCGAACGTTTTCCTCATCTCGGTGAAGGCTAGCCACTGCTGGCTACGAAGTTGAAACATATTTCCAAATAGTGGAACTCCTTGTGGACCTGGTGGAAGGCATCGCCAAGGACTATGATAGTACTTTGTCATACGATAAAGAAGGGCACCCGCGATGAGCGACGCAGCGAAGACTCTCTGGGGTTGTTCAAGGGAAAGAATGAAAGATGCAATCTGGGTTAGCATCGTGAAGGGACTCAGTCGTGAGAGCAGCAAGTGAGAGTAGGACAAGCTGCAGCAGCTTGTTCTTATCAAAGGCGAAGAGACCTATCCACCCGAAGGTTCCGTAGATCGGGTTTCCCCATTAATTATTATCACTGTGATGTTTTTCGTCACTACCCGATGTGGTCAGCTTCTTTCCAGTTATTGCTCGAAAGCATGCACATAATTTGTTCCACGGGCACTTGGAGATATTTCTGAGGAAGTTCATGATACTCTATCATTCGCTATGTATTTGAAAGAGTAAAAGGAATTAACAAGCGTTCCGAACCGCTAATCAATGACATGCACGAACTAAAGTGTCCAATCGGAGGCATGAAAGCTCCAGGTCTTGCGTGTCTGCCAACAGAAAGGCCTTTCCCATGCATAACTGGTTGGTAAAGTTCTAGGTTGTTTAGTCAGGATAGTACGGTGGTGGATACAATGGTGCACATCCTTACCCCAATCAACGACAATGGAAGCCTAAGGAAAGAAGCTCATTAATATGGGGATAACGATGCCACGTAGAACACATGACAGAGCCGAGAACCCGGAAACTCCTAGCATTTGAAGCCGTAAACGGATTGAAATCGCGGACAACTCCAACGCGTTTCTGGAAAGGTACACCCAATTCTGAAGCCGACCTGCGAGGGCCATCAAGTGGTAGGATGGCCTCAGTACGACCAGATGTCATGTGCTGATAGGCACACCGTAGTTATACTACTATATACTTGAACGTCTGGCGTCATACAAAGGTTTGATCAACTGCGCCCACCGATATCTCGCTCTTGCGATCAAGGTAAGGAGATCCTGATTGCATGACATCTTACTTCTTTATACCCATGGTTGCTTCCCATCGCATTTGAGCCAAGGTCTAAACGCTAGAGTGGAGAGCGAATCATGATAGAAATACTAAGGCTAGGGAAAAGTCTTAAACCATCCCGCGGATTGCAACGACGCATCACATCGTCGCAGCGTGCTCGGATCAAGCGGGAATGCGGTAGTGCACAAAAACCGCTCGGAGTACAGAATATTTGGTCTGGGATGCGATTTTTGCCTGTATTGGGGGGTCGACACCCTTTCTCAGGGGCCTACCAATCGTTGCATTGAAGACGAGGTCGCGTCGACTTGACTTAAAGGCTTTCCATCAGCGGAGCCTTGGGAGTGTTGTTTCGGTCGAATTTTTTTTGTTTATGTAAGATCTTAAACGGCCACGGGAAGTCATCCAATGATGCCACGGAATATCTCTCCAGTTGAGGTGATGGCCCACTACTTCCCGATGGAAATCGGGCCTCTCTGACTACTTATTAATGATGGTATTTCTTTCCAAAACCCTCAAACCGATAGATGGGACGGTTTTATACTCTATTTGGTACCTTTCCGACATTGTTGACGAATAGTTCAAATGAAGTAATTTGCATTCAAATATCACAGGAGTAATTTCCGATCCAACCTCATTTTCGGCGAGGAATAGGTAGTGAGGTATGTTTGCCCACCTTATAGCTCCATTGGGATGGTCCATGCACTTGTTATCTGGCCTTTGATAGCGCAGAAGGTATCTCTTTTTGGGGGTGGGCTTTTTATTATGATTTTGCTTCAAGAAAGGGTATCATAATGGGAGAGGTGCCGTCAGGCATAAAGGTGCGACTTCGAGCCCCCATACTCCCCGCAAGCTACCAGCCATGGTTCGCTCTCCCGTTTCCGATAAGTTCTGCATACCGGACACGCTAGCCAGCTGGCCTTACCCTCGTATACTCAACCCCCACTATGCCGAGGAGAAAGCGGCGTCCGCTGCCTGGACGAAGGGCTTTGGCGCTTTTGGCCCGAAAGCGCAGGATGCGTTCGATCGTTGCGACTTTAGTATTTATTCATTTTTATTATCCTTCTCTGGTTAAGGTGTCGATTGCGCTGCTAACAGCGACTCAATCCCACTAGATTTGCTCGCCTGTTTGGCCTACCCGATCGCGACTCCAGGTACTTGAGGTTTGTATTGTGATTCTAAAAGGTCGACTCACCACAATGATTTTGACAGAGAGATGCCGCAGCGGCTGCGATCTGATGAACCTGTTCTTTGTGATCGACGAGCATTCAGACACACATGGCGAGGAGACAGTACGCAAGATGAAGGACGTAGTCATGGACGCCATCAGAAATCCCCACAAGCCCCGTCCAAATGACGAGTGGATTGGAGGCGAAATTGCACGACAGTTCGTCGAGACTTTATCTATGCTCAACAATGACTGACTGATTCCTTATTTTATCTATTTCTTTTACTTAGATTCTGGGAACGTGCAATGTGTTATGCTAGTGAGATCTCCCAGCGACGCTTCATCGACACCTTCGATGAATACTTGGAATCCGTCGTAGACCAGGCCGCAGACAGGGACAGTGCAAGGATCCGTGATATCGAGAGCTACATTAACATTCGTCGCAACACTATCGGAGCGAAGCCCTCGTTCGTCATCATGGAGCAAGGCATGGACATCCCGGACAACGTCTTCGAGAACGAGGTGTTTCAGAGACTTCGCATGGCCACGATAGACATGCTTTGCCTTGGAAATGTCAGTATCTATCCCTTAAATTTCATGTGACCCAGCTCTTGACTTTGCTATTTCCTCTAATACTCTTTGTCTTACTAGGACATCGTATCATACAACATTGAACAAGCTCGAGGTGATGACTCCCATAACATCGTGAGAATTGTCATGAACGAGCTCGATACCGATGTCCCTCGCGCTATGGATTGGGTAGCTCAGAGACATACGCAACTCGAGCGCGAGTTCTTCACCGCGCTGAGCGAGCTGCCCACTTGGGGAGAGCCGATCGATGGATGGGTGAAGGAGTATGTCTATGGTCTGGGGAACTGGGTGCGCGCTAACGACCAGTGGAGTTTCGAGAGCCAAAGGTATTTTGGAACCAAGGGCATGGAGATCATGAAGTCAAGGTGGCTTTCGGTTTTGCCCAAGGTCCGCCCTGCTGAGGTCGGTCCACAACTTGTTGACCAATCTCTCTTATGATGATACGTGATACTGTTCAGTGGTAAACATGTCCTTTCCTGACTATGCAATTTTGTCGAGCTGCTGTAATGTGGTCCATTTCCATTGTTGTTAGTCTGTCGCTGAGTTCTCATAACACACATGTTATTTCAAGTCACCGTATCATAGACTGCCTATATACAAAACCGCCAGGAATGCGATCGGATTTTTTTGGCGCAAAATCGATGCGCCCATTTCACAGTGGCTGAAGAGCCCATTGCCCGAACGATCTGCATCACCTGGTCTCATCAATGGCTTCAAACTTCTACACTGTCGGTTGTACAGTTTTCTATTGCTACTCCCGAATCATGACCTTGGGAAAACGTTCGAGGCATGAAGGTCTGTGCCATTAATGGATGGGATAAGACCGGCTTTTCTGATGGCGTGCTACTAAACGACAAGGATGGGCGAGTGGAGACCTGAGCACTCGTGAGAATACGAAGCTCGTTTACGCAGCGATGTCTAGTGTTTTGCACGACTAGGCGCAAACCCGTAGTTTGCGGGTTGAGATCTGACGGGTGTGAATACCCGTCGTATGACTCGCAAAGGGGAGGAATCAACGACATCTGCCAGTGCGGGCATGATAGGGGTGCAGCATTGATTAAGAATAGTCAACCACCGCTCTCCTACGCTGACTACACTAGGACATGAATAGCAATCATATCCCAAGATTTACCACAGAGGGCGGATTCAGGCCACAGATACGTTTTCTGAGAAAGGTTCAGCGTTTAGTAAGGCGCTGTATCGTCCGTAAAGATTACAAATGGCCTTCTGGTCTTTTTGTTGAAGGTGTATCAGACGCACGAGCGGGATTCTTTCCGCCCATCAACTCCAGATACTATCGTTGCTCTGAGACTCCTCTGGCGCGAGCAAAGTTTAATGGAGTAAGATGCTAGTTCTGCCGTCAAGCACGCCACTCAATGCGGAGAGTATTTTGGGACCAATAGCTGCATGAATAAGAGCCTTCCCAGTTTGTTATCTGAGCTCTAGCTTCGAAGCATGATGGAGTATATGCTCTGATTTGCTCCCCAAGACGCAGATTAGTTAGGGAATACACGGCCAGATTCCTTGAACACATTTTACAAGTTTCCGTGCTGTTCGGAAGGAGACATAAGCAACTTATTCATGGACCGAGCGACCACAAACCATCGCATAAAGCTCCACTGAGCTGTTAACTCCCCACCAGCCCGGCAAACCACAAGTAGATCAGAGTACCGGTAGCAGTTCGGGAAAGCTGAATGAGCTCTGAGCGAGGCTCAAACTCGGCCGATGGCTGCTACGTGCTCAAGCCCTTGCAATATGCGGACGAGTTTATCAGCAGGAGAGTGTGTCTATACCACTAGCAGCTGCAGGACACAAGTGAACTATGATTTTGGTAGCATCTGTCACGCAACTGAGGTAGTTCCTGAAGTGAGCTGACCCTCTCCTATCGCATCGTGGCTGGAGGATTCAGGGCTATCTTTCTTTAGCTTCGCAGTCAGCTGTGTCTGGGAGTGTTCAGCTGAGACCAAGCGAGTCGGTGATACATAGACATGCCAGTGGATTGCATAATTGGATACTATCCACTATCGGCGTGAGCAGAGATCCGAGAATATTTGATACCGGTCTTGACACTATTTTGTTTTTCATTACAAATGGGATCAAACTGATGTATAGCGTGAGCGCACACGAGTTGCGGCGCACAAGCAGTTATTCGCCGTATCTTTTAGTCTGACGTGATGTCACTGACCCACATCGCCATACGCTAGAACCGTAGTGTTACTACGACCTTAAGTTCGTTCCCATGCTCGCGTAACGTCCTTCCTAATCAAATTTAAACCTGTCCCCGTTCGAGGTTCGTCGACCTTGGAGGACAGAGGACGGTTACCCTCATTGGGTGGTTTTTTTGTCAAGAAACTTTCAGAGGGAGATATATATTCTGGGGTGGACGGTGGACAGTCCCCCAGGCAAGGTTCGGTTCGTCGACCCTGGTGAACCGAGGACGAGCTCAAGGGCGTAGAACTTCTACAGTAAAAGTAGTAACGTGGATGGTTTGAACTCACCAGCAAGCATATCAGTTGACAGAACCTGTGACCTGGACATCCCAGCTCCGAGGAGGATGTAAATGGAGGGCTACTCGGTGAGGTCCCTTGGACTTGAACTATCTTTGACGCCATCCTGAGATGTCCGGCAATTTGCGATAAGTCAACTCAATCGGGCAAACGTGGACCTTCATCCTCTTTGGGACGTCGTCCAAGCAGCCATAGCCCTGTAGAGTCTACACCCCCTTGCTGTGGTCCACACCCCGTATTCACAACAATGCCTCATGAATCTCGATCCCCATCAGCATTCTATCAATGATTGGTCTGATTGGGAACATTGGAATCCACAGTTTACTGTTCCCCAAGTTGGCCAACAGCTAGTACCGGTACGCACAATACTGCCGTACAGTACTTGCAAGCAATTACTCCTTTTTGTTGAAGTCTGATGCGTACAGGTCGGATACTGCTACTCTTTCGGTCATTACTCATACTTGATGAACCTAGTATCCGAATACCCTAAAATGATTAAGCACATCATGCGGTTGCGTCTATGCATCATTTCTTTCTGGAGTCTACTCAACGCCGCTGAGTATCTTTTATTGCCCCAGAATCCCACTTGTCCTAGTAGCGGCTTGAAGTCTTCCACCTTCGCTATCATGCAATATCTGGACTCTGTGCGCTGGATTCTCGCAACATTTCTACCGCTATTTAGACCCTACTCCATAACAAACCCATCCACATCTGTATCTTTTGCGGCAACTGAGTTCGACGTCATAATTGTAGGCGGAGGGACGGCAGGGCTCGTTGTAGCGAATAGGCTCTCAGCACCGAGATCGCTCGATACGACTCCATTACGCGTTGGAGTCATCGACGCCGGCTGGTCTGCATCGGAAGGCGACCCTCTCATCGACATTCCTTACGGCGCCAACATATTCTTAGGCAATTCATCGGCTTCGACAGTGGGAAACCCGAAGTACGATTGGATGTATCAGACTGTCCCACAGCCTGCATTGGACGGACGCATCATCGGTTACCCACGGTACGCACCTTTAATTGTTTCTTTCATCGACGTGCCATATATATCGCTTTGCTATCCCATAGTGGTAAAGTACTCGGTGGGTCCTCTGCACTGCATGCCATGGCCTGGCAACGCGGTTCCCGGACAGACTATGATGCGTGGGGAGCTTCGTTTGGGAACGGGGACGACTGGACTTTCGACGCTCTACTACCATTTTTCAAACGGTCCGAAAACTGGACGGCTTTGACGTCCGCCACAACTTCCGACACCTTATTAACAAAGCCAGCTGAATATGGGCAGCATGGCCCACTTTCCATCAGTTATAACAGCTACGTCTCCGGGGTTGATGACGCCCTCATGAAGTCCAGCGCCACTATGGGGTATCCGTTCAACGATGCGCCAGATTCTGGCATTATGAACTACCTCCCTCGGGCCGGTATACCCCGTACGCTAGACACTCAATCTGGGAAACGAGCTTATGCGGCAAGTGCCTACCTCAACGAAGAGGTGAAGATGCGGCCGAACCTGGTGATTCTGACAAACGCCACAGCTAGCGCCATTGTATTCGACGATACAGTCGACAGGGCCGGACTCATGGCTCGTGGTGTCCAGTACATCGTAGATGGAAAGACGTATACTGCCACTGCCACTCGTGAAATTATTTTATCTGCAGGTGCGTAGCATATCATGCTTTCTCACAATTGATGGACGACTGACCTCTGTGGACCAGGCTCGCTCAAAACACCTCAGCTGCTTGAGCTCTCTGGCATTGGGAACGCATCGCTTCTGAGAAGTCTTGACATCCCGGTCAAGCTGGATCTACCTGGGATCGGAGAGAACCTCATGGATCATCCCGTCAGTATCTCTGACTTCAAGGTAAAAGATCATGTTGAAACGTTGGGTAAGCTCTACAAATCATGGTATTGCGCGCTTTTTCTGACGCATGTCTTATAGACGGGCTTACCTTCAACGAAACCTACTTGGCGAAGCACAAACAGCTTTAGTAAGCTCCAAACATCCCTTTTTCAATTACTTCTGCTTACTTCTACTTCAGTTATGCCTCTCATACCGGTGCTTTCACGTACACTCCGTCAATCACTGGTGGGTGGCCTTGCAAGGACATCCTAACTAGCGAGAAGTATGCGAGAATGCGCTCGCAGTTAAATAGCGCTCTGTATCGAACGCCATTGACACCGCTTCAACGTGCTCAATACGATGTCATGAAGAAGGTGCTCCTTAGAGATGATGTTCCATGCTTTATGCCCGCTGTGGTGCCGCACGGGGCGATGGCGAGTCTACCACAGCCAAACACCAGCTATATTACCATCATTGGCTTCCAGTTAGTACGTCTGTCATTGCTTCACGATTCGGTAACCAGTCTACTTGCCAACATCTCCTATTATCTAGCACCAGTTCTCAAGAGGTACCGTGGTAAGCCGTTACTTTTTGCGTCTATTTCAATGCGTTTCTGATTCTCTGTTGCGTGTGCGTCCGATTAGCATATTAACAACTCGGACCCAATGTCGCCTCCCTTGATTAATAATGCGTTCCTGTCAATTCCTTGGGGTACGTCGCACGTCCTCTCGAACATAGTAACTATCTGACCACTACTTGAACCGTCGGAGTACAGACCTGGATCTCCAAGTCGAAGGCATGCGCTTCATCCGGAAGTGGGTGAGCGCTGAGCCTGTCGCGAGTCTCATCGACGAACTCGTTACTCCACCTGCAGAATTGGAGGATCCTGACGAGTGGGCTTCCTGGATCAAATCGACTGTCTGGGTAAGTCTTCGTTATTTCGTACTCAAATCTTGATACATACTGACAACCAAATCGACTCATTTAATCGTGATACAAGTCAATGGCACACCCGATGGGTATATTTCTCAGCGATTACATTACATCATAACAAACTCACCTGAAGATTGGCTTCGTCCTTCAGGTACCACTGCAATGGCATCCCGGGAGCTAGGAGGTAAGTCTTTATATTCTATCGACACGAGCATACGATGATTTGATTCCCTTACTACAGGCGTCGTCGACCCCAGGCTCAAGGTATATGGCACGCAGAATGTACGGATCATCGATGCGGGTGTCATCCCGATGACCGTCGGTGCTCCTATCCAGGCGGCGGTCTACGCCCTCGCAGAGAAGGTATGTTGTAAGATTGTGCAACATGCGAATTCTTGCTAATCTCCAATGCTCAGGGTTCGGAGATTATTCGACAGGATTTATTGGGGTTCGAAAAATCTCAAGGGGTAGAACAGATATCAAAGAGAACCGACGAGCTTTAAAGCAATCCAATGTTGATCTGCTTTCTCAGGCCTGACTCCAACCATGGGTGTTCAATGATCATGTCCATGAGTATGCGTGGGTAAATGAAATCGTCTTTAGTGCCCCACAATGCTGTTCAGGATGTCTTGTATTCTACCATCGCGACTCACCTCTCATATATTCAATTCAGACCTCCCTTTCGTTTTTGATGATGTGTGAGCTTATTCCTTTCAGTCAAAGAGAGCGAATAATGCATTATATCTATGCTATGCATATAACCTTGAAGCGTGTTTATGCGTGTCGTGCACCGGTATCAACTGACACTGTAATGTGCCACTTCACTATCTCGACTCGCATCTAGTAATACAGATAGCCTGTGTCTAAAAGTGCCAGCCACCAGTCAAGTCCATCGCGCGATGCGGATCATACTGTGCTCTAACGGCTCGTAGTACCTCCAAATTCTTTCCGTACATCTCCTCTATTGGTGTGCCGATGATAGGGAGGTTGGGGTACAAAGACGCGTCCGCCAGTACCTGTCCCTCGGCCTCTGCATCTGACTTTATCTTCGCAACCGTCTCCTGAAGTGCAAAATGGACCGCCGCATCCTCCTTTTCGTCGAACCACGCAAACGCAATATTGAGCGGGAAGTGCACCACGGAGCGGTCGGCGGGCCAGGCGGAGGGCTTTCCGTGGCTGTAGTAGTCAGGTAAAAAGATCTCGACGACGTAGTCAAAGAAATGCCCGGAGTGGTACTGCTCGAGGTAGCTACCCCAGAACTATATGAGAGATAGCAGTTCGGTTACGATAGGGAGAATGTCAGATAAATCGACCCGAGAGTCAAACAGGAGACCGATACCATGGTCTCGTTGCCGATCGCACTGAGGATGGAGGGCGTCCATCGCTGTATTGGCGCTACGTGTTGTATCCTATCCAGCAACCATATAGTCGCAATATGAGTGATTATAAAGCTGAGATATGATAGTGACACTAGATGCCCTTACCGCCGAGGTGTACGCCGAGGTTGACCAGCTCCGAGAAGAGCAGAGAAATGCATGGAAGAAACATGAACAACCGCGCCCGGAATGGCGAGCATCTCATCAAACAGGTATTGTGGCTGTTGAGGTCCGTTGTAAAACAATATGACGATAGTGGACATCTTGAATCTTCGTGAGCACAGGCTGTGTTCACGTGATCAGCAGAAAAAATCGGGACGTACCTGGCCTTCAGCATACTCGAAGATGATATTCACGGTTGCTTTTGGATCACTGACGGTAGCGGCATACTTTGCGATGACTGTAGTAGCCTGCTGGATGCTTGTTTCTGGGACAATGACTTCGCCGCCCTGAGAACCATGTAACACGATGAAAAAATGGCATTCACTAGTAGCAGTGTTGTGTTCACGTACCCAAATATTGCCTTGAGGGAATACCCTCAGCGTGAACTGAGTGACGATGCCCTGAAATTTGAAGTCATTAACGATGTTCCAGGATTGCAGGAACTAGTAATTTACGAAGTTATTCAAACCACCCTATTTATCCATCAGCACTGGTTCGCTCAAACAAAACTGTTGACAGACATACCTTTAACCCAAAGAAGAGATCGGGATGACTCTCGTCTGATGCGGTGTATACCGTGCCGTTAGGGAGAACGATGTCACAAGCTAACAAAGTGTCGATGGTCAAACCGCGCTCGTTGGTTATCCAAGATAGACCTGTAGATATAGGTATTGAGCAGCTGGGACCGCTCAGGTAAGCGAATATATACCTCCACCAAGGATGAACCCGGCGACCCCGACACCACCTCGGACACGTCCCCCAGCAACAGTATACCCCAGCGGGACGAGCAGATCATAAACATTGTCCCAGGTCAGACCGGCTCCAATCTCTATGGTCTGCAGGTTTGGATTGTATTTCAGACGGTCAAACTGAGACATGGATATATGCACTCCAGGCGTGGATGAAAACCCTGGATTGAGGGAGTGTCCTCCACCGGTAACCTATCAGGCTCATGTTGAGATTCGGGTACAAATCATCGTGTTTTTAGGATTCAACGTACCGCAAAAGGCGTCTTAGTCCAGTGCAGTAATTGGAGCTCCAAATCATTCAGAGCGAGGTTCGAAACACCTGATGTCAGTCATGACGGCACTCACTAGCTTTCCAAGGTCTTGCGTATTTCCAGGCCGTACAGAACAAGTCGCCACCTCTGAGCCTGACTTCGCCCAATGATAGATGTCCTCGTCAAATTCAGTTGACCCTTCGATATCGCATTTTCAGTGAAGGTCAGAATGTTCGAAATAAAGGAATCGAATACCTGGCCAGGCTACAAAGGCTGGAGATGATAATATTTGAGGAAGAACACTGCAAACATGCCTGATGTTGTCAAGCTCGCCGCCTTGACCCTTGTCGCCTCGGGGAGTCGACAATATAACCAGAGCATCCGGAGAGATATTAAATAACAGGCCCAGAATCGCGCTCAGAATAGCAAAGAATATGGAAAGATTATGCATGTTGTGCGGACGAGGACTGGCAGCGCTTGCTGACATCCCATGTTGAGAGAGCGGAGGCCTGGCTTATAACAAGGGCCTTCTCGTGATTATGGCTTTTTGCTGAAGCCAATACCGTGGCAGTGGCCGGCGACTATAAACTCCGCAAGATCTCCGAATGGGGACTGAGCTCGTTAAGGGGTGCCTCTCATGATGTAACTATTCACCACATTAGTCGATACTGTCACCCCGCGGGGCATGATGGGTCCCACACAAATAATTCCCGCTCTCGCGACATACTACTACAATTCGTAGTTCACGCCGAACTCCAATCGCTGATATCGGGGATGCATGGTAAGTACAAAAGCCTCAGCCGCCCGCTCTCTTATAACTCTGCATCAGAACTCGTTACTACTGGCTCCTATCAGAGAACATCATGTCCCTGAAACGCGTTCTAGGCGACAACTCGCTCCTCTCTTTACTTGGCACTACTGCAGTTGTTGTACTTCTTGGCTCTCTTGCTCGTCAGTACCGACGTAGTCCATGGCGTAAACTTCCACCGGGCCCCAAGGGTCTTCCTTTCCTAGGCAACCTCTTTCAACTCGGCAGCAAGCAATGGCTCTCATTCTCCGACATGAGAACTACCTTTGGTACGCATAAGCTTTATATGCATCCCACGATATACACCAACCTGTTTTTCAGGGGATCTCATCTACCTTGATGCGGCTGGTCAACCCATCGTCGTGATTAATTCTCAGAAAGTAGCGGCAGACCTGCTGGATCGCCATTCCTCTAAGACATCTGGAAGACCTCGATTGATAGTCGCAGAGGTTCTCACAGGAGGAAAGGTTCTCGTCTTTCTTTCCTATACAAAATTGTACGTTCCCATGACCTTAAAAGTACCCCCAAGCCTCTGAAATCCCATTTCTCAGATGGAAAAGAATTCGGAAGGCTACCCACGAAGGTTTTAACCGGACTATATCTAAAGGATATCGCCCGGTCCAGCATTTGGAAGCGATGCTGCTCTCCTCTGCTTTGATCTCTCGACCACAGTCGTGGAATGCACATTTTCGCCGCAACGCAGCTTCGTCGCTCATGGCAGTTGTGTACGGGACATCTCCAGTGACTACCGACAACGATTCTTCAGTAACCAGTGTTAACGACCACGTCAGCCGTTTGACCAGGGCCAATCTTCCTGGAGCTCACCTGGTCGAATTTATGCCATGGTTGCGCCATTTTCCCAGCAGGTAAGTCAGAACAATTTACTTCATTCAATGCAGAATAATCAACGCATCCTGCCCAGCATTTCAAAGTGGAAGAGAGTCTCTGAACAATGGTACGAGCATGACTCGAAGATGTTCGAAGACCTTCTTGGCTCAGTTCGTACTCGTATGGTGAATACTATCCTTGCTTCTTCTTCGATACTGCATAGAAACTAAGCATTACTGAAGGCCAAAGGAGACACACGATTAAACTTTTGCGTGCGCCTTTTTGAGGGAGAAGCGCAAAGCGGCTTGTCTGAGTCTGAGAAAGCTTGGACTGCTGGAACTATGTAGTACGTGAGCTCGCCTCGTATCTCCCCAACTCCACTCTCAACTTAACAATTTGTGACTAGCGCCGCCGGAGCGGAGACCACCTCTGCTGTTATGTCCTGGTTCTTGCTCGCCATGACCGCTTTCCGGGATGTCCAACGTCGAGCACAGACAGAGCTCGACACCGTCGTTGGTCGCTCTCGACCTCCGACCTTTGACGATTTCGACCACCTACCTTTTATACGCGCCATTCTCAAGGAAGTGCTTCGATGGCGTCCTGTTGATCCAGTCGGGCTCGCCCATTCTACCACCGAAGACGATTGGTATGGCGGCTTCTTTATTCCGTCCGGGACGATTATCATACCGAATGTATGGCAAATGAACCGCGATCCGAACGTCTACGGAAACGATGCTGCAAAATTCGATCCATCGCGGCACCTCGACGAACAGGGTAATTTGAAGGCTACTTCCGTCTACGCCAAGGATGAAGGACACGTCTCCTACGGTTTTGGTAGAAGGATCTGTGTTGGGAGACACGTCGCCAACAACTCGCTGTTCATCAACATGGCTATGGTTCTATGGGCGATGGACATCAGTGAGGGGACGGGAGGCAACATAGATGCCCTACCTTTAGGAGTCGATGCTTGCGTTGAAGATGGTATCGTTGTGTGAGTAATGTTTCATTGTTATAGATTTCTCATCTCGTCTAATGTTGTCTTCGTAGGCGTCCCGCCTCGTTCAACTGTCACATTCAGCCTCGTTTCGCGCAAGCACCAGTCTTACTGACTCACGCTCTGGAAGGGCTCTTAGTTAATTGATCATGTAAATGATACAATCATTAACATTGCAGTCTTCATGTAGGTGCTTGTGCTTCTACTATGAGTTGAATCTGTGTGAATGAATCTAGGGGGTACCTCCTTCTACTTCAGCGAAAAAACGTTCAGTGCCTTTTTAGTCCCTAAAAACAGTTTCGGATTTGCTGTTTAGTACTTCGAATTCATAGAGGAGTCGCAATCAACAACCAACTAGGCGTGAGCTGCATAGCCGCTTCAAGAGCCGCTATCTACGTGCTACCATATGGCCTCTTTATTCCGTAGAGAGGAATAGAGGTGCTGTCTCTTGTGCGATTATGCACAAATGATGTCCCTTTGCGCAGGTCCATCAGATCGCACTTTTTGTCAAACCGTCTAGGTAAGCCCAATAGCGATCTTAGCTCGCAAATAGTATACTCGGAGGCACTCGTGCTCGAAGGTCCACTTTCTAGAACACAAGATGCTATCTCCATCGGTCCGGACAATTAAACTTATGGTTTCACCGGGTGAGCCGAGGAACAATGTTCAGCTTTCGGGTCTAAATTCCAGGACTTCTGTAAGTGGTTCGCACTCATCTTTTTACCTACTAGTCGTACCAAAGTTCACACTCACGCCATGAGGTGGTCCATTGGTCTTCAATGTCCCGAAGGTCTTCAAGCTGGCGATTAAGTTTGATATTCTTACCATACCTGCCTTTTTGGAGTACCTTATGCCGCCGTCCTTCCTCCGGCTGGGTAGCTCCTGACGCTTGAGTTTAGTGGCGCGCATTGCAGCTGATCCTTGTGTAAAATATCCACCTCACTATCACTTCGAGGCGCGGCGGCCTTCGCTTGGAGACACAAATTGATGTCGATTCAAATAAGGTTTCACGTCACGTCTTTCTGATGCAATACCCGTTTTTCTGAGTTCAGTATACTTCCATCTCGTGAAGGGTCAACCGGTCAAGATCCACTCTGTGCTCCATTCGAAAAGGTACGCATTGCTTTTGATCGATTATGCGATGAGTGCGTGTCGGGATTCTCATTCTCACGACAATAATATCTCTCGGACAGAACCGTCGACTTCCTCCAGCAGGAATGGCCTGCGAGTTCACTATACAAGTACACGTACTCAGCGTGATACAGTCGAAGTAACTACCGCTGCTATAGCAAAATTGCGGTGTAACATCATGATTTCTTCGTCGTCTTCGTCTTTTCAAGCCGGGGTGTTTCTCCTGGTCAGTCTAGCTGCCTATTGTTATGTTCGCTACAGTCGCAGCCCGTGGCGTCAAGTACCTCCTGGCCCAAAAGGAGTCCCTTTACTAGGCAACATTGGAGACCTGGGTGCTCGCCAGTGGAAGAAGTTTAGTGACCTCCGAAGAGAATTTGGTACGCCCATGGTCTACTCTCGATGCACCAAACGCTACATGGATATATTGTTTTCCAGGTGATATAATATATCTAAACATTGTTGGGCAGCCTATCGTTGTTATCAATTCGGCAAAGATAGCGGCGGATCTCCTTGATCGTCGGGCCAGCATATATTCGGACAGACCTCCTAGCTATGTGGCCAGCGAGTTACTTTCAGGTGGCCTTGCGTTGGGCCTCAGTCGTTACAATGACGTGTACGTTGTTATTTTCTCTCTTTCACCTCTCTTCCTTGTGTTCCGGGCGTGGCTCAAGCAGTTGGCGCACTTCAGATGGAGAAAGTTACGCCGTGCGGGCATGGAGGGCCTCAGCAAAAGCTTTGTGGCGAACTACCACTCCAAGCAAACCATCGAAGCAATGTATCTTGCCCATGATATACTGCTAGACCCGTTGCGATGGGATGCTCATTGCCGTCGCTCGGTGGCATCTGTAACAATGTCCATAATTTATGGCAACCGCATTGCATCTGAAACAGATCCCGCCGTGAGGCAAATCAACGATCAAGCAGCGAGAGTGACAAGTGCGGCCTCTCCGGGCGCTCACCTTGTGCAATTCTTTCCTTGGATGCAGAAGATTCCCCGCTCGTGAGTCCACTCTGGAGACATGAACTCATAGTGCTTCCCTTCTGCTGACATATAACATGGACAGACTCGCGGGGTGGAAGCGGACTGCTCAAGACTGGCACGAATATGACTCCTCCGTGTTCCAGAATCTGCTAAACGAGATCGTCATTCGTGAGGTGGCGGCTGTCCGTTCTCTTTTTTATTGGGCATCTACTCACACGATAGTTCAGGCAAATGGGATGTCGCGTCCAAGCTACGCTCTCAGTCTTCTCGAAGGACCCACCTCTAGCAATCTCTCTGGGAGGGAGAAAGCTTGGCTAGCTGGAACGATGTTGTGCGTCCCGTTTTATTCTTCCATTCGTAGTACACTGCTTATTTCTGTCTCACTTTCGTACAAAGCGCCGCAGGGTCTGATACGACGTCTTCCATTCTGGCATGGTGGATTCTCGCGATGATCTCCTATCCACACACTCAGCAGCGTGCCCAGGAGGAACTCGACACCGTTGTCGGCCGCTCCCGTCTACCCTCATTTAGCGACTTCGGAGCCTTGCCCTACATCCGCTGCATGGTGACTGAATCGTTGCGATGGAGCTCTGCCTTTCCGATGGGCGCCCCTCACAGATGCATGCAGGATGACTGGTACGACGGGTACTTCATCCCAAAAGGAACCATGTTACTACCGAACGTCTGGGAGATGAACCACAATCCGGAGGTTTATGGTGCTGATGCAGCGCACTTCAATCCGGCCAGGTTTTTGGAGCATGGTACGGAGGCTAACGAAAAAAAAAGCGACACTCATTGGTCTTTCGGGTTCGGGAGAAGAGTTTGTATGGGAAGACATGCGGCCGAGAATACTCTATTCATCTTCATTGCCGTGGTATTGTGGTCGTCGACTATCGGACCCGCGGCCGATGATGAGGGCAAGGTCACCGTGCCCAGCCGTGAGGATGTAGACGAAGAGGGCTTGATCATGTATGTCTTCTCGTATTTCTTCCTCGACGTTCATAGGACTAAAGTACGGTATACCAGTCGTCCCAAACCGTTCAGATGCACTTTCCAGCCCAGATTCTCCGATGCCACAGCGATTCTTGACCAGGCTATCGAGGATGTAGGCTACTGAAGTGGTAAGACACGATGGCCCATATTTTTCACCTGTCGCTCTTTAACCATGCTTACCGTATTTTGGCTCAGATCTGATTAAACCACTTGCTGGCTTTGTGACGAGGACTGTGGCGGTGGCATGCTGAGCAAACTGATTTATAGTTCTCGCTAAGTGGTGTTCTGGGACATTGGCGATGCCCGAATCTTTGGTTGTTCAATCATACTACATGTCCAAGTTTTGTTTTGGATGAGCGAAGGTGGTCAATGACACTGTTACTTAGTCTGAAGGTTTCTCGTACTGTTGAGTTCGGTCGCACCAGAGTACTTGGCAGGAATCAAGTATTACTAGTATGTTGAAGCTATTTTTCTCCGTGAGACTCTATACTCAGGTCATCTGTGAAAAGAATTCTGGCATTGAATCCTTTGCATCGTCATATTCAGCGAATGCGGCAGTAAGTAGCTGTACATACACCTGCCTCCTCGACGTCGAGTAAGCGTGTGTCTATCATACGATAACATCCAGAGCAGTTGCAGGATTCCAATCCGAATATTCGTAGTTATCCAACTCGTCCCTTTCGCCTACTACACCTTTACCTAAGGCCCAAGCCAGGCGAATGTGGCTTAAAACGTCCCCTACGTTCTTTTCGACCGCCTCTCTAAGAGCATATACGGGAAGATAGTTGACTGCGAGCGAGTTTCCCATGCGTTCTTGATATCCGTTGACGATACTTTGCAGCGACTGTACGAAGTAACGAAAAAATGATAAGCCAACGTTAAGAAGGTGAGGACAAGTATTGCGTACAGTACGTTCACCTTCCACGCGGAACTCCCTGTTGATCAACTTCGACGGAGGAAGAGTAGTCAGGACGTGCGCTACAAATCGTGCGACATCGCCACGAGATGTGAACGAGATGAGTGCTCTCCCATCTCCGGGAATAATGACGCTCCCCGTGCGCAACATCAAGCCTGCATAAGGCCTTCAACAGGTTGAGCAGGTGCATTAAACTTCATGCAAAAACGAACTGAAGGCTGGAGAACAGAACCCAGACACTCACGACTCGTTGAAGAGCATGTCCGAGATCACGCCGGTATAGAATACGGTGGTACCGACGCTCCCGAGGACTGCTCTGAACTCCGAATCAGTGGGGATCCCAGTGCGTCCAGGGAGACCATATTGTGACGGGACAAATAACGTGACACCAGCAGGCTCGCAGGCAGAAGCCAGATTAATCTGTTCGGTAAATATTGCGGCGTATCCAAGCGTGGAGACGACGACGTCTACATTGGCTAACGCAGACTGGAGGGAAGGAACTGAGGCATAATCAACGACCACAACTCTTGGAGCTGCTTCTGTAGCCGTTGTCGCCGTACTGTTCTTGTCGGACCCCTACAGAAACATCTCCGGTTAGCAATGGCATGCATAATTCATAAAAATTTAGAACGAAATGTCGATGATGTCTCACCTTCGTCTCACGGGTCAAAATGACTATGTCGTCGACTTGGCCAGCAAGCTTCTGATTCATAAGCTCATTAACAATGGCTTTTCCAACATTCCCAGCCCCCGCAACTGCGAATCTTCTGTAAGTGGTCATGGCGATAATAGTGGGGCGAACGAAGAGCTTGGGTGAGGGTCCCCGGTTTTCTGGCAGTTAAGCAGCCATTTGGCACACTCTGTCATCGTATGTTCCCTGGAAGTATGTTGACATCCGATATCATTCCGCGGCGTAGATGATTGTTCAGCCATCCCGGGGAGTGAAGTGGGTCTTGATTTCTCCATTTGTTAATGCTCGTGCAAGAGGTCGCACTTCAAACCACGGTATCTATAAAAGCAACATAAGGCTACGCCTCGCCATTTACCGCCAAAAGCAGCCAAGGACCATGATATCTCAACCCATGCTATAATCATGTAACCAGGTGGACTGGTCCTTGATCCATTGGAGATGTGATCGGAACTCAAGGCGAAACCCTACACTTTGGTTCACAAGGCTCGGGCAAGATATCAGCCCTTTAAAGAATTCAGATGGTTTGCAGACCACACACACAAACGAGTTATAGGCTGAGAGAAAATCTCAACTACTCACGACCTTATCAACATGCCGTACGGTTGTGTCTAGACGCGGAGAATTCTAGTGGGATGGAGAAAATGCCATCGTGAGGGTACTCGGGATCGGAACGTAACGTTGACTTTGGACGCAAGCTAAGCCGGAAGCAGGATTATCGTTATGAATCGCATGCATTCATACACGGTTCTATAATTCTTCATTAGACCGAGATGGATGCAGTTTACCCTCTTCAACGCCATCACCAGCGTTCTCCGCAGGGATCGTCTCCTGGACGGCAAGTCTCGCCGCTTTGATGATATCTGCACCTCGCTCAGCCACGATATAAACGGGACCCATGGGGTGAGCTGCTATCTGAAAAGGCTGTCGAAGGGAGAATGTCTCAATGAGAGTAGGTATTCGAACTCGCAGTTTAGGGATGTACATACAAAAATACATGCATCAACGACGCGCAAGCCGTGCGTCCCTACCACAGTTAGGTCAGGATTGAGCACACCGTTGCCCGATCCCCAACCGGACATTCTCGCTGTGCCGACAGCATGATGTATTGTGCCTGTGTTTGCGCGGATATAATCTTCTAACTCGCTCTCAGAAGAGACGTCGGCCAGCCCTTGAGCCACAGCAAGGATGACAGTCAGTATCATGTTTGGTTGCGCCAACTGGTGAGTTGAGTGAAATGTGCGGGCGCACCACCAAAAGGTCTATGAACAAAGCTGGAGAGGGAAGGAGCCTCGAGAAACTCCTGGGAGGCTCGCACGGCCTCTTTCATGCATTGTATGTCAAAGTCGGAGTCGAGTAAGTTCAAGTCGATAGCGGGCTGCAACCACGGATCGGAAGAGACGATAGAGACAGAACCACCTTTGTTTAGCATTAGCCTTTTTATTCATTGTTTACACAGATGGGTCACTTACGCGATGCAGGTGATGCTACAATATTCGAGATTGTGAGGAAGCCTTGATTGCTGCTATGCTTGAGTTCGGCCGTGACGAATGTCGGCTAAACAAAGGTGAGATCTAATTCTACACCAGGCAAGGAGCGCAGCGGTTGACTCACGGTGAAGATCATCGCAAAATGAGGGCTCCTCGATCCAGCGCTCTGGTCCAAAGAAGAGTTGAGTGCAGAGGAGCGTAGCCAACCTGTCATGCTGGAGAACGAAAGACCCATAATTCCCTTTCTTGTCCGATGCCATTCGTCTAGCGCTTGTATTTGGAATGTATCGTTGTGGATAAACTGGTCTAAATCATTGCCTTCGTTCACAAGATATGGCTGTGTAAACAAAGGATGGTCTTGCAGATTTTTACCAACATGTTGGAGAGGAACGATGGGACGAATGTTCGCAGCTTTGAGTTGCGTAGCGTCGCCGATACCCGAGAGTTGCAATAGGTGCGGGGTAGATATTGCACCGCAACTGACGATAACCTCTAGTCGAGCGGTCAGGCTATACGTCGAAGCTGAAAAATTGTGAGATACTGGACTTTTGGGTAGAGATTCACACAATCTAGAGCTTACCATTGCGCTCCCTAGCAAACTGCACTGTACGAAACGAAGGAATATTGGCGATGTGCGCCGATGGTACAATCCGGAGAACTTGGGAGTTGAGTAAGATGTCGAGGTTATTGCCGCGAGCGAGAGCAGGTCGAATATATGAAGTAGTGACGCTTTCTCTGGTCCCATTCCTGATTGTCGCTTGGTTGAAGCCTAGCGTAACATTCAGTCGAGACAGCTGGAAAAAACAGCTGAAAAAGCTTCACATACCAACCCCGATGGGATTTCCATTATTCATATCGGTGTTAAAAGGAAACCGATCAGACAGTTCCTGCGTGGCTTTCCTTATAAGATCGTCAACACTTAGCGGATGATTTGGGAGGGAAATCGACAATGGGCCGCTCAAACCATGCGCAGACGGGAGGATTTGACCAGTAGTATCGTGCCCGTCTGTGGGAACGGTGAGAGCCTCAAGCTGTAGAAAGTCTCAGAGATTGTACCACCCGTGAGGATATACATTTGATCAGACGTACTTTACGCATATATGGTTCCAACTTGCTCCAGCTCCAGCCACTGTCGCCAGTTACTGCTGCCAGTCGATCATAGTCGTCGGCGGAACCACGGGTATAAGTCATGAGATCTTTTTTCCAGAGAAGAATTCCTTAGCTCTGGAATCGATCCGGTAATACGTATACTGGTGATAACTTACTGAGGGTCGTCGAGCCCCCGAGTACCTTCCCACGAACATAGTGCATACTCTTGTTATGGAGTCCCCTCTGCCTCGTGGTAGTGAAGTTCCAGTCGATGACGGAGTTACGAAGAGAGATTCCCATTAGAGGAACGGGGATTCTCTGCGAGATAGGATTTTCCGTGACATCGTCGCCTCCAGCTATCATATCGGCGGTGTTTCTGATGCATACCAGACTGCGAAGTAGTTACTTGAGCACGCACCTTCAACCACTAAAACATTGATCGATGAATCTTCGGCCAAGCGACTGGCAACAACTCCTCCAGCATTCCCGGCTATGTTCCATGGTTAGGGAGGTAATCTCAGAGGGGGAGACAATACTGACCGCCGACAATAATGTAATCATATACTTTCTCCTTGGGTAGCTGCGATGGATCGTATAAGATAGCGGCTAGACTCTGCAGCCCATTGAGAATCAGCAACGAAAATGCAACACGAAGAATTGGATAGAAAACTTTGTGATACATGACAGAGTATGAGAAGAGATGTTAGAGAAAGCAGTCCTGGTCTGAAAGCAGTAGAGTCACAATATAGCCCAAGCGAGTAATGGACCTGTCTCAAAATCCTCTTAACGGATCGCTAATCCGTGGATGGGGTTACAAAGTCTTCCAGATCAGATGAACCACAAGTGACCATGAGAATGGTCCAAGTGAATTGGCAAGCGGTCTCGTCTCGGTATGGCATGACACGGACGGCCGTAGGTGGGTCCATAGAGTGCGAATATGTCACTTACTAGGCATTGAGCGAGCTTGGAGCCTTGATCGGCGTATTGAGAGCAGTGATCGCTGCTTTGAGCTTGTCTAAATTACGATGCAGGTCCGCCGGTGCACGGGGAAGAGGTTCTAACGCTAGGATACAACGCAGGCGGTGCTCGGTGGATATCAACCTCCGAATGCAACCTCAGCTCAGTTCCAGGTTGCCTTGGACAATATAAGGGGATACGCACAAATAGTTGAGCGAGTGTCTTCCATAAGCTTTCCAGCACGACGGTATGACAAGAATGGCATGATAGCAGCGAAGGAACCCGTGGACGACGCGGGATCCTGGCACCACAAAGCCACCAATCTTGATAACGATAGGCTAGAATGATGCAAGACGCTATGAGATGTCTTAGCATGTTGGGCTGGTGGGGATTGAATGGGGAGAAGTAGGGGTGTGGCGAGATTGTGTGGCGCTCGGGAAGAAGCAAGGAAACAAGGAAACAAGTTTGATAGGCCGACTACGCTACAAACATAGCTCAGGTACAGGACCTTGCCGGGCCGGACGGATAAAGTAAGAGCAGCACAAGAAACCAATTCGAGTCACGTATGTATGGTAAGTACATTCGAAACAAGGATGACCGAAACAAATTCAGGGTGTAAAGGATTGTAAACGGAGGCGTAAGCAGGCCGCAGGCAGAGATCCGGCAGTTCCCTTAGTGGGACCGACGCCGGTACGGTGTGATATACCTATGTAGTACTTACCTGCCTCTCGCATCCTGTTCGGGACTCCTCGGCGTCACTGGCACTGTGGTGCTCTCGGCTTTGCATCTTCGCTCTACTTTTACGTGCCCTCAGTCATGGTTCATTCTGTCCGGTTCTCATGCGTATGGTCGAACAGTGATGGCATAGCAGCACAGCAAGTGAGCTAGTCATGGCCAGGTCTTAGCGTGGTACTAGACTTGGTTAGAGATTATCAAGAGCCCGAGACAACTGCAGCCTTTACCCGCCCACGCGCATCCAAGGGCTCTTCCCAGTAGGTTATTCAACTTATTCAGAGCCAAAAACGCACAAGTCTGGTGGCTTTACACAATGACCTGTTCTCAAGATGATAATGCATTTTAGACCTTAACCGCACTGCTCGTAATAGCTAATTTCAATGGACTGATGTTGCCCCTAAATCCTTCATGATTATAGAGGCAGCCTGACAGGCTTATACTCAGTCGAGCACGGCAGTATGATGGCGTGAAATTTACGCACATTCTCCGCAACCGCGTATACAGTTGGCTGCAAAGGTGCCCCGATAGTCAACGGTATGACGCTCGCGTCGACGACACGGACGTTCGCCAGACCGTATATCTTGAGGTCGGAACCAACAACGCCTGTATGCAAAACGTCCTTAGCAGAGCCGATACGTAGAGACAGAATACGTGTATAGTACAGACCACCCATTGCTTTTGGGGCCATAGGCATAGTACCTGTTTGTGGATGTCTTAGTCTCGGCAAGAAATTAGCACCAAAAAGCGAAGTGAGTACCGATGGGATGAGCGATAGACTATGTTTAGAATTAATAATCGAGCTTGAAAATATATACACATGAGAACGTACCCCGAGAGTGCTGAGAACAAAGCTCCGCCACTTGTCGTCAGTATCAACATTTGCCGGGGGAGTCACTGCGTCCGCGATGTAGCTAGCGGCGGGTTCCGTGTTGACCCATCGTCTGATGAACTGGGCTGCTGCTACTTGAACGTCCAGGTCTTGAGAATGATTGAGAAATCAATTAATGATATAAGAGAGAGAGAATCGTCAGCGTACCCCATGTAAAAGACAGGAATTTTGGATCGATTTGGGGAGGAACGCTAGAATTCGAAGTGCTGATATGCTGGATGAAATGACTGAGTCCAAGCGATCGGGAAGCGGAATGAGATCGCTGGACCTACAACAGAACCACGAGAAAATTCGTGCTGTTGCAAATTTTAGCTTTCATGTATACGTCCTGAAAATGTTGGACGTACCATTTGGAATACGGCGACAGTGATGTAGTTCTCGTCGTCTATAGGGATACTTGCCGCTCCGCCCCTGGGAAGAGCAATGGGAGTCACCCAGCCGACCTCGCCACTATCCAACATGTCCTTCAGCTTCGCATACTGAGCAAGCTGCAATGGCGTGAGATCTAGCGCTGCCAATTCCGCATCCAGCGAAGCGCGCATCCGTGCATACTGGTCCTCAGAGACGATATCTTTGACGGGCCAGGATCCAGTGACTCTGGTTGCATAGGTGAACGCTCCTTGCCCAGTACTGTTGCTGTGAATACTTATTTAGAAGCAGCCAGAGTTGAAATAAGGAGATCACACACTAAAGCGCTTGCTGCTCCTGCAGGTACGTTTGGTTCGTTCTTAACCAATCTACATCTGCCATGTTAGCATATACGCATTGGAAGATGTCAGCGCAGAAACTCACCAAGGCTAAACACTCCATCTTTAATCGTATAGTCCGTGGAAGTAAGAATGTGATCCATCAGGTTTTCCCCGACTTGAGGAAGGTTTAGAACTACTGGAATGCCAAGTGATTCCAGCAGTGTGGCGTTGCCCACTCCGGATAGTTCTAGCACCTGCGGCGACTTAAGAGTACCTGGGGAAATCGTCAGCAATTATTGAGAAGCATATCTGAGGCGTTTCACGTACCTGCGCATACAATGACCTCCTGTGTTGCATTCGCAACATATGTTTGGCCTCCAGCAACGAACTCGACCCCCGTTGCTCTCGCAGAATCGTTATTCACCACATCATCCCATATAATCCTGCTGACTGTGGCGTGCATGAGCACAGAAAGGTTCGGCCTCACGCGAATGTCAGCGCTATAGTACCCCGGTGCAGCGTAGCTGCGCTTTCCAGAGCTGATATCGACAGAGTTAGGAATGCCAGCGAGCGGGATGAACGAACTGTTACCACCGTCGGGGTTTGGATTCAGGGGAAAGCCCATATTGACACTTGCTTGGGCGAATGCACGATCAATCTCGGTGACAAAGTTATCGTAGCGGACGTCGATGGGGCCACCCTCTCCGTGAGCTGCTGCGAGTGCCGACAGTTGGCTTGCCGTAGTGTTAGGAGCGAGTGCATCACTTCCCGTGGCCGGGAAGGTCCAGTTTTCACTGCGCTTGAAGAAGGTCTCCAGCGCATCAAAGCTCCACCGTGGCCCGTTCTCGAAAGTTGTGCTCCACGAGTCGTATTCCTCGCGGGCGCCCCTCTGCCACGCCAGATTATTAATCGCTGATGAGCCGCCCAATACTTTCCCGCTGATTTAAATGCTCAGATCACGGCATTTTAGATACATAGGTCTTCACAACAACTCACCGCGGGTATGGGATTACTGTGCCATTTAGCAGCCCATCCTGGGGGATGCTGGAGAACGCCCAGTCGTACGCCGGATTCCCAATGGCCGAAGCGGATGGATCATTGATCAGGTAGCCAGGAGAGTACGGGACATCGATAAGAGGATCTCCGGTAGTGTTGTAGTGGCCTGCATCCACTACTCCAACGCGCAGAGACGTCGCAGAGAGCCTGTTGGCTAGAACTAAACCTGCAGTCCCTCCTCCCACGATAATGACATCGAAAGACGTGGACGAAAATGAGGCTGGATCAACCGAGTCCAACTGAGCGAGAGCGGAGAATGAGGAGGGTGCAATGAGCACCACAGTGGGCAGAAGCAGTTGTTTGCGAAAATGCATGGCTACGCTGTAAAGGCGTCTTTTCGACTATGTCTGTGATATATGTCCTGGCGAATCAAATGGCGGCTCGTGGGAAGAGGAACAATCGTGTGCATCAATGGCAACTATAGGTCCGGATAAACCCGTTTAAAATGGGCTGTTTCAGAACGACAGGCGCCCCGTAAGATTGATCAAAGTGCGCCAAATAAGACCATGGATGGGGAAGCATACTCCTGACCCCATACAGAGCAGCTTGCTACAGCCTTCGCAGCACGAAAAAAAGGCATTGCACCCCCTTGATGGGTAGTTTTCTGGCCAAAAGAGGACACCATCTCGAAAGCGCAGAGTCAGTGGCGTTGTTTGGCACGCGTGAAAATTCAGAGGGGTTTTGTAAGCCGCTGTACCAACTGCTGCCGACTTTCCAGTACATCTGTCTGAGACCTTCCTCATGTGCAAGCGGTGTCTTATCGAGCGGGATGCTCATTATGCCGTGAAGCATGCCGCATACACAGGACGCCGCCACATATATTGATCACAGTGCCTGAGTCCGTCCTATCGTTTCGTTCCAACCTGCTGTCCGTACTCTGCCTTCAAACGGCTCTGGAGTACATTCTCCGATTATAAACCCAAGACCAAGGATATCTAGACGATGTATCACAGCGTTTTTTGATTGAAAATAAATCCAAGACATTTCCATTATCTCGGGAGGATACCGAAGCGACTGAGACAAGAGCTGAGTCCATCATGCTAGCTTTCCGTAAGAATTTCTGCTGAGCTGTCAACTCCACGTCGGCCCTGCAGAACACAAATAGAGTACAATATCGGTCGCAGCTGTGCAAAGTAGCTCCGGTGCGAACCGAGCTGCCAGTGAACCTCAAGTCCTGCTAGCAGTAACCTATACGTACCCTTCCGAGGTGCGGACGAGTCCACTCACCTAAACGTGCGCCCGTACCGCGCTTGCGTGATGGATAGCCACGGGCCAACATCCCTCTTCTCATATTCTCCCAATCAGTCCCATAACACAGACAGTGGTTGCCCTGAGATCAGTGTCATGGGAAGCGAAGTATGTCCGTTGACTTCGGTATATCCAAGATTGAGATGCGAGCATGCTGACGTGAGAAAACACGGTTGGTCACAAGACGGTTTGCAATGAGTGTGAGTGAGGGGATGAGGAGAGGTCGAGGTTGTACTGGGCAAAGGACGCAGTACACAAACGGCCAGAGCTCGCGGGCGATTGACCAACTATGTGCAAAGCGCCCATGATAAATGCACGTGCTGCATTTGCATAGCGCCGGCGAGAGCCGGGGGCGCCGAGCGTGGCGGCAGTGGTCAACTATCCACGAGAGGGGGTTGTGTAGAACTTGAACTACATCTGCATAACACCGTCAGTTCCGACTTCGCTGTGAGCAAGTTCGAAGTGGATCAAAGCGAGTAGAGAAAACAATTTTCTTCGTGAGATCCTGCCAGACACACACGAGACCAAGAATACAAGCGGTTAACTTTGCCAAATAAAACTTGAAACAATAATGAAGGCTTAGCAAAGGCTGCAACTTGTCAAAATATGCAGTACTACAGTACTAGATATTGAGAACCAACTGCGACACATGTTGAATGTGCGATACGTATGTAACAGACGTAAGGTCATAACAATGCACTCTCCAAACGTGCCTATTCCGGGCGATAGATCAAAGCACAAAGCGGGCCACGCTTCACACTCTCTAACTTCCAACCCGTCCCTTCAGCAACCTTAATCCACTGACCAATTGTCCTCTCCTGAGCATTGCAGGAGTTCATCATCTATGGAGTATTATGTGTCATCGCACAAGTCATGCATCATAGATAGGAAAACATTACCCTCATGTCGGCGAAATATATGTGAGAGGATGCAGGCCCCAGCGAAGGAAGAAGGGGGTATGGGACGGGTGGGGACTCGCTCCCGGGAACATTCTTGATACTGTCATTGTCGGGTACAGTGCACGTATACGGAACAATCCATTCGAGCAAGATCACCCTCGTCGAAGGGCCAGCGGCTTGGCGAAGATGCTGCAAAATGCGTCGAGAGGGCACATCTGGCCAATCATGCAGCACAAACCGCAACAGGAAGACACGTGGCTCGTGGATTGGTTGAGGTTGGAAAAAGTCATGAGCTATAGCAATTAATTAGACGACAAATTTGACTTCGTTATGAAAACTGCTCACCCTCAAGCCGGACCAGTCCCTCTTTCAAGGCCAACGGATGCTCGGATTCCCAGAACTGTGCGAGGAGGGTGTTTTGGTTACCTACATTATAGAAAACATACGAACGGGAAGCATACCTTGAGACCCTGCTCGACGACGGGTGCACGGTCCTGTACCACATACTTAAGGTGAGGAAAAGCACGCGCCAACGGCAATGTGCAACTACCGATACCGCCGCCAACATCCACGACGACCTCGTTTTTCTCCAGTGAACCCCAGTCGAACGCTGGCGGACATAGTCAGTCGTGGCATTTTGGAGTGATACAGGTGGAAGCTCACCAGTTGTGACGACGTCCTTCGGGAACAAGAAGGTGCTAACGTTCATGGCGGCACCGAAGTTCTTGAGAAGTCTTTCATTGCCGGGACGTTCGATGTAGTCAAACCAATCACTCGGTTCGCCTACGCCACGAGAGAAGGGGGTTATCTTCGGATCAGTGGAGTAGGACGAGGCGGGGTCAAGTAGATATGACACTAATTCGACAGAGCCCCGAGACAGAGGATCGCATGCACTGACAATGGACTCAATGAAGAAACCAAGGAAAAGAAGGGTGTGATAGGCTTACGCATGAGACACGAAGGCTGCCATAGTTCCATCAGCGATATTCTCGAATTTATCAAGCGGACTGCAACATAGGGCATAGCTCGTCAGTCGAAGGAGATTCGCACACAGTCCGTAACGCACCGAGACCTGATCGCTTCATGAGGCTTGCCGGTGTCAAGCATAGCCGATATTCTGTTGTTGGCAAAAACATTGGGCCTGACTTCCTTGAAGATATGGCGTGCACACAAAAACCGTAGACAGCGACCTGTGAGATGTGTCAGCATCTTCGTTGGGTAACAGCAAGCAGCGCATGTACCTAGCTTGTCTTTGTCGACATCTATAAATTTACCGAAGTCGTCAATGTGAAGGCCCTATAGAGCGCATTTGACCACTTCAGATGAGCCCTGTGTTCACATCGTGGTATCCGGTGAGATCACAGATGGCCCACCTCTGGTTCAGATTCTCTAAGAAGCTCCGCAATTCCGGTCTCTACAGCGATCCTGAGGGCAGGAGTGACATGCATCTTTGATATATCAACAAACTCAGCAAGCATCCATAAACAGATAGATGAAGCAGCGTACTGCGTAAACCGTGTCCATGATAACATCCGACGGTTTGCGCAGCCTAGAGACGAAAAGAACTATGAGTGGTGAATGTAGTCACTGTGTAGAAGATACATTACATCTCGATGAGTTGAGCAGCAGCCGCAAGAACGATATTGATGGTTTCCGCGAGTTGGCGATCATCCTCGATGGCAGAGGGGCCCTTCGGGTCGTCGAGCGTGGGGAATGTTCGACCACGATCTGAGTACGTTTGGATGATGGTCTCAGTGCCTTTAGATACCAAAGAGGAGAGCGCAGCAAGCTCGTTGGCCATGTTACACTTGAATAGGGTTGTTGCCCAGCCAGAGATATTTTGAACACGGGAGCAGACTCAAAACCAAAAATCGTTCATGCTGGCCTATAAGTCAGTCGCTCGTCCCTCGATCACTTCCCAGTGGTGCACATGAGTCAGCCTGAGACTAAACCGATATTTTCTGACTTGTGTGGACCTGCATCAAAGTAGCAGTCTACTGTTCCTCAGCCTTGTGGGAGCCCAATAGTGAGCGTCCTTGAGCTTGAACCCAGGAGGGGTGAAAGGACTTGGACGGAAAGATCCTTCGAGAAGGCGTAAACTCCGTTGCACTCGCAGCGGGCCGCCGGCCGGGGTCAGCCGAAACGGCTACGTCTTAAGTCCGAGTCCACCGCTGAACCTAAAGTAGACTCTGAGTTGTCCCTTCGCTGCTGGATGGGGCTCTTGAGACCGGGCTCTAAATCAGTATACTATTTCAGTCACAACGGCATCAGTTGCAGCGGTTTAGTTTGAAATGATCAAATGAACCGCTGGACCAAAGTACTGTGGACCTGCGCTTTGACCAAGCTTTGGCGTCGTAAAGATCAAGGTCATCGAACGGCTACCACCCAATTAGTAGTGGAATATCCGCCGAACCATGTATTAGGGTATGTGAATCCCCTTCTAGTTGTGCATGCGATGATCGCATATCAGAAATGACATTGACGAGAGGTCCAGAGATATGGGCTTACCGGATGTGAACTTGGGGCCTTGAGCGGCTGAGGGATCTGTAAGCGTGCATCTCTCGTGAAGAGCCTACGTTACGGTGATACTCATGCCTAATTTGTTCACTATCACTCTGTTGTTCTTCGCGCGATGGTTAGAATAGATGCAATCCCGCGTCGCTCGGGCTGCAAGTGGGTCAGGCTGCGATGGCACACGACGCATGGGTCTGGAGGCGTTCACACCAACTTTCTCACTTTAAGGCTCGAGACTGGGGTACAAGATACCACTTAGTTCCTCTCTGCGACTCGCAAGTATATCTCTGCAACACCTTCAGCCATCGAACCATTCGACATGTCTCACGGTGTCGTTCTTGTTACTGGCATCACTGGGTACGTTGTGTGCTCCTGTGCTCATCCTTCGCCCCGGTCACTCATCGCTTTCTCGATGCTTGCCCAGCTTCATTGCTACCCACACCGCTAAAGCTTTTCTTGAAGCGGGGTACACGGTAAAGGGAACAGCTCGTTCCGCAGGCAAAGCCGAGGAATGGATCTCGCTCTTTCCCGCCTTCAAGTCAAAATTTCAGTACGCTGTCGTTGAAGACATGATAGCTCCCGGTGCTTTCGACGAGGCCATCAAGGGGTGCGATATTGTTGCCCACATTGCCTCCCCCGCTCATTGGAACCATACCGTGAGCCCGGTCATCCACGTTTCTCTCGCTTAGCATTATAATAACTAGTGATACAGGATAACGAGAAGGATATCCTCATTCCTGCCATCCAAGGAACCAGGAACCTCGTTGAGGCGACTAGGTTGGAGCCCAGGATCAAGCGAGTCGTCTTCACGTCCTCTTTCGCCTCCATTGTCGACCCGGCAGCTCCTCCTGACCACGTCCACAAGAGTGAGGACTGGAATCCTGTCACGTACGAGGAAGCCAAAGCCTCCTCTACACCGGCTTTTGTTTACCGCTCCTCTAAGCCACTTGCTGAGCGTGCATTCTGGGACTACATTAAGGAGGAAAAGCCGGCCTGGGAAGGATCTGCCATATGTCCCTGGTATATTTTTGTTCTTACATGGCCTGCTTACCGGTTGTTGATCGTCTCATCATACTTAGCGGTACTTTTGGGCCCCCCATCCACCCTTTGAAATCTATGTCGGCCCTAAACACGTCCATCCAGTACTTCTGGAACATGGCCAACGGGACCTTCAAGTCCGGCGTCCCGGCCGTCGGGTTCCCGGTATTCGTTGACGTACGTGACGTCGCCTTGGCTCATGTCCGGGCGGTTGAGCTCGACGCCGCAAAGGGTCAACGTTATCTCCTTATTGGCGGGACTTACGTGAGTGACTCAGTCGACCTTTACCTGACAAGGCAGTTAATGCAGATGCCTCAACGTCTTGATCTACATCCTCTAGAAACCCGAGCTCTTCGTCGACGTCATGGGGCGCACTCACCCGGAGCTGAAGGCTGACAAGCTGGCTGAGGTGGATGTCTCGAAGGTCAAGCTCGACACGTCGTTCAAGTACGATAATTCTAAAGCTCAAAAGGACCTCAACTTAACCTTCACCTCGCTCGACAAGATGGTGGCTGACACGTTGGATCGCTTGCTATTGTTGGAGAAAGAGTTGCCGAAGTAGAGGGCCAGGGTGAATAGAAGCCCAAAAAGGAACTCATAGTGGTGGTCGCGCAGCTTGGACGAACGTGACTGTAACTCGTGTACGGCGCTATCATCTGTTGTAAATTGTATTGCAAAATATTTTTCAGCTTTCCGTGTACCGCATGCACTGGATCCTCTCTGAACTCATGTACAGTCTTCGACAAGAATGTGAGAACATGGTCCCAACGAGGTCTTGACCGAGATGATTGTCCCGACTTGTCATACATGTGTGGAGGGCAAGGTGGCCCCGGCATCTCACATGCGCAAAAGAGTCATGCAGAATTTGGAATTTCTCTTGAACACCTCGATATACATGTTCCTCGTTTGTGCCTCTCTTTCACTCATCAACCGTTGTCTCCACGTAAATTCGCGCTAATAGTAAACGCTCTCGTGCTACGCCACTCCAGATATTGGTCCAAGTTCTGCCCACGGTATTCCTATCATTGCGTTGTTTTTACTGTCCTTGTTTTTTTCCCACAATGTCTGTCAGTAAAAACCACACTGACCGTACGAGCAATGCAAATATATCCACAAATGTTCGGGACGCCGACTGCTATGCCACAAACCCGGTAAACGATGTCATTTATGAGATTATGCATCTCGCCGAAGTAGAAACTTGTCGCTGAGTCGCCTGTGCTAATGGATGGATGGAGGAGAGGATGAGCAGACGAGGACCCGAAGGTTGGGACGTGCGTACATAAATGTATTGGCGGACAAGACGAGTAAATTGGCGCTCGTCGTAGATGGTGCAATGCTTCTTGCATCGTCGATGCAAGATTGGATGGATAGATACCGTGACTTTCGTCTCTCGTCGGTGCGTCTATTTTGTTTGTACCGTCCGGTCATCGTTGATTCTGATAGCGATTTCTCTATACGTGCACTTCATCAAGAGCACCTCAGAAAAACCTTGGGCAGAGCCCTCATGCATGAGTTAAAAAGGTACAAACACTAGAATGCCTGCCATCACGACATTCACGCATAGGTCATTCGAAACGCATCGGGGTCTGAGCTCAAACACATCAGGAACAGGAATACGGAAAAGAATAGACACCACGCACCACAGATGTCTTGAAAGTGACTAATTTCAACTGCTTCTTCATCCCGTATGCTCTATGCTCTATTTGACTTCCAGTAGATTTTTCTCTATGCAGAGAAATAAAGGGGAGCGGGAGAGGAAGCAGATGATATGGCGTCGCGTAAACAGACCTAGCACAGATACCATGAACGTAGTAATTGAAAGTAGAGAGAATGTACTTTCTTCGATGAGATCCGTGCGGTATCATGCATGGACGCACACAATGACACGACGAAGAGTATTTTGACGAGCGTTGTTGCGCGGGACATATATTGTTGAAAGCGGAGGTCGAGCTCTGCTTCGCGGAAGTGGCACTAGATCACACATGTCAGCAATAGAGTGTTTGTAAGCTGTAGAGACCAGGCGGAAAAGATGAAAAGTGGCATACGTGGGCTTTGAGAAAATCGACGCAGACGTCACCGTTCTCGACCATGTATAGGAAGTCTGTACGAAGGTAGCGAGTCGTCCGGATGGTTCAACGTCCTCGTCGCATGCTCCAATTATAGACAATATAACTTCTCTCAATTCGCATCCCGTAGTCCCGCCAGCCGATCATACGCTAACGTACGACATAAGCTCTCCGCACACAAGCGAAGCCAAAGCAGACGCGAACTGACTCTCTGCTCTAATGACCTCTGAAGCGCCTTCGAAAAACGCCCCTCTTCCTCTTCTACATCCCGCCATCCAAGCAACATCCAGCCAACCTCCGCATGTACCTCCTTGATCCTGATCACCAACATCTCACAAGCCACCACGCAATGTTCTCTACCACTCAAATGATCGCTCGAGTGCGGCTCTTGACTGTGCGCGACGGAACACTCGATGAGAGCGCGCCAGTGCGCAAGAATATTACTGGTTTTGGATGGGTGAGTTTCGGTGGGGGTGAGTACGAGTAAGTGATGTAAGATGTGGAGGCGGTAAGATCTGCGAAGCGAGCGAGCGGAGGTTGGAATGGATGTTGTTGAGGATCAGATATCGGGCGTTGAGGAACAGGATGATGGTTCAATCCCTAAGGAGTGGAGAAACCCTCGCATTGGATCCTTCAACTGTGAACTACCCGCCGTCTCCTGTTAGCTATAGCTCTAAGAGAGGGTGTGGGAAGTAAACGGACTTTAAACAGTAATGAGGGTCTGTTGAGCGCTGATTTCATACGCCCAATTTCCATATGTCTCCGAGTGACACTCTGCCATTCCTCAAGGGAGACGGATGGTTTACTTCTTGATCGTTATGGGGTATTGGGAGAGTGAGTGGTGGGCTTCGCCGGTCTGATAAACGTGTCTTCGTCGTTCTGTCAGGTTTTCTGTCCATATTGAATTTTCCAGTAATAGAGTACGACAAAGTAGCAATGAGATGTTGGTGTGGTGGTCTGAAGAGGTATAAGTTGCGGCTAGTAATAGCAGTGCGGTGAGGTTGAGCTCAAGGGGAATCCGACTAGACAATCTGCCCTTATCGCTGGGAGGGTCAGGACAGGACGAAGTTGTACCACAGAGAACAAGGTTCAATTTATTGAGAGGGAAGCTAGCAGGTAGAGATTCGGAGCTGCCAGTACGTACAAAGTACGTAGAGAACGAAAAAGAAAGCGGAAACGAGGCGTATTAGGAGGCGAGCGAGCGATCACCTAAGCGCTAATCTCATCAGGCGCGGGATGGCTCACGTGGCCAGCTTCTCTATTGTTGGGAGATCGAGCGCCGGTGGGCAATTGGTGGTTTTGCAGCCAAGAATTTCATCTTCCACGTTTCTGCGGGCGTCAGGTGTTGGAGTCTGAGTAGCATTTGAGCTGGTAAACGAGCACAGAATGTGGGACCTATGTTGACATCGACGAAAGTAGCGGAAGGCTGAGGCTCTGAGTGTCGTCAGACTGTATGAGAGCAAGAGGCCAGACGTCCCAAGATTAAAGTCGAGGACAGATATTATACGTATCGACTTGCGCATGGTCAAATTCAGCGGGCGGAGTGACGCTGAGGAGTTGGTTGCCAGCCATATAGCAGATGGTAAGTAGTTTCGTGTTGATTTCGTGAAGAGCAATGCGCATCGCATTTGTTTTTGGCTGCGCGGGAATTGCCATGATCGGTCCCATGGCACCGAGGTAGGGAAGGTGCCACCGTGGCGTTGAATTTGCTGTTTCGGTTTTTTCCCCCGCACAGGTTCTTCACTTGTCCGAGCCGATAGGGGAACTGCACGACAATCGAGGAAAGTCTGAAGAAGTCAATGCTCCTACAGGAATGCTTATTTATTTTCAACGGATGGACTGATTTATATGTAGGCACAAAACAAGCACATTCCTTCTGCGACGGATGGGATAAGCACGCTTTGAATAACGATCTACTCTACTGAACTAAACTACCTTGCCCCGCTGGTCCGGATTCCGATTCACAGGGCTGTACTCTCCTGAGGTATGCTGGAGTCCTTCCGACTACTCTCAATCTTCTCTTTCTCGTCCGCCCACCTCGGCCTGTCCAACCTAAACCCTGCACCTACCCTCGCATATGTAGCGCTCCCTAACATGGACACCGCTCTCAGCTTCGCTGGATCGATCCTCTCCCTGTCTGTCAACACATCCTTGCGCACATGTATGTACTTAACGTGTCCGAGGATTAGAGTGGTACTGATCGCACTGCACGTGGTAGAAGGAATATCGTATGCGGCGTAGAGGGTGCACTCCATCGAGAAGGCGGATTCGAGGATACGAGGAGGTTTGACGTAGATCTGGAGAGCAAAAACGGTCGTTGGAGCTATATGTGAGTATAACGGGCGCGGGGACACGGAAGATATAGGAGTGCAGCACTGGTACACAGTGCGTAAAAATGCACGAGAAATGATGGGTGGCGACATATCTGTATGGACTGCAAGTAGAAGTCCCATGCCTTACCATGCAACTGGGGCGACACCCCAAGAGAAGGAAAGTGGACGGATAAGTACTCACACTAGGCGCTCTTGTCAACCCGCTTAGTTCCCACTCATCTACACCGCTCGGCGCATCGAGAGATGTCGTAGTTGCATTCTCAATGAACGGTTCGCTTGCGATGTTCACAGTGAACTCTTTCAGAGCTTTGATGTTCGCTCCGGTGTCTTTGAGATGAGGAATGCCATCGGGCGTAATGTTCTGAACAGCGATGGAGATGATGGGTGGATTGGCAGTGACTTGGTTGAACCAACTATAACATCGCAAATGACGACAGGTTAAATGAGAAAATAAATGGGCTGAGGGGATGGCGCGTGCCTGTACGGAGCAAGGTTCGGGGTACCGTCTTCGCTGAGAGTCGAAACGAACGCGATTGGACGCGGCGAAATCGCGCCAATCATCAACTTATACAGCTTTCTATAATAAAGAAATACACGGTGAACATCTGAATCGTGTCACGATGATGGCGAGAGAAATATGATACACATACCTCGTGTCCGTTTTCGTAGTGTCGTACACCTGCCATCCTTCTTTCAAACCTTCGAGCCAGACTTTCCCGAGCTCAGTGCTCGAGACAGGATCGCCGTAGGTAAACGCCGGGTTTGGTGGGGTAGTATAGCTGAATTTGTACTCATGGTCGAAGGGAGGAAGCTGGGAGTCTGATGGCATGTCGAGGTCTGTTTGAGTCTATGCGAGACAGTAGGTTAGAGAAGGGAGATGTAGCAAGCCAGGCGAAAACATGCCACTTTTTATCAGGAACAATAGTCAGCATCCCCGAGGTCACTGAGTAATACTTTTGTGCGGGCGAACAGAGGGGGAGTGATGGTAGATAGTTCAACACAGCAAGGTGGCTTCCGTACTCGGGCTTCGGAATGGCCGACATTCTGAGATGTTGACTAATCCGAATTCTCTACGATTGAGAGCGTATCGTTTGGCGAGGTTCTAGAGGAAGATTCGGGGGAACCCATGTATCTGATTGTATGCAGGGCTGCATTCTACTGTGTCCTTTATGTATATCGAGTAAGCGGAACGGACCGAGAACCTGAGGTAGAGTCGCTGGCTGTCCCGCTTTCTGTTTATTACGCAAGGGGTAAGACTCTGATCGGAGTGGCCGATGTTGCACAACTCTCCAGCTCATGCGTAGCGCTTACAGACTGCTTAATAGATGCATCATCATCGCCGAATCGAGAGTGCGGCGGGCGCTGCAAAGCACCAAGCGTCAATGTTCGGGATAGTCACGAAACAGCGGCAGTTCTTCGAGAGTGGAGAGTGTTCGAATAAGCAGAAGAAGTATACCAGGCACAACAGCAATAAACATGTAGTGGTTTATACAGAAATTGGCGGTTTAGTTGCCTTGCAGACAAAAGCATAAGTGCGGTAGGAAAAGGGGGGCGGCTTCGGGGCGGCGTACGTTGGAGTTTTCTGTGGCTGAGTTTGAAAGTCGTCGGCAGTGTACGCGGCATATTGCGGGAGCCCTGTTGATTCAGAGCCACGGCGTTTAGCGAGTCAACTCAACGTCGTTACATGATCTTACCCAGTACACTTCTCTCAAAAGATCTGTCCCATAGCAGTCAAAGCTGAACTCGTACTATAAGACCTCCTGGAGCACGAAATCCACGACAGAAAGACGCTAATGATGAATGACGACCATACTTATCGTGGTTTGAAGCTCGGTCGGCCTCGGTTCTCCACAACGCCTCGAATCCGCATGCAGAAAAGGTTTGTAAATCACTGATCCCATTGAGCATGAAACAAGCACCACTTATCAAACGTATAAGTAGTGTCTGTCAGCTCTCCTATGTTCTCTCTATTTTCGATCCCCCTCCGACTCGAGCCCTCCCGGTATCCTGCCAGTATCGGAAACAATGACGTTCCCGAACATGTCTTTCAGCAGTGACTTGTGAGTTCTTTTGCTCATATCAGAGCTCTTAAATCATAGGCTAAACCGATATATGTTGTACAGCCAACACATCGTTGATGGGAAGCCGCGCGGATCGAAAACCACCAGGAATGTCATCAATCCCACCACCGAGGAGGTGCTCGCTACCGTCCCAGTTGCCGACCGGGAACTGTTAGACGAGACAGTTGTTGCAGCATCGTGTGCATTCCATGCATGGGCCTCCACGCCGATGGAGACTCGGCAGGCAGCCGTGACAGACCTGGGCAAGCTCGTGCTTGCAAACCTGAACGAATTCGCGGAGCTTCTCATCAAGGAGGTTGGGAAGAGTCGCGAACTTGCGTACGTGCTCAGATATTGTCATGAGGGTTTTGACCAACGATTGAATCCTATGTCTTTGACCTCGCAGGAATATCGAAACAAGCATATCTGGTGCTTGGCTACAAGGGGTTGCAGGCGCGTCGCTACCAGAAGAAGTTCTCTTCGAGGATGACAATCGCAAGGCTATCATTCGTTATGTGCCTTTCGGAGTGGTCAGCGACTTCGGCTATTCCGATATACAACTTTGAGGCACTGACCATATCTTTTATTGTCACAGTGCGCCGCCATAACGCCTTGGAAGTGGGTCACCCTCATTGTCTGTTGTACGTGGTGCTTCGTCTGACACCATCCAGTTTCCCAATTTCGCTGCTGGTATGGAAGATTGCTCCTGCTTTGGTCACTGGGAACTGCGTTATTGTCAAGCCATCGCCATTTGCTCCCCTCTGTGCCATGAAACTTGTAGAACTTGCCCAACAAGTCCTCCCACCTGGTGTTTTATCTGTTCTTTCTGGAGACGATGAACTGTGAGTACCGCTAAAGGTTTTCCACCTTCAACACGCACTGAACGTCTCATTGTTACGCAAGAGGCCCTTGGATATCGACCCATCCTGGTATCTCCCGTATATCTTTGACAGGCTCCGTCAATGCGGGCAAGTCCATCATGCAGAGCGCAGCATCCAATCTCTTGAGCCTTACCCTGGAGCTCGGAGGAAACGACGCGGCCTTGATCTTGCCAGATGTTGACCCCAAATCTCTCGCTCCGTAAGTCATCTTATATCCAGCCGCGACTCGCTCACGGTCTCAATCACGAGCACAGAAAACTGTTCTGGAGCTCGTTCTACAACACGGGCCAGATTTGCTGTGCGATAAAACGCGCCTATATTCACGAAGACGTCTACGAGGCCGTTCGAGACGAGCTGGTGGCTTTTGCCAAGACGGTCAAGATCGGAAATTGCTTGGACCCGGATGTCGGTATGGGCCCCGTTCAAAACCGCGTCCAGTTCGAAAAAGTCAAGTAAGTGGCGTCTTTTCTGAGGTCTCGTAGCCAAAGTGCATAAGGATACTGTGACTGACATGGACAAAAGATCCTTGATCGATGATTGTCGTGAACACGGTTATACTTTCGCATTGGGAGGGGACAGTATTCAGGGACCCGATGGAAAGGGTTATTTCTTGCCAATCAGTATCGTAGATTGTCCGCCGCAGGACTCGAGGATCGTCCAAAAAGAACGTGAGTGATCACATACGCTCTCTGCTTACACTAAGCTAAACACATTTTTGTTCACTAGAATTTGGCCCCATACTCCCTCTGCTGAAATGGAAAGACGAAGACGAAGTCATCAAACAAATCAGTACGTAGCTTCGGCCTATTCGGTTTCCAAACCGAAAAAGGTGCAATTCTCTCAATGCCCTTCACTATAACAGACGATAGCGCATATGGTTTGAGTGGCACTATATGGACCAACGACCTGGATCTCGCTCAGACCATAGCAAGGAAGTGGGAGACAGGTACAGGTCAGTGCAGTGTTTCCCTTTATCGAGGACGAACTCAACTGACGAGCTGGCTATTACGCCCAGTGTGGATCAACGAAGCACAAGCCTTTCATTGGGACCTTGTTCGTTCATATTCAAATGCTTTCTTCTTCGATGATATATTGACCTTATTATTGTTCTGTTTACAGCCTTTTGGAGGCTTCAAGGTGAGAGAGCCATACTTTTTCTCGGTGGTTTCCAGTATGCTAATTATACTGACCTTCTAGCACTCCGGTGTCGGTATCGAGCACGGACGCCAGGGACTAATCTCCTGGACAAACATTCAGACAATTACTCTGAACAAAGCCCGTACCTGAATATCCATGGACCGGATTACCGGAATGTAAGACTGCACCTCCACTCAGACGCACATTTGCATTCGCTCAGGCCACGATCGGAGGTGTAGATCTTGCAGATCGTTCCATTCTACGTTCGTTGGTTCTATCAAGTCCAAGCTGCTGTGCCACCACCTCTTTGTTTATCTCAGCAGCATGTAAAAATAAGCGTATTGACTAAGCCTAAGCAATTGACCCTTGTTACTCCAGCATTCTGGGCGAAACCGAGTGCGATGAGACGTCGTTTGACATGTTCTTGATGATATATAACGTCGTAACAGAGATATATTTCGGATTCGTTCAATGGCGAAATGCATCGAGGTTGTACTGGGAGGAGAGGCAAGCAAAACAAGAGGTCTTCGAAAAAACATACCATAAAAAGCCAGACTGGGAGGAATGCCGATGAGTACGAGCTGAGGATGTCCACGATCATCAAGCCTAGCGAAGAAATACCATCTAGATGGTGCATAAATAAGAGAAAGTGGACCGCGCCCATCAGATGATAGTTTCGTGAAGAGCGTCGCTGGGGGCGGCGAATTCGTTTTGACGCCTCCCCGGAACATGGTGCCACAGTGGCGCTATATTTTACAGTTTTTGTCTTCACCCTCGTTCTTTACTCATCGCTGCAGACGACGACACGATCGACGGTCAACCATCATAAATAGGTAAATCTATAAATGGTGGTTCCACTTGTGTTTCTGGCCATCTACCCCTGTGCTGTTACAAAATAGCAACAACAAAGCCCAAAATACCAGTCATGGTCCACGTCGTGCTTGTAGTCTAAGTTACGCTCGCCGATCCGACTTCATATCACTGCAGATCACTGCACTCTCAAACAGAGAGATATATCGCCAAATCTAGGTACGTGGCACATTGAACAAACGTGACGGAATGGGTGTCGTATGGAAGGAGAACTTCCATCAAAGCAAAGTACTGCGAGCTCGAGGGCCATGAGAGATGTGACAACGGCTGATTCAGAGTTAGAGTTGAGAGGCGATAGCGCAGGAATGATTAGGGTAAGGAAGGAGAGTAAATAATCTAGAACGCTGAGCAACAAGACACGGAGGGGTTTTCGACATTGAGCTCGACAGCGATCGAAAAAAGAGAGAAAATAAAATGCGTCCGAAGACATCCGCAAGTTTAAAGCGCCGCTCCGGAGAGACCGGCACGCTGAGGCATCCAACGGCTGCGCCACGAGGCTCCGCTCTTTCTGCAACGAGCGATTTGAATTTTGGTGTGGTCGTCGCGGGCAGTGCTGCTCAAGGTACCCCAGAACGGTCAAAACATACCCCCGCCTTTTCGCACTCCTCTTTGAACCTCTCTCACCCCCACGCTCTTTTCTTCCTTTCATCTCGACCACAAACACAAACAGCCACCCATCAATCACACAGCACACGGCCGAGTCTTCTTCGTCGTCGTTGTTCTTCGTAGCGACGAGGAGAAGTGAATAGGATCGACTAGGCGTTGCATGGGAACGGCCCTACGAGAGGAATCTTTCTTGAAGTAATTATATTCGTCATGGCTCTTAGTCTCCCCACCAGTACGTTCGTCTCTTTGTTGCTTGCACCGATTCGGGTGTACTCAATGTATGATGAACAGGTGCCAGCACCCCAACGTCTACGACGGCCGCTCCGTGAGTCTCTCATTCACCGCTGTTCTTCTGGACAGATCTCTTACAATTACCATTGTTCAGGACGACTGCTGCTGATCCCACGACTACGACATCCTCATCGACGACCACCCCCGCCACTTCCACAACACCCACCACTACCTCGACCACCCCCACCAGCACGACCCCCACCACAACCTCGACAACTCCCACCTCCACATCCACCACCACCTCCACTACCCCAACCGACACCTCGACCACACCCACAAGTACATCGGTGACCTCCACCTCCACCTCGGACACGAACACCCAGACCTCGACTACGAGTGCTGCGACCAGCTCGAGTACAAGCGCGACTTCTACCGCAAGTCCGACGCTTCTTACTTCGGTTGTAGAGTCAAGCTCGGGAGGAACGTTGGTCACGGTTACGAATGTAGTCACGGAGACGCCGACGGGTACAGGTCTTGCGGCGAGTTCGAGTGCGACATCGACTTCGAAGAGGTTCGTCTTCCCTTTCTTATCACCGCTCTATTGCATCCTGCTTTCCCTTTGTCCCTTCTTCATGCCCGACGTGGAGATCGTTCTATTCTCTTCGTGGGGAGGATGCGGAACCGTTCTGACGAGTGGCGATGCGATGCATCCCGTCGGCTCGGATTTAAGGGATTGTTTCAACGTCCCGTTTGACTGTTCGCATCCGACGATGTACCCCTCTCCATCTCCGACTGTGCCCAGTCATCACGATGAGCGATGAACAGTCGCTCTCATATCTTTATGATTGGGTGGCACTCGTTTTTTGGCCCTTCGAATACTTCCTAGTCGGGGTTCCGACATGTCCTGGCGTTTTCTTCATCTCCTCTGGTGTACCAGCGCCACGTCTGAGCTCTTCACAGCAAAAACCAGGTATCTTCCCATCGTCCCATCTCCATCTCCATCAGGGGTTGTGGTTAATTTCGGGCGTCTATTTATAATGATGTGCTGTTTATACATACGCACCACCCCTCGTTCTGTTCGCCTCCTCCTTTCCGCGTGCGTTGTCGTTTGCATGCACATGGTGTTGTGTGATGTTCACTGTGATTCACTCAGCGTGTGCGGAGTGCAGCACGTAACGGTGCAGCTGTGGTCGCGTAGAGGAACGCGAACGTGCACAGCACGCATGTCAGGTAACCGACGCAGGTCGCCAAGTTCTGACCGAGACGCCGGGAGAAGTGCTGGCAGACAGCAGGTTTCTTCATGGCACTCTGTGGAATGGACGATGTATGCGGGAACGAGTAAACGCGCGAGCGAGTGGTCGTCGAAAGAAAGGAGGAAGTGCGGACCGACCTTTTCGTTGAGGAGGATGGTTTTATACTTCTGCGCCGTAGCTCGGTTCAGCCGCGTGGTGTCGCGATCGCTGTCCTGTCTGATTGGCGGATCACAGCGACTTGATGCCCAGTTGTTGATTCTACAAAACGAACTTCATCGGAGTTCTAAATTACATTCGCGTCGTCCGACTATCCAGGACGCATATATTCACCTTTTCTTCGCATCTATGTTCCTCTATTCGCTTCCTCGGCGTACTAACCACCGTGATCCGCCCTCGATAGCTTCTTCCAGAACACCGGCGCCGTAGCCGGCACATTCACGGTCGTCGGCCTCGTCGGCCTCGCCTTCCTCATCTTCCTCCTCACCTCCTTCCTCCGACGCCGCCGTGCCCGAAAATTCGACCGCGAAATGGACGAAGCCGCGGCACACGCCGCCGCCACCTCCTTCGCGCCGAACTTCAACGGCGAAGACGACGACGATCTCGGACCCGGATACGGGGCCGGAGCGGCGGGCGGATTGGGGAGGAGGAGTACGAGTGGGAAGACGGGTGGGACGATGGGCAGCACGGGGACTACGGGTGGGACGGGCGGTATGGGAGCGTACTCGGACAATTCGCATGGAACGTACGGACAGCCGCCTATGCAGCCTTCTTCGACGTTCGACGTTGGAGGTGCCGGTGGCGGTGGACCAGCTGGGTATCATATCGGTCCGGGAGAAGTGTTCGATGCGTCGGCGTATGGTGCTGGAGCGGCGGGTGTTGGAGCTGCGATGGCGAGGAGTCGGAGTCAGAAGGCATTGCAGGGTGAGATGGGAGGTCCGGGAAGTGGTGGACATGATCCGTACCCCGCTTTTGCTGGAGGAGCGTACGAGATGAGAGAGGTAGGAAATGGAGCGGGCCATCACGGTGCTGGCGCAGGAGGCGGAGGGTACGCGGATTATGATATCCTCCAGGCGGCAGGCCTAGCTGGCGCGAGTGGCGATCCGTACGCGATCGCGCGCGGTCAATCCCTTCGGAACCAGAACAACAACCCCGCGCTCAGCAGAAACGGCTCGCAGTCTTCGATGAACGCTTTGGCAGGGGCGCCCCCACTCCCGAACCCGTACGCCCAACAGGCTCAATTCGATAATTACTACAACGGCGGCGCTGCGAACACGGTCGGCACAGGCCCACGGAACGCAGCTCCGGGACAAAATAGGATGAGCAGGCCGACGTCGTCGTATGTCTCCGGTGGCGACGGCGATGCCGACCCGTACGGCGGATATTCAGACTTTTCGCCTAGGCAGAGTGTGGTGATGCCGAACCCGCACCACGTTCTTGGTTCCGGTGCTGGTGTGGCGGGAGGAGCGAAGGAGGGGCAGTTGGTGAATCTGGATAGTAGTCCGGCGACGACGGAGAGTGGGGAGGATTATATGAAGGCGGGACATCATGGGCAGCAGCCACATGTGGTTGGTGAGGAGGATGAGGAGGACGAGGAGGAGGAGGAAGAAGAGGGAGGACATGGAGGTCGGGTTTTGAGGGTGCGTTATTTTCTACCTTGGCGTTACATTCGAGGATACTAATGATGGTATTTTCTTAGGTTGCTAACGCGGATTAGGTGGTTGCTCCGCCTGTATGGTGTGTGGCGTCAAGCAGTCTCGTCTCGCCACACATTTAAGACCCATCCGACCAGCCCTTCTTCTTGTCTGGCCCCGCCCCGTTGGCCTCCAGGTGCTCCGGCCGTCCATTCATTGCCTTCTTCTCGCAGTTCTCCTTTTTTTCGAACTTATTATTTGGACTGTACCCTTTTGCTCATTCCTGGCTCGTGGTGTCGGGGTATTGTAGAATCCACTTTCCGTGGAGCGCAACATTCAGGTCAGCCTCGCCTTGTATTGTACCCCATCTTTCCCGTTGCGTATGTCACGGGGACCTTTCACTCATTTTCGTCGTTCGTCTTCCCTGTTTTGTGATCCCTTGATCCGTTTTATTCCTTAAATGCTATCAAGTCTCTGCTCTTATCCTTACTCTTCCTACCAACCAGCCACTCTATTATTTCCTGACCACCACTTTCTGTCGAGCCATCGATCAGCCTGAGGGGTCTAACGTATCGGTATCCATGCCTAACTCAGTCCATCCCCACTCTCATCGTCGTTCTCGTTGAGGCTTGCATCTGACCGCCTTCTTTGATATTTGATTCCGAGCTTCCTTATTTCTTCCTCCTTATTCTCCGAGATCTCTCTGTCTTGTTTTAGCTGGACGATTCTCGTTCTTCCTTTCCTTTCTGCCCTGCTTGTACTCGAGCATACCGTATACGTACAGCGAGATTCCACGTCTCGAGCCCTCGTTACCCTCTTATCATGATCATCGCCAGTACCATCACTTTTCACCGTCTCTGTAGTGCTCATACGCGTACATACATGCAGTACATACGATACCTACGGTACGTCTTGGCTGGCTGGTTCTTGCATCTGGTACCGTGTCCATGACCATCCACTCGATAGATGCTATACGGTATACCCACCCCAATTGCCCGTCCGCCGCGCCCGCCCGTTGAGCTCTGTCTCGAGTCGCTCGACATAAGCAGACGTGGTTGGGGATTGTGACCCGATTTTTATCGACTGTATCTTGTCTTATGCGTAGTTCCTTAATTCATCCTTTTTTCCTCCTCGGATCTGGCGGCGTCGTGCAGTGCTTGTGGGCGTATGATGCTGAGTGTGTTGAGCAAAGAGCAGCGGTGGCGCGAAGAAAGCGTGGTCAAGAACTAAAGTGAAGTCCTTCTTGAGTCCTTCAGCCATGAAAGAGGCTCGGACCCAAATATCTGTTCGTGAACGAGCGGGAACGACTAAGTAGTATAGGTATTACATAAATTATATGATGATGCGCAAATGTAGGTAATAAATTATAGGTATGTGATGCGAAGTAGATTGACATCCTAATCACCCCCGACGCGGTCACACTTCTAACCCTCACACTCAACTCGTACGGAAAAATCAACCTCCCGTCTACCACATCCTCGATCTCCTCGCTTCCACATCCCTACTCATCCTCATCATCACCACATGACTCGTCAAACTACTCCACCCATTCCCCAGCAACACATCCGCCTTGACGCCAATGGCCATATCCACCGCCTGCGCCACGAAACTCTGCTCATCATCCAGCACCAGATCGCGACTGTGATGGATACTTTTCCAGGGTCCTAAGAGTTGACCGGAGAGAGGATCGACGTGCGATGAGGATGAAACGAGGAGCGCGGAGGTGAGGGAGGAGAGGAAGTCGGATTTGGCGTTGGTCATGATATATAGTTTGTCCAAATGAGGGAATTCGAGACGGATCTGGCGAACGCGGAGGACCATGCTCTCGATCGAGGGAAAACATCTTCTCTGGAACGTTGCTTTCCAATCCTCCCCGCCCGTCTCCAAGCCTGCTGGTGGTCGATGGAGTACCATGGACTTCATGTTCAAGTCGTCCTCCATCCCGCGCGTCGCCAGTTGTACCATGCCCTGCCAATCGGCGCCCTTAGATGCGAGGAGGGGACAATGAGTCTCGTAGTCTCCCCTACGGACGTGCAACACTAGGAGACCTTCGATGATATCGTATTGGGCGTCTTTCAGCTGTTGCATGGCGGATGAATCGGCGGCGAATACGTCGTCGCTACTCTTCGCCGAAGTGAATAGGCTGGAGTGTTCAGGAGGGTCCGAGGAAGGGTCCGATGGAGAAAAGAGGGTAGAGAGTGAGAAAGGTGGCGAAAGATGGGCGTAGGCAGGGGATGGAAGGAGCCCGAGGAGACGCTTGTTTGCTTCGAGGCCTAGGAGGACGAGTGGGGAAGAGGAGAATTGGGTGAGGATGGGGGACGATTTGAGCAAAGGCCTGAGCTAAAATGTAAGTAACGGTGCGATGAGGTGCTTCATCATGATCTGCATACCAAATGTCAAGCAATTTTTGCACGTCGAAGATCCTACAGAACGTAGAGTTCTATGAGTTGCATTGGTCCAGCAGAAATATGAAGGCAACGTACCAATATTCCCATATTGTCCTCTCCAAACCCCGTCTCGCCTTCCCTGTACTAACACACTTCGCCTCGATCCCTTCCAACTTCCTCACCCAAAACTCCAATATATCATCCAACCCGTATCTCTCGTCATGCCACATGAAACTTCCCTCATCAACATCCACATAATACACCTCCTCACCCATCTCGGCGCATACGTCTCGGAAGACCGTTTCCGAAATAGCTCGTGGCGGGTCTGGTGGCGTAGCAATCAAAGATGAGAGAAAGGGTGGTAGAGAGGATGTTGATGGGGTCATCATAGATGTAGATTCTGATGGAGAGAACGAAGGGTGTGAAAAAGGTGAGGGTTTTCCGACGATGGGACCGTCGATGAACACGGAGAGGGGAATTCTGGAGGGAATGGGTTTCATGTTGGCATAGTATACAGAGAAGGGGAGGGGTCCGTCGCGCCAGGTGTAGTCTGTGTAAACAAGACTGTATTCGTAGCGAAGAGTGTGATCCGCGTCAGTACTTGTATCACGGTCGGAAGCTGAGCAGAAAGAGCACCGAACGCAGCGCATGCGAAGGTTTTGGGATACAACAAAATGCACAAACGAAGAACGTACGATCTGTTGGCGGCATATGCTAGTAGAGCGTTCAAGATCTGCTCTTGAACTATGTTTCCCCAGCCCGCACCTGATGACCGCGGTCAAAGTCCACGACGTGTGAGCAATGCACTCCCACAGTGCTCACAGGTAGAAAAAGCACGCACCTATCAACCGCTTCTCTGGAAAGAAATATTTCACGTCACTCTTCCCGTGCTGGAGTCCAGCTCCAGACAGCTGTATTGTTCCAGGCCGTCTCAAATTCTCTGCGTCCCGATATCTTCTATAGGATGGCAGCTCAAGGATCCGGTACAGCAACGGGCCATAAAGCACTAGAACCACGACGACGACGAAAGAGACGAAAGAGAGAACGGCGAGAACAACGTTCCGTCGCGTACGTCTTGTTGCGAAACGCGTAGAGAGCAGTCGATACCATAGTGTGTTCGCCTTGGGATGTCCAGGAGGCCCGGGCTCCGGGCTCATAGTCAGCCGTTCATAGGTAGTTTGTCTAGACGAGCGCGTGAAGGAGAACATGTTGGCCTTGAAACTAGGCGAGTCCGTCGTCGTCGTCGACGACAAGAAGATTAGATGATCATGGTCTGCGGAGAAGTGGGCTGTGCTTTAGGACATCCGAATCGTGAGTAAATTGTTCAGGCCTGTACGTGATCGGGTCAAATTTAGATCTTGGCAATAGGCTTTGCTGCGGGCTGCGTACAAATAAGTCAAGAATTTGCGCACCCGATAGGTAACAAACATGAATATTTGAATTATAAGACCAAGTTTTAGCGACGTTTCGGGGAGGGAGTCGTTTTCAGTTGCTTTGACCATGAAAAGTCTGAAGGAAGCATCGCGAGGGCTGTGCTTACGTACAGGAGGCGGACTGGTAGGCACCGACGGCATCCAGGTAACCGGATCAGGCAGGCAGAGGCTTTCGATTCAAACAAAGACAAACAACAGGGGAGCGCCACGATTCGACACACAGGCCCGGGGGACTTACTTACTACGGTTCGTACTTTCGCATCCCCTAATCTATATACTGCCTCCGTCTTTCTTCTATCTCTACTTATCTTCCTCGCTGACTAGCAACATGTTTATGAGTCTCGTACCCTAACCTTGTTTGTGGTTCAACTTTGGACACCGCCGCTGACAGCTTTTCCGAGTCCGTTCAGTCTAGGTTCGCCTCCTCGATCAACGGGAAAGAACGGTCAATTCATGGGTGGTTATCTCTCCCATTTGGATACGAGAGTGCAAAATGACTCCTAATGCTAATGGAACCCGATTAAAGAAGTCGTACTTGGCTTTTGGGATAACTTTCCGATTGCCCTCAGGCTTGTAGTGCAGGCGTTGCAGGTGTCTTATTCCATGAAATCACAGAGCTCTGACCCTCTCTCTCCATTGTGATGTCAATCCCGACGATAAACTCTACCCAATTCGGCGCTTCTCAACGCTCGTCCGCTTTGCTCGATGTCCTTCGTATCTCGTCCTTTTTGAGTTCTTCAAGTTCTACGGTGCTACTAGTCACGGAACAGATGCACAATGCTACCCATAGTATCCATTGGGGTCGGATCTCTCACCATTTGCATCCCTTCATATTCTCCCTCGTGTTTCGTTTACGACTCCAAAAGCTCCCTCACCGCACGAACAAACACTTCGTTCTTCTCATGCTGGACGCCATGGTTGGCTCCCGGGACTACCACCAAACGAGAATTTGGTATACGCTCTGCAATGATCTTTGATTGGCCTAGATTCGGAGCTCCCGTATCAGCGTACTATCATGTCGCAAAGGAGATCCTGACAGGGGACTCACTGGGAGGGCATATCCAATCTTCCTCGCCGACGATCACCAAGGTCTTAGCCTTGACCTTGTGAAGCGTGTCTCTGTAATCAAAGTACTTCTCGCTTTCAGAGTAAAGATCATCTGGATAAAAGATGAATCAGTTGAAAATCATCTTGTGAACGTGACGGGACTGGAGCGTACTGTGCGTTTCGGCACGAAAGATTGTGTTCCGACTACTCTTTAGTGCACTATTTGCGTTATACGACTCCGAGTATAAAGGACCAAGGGCGAACATGATGAGTCGGAACTCTTCGTCGTCCTCGAATGCGGAGAAGACTTTCTGGATCATCTCTATCGAAGCGTTAGGTGCTCGATGGAGCCTTGCTCGAAACGTGTCCATGGCTTCTTCTTCATCTGTGTGATAGCGTCGATTTAGTCACGACGTCGTCTCTGCGACAGTAACAGGACATACGGTGATGTGACGGCGCTGTCCCTCGGAGAACAAGGTGGGAGACTTTATCCCGATAGGTGACGGCGTACTGGCAGTAAAGAACGTCTTATCAATCACTCCGTCCATGACTTACACAACACTCGATTGAAACTTACCTGTTGAGCTAGATAGCCGCCAAAACTTCCACCAGCTATGATCGCCTCTTCATCTCCGGCGAAATGTTTCCGGAACGCCTCGATGTCCTCCACTAATTTCGCAAACGTGTACGGTGGCGTACACGAACTCTTTCCATGACCTCGGAAGTCGAAGCCAAGGATTCGGTACTTGTCGGTGAGCGGCAGGTACGCTCTGAAGTCCGCAGGATGAGTACCTATGTATATTCAACTCCGTGTCAGAGGATGAGTTCAATGCCTGACTCGACTCAGGTAAGTTGATGACACTCTGTCATAATGCGTACCGAAACCGCGACCACCGTGGAGTAGGATTATGAGACGCCCATCAGGTGGGCCAGCGATGCTGTACTCAAACTCAGCACCATTCAGGGAGATGCGAGGCATGTTGTTCTTCGTCGCTGAGTTGTAGCAGAGGTCGAAGAAGAGAATCTCGATCGTTATCACTTATTCATCGCTGTCCTATCGAGATTTCAACATCCGTATTTGAAAAAAGAATGTGAACAAGGTATCATTATTGGTCGAGAGGCATCACACCTTTGTGATAGACTGCAACACTAAATCCAAAGTCAAACTAAATCACTATAGCGTACAGCGTACAAAGAGAAAGCCGATACTCTAACGAGAGACAATAAAAGGAAAGAAATAATCCGAATGCTAAGAACGTCCATCGAACACGATGCTAATGCGAATACTATTAACCTCCTGTCACATCGTCACCTCCGAGTCCTTCCCCGGCCGCCAACTCCGCTTCCTGCGTCTCGTTTCCATCGCCCTATTGGGTCTCTCTAACATAGATCCCTGATCCATATGACATGAAGTCGTGAGGCTACCCCGAACTACCCGTGTCCTCAACAACCCGTCGCCGCCGCAACCACTCAAACCTTCACGCTCGAAGCCGACCTATCAAACGAGCTGGCCTCCCCTCGGTACTGCCTCTCGTCGCTCCCTCGTGCTGAACCAGAGCCAGACCTATAGATTGGGAGGTTGAGTTGCTCTGTGGGTAGACAGGTGTCGGGCGTTGCCGGCGTCGCTGGGAGCATCCAAACGGGGTGTGTGAAGAGGAAAAGGTAGATCGTCATGGCCATCATGGATCCATCGTAGACGCCTGTGCGAGCAACACGAGAAAAAGAAGTCAGCAAGTGTCAACAAGTAAGAAGATTGATACCGCAGAAGGAGAGGAGGGAGAAAAACGTACTGAATGTCCACTCTGTACGCATGATCTTTCCATCGAAGCCTTGTGCGAGTTCGATTGTGCGGAAACCAGTCCTAGACAACCCGTATTCATCAGCTCTGATACCTGGAATTGGTCCAAACAAGGTCGAGAAGACATACCGTATCATCAAAAACTCAGTCCCGAGTCCCAATGCTGCCAACATGATCTTCATTCTCATCGACATCTTTGACCTCCGGCTGCCGCTGAGGCCGCTGAAGTCCTGGCGCGAAGCAATCGGCCAGTCCTTGAGGTAGCGGACAAACACTTCGAGAGCGATGACTGCGAAGATACAGAGGCAAACAAGGAAAGCGATAATTCCGGCGAGCATGAGTGTTGGTCCCAGACCCTGTTTGTGGCATGTTTCAGATGAGACGGATATTCAAGGCAGGTCCGAAGAGTGAAGGAATAGACGAAGATTTGGAGTGGTACATGGAGGACGCAGCCCACGAAGGAAGGTGATGCGGGGTACGGTGAAATACGCACAGTTATGTTTGAGAGATCTTTGCTAGCCGTTACGATTCCCACTCCAACGAGTTGAAGAAGGACAACAACCACGGTCTATACGACGAATAGAATGAGTACATATGCACATTGAGCTGAGAGAAAACGACGTACGAGTCCAAGGAAGATCCTCTTCACTATATGCACAAAGAAGAAATACGGTGAGTACGCGTTTAGAAGGAGCGTATTGCGCAAAGTCGTCTAAGTAGAAAGACTTACGAACGAGGAGGGAGAATCGACTGTACCGCTCCCCCAACTCAGGGACCACCAGGCACAATATAGCAGAGAGGTACATGAGCATATGTGTAGGTCCGATGTAGAGGGAAAATTCCCTATACATTCCATTCAGAGTAACGTTATTAGTGACACCGACGATACGAAAAAAGGGAACGAAGTGTAATGCAGGTGGATCGACGGGTGTCGACAACAGAAAGAGGAGCTCACTGCATAAGCCACGCCATCTTAGACGTTGGACTACCATTACTGATCAGTCTTCCTATCCATCCTATCATTTCGATCTCAGCGGGCACGATTATTGAAGGCCAGAGCCACCAGAGACGCGGCTTATGCAACAGGGAGATGGCCATATGTGCGACTAGAAGGAACCGATACTGTCAGCGTAGTGAAAATAAGGATATCATTGCAAGAAGAGACGTACTCATAGCGACGGCGAAAAGACCCACGAATATGATGCATATGGAGCGCGTGGGGGTGTAGCCGTAGAAGTCAATATCTGTAGAGGATGAACCTGTGGCGAGGGATAGTCAGTATGGGCCACATTGAACAAAAGACAATCTTATCGCTGTGAAATCTAGACTTACTCATGGCGTGGTACGGCTGGAGTCACTCGAACACGAAGGTGGAGATGAAGAGAAAGAGAAAAGGTAAAGTAGACTAAGGATGAGCAGACAGGAGGATGAGTTAGAAAATTTCGATGTTGACCTTGCAAAACCATCGCTTCCTATTTGTACCAGCATCGTCGCCCCCTCTACAAGAACAGAACCGTCGCCTCTCACCATCGTGCATGTCACTCAACCCTCCGTTTTTCACTGCCTCGTTATCCAACTCGGGCCATAAGCCTCCACTCGTCACTGTGTCGGTATATGAGAGCCCAGGATCTTCTTTTCGTGTATCGTCAGCAGCATTACGAAGCGCACTAGCCTACGGTGCAGTTACTCGCCGAGGGAAGAACGGATAGGATGGAAAAGGAAGGTGGTGGTTGAGGAGGTTCGCACCGCCACTCCTTCGATCGTGCCGCCACAGCTTTTTTTGGTGATCGCAGTTCGAAGGAGTTGCTTGGCTTCACGCTCAATGCCTAGGTTACACTCTACCTCTCCGTTCAAATGTGGGGACGTATATAATGTCGGAGGATGGACTCCAATGTCGGCGGATAGAGGCAACCAAAGCATTGAGCTGGGAGAAGCAGCTGACGTATAGATAGGCTTTCAGTCGAAAGATACCAAGTCGGGACGGTCGACTTTTCGGTGACTACGCAAACTAGATCGTATGGCATGAAGGAGCACAGAGATCAGTGACTTAGCAAAGCTATGCGTCTGGCTGCGATCTGCAGTATCAATGTGCGTGAAGAACATGCCGATATTATTAGAACGAGAGCTAGCCATGCCAAGGCCATGTCTTTTGAAAAACATTGACGAATCAGAGATCGCGATCGTCCAAGTCTTCCCACGCACTCTGACCGAGTGGCGGATCGAATACTCGCCACACTCCAGCAACGTTCCCTTTTCGGAATCGAAACGGCAATTTTCACAGTAAGAAGCAAGGAATGAAACCAAACGTGCCATACAATAAGGGTATAACGTACACATGCCGTCCGTATCAATGAGCTTTTTTGCACCAAGCATCCGAGTTCCAACCGTGTATGTATGCGTGGAAGCCCGTCCGTCCTCACAGCAAGAACATCCGCTTATACCTTCCTTGCTTCGACCACAAGCCCTCAGGAAGTTCATTAGATACTCACCTTCTTCTCCAAATCATCTTCGCTGCCAACTTCATACTGCTCCTCCACTGCATTCCCCTCGCCCGCTCCGGTCACCCCGTCCCCACCTCCTCCGAGTCTCCTTACTCTGGCCGCTCCTTGCACATCCGGATACGCGACCTCGACATCCCTCTCCTGCGTGATCCTGATGTGCATTGGAATACTCGTCGCTCCCCCGTCCAACGTCTCCGTGCCCAGACCGCTTCGTCCTCCCCGTCCTCCTCCTCCTCTTCCTCCGCGACGTGAAGAGACAGCACCGGGATTTGCGGAAAGATGGTGCGAGAAGGAGAGGGAATTGGTGTTTTGATTGGTTGGGTCGTTGTGGTGGATTGAGGACCAGCCGAGGTGGAACCGTATTTGAAGGATGATAAGACAGAAAACGATCCCCTGTGAGAGGAACGATGTCAGCTGATGCACATGTTTGACGTGGCTATTGTAGAGATAAAAGCAGATGAATTGGTAGGTGTGTGGAGGAAGAGAGGCTGGAGCACGCGATGGTCGAGCAGACTTCTGCACTGTGACAAAAACTCGGGGTAAGATAGGTGGTCCTCGACTACCGTAGAAGGCGTCAGTTTCGGAAAGTAAGACCTCCGCGAACCCCTGAGTGAGCGTACTTCTAAAGCGTACTACAACACCGACTCGATCCGTTTCGGACCGAGATGCACTCCATGTCCTTTGCCAAGCCGACGCGTGGCGTGTCTCGATCACGAAATAAAGCAAACCACGACGTTCTGGACACAAAAGAAACTCACCACCAAAGGCGTACAAATATCCAAGGCCGGATACTGGGCGTTGCTGTTTGCCAAATACGTGATCAGGAGCACCAGCACACCCGATGCGTACAAGGCGCCAGACTCGACGATCCCAACGAGAACAGGGACGAGTGATTGAGAGAAGATTTGGGTGCCAGAGGGCATTCGCCTGCGGAAGAAGATTCTGTAGACTATAGCGACTGAGAGTGATGAACGCAGAGGTCAGTCAATTGACGGTTCAGTCCCCGCGGGCGTAGGATGACAAAACGAGGAATGGTGAAGCATGTGTAGAGAATGGGATGATTGGCATGATGAAAGGAGGTTAAGGGACGGGGGCGCGGGGAAAGGGGCAGAAAATAGGAGGTGGAGGACATACGTGTGCAGAGAACGTTTGTAGCCATAGTCAGCGTGAAGAATGTTGTGATCCCGCCTCGGGCAGTGTCGAATACATTTGAACCGTCCCCTGCGATGCTGAAGGAGTGCACAACATAGATACCAGTACCTGTTCACGGATCAAGCAGAAAGGGCGAAATGCACGTGATTAGTTGTCGCCCCTGAAGTGATGTACAATGAGAAATAAGAGACGATATACGAGTTCGGATCGAACTTGTTGTACAGAGACGTGCAGGCACGGAAAGGGCATGACGGGAAGAGATGCGAGGGGAATTCGATCGTTATGACTGAGGAAATGTGGAAGTGCGTACCTAAGTTCGCCAAAATGAGCAATATGATTGGAACAGCAATCCATATGTTCTTCTGGTACACGACGTAACATCTCCAACCCTAACGAGGCCAGCAAGTGTCAATCAACCGTTCCACAGTAGCACAAAGAAGCACAGAAGAAATCATATATATGGTGCCTGTCATTCATCCAGAGAACAAAACCGACATCCCTCTGGCCAGTCGAAGATATCCATCACTTCCCCGATCCTCCCTTCATCTTCGTCCATCATGGATCGGAGGAAACCAGCAACAAGAACGAAAGAAAGTGGAAGAGAAGAAGAGGGAACGTACCACGACACTGTCGCCCAAAGTCGTCTGCACGACATACACCGCCGTCTTGACGACATGCAACGGATGTGAGATATCTGCGTAGTATTGCAGCGCACCACCAGCTTCCTTCTCGGCATAGTCGGCAAAGGCGCCCATGAGGCGAACAAAGTCGATTACTAGGTGCTGGTTTCGTAGCGTATGCGGTTGATGGCGAAATACTAGTCAGCCTCAGTGTACAGTAAAACGGAGGCCGAAACTAGATTGGGGATGGAAGAGGTAGGGAGGAAGGGTATCACGAGACACAGAAAGGGCTGAGGACGTACAGCTGTCGCAATGAATATCATGAACGTCGACACCGGGATAAGAATGAGCTGTTGTCTTCGTCCTGATGGTCCACGCTGTAAGAGGACAAGAACGGTCGCGAAGTAGAGGACGGCGAATATTCCTGCATAGTAGAACCGTGTGAGCGATGGCTCGAATTAGGATGACATCATTGAAACTAGTTCAACCACGGAAAACCAAGACTTCAACAACCATGGGCTGACGGGTCCTAAGGTTCGAAAAGGAGACCGCGATCGAGAAGGGGTAATAAAGAGTAAAGAAGGAAGAGGACGTCACGACACACACCGAAGAAAAACGTCTCCAGAAAGATGGCGAGCAGTTCCGCTTTGTCTAGTGGGATACCCATGTTGAGAGCTCTATCTTGCAAGCCTTGTGCGTTCGAACTCAAGCCTCAATGTGAGCACTCCAGAAGCTTCAATGTACAAAGAGCTTGGTGCCGGCGGTGGGGAAAGGCGGGGGGGCAGGAATGAACGGGAGGGGGGAATGATGGTGGAACGCGAAAGGTGTGTGGATCGGGCGTCGCAAAAGTACAATAGGCTGCTGTCGGGCACGGACAAAAGCGAAAGAGACCCGAAAAACTAGGGTAACCGTGGCCGGGAGATATATAAGGCAGGAATTTCGAACACGATGGAGAGGTGAAGGCGGTCGCGAATGGGCTACCGCTGTCGTCCCACGCGACCTTGCCGACCTGAGAAAACATATAAGCAAACAGACAATCCCCCATCCTTCCCTGCTTCTTGGTCTAGCCTGGCATATCCATACCCAAACAATCCATTCGGTAACCAACGCAGAGCCCTCGAAAGCCCTGGAGTGGCAGCAAATGCAGAGATGACTGGTGCTGCCCTTGTGACACCATGGCTTTGTCGTCAGGTTCTCGATGCGATAGCGATCGCAGCGAGAACGAATGGAATGACATCTCAGACAGCGTTTCAAGCTATCGAGTGCGACGAAGAACGATCATGTCCCGCCACTGGATGCCATGAGGTTCAAATTTCAATGTGGAGACCTGTGGAAACGCAGCACCATAACGCGTCGCCGTCGCTCCCCGTCCATTACCTCTTTTGGCTCTAGCTCGTCGCTTTTGCAAGAGCTAGAACAAAAACCAGATCAAAGTAGGGTATGATTTCTAAAATTGGTTGGACCTCGGAACGCACGAACTATGAAAAGGATGCGCCGATAGCTGTCGATAAAGTGTGAAATTTTCGAGAAAAAGTGATCGCGGGGGATGGCGTATACGACTCACTCAGAACTTTTTTCCTGGCTCCATCTGGTCGAGAATCCTCCACGCCCACGCGCCCCGAGAGAACGAAGCATGCGACCCATATGCAAGGCCTAACGTGAAAACCAGCCTTACCTAGATGGTCCATATCGCCTCCGTACCATGCCTCATCATTTTCCTAGTTATAATTTGCGTGGGTTATGAAGCCGTGGAAGAACTCTATATCCATCCGTAGACAGATAATAGTGTCAAAACCAGAGTTGACGTTGATCAAGACAAACTGCAGGTGGGGTGAACTTCAAGCGGACGACGGCGAAGGTCATGAAATCGAAAGTCGGGGTGCACCCCGGTGACGTGCGTGATGCCGTGCCGCGGCTTGCACTTCTCCTTTTTTGGGATCACCGATAGTGCCGCCACCCCGCCTTCCATCTCCGCAAAACAAGCGCCCGGATTTGAATCGTATGGACTTTCGCTTTGCTGCAAGCTTTTCTACCGGACAGTTCGAGATCTTGACGCATAAAGGTCGCCATTCCTCCGATATACTCGTATACGGTGCTGTTGATGTCGCAATGAGCGATTGTCATAGTTAGGACGTTATAATCAATTGGCAAGGTCCTAGTAGGCAAAATACTCGAATAGCTTAAAGTTACAACTTCAAAGCATGAAATAGAGGCAGCTCCGCCGGGTGATCGAATAATACATGTCAAAGCGATCTCGATTCACGACATATACTCTTTGGAAATGCGGCATCTTCCAGTAATGAAAAGACCGGCCAGGGACAACTGACGACAGAGCAGTCCATAAGTCAGGCTGTACTACGAGCTTGGATGTAGAAGGATGTACATTGATGAAGATCGAAGAACTAAAGGGACGACTCCTCCGGCTCGAACCTGCGAGCCAGTTAGCATTGTGGGGGCCGGGTCGGAAAGACCAGAGGTACGAACTGTTCTCGCGAGCTCACCAGGGGTAGCAGGAAATACAGTTGGACATACAGAGGAATGTGTGTTTGCGGTACACCAAGTATATGTCAGTGTCAACTTGACTGGAGACACATTTCGTTCCACACATTGTAACGCGCCTTTGAACACATCCAGCGAAGGCAACGAGCGAGAGGGAAGGGAGGACCTTCAGCGAGACCGAAAGTAACGCATGCAGGAGCAGTGTCCGAATCCGCGCTTGCTCTATTCACGAATTCGACATAGGACTGCTAGACAGCTGCTGAATAATCACGACTTGAGACTTACAAAGTGTCGACAATGCTTTGAAGGCAGAACGGGAGGCGAGTGGCCTGGGAGAGATCATATAGGTGGGTAGAGAAAGCCGGAAAGACAAGACTTTTGAGGGTGCGACCAATGAAGAAACAGAGTCCCGAGAGCATCGGCCCACGGAGCGCTCGGAGAGAATGGTGGGCGGAGTCGTTCGAGATGGAGGTAAAAAAAAAGGAGTTTGAAGGTTATGCGATAGAAAAGAATGCGAGGTGTCCAGCAGTGCGGCGCGGAGAATGTATGGTGGGCGTCTAATCTTTTCGAGTAAGGATCGCCTCAGACCTTAGCCTGGGGTGCTGCAAGGAGGTGAGGATGAGCTTATGCCGCTGAAGGAAACCAAGGTACCAGAGGCATCAAATGAAAGCTGAGAGTTTGTGACGGACGAATGGTTATTGCCATGACCCGGATGTAGCCACTCGGAGAAATAGCAAGAGGTAAAAAATGCAGGCGGCGAGTCTTGCACTCCGTATCGCCAGAGAGGTATCAAAAAGACTTATGACAATGGTCCATTTCGTGAAGTCGGACATGGGCGCTTAGGCAGTCCTGCAAGCTGCAGGATAATGCGGTAGATATGAGAGTGTCTAGATAGGATCGTGAGGGAAAGTTAAAGCTCTTACTTTGGCGCTATTTCGCTGGTATGGGGTCCTATACGAGCTTCCTGGGTAGCCGTTTGAGGGAAAGTGGCAACTCCGCTCCGTTCACGCGATTCCAAGGAATGCTGGGGCCCTTGAGGTTCTGCAACTGCCTCAGCGATGGTAGGCGTGTGGATTTAAAGTTGTGGATACTCCTTCTCGTGGAAGAGATATCAAAGGCGAGAGCAAGTGGCGAAAAGGAACGAGAGCCTGAGCTGCCGAGAACAAAGAACATGGGCACCAGCAGAGATTGCACCGCCCAGGACGCTCAGCAACTCTCCAAGGGGCATTCACCCTTACCCTTCTGCAAAACAGGCCTTTTTCAGGGGTTTTTGTGTAAGACCTAGGGTGGCGGACCGAACCTAGGTTTGGTACCCAAAACGTTTTGTACCGGGTTAGTTACCGGTTTGGAACCAGTAACTTACTGACCCCTCTGAGGAGGGTAGGTTAGGTACCCAAAGGTCACGTGTTGCCACAAGGTCACCACCTCACCAAGGCTTGTCAAATAAATTTCTGTCAAAGTAATTTGTGGGCCCAGGAAGATAGCACAACGTATATTGTGTTCTACCGCAGTTTGAAGCGAATTCACCTTTTTAGGAGGATTGGTGGCAGATATTATGGACATTGCCGAGCTCTGCCGGCACTTGGTCAGAATATCATGACAATATTTATCAAATGCTAGCCATGCAGGTATTGTCCATGTTGTGTGGGTAGTTTTAGTAATTCCAAGCATTTACAGCTCCGTCTTACAACAAAAATGAGCACAACACAAAGGGTAGGCACTCCCAGGCAAAGTCCACTAGTACTGTGGCGCCACACAACCATGCAGGGGACATCGCGCTGTGCGCGAGAAAATTTGGGCATAAAATCATATTTTGCTGCACGTGAGGTGACTTTCCGAGTACCTTACCTGGTAAGTTACCGCCCTCTCTGACCCGGCATGGTAAGTTACCTGGTACCTAACCGTCAGGGAGGTTTGGTCCGCCACCCTAGTAAGACCATCTGAGTAGCTAGCACGTTGTGGACGATGCACTTATTAATATGGTGGTTTGGTGTGGCGACATTTCTCAAAAAACTGCCAAGGCGTAGACTGTGGCCGGATTCTGATGACCCACGTGACTCATGCCGTTCGGCGGGGCATCGCCGTCAAGCAGATGTCGGCACCATCGTTGCTCTCCTCCTTTTCTATCTTCGTTCTTGTTCACGCCGGTTATATCTTGCTCATTCACTGCTGCCCAGAGGCAAACCCTGTCGACAAATATAATCATTCTCGAAAGTCATATCAATAATGTTCCCCTCACTTCGATTCATCTTACCTTACCTCCTCCTCCCGCTCGTCCATGCTTGTATGTCATTACTTTCCCATCCTTCTCTACAAGCTGTAGCGCAGTCTTGCTGATGTAGTGGCTTGGAAATCTCCGCAGACTTTGTCGTCAATTCGCCGGCAAAGGGCGATGAATGGATAAACGGCCAGACTTGGGGCGTATCATGGACGAAGGGCCTCCAAGACGACGTCGACGCCTTTGACATCGAGCTTTCCCGTATGAGCACAGATGGGATCATCTATGTTGCCAGCGCTGGTGCGTCGCGCTCACTTTCTCTCTGCTCTTTCCACTTACTCACTTTTTGTGTTCCACACTTCTCCTTCGTCACCACCCACCGCCATTCACACGACTCCACTCTCCCGCTCTATCCGTTCGATCCACTAGTCCCTGCACTTCTAGGCTCTTTCAATCTCGACATAACGGGCCTTCCAGCCGCAGACGACTACTATCTCCTCTTCATAAACTCAACGCACGGAGTCCTTTACGGCAACTCTTACGCCTTTTCCATCGTAGATTCCGCCACAAATGCTTCTACCCCCAAACTCGACTCATCCAAACCGACTGTCAGCGTTAGCGGTGGCCCGAATCCCACGGCAGTGTTTGCGACGACATTCCCGGCCAGTGCGAGTAGTGCGCTGGGTACTTATGTCATAGGGACGGGCGTGGTGGGGATGGTGGGCTTGGCGGTGGTGAGCATGATGGGCGGGGCTTGGGCGGTGTTGTGAGCAGACATTTCAGATGCATTACGCTGGATAGATGGACGGCGAGACGTTGGCGTATCAGACAGATGGTTACGAGAGGTGAGCAGACGGCTCTTTTGTGGCGGTGGGACACTGGATACGACACGATAAGGCCTTCCATATGTTCACGAGATCCTTGTTATACGTTCGTTTGGCCATTCGCACACCCCTCGTTTATACATTACTTTCTCCTTTCGCTGGGATTCTCGTCCGTGCATCGTTGTCACTGGTCGTGTTGTTATGGGTTGTACCATCCTTCCGTATCCTTTCTGCCTTTTTCTCTCCACGTACTTTACATACCTCAGCATAGCAATTTGCATGGACTATTTCCTCGCCGCCAGCACTGTCTCTTGCCAGCCCTCTCCAAGTATGCGAATGTCGCCGTGCCGTCTCACCCCACGATGGCTTCGATAGCTAAATATTGATCGGTTGATACGGCGAAGGGAAAGCTAATGAACATTTGACAATGTGGGAGTTGAACGTTGAACAATCATAACAACGTGGAGTTGAGCTTCAGATCTCGTTGCTCGCAGAGTCGTACTGGCTGGTACAGGCTGGTATCGTGGTACTTACTGCTTGCCGCCACAGTTTTTTACGCCACTCTCGGACCTCGCCGAGCGTTCCGGTTTTCTCCGGTTTTCTCCGATCGTGTTCGAGGATTTTCTCCCAACATTTCCCCGACCGCGAACTGTCTTCCAGCAATTGTGCCTGCCCTCCATCGTCGCAGAGTCTCCTATAATCTCGGTATACAGTTCGATAACCTCGAGCGGTGGATATGGACCTAGTAGTTCTCCCTACTCGAACCTATTTGACGGGTTCCCTCCTGCCATTCTCTGGTGCTCCTCTCATCTTTCTCTGACCTTGTTCTGCCCGCTCGGATAATGATGGTATCGGCATGTAAAGACGGCGGATTTGCCATTGCGACTCACATAATACAGGAAGGACTCAGCGAAGTGGCTGGCGAGTCTGCTTTGATCTTCCTCCATGAAGACAGCGTCAATCATGATGGCCGAAAATTCTCTGCCCGAGTCCAAATTGAGCCCCTGCTAGTCGACGCGTTTTCTGTTTTTGTGTTATGTGCATTTATTGCAATAGTTATAGCCGCTGCGCTCGAGAAGTGGGGGACATTGCTGGACAAGGTGCGTGATATCCGGGTTACATGTGATCTCTTCTTCGAGCACGGCTCTTGTCGTGTTGCGATTCCGGTCTTTGGGAGGGTGCACTTCCAGGGCATTTCGACCAGCTGAACGCACTGAAGTGCCTATTCCACAGATGTAGCCCATCCCTCAGGGGATATCACAGCGTCCTGAAATGACTTCGGCGCGAAATGAAACGTTGCAGTCGATTTCGTCCAATACACACATACTATCTTTTAGTGAGATCCTCGTCGCTCGTATTTCATGACGTCCTCGCCGTGCTTCGTAACTCTCAGAAAAGCGACGCAGCAGCGAAACTGACGGCTTCGTCTGACATGCCATTCGTAGGAGCACAGTGCATCTCCACGGAGAACGGTCCTCGACGGTCCTGAGCTCTTCAACGGCCACATTGTCGGTCGATAATTGGCCTCATTGTATTAGCAGACATTGCTTAAACCCTTTGATTGCCCGATGACGAAGACTCAAGGGTGTTCTTCGTGATCGATACGTATGGTTCAATCTCGTGCTTGGATGAGACTCGGAAGCCTAGACCTATAGACTCAAACGAAGGTGTTGGAAAACCTTTGACCTCCCTTCTTGTAATCACCAACCGTGGATAGGACTTCCAACTAATTTCTCGGTCATATACCATCATATATTGCTCAGCGATCAGTTGGACCGATCGTGATACACATTTGGCATGCAGGCGAGTACTTAATGTTTAACTTTACGATATTCAAGTGGCTGACGAAGGTATTGAACTACGTGCTTTGCCCAGATTCCGCATTTCTGTCGCGCGGGAAAGGAGGGGCGGCGGTAGAGGATGCCTTACTTTTATACCTCTGGATGGTCATGGCTGGCCTCGCCGAATCGACTGATCCGGTACAGCGAGTATCGCAGGCCAGCGGACCCGATCGTGAAGGTGATCGGCGTGGAACGAAACGCGGATGTAACCTCGAACACTACTCCAGCTCACATCCGCACATCTGATGTGACACCCGTCGTGGATGTTCCACATTCGATGATGGTATATACTCATCATCCTGTCATCGCCCCAGCGCAACTTTCTCATCATCTTGTCTTCTCTTCTGCGACTTTAGCTCTTCCTTATACGCACCTCACCCTCTTTGCTTTAATCATGGCCGACTCACCGCAGGTCCCGGAGCCCTCGTATTTCACGTCGCCCATGTGGAAGAGTCAAACGCGTTTCGATTCGCCAAACAACTCCGTTCCGGGCACTCCTGTCACCCCTGGTACCCCAGGTACACCGAACGAAGGCAGCTCGCTCCTACGAGAGAAGGCCTTCGAGCCGCGCGATCTCAAACGTTCATTGTTTAAGTTGAATAAACCTCCTCAAGTACGTTATTGTTACCCACGTATTCCCAATGTTCTACTCACGTCGGAGTAGCGAGACCCACGATCACCTTCACGGTCACACAATGGTCTCGATCAGCAGCCTACGTTGTCTGCAGAATCCAAGCGTTTTAAGGAAACCTCTGGATCTTTATGGGGCGCGCTCCGCCATCAAGAGACCTCTGTATCGACGTTGTCCATCCGCGGGTCGGATAGCCATTCGACGGCGGGCAGAGACATCGCTCCCACCTCCGTTCGAACCGAGCTCGAGCCAATCGAGGAGCCTTACGACTGGGGCCCTTCTACTGAGGACAAAATTCGCGGCGACAGCGTCTCTGGAACAGCTTCTTACCCATCCGGCAGCCGCTCGAATCTCAGTGCTGCCGCGCACTCCCAAGACCGTACTTCCGACTCCTTATATTCGTTGGATGACGACGTCGTCTTCGACGAGGACGGTGACGAGGTACCACAAGTACCACCGCTCTGGACAGAAGTCGACCCGCAGATCCCCACCGCTGTCCGGAATCCGTCGATGGTCACACTCCCGACAGGGACCGGTCCCACTACGCATCCGTGGATCGACGCACCTCCGTTTAATGTCATAGACCGCCCCACTCCCGTGATTCACAAGTTCCGAGCGACCTTCAAGATCACAGTATCCTTGGCAGTCGTCATATCTTTGGTCGTTGGGTACGCAGTCAAGTTGAAGATCGTCACTATTGGTTTCTGGTCCTTCGGAATGTATGGACTTCTTCTTTGCATCGGTGGGTACTCTATTCATTTCCATCTTGGATCATCTCATTGATGTCGATCTTCAGATTTCGCCGTTCAGGCAACGGTGGCTTCCATCAATCGTCGTCGGGTGAACAAAATATCGAAGACTTCCGATGTCGTCGCAGGAGTCGAAACGCTGAAGAGGCTCAAGGCTACCGGTGCGGATACCACAGAGCAGGTGGCTAGCATGCGACAGGTCTCCATAGCGGTGGTCGGGTACAGAGAGGACGAGGAGGCTTGGATCAAGGTCCGTCTCCACGCCATTCCTGTTGTGCCTGCGGCATATACTAACCGGCTATCGCGCAGTGTCTACAAAGTCTTCAAGCTCAGGATTATCCCATCAAACACATCATCGGTGTCGTGGACGGAAACGACGGTCCCGACTTGGATATGGCGACTGCATTTGGCAAAGCCTTTCCCGAAGACGAACGCCTCATTGTTCATCTTCCCGTCCTCCTCTCCGTCATGTACACCGAGAAGTATTGGGAGACGATCAAGGAGATGGGGTGCCGTACGCCCACACGCTGGGAGCTTTTCAAGATGTGGTTCACCCAGGCACCGCGCGAGGGGCAGGAGAAGGCTCACGTCGTCGCTTGGAATCACATCCTCGCGTACGTTCACGAGGCCGCAACAGCAGGGGGATGGGCTAACTGGAAAGGAATCTGCTTTTCGCAACCGCACGGACACAAACGCCACGCCATGTTCACCTCATTCGTCGTCGGCGCGTATGCACTCGGTACTAGGGATGCGATGCTTACTACGGACAGCGACACATACGTCCATCCTGATGCGGTCACCCATCTCCTCGCCCTTCTCATGAGCGATGTTAGAATGGCCGGCGTCACAGGAGATGTCCGTATCTGGAACAAAGACGATTCTTTCTTGGCCCTCATGTCGTCACTGCGGTATTGGTTCGCGTTCAAGTGAGTTATCGTTTCGCAGACAGTTTCACGGTGTTCTAATTCTCTTTTCTCAGTGTCGAGCGAGCTTGCCAGAGCGGTTTCCGTTGCGTCGGGTGTTTGTCTGGCCCCCTTGGGCTTTACAAGACTAGTGACCTCATTAGCGTCCTGGGCCCGTGGATTCTACAATCATTCCTTGGCAAGGAGACTACCTTCGGCGACGATCGCCATCTCACCAACCGCATCCTATCTCTCGGCCATTGGACCGGCTATTCGCATCTCGCCAAGTGCGAGAGCGATACGCCCGCTGGTTTCGTACGCTGGGTCAAACAACAGACACGCTGGTCCAAGAGCTTCTTCCGTGAGGCGTTTTGGTTCCCGAAGAGTTTTGCGTATGCCCAGTTCTGGCTCACCGTCGAGACGACCAAGCAGTTCATGTATCCCGTCATTCTGTCTGCTACCGTCTTGAAGCTGGTTTATCTCCCGAGAGACTGGATCTACCCCCTCCTCTGGTTGGGGACCATGTTCGGCGTCGCCCTCATCAAGAGCACTTACGGCGTTATCTGTATGCGCGATCCGACGTACTTTTTGTTCAGCATCTACGGGTTCATGGTAAGCTCGTTCATATCCTGTATCATTTTCCACGCTCACCACCCTCCAGTACTTCTTTGGTCTTCTGCCGTCGAAAATATTCGCAGGCTTGACCGTGGGAATCACGACATGGGGTACATCTGCACGCTCAAAAACCGAGTTCCAGCGTCCTGAGAGCCTCTATTCACGCACGACGCACATAGGACAGTGAGTACACCCCGCCAGCCATACACCCTCACGACCTGACTCGCGCATCGTAGTTTGGTCCTTTGGTATAGCTCCCTGGCCGTTGGCCTTGCGTACTTCCTTTCGTCGATCTTCCAGATCCGTGCAATCTGGTGCATATCGTTGCTCTGTTTCCCTCCCATCGTGCATCTCTACCAGGACGTGATCATCGGCGAAACTCGCTATGCCTTCTACCTGCTGAAGAAGTGGTACAAGAAACGCTCAGCTCATCGTACGACGGCCCCCGCCGTCGACCTCGAAAAAGCACAACTTGCAGGAAAATCTCGTGCAGGACACCGTGTCCGTTTCCGAATGCCGACTTTCAGACGGATGGCGCCTGCTCCAGCTGCCTCCTCGACCTCCGCGCCATCGTTGGAGTCGCCCTCCTCGCAACAATTAACGTCGCGGTCGACGTCTCCCTCGTCTATGTCCCATTCGTCGTCGTCGGCGCATGTCGATATCACAACTACGATCATTGAGGGTCTGGAGGTCCCTTCCGCTTTGGGACGTAGACGCTCTATCGCCGTGTGCACTGGCATAGATGAACATAATTCCATGGCTCCCAAGGACGTGATCGCGTGGAACGATACCTCGGGGGTAACTGGCAAGAATGTTTCGAATAGCGCCAGATCAACTGCGTCCTCTGTCAACTCTCTCAACCCACGCCGACCATCGATCTTCTCCAGCTCGAGCACCAATACGTTCATCTCATCGGCAGCATAATCGATATTCATCAAGCGACGCCCGTACGCGGCGGGATTGACTCATCTAGACAGAATGGGATATCTGCGCACGGGTTGGAGGCGACATTAACAAAACTTTTCATGAATCTCAGGACATTATCATCAATTATGTAGTATATCATGTATGAATCTTTCCTTGACCGCTATCATGAATGTATATGCATCTCTCACATGCAATGAAGAAAGATAGACTACCGCTAGAACGACATAGTAATATGCAGTATAGAGAAGTTTCGTGGGCCGCAAATACGTTATCTGACGATCTCCGCATACAAACTATCATCGATGACCTTCCCCTCCTCGAAGTGTTCGGCAAGCCGCGCAGATACAAGCATATGGGCGATATACTCTCGAGCATCTGAGCAACCGATGTCCCAAGACCACATGGTACAATGTGTCACAAACAATCGCGGCCAAATCTCTCTCCACGTCGATGCATCAAGGTCGAGCGAATTCGGGGGTTGGGTATTGAGGATTTTCTGCATCTTTTCATTTTCACCGTAAGCGAAAATATTCACCATTGTGCGGGCAGGATGACTAAGATCTGGGAAATCGAGGAGGTGCAGAATCCTACGGATCGCCTTAAGACCTTCCTGGCGTGTAGCTTGACAGTCGGGGGAGATGAAGGACTATGAAACGCCGGAACGGATAAGCATCAAGGAATGCGATGCATGGGCAGTATCGTACACTCACTTCGCTGTCTGTGCCCGGGAAACGAAAGACTTCACTATTCCTACCGCATCAGCAATGGAATCATATCTGTCCCTAGCTTCTAGGAGCGTTTGAAGACCCTCTTTCCTCAGATGCTCAACATCTTTGCGATCGCCGTAAACGGTACGGGCGGAGAGAAGAGCCTCAACACGGACATGACCCCACATCCATGATCACACAGTGGCTGGTGCACGCCATATGGGAATGTAGGATACGTCGCGTCCGCAAGCGTCATTCAAATCTGAGAAGAGCAAGATGATAGTTGAATGCAAGACTGCCACGGAGTACATTGTTTGGGCTGACCTTGCTCAAGCTCGATTGGCTCGCCTTTGAACCCCTCCGTCATGACCATAACGACATCGACATCGGAGTCTTTGTGGGCACGACCTCGTCCAACGGAACCAAATATTCCGGCCCAGACGATCTTACTTCGGTTTTCCTCCTTTTCCCACACGGGTTGAAGGCGAACGCGCATTTCTTCGAACGTTGGAATCGACGTTGAGCGTAGAGAAGAAGTGCTTTATCGCAAACATGGTTGAAGGCGCGATAACGCGGAGGATATGAGGATAAGTGATCTGGACGACGCCTGAGGTATCATGACTCGAGAAGAGAATTGCGGCTTATACGTCAAACAACTCCCGTCTGTTCAAAATACCGGCTATGTCCGATTGTTCTCACGTAAGCAATCCCAGGCCTTGGCGAATAGCAGTCAACTCTTGACCGTGACCCTCTGGTCAATCATCGCAGGTGGATGTATGATAGAGGGGGCAAGGAGGAGGAGGAACTTAAGAAAGGCCGAATAGAGGACGGTGACGTAGGTGCTTTCGGAAGTCCGAGCAACCAGGTCGGAGAAAGCGTCACTCGCCGTGTGGTCGGGTCCGGAACATGACAACGATCCGAGGCCTGAAAGGCTTCCGCTGATCGGATGTTCCCCGCCTTTTGCCCGCCTCCCAGCAACGTTCAAGAGGTCCTCCATCTGCAGAATGCGTTAAAGGACTCACGCCTTGGTATGCACAACCTTCCGATCCGGAGGCTGGCTAGAGTCTGGTTCAAATGTCTCGTCGATTCTCAAGGCGACGAACATCAGTCATTCGGTACCGCATCAGCAAACTGCGACTTCGATCGAGACGGCCAACTGAATTGAATCTGACGCGGATGTCAGCCCAGCATCTCAGTTTTCGTCCAAGATTGTTGGATGCGCAATGACCTCATCAATTCATCCCGCCTCCGAGCAAGCTGGGGATATAAAGGCCAAGCTCTCTACCCCTTCTTACACATCCACCGCTCAGACTTACCCCATTGCAATCAGCACTCTTACCCGTCACTTTTCCCGTTTACTACGAATCAATCATGTCCTCCAACGAGCCCAAGTGAGTCTTGTTACTTCGATTGCAAGATTCAGAGGCAACGAACGACGGCGGATAACTGAAGATGCCGTTCTTACCCCCGCTCTGCAGCAAGACCACCGGTCAGTACCACTCGCTGAAGGGGACCGTTGTTGAAGCCGTAAGTTTCTACTCCCTATTTTCACTTCACTACTCCGCTGCTTCCATTCCCCCACGCCCGTATGCGCCATCCAGCCCCTATTCCTTCGTCATCTCTGTCCTCCTTCTCACTGCCCCTGATCCCATCCCGCCGTCCGATCTCGTCTATCTCGTTTGACCATATATACCCCTTCTGAATGCACAATATCATATCTCTACCTTCTCCCTACTTCAAAATCCTGTACTGATTTCTCACCATTCCCCCACAGATCGGTAACGTGACTGGCGCCGAATCTTGGCAAACCTCCGGCAAGGAGGAGCATGCCGCAGGTGAAGCAGAATACAAGGCCGCCCAAGCCCAAGGTTATATGGAGGGAACTGCTGATAGAGTCGTGGGGAAGAAGGATGCGATCGTTGGCGCCGTCACGGGGGATAAGACGCAGCAGACTTCTGGTGAGCATAAATCCTTTGCTGTTGCGTCGTGGTTGGGTTGAGTGCGGGACTGAGATGATGGCTGGTGCTGATAATTTCCGGTGTGGTGTAGGCAATCTCCAGAATGATAAGGGCCAAGCAAAGCAGGAAGTCAACAAGAATGTTTGATGCGTAGAGCGTTCATAGGGGTCGACGGACTTCGAGATCGTCATCGTTACCTACGTCTGAAGTGACTTGTATAATGGAAGTGATTGTGAATGTTTGACAATCTTACCTGTTTATTACAATCCGAGCTACGAATATGAAGAAAGTGAAATCATTCGAGGAACTCGAAAACCAGGAACAATAGTGATTAAAAGAGACGGAGAAGGTTGGGATTGGGTTGGGAGAAGGGGCGATGAAGACCGGGAGGGGCGAACCTGAGAGATTGTTCAACCGCCAACTGATCCATCCTCCCCACACGTATCCATAATAATATGGTGGTTTTGTTTGACGGGATTTGATGAAGACACAGCCGACGAAGCAAGGAGGGAGAGGAAAGAGGAGCGGGTGTTCGTCGCCAGGGCCCTGGAACTATAAGTACATGCGTCGAACGCGCATTTCTCCGAATCGTCCAGACCCAGAAACTCGGCTTCGAGGTCGCACTCTGTTTGACCATGAGCTCAACAGTGGACATGGTGGTCGCATACCAGTCAAAGGGCCAGTTGCCATTCAAAGTCTTGTCCTTCCGCTACTAAACGTTCTATATCCAATGGTGAGATATGTGGTTTGCGTCCCTCACGTAAAGTCGACGATTCCGTTATTGCGGACGTAGTGGTTAACTGTTCACTGGTCACCTGGTACGTCCCGCTCTCTCCACAGCCGCTAGGAAGTATATATCACTGATTATACTCCACTATCACCATGTACGAAGTAATCTTGGCCGAGTATTATTAACAACACTCTCAACGCCCGTCTCTACGCTCGGAGCGCCCGAATCGAGGTTCGTGTACCTCAACATTCCGGCCGTCATAGAATTCTTCATCTCATCATCTCCCTGTACTCCCTCCCAGCTCATTCACGCATCCACGCATTCTCAAATGACACCATCCACGAACGAACCTCGAAAATAGAGTCCACGCCCACGCCACACCCGCGCTCATCAACATCTGCAAGGGCGTCGAGCGGGACACACCCATTTCTTACCTGGATCCTATCCTGGAGAGGTACTTGAAACTGTGCAGTCTTGCGAGGTTGTCTGTCCATCGTAATAGCGATGACAATGGAGGGAATGGAGGACGGGAATGGAGGAGGTGCGGATGGGACGAGCGGGAGGAGTTGATGCGCACGAGCAGATGATTAGGACGTTGGTTATAGTTGCAGATGCGAGTGAAAATACATTTGCGAAGGTGAACTTTCTTCCCTTCTTGGTGTCGTTGGGGTGTTTCGGATTAGGACTTGTGCTGACGTTGGCTTGGTTTACTCTTTTCTGTGGCGTGTGGTGAGGTAGACGCGTCGACTGTATTATTGATTTGTCGTCGATGAAGCATCACTCGAGCATCATGAGCCTGCTCCTGAACGTGCTCAGGAATACGAATACGACTGTGCCTGGGAATAGGAAGTTGAGGGTCAAGGCGATGGAATGTGCAGAGCTGATCGGTGCGTTGTATCTCTACCTGTTCCCACCGCATCGGAACGCTGATTTGATGTGTCTTGTCTATAGCGATCGCGGTGGGACGAGAAGTCCTCAGGTCAGACTCACAGTCTTTGTGTAGCAGATGATCTGAATGCACAGTGCGTTATTCTTCGTTTCCGCTGTCCTTCTCGTGACTGCTTTACGATTTCCCTGGTCTAGTTCCGTGCTTCAAGACAGACCAGTCGGCCCCTTCGACGCCACGCTATCACACTACCTCATAATGACGTGGGCGAATGTTTATCGAACTCTGGAACTATGGCGTTGGGGTCTAAGCCGTATCTTCCGATTATGCCGCAGCCCTAGAGGGCTACGAGCGTGAACGCAGATATTTCAATCCGTGGTTCGCCTATATCCCTTTGTCTTTTTGTCTTCTTCGTCATTTAGTTACGCGGTCAGGCTGGCTTATCTTTTCTTATGCGTTCGGTGCATGTAGAAGACGAAGATCCTATAGAAGACCGGAAGACGATCGCTATTGACGGGAAACAGGCTGTCGAACGCCCTTTCGCCGTCGACCGGAAGTGTCCTACAGGCGTTCGAGACGCTGGCGGCATATGTGTCCACGCTCGAGCTTGTGTTGCCGAGCGTGAAGTATTAATACACATGATTGGGATTAGAGCGGCTTGTGCAATGTACGTGCTCCCTTCGTCTCCTCGATACAGAGAATGCGAACGGGCTGTACTAACGGTATTCGGACGATAGAATCGTGCTCATGCTCATCTTACCCCGCGGAACTGCAACACGCTAAGGAACCAAACGGTCTCAAAGATCTACTCCCAACTCATCGCCTAATCGCCACTCAAACCGACGCTCCCTTCCTCCATCGCTATACAAATTCCTCTCCCACACGCTTCGCGTCCTCTCCCCCCCAGTATCTTCATTCCCCACTCTTGGACGCCACGCAGCACCAGCTTTCCAGCATGAGCGAGAGTAGAAAGCACCGTACGTCGAAGCTGGGTGGGTACGAGAACGGAGGAGGTGATGAGCAGGGTGCCTTGGATTTGGATGCGGAGAAGGGGGTTGCCGACTGTGGAGGAGATGGAGGATTTCACGTTGGAGGCTGTCGAGAGGTTGTTGGAGACGTTTGAGGAGCTTGGGGAGAGATACTTGGCTGGGGGTACAGGCGATTATGGTCGTGGTGGGAGCATGAGGAATATTGGGCAAATGTCACTCCTCAAAGCGCTAATTGGACGATGCGAAACAGAGGAGGAACGTGCGAGAGAAGTCAGCATGTGCGCCTTGCCCAATATAATCTGTGTCCTTCACATCGGCGTTCAGCGGGTAGTGCGGAGCCCGAACGCTCATGGAGGGAAAGTGGAAGAGGTCGTCGAACACAGTATCGCTTTTCTGACCCGAGGCGAGGGCAAACAAGCGAACGAGCTTCTTGGTAAAAGTTAGACTGCATGGTGATATATGGACTTGGGGAACTCCGGCCTATCCATTGGTCAGATGTTTCAAAATATGATCCTTTGTGGGAGGGGGAGATGAGATGGAGGATTTCTTTCGGGCTTGAGGGGAAACCCTGTCTTGAGTGAATTTGATGAGCGTCTATGCTTCAAGGTACGTCTATTCTCGGTCGGCCATCCTGCTTCGCTTACTCCGTTTGTTGCTCTGGCTCTCCCTAACTGAGAAGCGTTTTGTCCGAAAGTCTTCTTATCATATGCAACAAACAGTGGAATACCCACTATACGCACCTTATAAGCTCGTGCCGGTTTAGCGCACTTCGATTTGATTGGCGAACTCCTTTTCGTCTTTTGGTTCTCACAGACAATAGGCGAAATGGCTTTCGTCTTCTCTCGTCTCCTCCACTTCATAGTCAGCTCCTGCATAATTTCCGTTCTTGGTGCGTTGTATCAGAACCCGTCGCAAATACCTGCCAACACCTTGTATGACTACATTATCGTCGGAGGTACGACCTGAGACCATCCCTCTAGGCAATCGTTTGAGGTTTAATGTTATCGTTTGGGCATTGTACCTTGGGATGAGATAGGTGGTGCCGGTGGGGGAGTAATCGTCAATAGATTGACTGAGGAGCCGGAAGTGAGGGTTTTGCTCATTGAGGCTGGCTCTAGGTGCGTAAACCATCACTCATATGTTCCTCCCAGACATTCCATGGTATATTTGCAGCTCATATCAACGCTTCGATGTAGTGACTATACGAACTTGGACATCGAGGTCCCAGGGTTTGCGGCCACTCTCGCGGGATCTCAATTTGTATGCATATTTATATTGTTCACGCACTCAAGGCTTATCGCTCGGGCCATGATACTGTCCACAGGACTGGAACTTCACTACAGCATCTATGCCTGGTTACAATGATAGATCTATAGCATACGCCCGTGGGTTCGTCCTCGGCGGGTCTACGTCAATCAGTATGTTCCTCTTCTTTTCATCCGTAAACGGCATCAGCCCACCCAATAACGTTGTCCACCAGATTTCATGGCGTTCAATAGAGGATCAAGGGACGATTTCGATAGATATGCGACTTATACGGGGGACGATGGATGGTCTTGGGACGGATTGTACCCGTATATGTTGAAGGTGAGTATATCGAGTCATCGTAAGTTGGTTCCGGAAGAGGTATATCAATGGTAATTATCACATGCGGACGCAGCTGGAGACCTTGACACCCCCTGCCGATGGTCGCGACACTACTGGAGAAATCATACCCGCTGATCATGGCACTGACGGTACTTTGCTTCTCTTTTCTCTCAATCGATGCGTTAACTATATCATTACGCTTTGTACAGGTCCTGTCATGATAAGCCTCACTGGATATACCGAGGGTACAGACTCACTCGTTCTGAATGCGTCCGCTGACCTGTCTTCCGAGTTCCCGTATAACGAAGATGTCAATTCGGGAGACAGCATTGGCATCAGTATGTCTACGGCGCTATTTGCGACTTCACAACTTGCTCATTAAAAATCTTACAGGCTGGGCGCAGTGGGATGTATGCGTTCTTTACATTTCTATGGCTTCAGATGAGAGTAGTAAACGAATATATCTTGTAGATCGCTGATGGCGCCCGCGATGGATCAGCAAGGGCATACATTGAGCCTGCGCTCAATCGCTCCAACCTCGACGTCCTTGTGAACACCTCAGTAGCAAAGCTGATTCGAATCGGAACGGACAATGATCTCCCTATATTTCGTGGAGTACAGTTTGCACAGAACAACTCTGGTACGGTACAGTTTGATTTCTCGTAACCAGAACTTTGGGATGTGGATGACAGAGCTGATATTCGTGACTAGGTTCGGTGTACTTTATGAATGCGAGTCGCGAGGTCATTCTTTCCGCAGGCCCAATCAAGACGCCTCATATTCGTAAGACGCATGTTTTCACTTTCGCTGTGGCCCTTTTTATCATAATACTACCAGTCATGCTCTCGGGCATTGGCGACCCCTCTGTCCTATCTGTGGTCGGCATTGACACAATTGTGGAGCTTCCGGATGTCGGCCAAAACTTACAGGTACGTTCCTCCCACAACGCATACACATGGAAAATTTCTCCTTATCTGCTCTTTTCCACGATTGGTCAATTGATCATGATACCGGCGATTATCAGGACCATCCACTGCTTGCAATAAACTGGGAAGTGACCTCTAACGACACAGTCCTCGATAATCTCACTCAGAACAGGACCTTTGCTGCCGAACAGCTCGCACTATGGCAGACTAACAGGACTGGATATCTCGTCAACTCTGCGGGAAGTCAGTGGGGATGGCTGAGGGTTCCGGCGAACGAAACGAGTGTTTACGGAGGTGGAAGTACTAAGGATCCAAGCTCGGGACCTACGGCAGCAAATTACTAGTTCATCTTTGTGGTATGCTGATGTCTGAGAGATCTGAATATTCGCGGATATAAGTATGCGGAAGATACCGACTGATGGTCTCTTTAGGATGGATTCCTTAACTTCAATGACGCTGCACCAACGAGCGGACACTATTTCAGCATGCTCGTAAATCTTGTCTCGCCCGCCTCTCGTGTGTCCTCCATTTTATCCTACTGCGGCCTCTCTGTGCTGACGCCTTCCCACATGGGCCAACTAAACATACAGGCGGCAATATTACTCTGACATCCGCCGATCCCTTCGCGCATCCTCTCATCTCCGCCAACTTGATCTCACCCGAAGAACCACTCGACATCCACGCCCTCGTCTACGCAGTTAAGGCAGCTCGTCGATACGTATCAACCCGAGCCTTTGACGGCTATATCATTGAGGAGGTTGGATCGAGTCTGAACGCGACCACGGACGAGGAGATTGAGCAGTGGATCCGAAATACTGCTCAGACGGTGAATCACGTCTCCTGCACAGTACCTATGGGTAGGAATGGGAGTGCGAATGGTATAGGCGATGGTGCACTGGAAGTTGATCTGAGAGTGAAAGGTACGGTTGGGCTGAGGGTTGTTGACGCTTCCGTCTTCGTGAGTCAACTTTATCCCTCAAATTTTCGCGCTCCTTATCTTTTCATGGATGGGAATCGCAGCCTTATATTCCTGCAGCCCACACAATGGGTCCGACCTTCATAATCGCGGAGCGTGCAGCGGACTTACTCAAGGCTGCCGATAGTCGTTACAGCAGTGATTATAGCTCCGACTCGTGGTTTCAAGGTGTATCCTCCTGAGCGATTGATATGGAATCTTGACACCGAAACCGTTTGGAAACCGTAACATATGTACCTCTTTGGTTTTGTCGTTCCTATTTTCCTTCGGATAGGGAAGCCTGTCGTAGCCAGTTTTAGCTATTTGACTTCGACGCGAGGGCTGTGAGCAAGCATGGCATATGGCCGCGTTCTCAAGGTGCGATATATTAGTCGAAGACTGAGGCACGTATCATAAATATAAGGGTAATGTATTTTATGTGGCACCGAAAGATATATCAGAGATCCATCGCATCATCAAAGTCATCTCTTGACAAGAGGCGAGCATTCAGAACCTTCCCCAGATGCGTCGCTTGATACCCCATCCCTTTCCTTCTGAGACCGAAAAGCCTCTTCAACAACAGTATCGGACTCTCCTCAAACAAACATACGGCTGCCATTTCCCCGTTTCTTACGCTCACTGGTACAAAGCGATCTCCACCCATCACTCCAACGCCTTCGTTTCCACTCGAAGGAGGCTGTGGGTGTCGGACTGTTGGAGGGCTGCCCTTGGTGGGATAAATCGGGTCAGAATGAGGGTTGAAATGAGTGACAGGCGAAGGAGGTGCTGGAGTAGCGGGAGGTGTAGGATGTGGCGTAGGGTTCACGACGACTACGCGGGGAAAGAGACTCGATGTGGATATAGAGTTCGATCCGGAGGGAGGTGTGGATGGAGCATGCGGAGATTGCGCAGGTTGTGAGAGTAGCATGCCCGGAAGGGGGGATACGACGACGCAGGTGGAATCGGGTCGTGGCGGTATTGGGGACGCGTCACAGGAAGGCCTGGGCTGGTGAATAGGCCCGACCAGCTTATTGTCCGGGAGCATATCGACGATGATGCGGCCGACGGATGAGCTGGACTTAGAACGGATACTCGATGGACGGTAGCTCGATGCGGGAGAGACTGAGAGTCGATGGTCGATCTCGGAGAATGACGCGCCGGCGCGTCCATTCGGCGATGAAGGCGAGGGGACACGCTGGGCGGAGGTAGAGGTGAGGTATGGACCTGGCAAAGAGCACAATGAACAGGGGAACCGAGGAAAGATACAGAATGAATGGTACTCACCATCGTAGTAACGGGCCTCGTCCTGCTGAGATATGGGAGAGGGCGGTGTCTCGAGCCCGTTCACGCTATGGTCGATAGGTTCGGGGGACAGACTCCGGGACGATGGCAGTGAAGAACGATACTGAGAGACTTCGCGATACCAGAGGCGCCAGGAGATGTTCTCCAGACGTTCGCCTTCATGCAAGGACTCTTTGCATTTCGTAAAGACTTTTCGAGCGATTTGGATGAGTATCACATGGAAATAAAATCAAAGAAGACGAAGAAGGACTCACTATGCCAAAGTCCGGAAAGCGCTTCACCTCCGTCAAGGTCTTTCACGACATCAACCGCGACAGAGAGCACGGGCGAGGGGAACGATACGAGAATCGAACCCAATACCAGGTTGTGGCGGTAGAATTACAGCGACGAAACGCGAAAAAAAGAGGATCGAAAAAAAAGCAGATCCCGACGAGTAGGGTGCCGCAGAGGGCTCGAGAGTCCGTCGTCGGTGGTCGATGAGACGCGAGCCGTTGGATGCTTCACAGAACGCTCGAGAAAGGGATTTGAAGAAATCCAGTGCTCGCGACGTTGATGGTCGTAGTCGCCGTTGTTGACGTCGAGCAAAAGGCGGGCGGTCGGCAACGGTTTGGAATCCTGTTGACGGTTCGAGCACGAGCGACGAAAGCCCAGCCCACGCCAGCCCCCTGACTTCCGGCCCGCGATCACCGACCCAATCCGACCTTACGCCGATCCTCGGCCATCCCCGGTCATTCACCCTCCGCATTATCCCCAACCTGTCAATTAAATTTAAAGCACTCCAAGCACTCGACGTTCTCTTTGTTCTCCACACCCCCACGTCGCTTGTTAGCCCAGACACTGCTGTAGCGCCTGTCGTCGTGGACTTTGACCACCTGATCGTTCCCCATCGCTCGGAACTGCATCAACTTGCCCTCCGCCCTTCATGGGGAAGAACCGGCTAGGGTTCCGTGAATAATTCCCGGGGCGAGTCTCACCCATGTTATTAACAACCGGGGTCCGAGCCTCTTTATTAACACATTTTTTACAGTGTTAATAACAATGTGAAATTCCGAGTTAATAACCTGTGATTAAAAGCTTTATTAGCATGTTAATAAAAGAAGGCTTGCGAAAATCTCGAAGGATGGTAAAGTAGAGTGGAAGAACGCACGAGATTTGTTTCGCGACCTCTCCTTAACCTGACCTGGCCTTCACATACTGTACTTTTTCGACCGTAGGTTCGTGGGAAGATTACGTCAGACGTGACCTTCGCCAGACCACGGTTCGTTTGGTTGGGCCACGCGTGACGAACCAATGAAATTGTTCGCGGAAGGATCCAAAAATTGATTTTTGGGCGATTTTGGCGCAAATCGGTCACGATTTGCTGTTCGTGGGCCCGCGCATATGCGTGACCATCGGGGCAAATATGTTCGCCGGCGCACCCTCCGTGATGCGTGACGAACCTACGGTCGAAAAAGTACAGTAAACTCGACTTCCCCTACTGTAGTTTTTCGACCAAGTGTTCGTGGGAGAATTATGTCAGCCGTGACCACCGCTGGGCCACGGTTCGTTCGGGCGGGCCACGCGTGACGAACAAGCGGAATTGTTCGCATTAGGGCCCAGAAATTGAATTTTGGGTGATTTTCAGTGCAAATTTGTCACGATTTTCTGTTCGTGAACCCGTGCGTATGCGTGACCCCGGGACCAAAACTGTTCGTCGACGCCCCCTGCGTGATGCGTGACGAACACTTGGTCGAAAAACTACAGTAACCTACCCTCCACGCACCCTAAGCATCCCCTAACCTACTCGCAACCTCACAACCTCGACATCCCCCCAACCATACCCTAGTACACTTTCCGCTTTAAAGTCACTACCTGCGAGTGCACAACATTGGAGAAATGAGAAGCACAAGAGAAGCAAGTCCTCGGAGTTGCTTCGGAGGGTAGAGTAAGTAGGTAAGGATAAGGTCAGGTTATGTCAAAGTCGAGGTTATGTGGAGGTTAGATCAGGATAAGAGGTTACGTCAAGGTTAGACCAAGTTAAGCCGAGATTGGGGGAAAAGGGCCGTCGTGAATCACATCTGGGCCTTTCATCGAGGTTCAGACACTTCACTGCACCCTACTCACATCAGCATTATGTGCTGGACATTCTCACATTTATTAACACGACCGTAAACCCACGGCCAGAGAGCTTTGTTAATAACATGTTATTAACATGTTATTAACACCGATTTATTCACGAGTTAGTAATTGGGCCTTTTTTCACGGTACCCTAACTTAGAACCCGTCAACGAGCTCGGTCACGCGCCCTCTCTCTCGCACAGTTGTCACCGCTCATGATCCAAACTTGGGTGCACGTTTCAGGCATCGATATTCCGTCTCCCACTGTTTCAGCCGCAATAATTCGTGGCAATATTTCTTCGCGTTCGCACTCCAGTGGATGACTTCCCGTAGACAAAAAGATATGTTTATTCGACGCGAGCACCGCTCGGCATCGCTCGGAGATGAAGACGGCAGCCAACTGCAGCCAACCATTGAGCTGCGATCTTCATTTCGGAGCGTTGCCGAGCAGCGATCGCGTTGAATCAATCCCGAATAAACATATATTTTCCCTACGGGAAGTCATCCAGTCTTTTCTTGTTCTCTTTTCGGGACGTACTCCATCTTCTCAGTCTTCGAATGAACTTCTCACTGTGCACGAAGAATCCCCGGACCCTGTACCTCTCTGATCCGGTAAGTATTGCACTAAGCGAACAGCCCGGATCGACTGCGATCTCTTCGACCCTCCACAGTCGGAGGCTTTAGCTTTAGCTGTCGAGTCCCATGGTCGACGGAACTGTTGACGGCCGTTGCAGAGCCCACTCTCATCCAACTTTTCGACCTCCGAGACCATCTGACCCCACAGCTCCGAACACATCCGGCTTCTCTGCTTCCGTTGGGCCTTTGCCCTCTTTCTCTATTTTCCCCGCTTTTTCGTGGAAATCTCGGGTTGTGTCTCCATCCGAGCCCCTTGTCGCAGCGTCTCTTTGTTCCAAATCCGTATGCGCCCTTTTGCGCGTTCTCGCTTCTGATTGGCTAGCATTGAACACCAACCACCCGCTGACCCGCCACGGACGTTTCGATCTCTGTATTCATTCGACTAGCTTACAACGTTCACAAACGTTTGAAAGCTGCAGTCTATATGCACAAAGACTTTTGCTACATGGGTTTACGAACGAGACGACTCGTAACGCCACAGCATCCAGGTGGATTGCGTGGCCAATGACTGGAAACCGCATTCTGCATCACCGGGTGTCACCATGCCCATTACTATAATACATCGTCCCTTATGCAATCCTCACGAATATGAAGCTTAACTTTTTTTCAGCACCTGCTGACTAGCGTTACTCCTCGGACACGCAGGCGCTCCTCCTAGCTTTAGGAATGCGGAGATGGCCGGTGTCGGGCGTTGCGTGAAGGTGATGTTATGGATGCATATGATGGCACGGTCTGGGGCACCGGCGATCCTTTTCTTGTCATCTTGTAGGCTTTGCCGAGGTCAGTTGACGGTCGTCAGAGTCGAGTGGGGTCTTTGTTTGACCTCACTCCCGTCCTTCATTAGAGGTTTTATGAAGCGAGTGTACAGGAGACTCTCGATGATGGAGCTCCACCGAGATTCGATGATGGTTTGCGTCATGCCACCAAAAGGAGCTCTGCTCTCTCGATGATGTGGAGCATCGTCGAGAGGTCATTGAGACTTTCATAAAACCTCTATTTCCACTGCTATGTTAACCTAAGCCCAAAGCACTCGGCCCGCGTGAGAAATCCCCTGCATGACGGAAAAGCGAAGTTGCCGATACACTCTGAAGCCGCTCAGGAAAGGCATGGATTGACGTTTGCGTATATACAGCATTCAGTACTTCTGGGAGTAACTACCGGTCGCCGTTCCCCCAAGTACCTCTCACTTTGGTTGGTTTGGTCATCGTACGCAGCTGAATCTTTGGGTTGGTGCCCACTCCACAGCCTCTGTTCATCACGGAAATAAATCTCTCATTGTTGATTACCTCTGGTGAGCATGAATGTGAACGAGTGTGAGAAATGCACGAAAACACTCACTTTCCATTTTTAATCAGCTCAGCGGCACTAGAAGCAAAGGAACAGTCAACATCGACGCACTATTCTCGAGATTGTCTAGCCGAGGCTTGCCCATGACGATGGAGTCAGCGGTCTACCCACACTGTGAGAATTTCCCCTTCGTCCATATCAGTCCGTCAGAGTTCAAGTCACCGATGACTAATGCGCCTTGCATGTAGATCCCCTCCCCGAAGTTGTCCAATCTCTCCAAATCTGTTGGATATCATCCGCACAGAGCGCAGCAACTATAGTGCGTTTATATAGCGTTATATGAATCCACATCCACGCTGATAGTATGCGTAATTCTAACCTTTACCCCAAGGCTGCGCTGTTTGCTGCTATCGACGTGTCACTGCTGGTGTTTTTCAAAAGTGTCAGCAGCGAGCAGTACCCCGGAAATATCTGCATCTTCTTAATGTATCTCAGTCTCCTGCTCAGCTGCTTCTCGGCCATCAGCGCACTCGACCTTGTCACAGAATTAGGACTTCTTCCTTTTGATTCATCTATCCGCCGCATGGATCGTACACCAACTACGAACCAGTATGGACGCCGCTCCCAAGGAACACCCGTGAAGCTACTGAACCGATATGGCACCAGTTCATCCCTCAAGTGGCTAATTGCATACTGTAGGTTCTGTTTCGTCTGCTCCAGGGGACATTATGTGATTGGTTGATTTTATCACTGAGTTGTACTTTGTCCCAGGGTACACGACAACGATCAGTAGTATGCTGTGTCCTCTGGTGGCTGTAATTATATACATGGCCAAAAACGAGACAGCATGGATGACCGTAATGGTATGTATTATATCTATGCTTGGCATTGTTCCACTGCTACTGTTTTGGACGAGACAACTGTATCATTGGAGAGGACTCGCGACTCTTGGAGATGCAGCGTCAATTTTGCGGTCGAATGAGTTGTCCCAATAGTAGAGGTAACTCTGCTCTCTATTTAAAGTGTAGCACAACGATTCAGTGAATGTAGAAACTATCGCAGTGGCAGTAGACCAAGCAGAAGAAATGCAGCCGGAGAGGTCCTTCACTCAGTGTGGAGCTCAGAGCTCTTCGCTTGTACTTGGATCTCATGACCACGATATCCCGAGGGAGTTGTACGTTACGGTGTGCATGTGAAGAGTCTTATCCTCGTGCCAAGCCGCAGTCATTCATCTGCATAAATAGTACCCGCCTTTAATCTGCCTATCGATCTGCCATGGGCATTATGGTACGTACTGTGTGCGCCTCGCAGACCGAAACCGGTATTGCGAGCGCAATACCGTGCCCACCAGCGTCGATGAGGGGTCGACGAGATGCCCTACGTATGAGGAGTGTCCCACGGCAAAAAAAAACCGCACGCGGAGAGAAAGAAATCGGCGGCAGGGGCGAAGAGGTAAGTGAGTGACCTCGCCCACCGAAAAACTCGAATTCCGGACGCGAAACGCGTCCGGAAGCCCCAAGCTCAGCGGGGACACTCTATTTGGAAAGTAAGGAGTGCCCTCCACCGAAAAAACAAAGGTGAAATAATAATAATAATAAAAAAGCGCACCATGTCACCCCAGGCGGATCATCGTGTCCTCTCAACCACAACAGCTGCTGCCACATCTCTGGATCGGTGATCGTCGACTCATAGGTCCACTCTTTTTGCATCCTTGGTAATGTGCTAGACCATGGAGGACTTGCTTAGTTCTCTTTTCATGCTCTCTACGGGGAAGATGTTGATGGCAGAGTGCGGTGACTGTCGCTGACTTTCAATTGACTTCAAGCTGTTCACGACGTCTGTTGATAAAACTCTACCCCTGTATATCTCGTATCTTGAAAAGCTCTCCACTTGGGTCACCTATGATGCAGACAATTGATACTTCTCGTGGCAGTGATATGCACTCGACCTCTTACCCTATTGCCCGAACAATCCTAACGCGAAATATGCAGAGTAGCTCTCACTCTGCTCCCAACGGCTGTTCTTGTGCTGTCTTTCGATGGAGGCCGTGTTTTTCCTCATGGATCAATGGATCATGACCCCCTCGGATAAAAGAAGAGTCGCTCAGATGGCCAAGCCGTAGCGATGCGTCCGTACATTACCTTGCGTCATGACATTCGTTTACGACGGTGTCAAATGTTTCGATGTTGATGTCAACGGTGTTCAGAGATGTCTGCCGTTAGGGTGGAAGCACATACGTTCCACGATACCTGATTAGGATACCGTGGTGTGTTATGTCTATCTTGTTGGAGAGAACGGGGTACGATCCCAAATCAAAACGTGGACTTCATGGTGCGTTTTACCTCGTCTACTACTCTTCCGCTCTTAAGCTTTCTGTCTCTCTCTCTCCCCTCGTTCCTATCTTTTATCCTCAACGGCCGTCGACCCCTCTTCTCATGTCGCATTCCTGCTTTTCAGCCCATGCTGATACTACGCTGACTTACGGGCGTCATCTGCTCGGCTCCTGCCGCCGCTTCCCTAGTGCTTCGCTCACGATGGTGCAGCTTTGGAATGTCATGGACCTTTTTTTCGTCTCACCCGTGATCTGTTTCGCATGCGACATTCACTGCCATTGTGTCTGATCCAATTTTCCCCTCTCAGATGACTTCCTTGCCAGCTATCTTTACATCTCGGTGAGAGCTCCCATTCATCCGCGAGTTTTTCAGGTCTCTCATCTTACGACATCATGAGCTGCGTAGTCTCACACGAAAATAGCGCCACCAAAAGCTGTCATTATGTGCGCCTTTGAGGCCCAAACACTGTCGACTCGGACGTTACCTGCCGCACACCAGCGTCCCTTTCGCAAAGATCCTGACGCCGAAAAAGCTGCGAAAGCCAAAGCGAAGATCGACCTTCTTGCCTTCGGAGCAATTATGCATCTCTCCTAATCTCTCTCGCAGTAGCTCTTAGCGTCTGGGCGAAATGTAATTCTACTGTAAGCTTTTATTCTGGTAGGTTCTCGTTATGTACACAACGGACTCCTACGGTGTATGTTGCGCTACGCTTTTCTTTCTGCATTTCAACCAGATAACTCCTGAATTCACGTACGGGACTCGGAGCATCGACTTCAGACTTCTGAATCTGCGAACCGCTGACAACAAGATCTCGAGAAGTTCAATTTGAAGGGTGCTGCATTGGACCTTGCTCTTCCGTCAAAGTGATTTCCAACGCGGCGACAAGCCACTCCCGCCCTTGCTAAGTACTTTTGCGTGGTAGGCGCTGTGGAGACGGTTGTGGACCTGTTTTCAATCGGATCAACTGTCTACCTTCTTTGTCCCCGCGCTCACTTTGCACACTTTGTGAAGCTGTAGACCATGGAAGCTGAATCGCTCTTGTTCTCATGGCTCATGCCAATAGTAAAACGCATACTCGAACATCGAATCCGAGAGCTATGATTCCACAACTTCAGAGGTGCTATCTCTGTGTTAAGCTCACCCCTTGCACGTTCCTCTATGTTTGTCCCACTCCGATACCACGTTCCCGCTCGACATAAGTACCACATTCCCGCTCGACATCTTCTCTTCTTCGTTGACACTATGCATCGGTGCTTGTGACTATGCCGGTGCTTGCCATTCATCATGTCTGATAGAGAACGAGGGCACGATCTCGAGAAAGTTCGTGGTGTCGCAGCTTCTGTGTTGGCGCCGGCACCGCTCATCCCTAGTTTTGGCACAAACATACATGAATGGTCTTCCGAAAAACAGCGTTGTCTTTGTCCAATGCTCATTTACGAGGAAAGCCAGTGGGAAGCTGCTCTACCCCATCTGCATGTTTGGCATACTTCTTGCCCTGTCGCCGTTCGGAAATCAATGTCTTTGTGCACACACAGCGTGTATCTATATCATGAATGGAAGGGTGAGCACCAATCCGTGCTTTCATCACTCACACTGGCGATATAAACACATCGGAAAAACCTACATATATGTCCCGTTAAAGATGACTCCGGTCGGAATGCGCTCCAGGCTCGACAGTCAGCTATACTGATAGAGGACATTGCGTACTGCGAAAAACCTCTACCAACTCCGTGGTGAAGAGCGTATGAACTTTCTCCGAGCCACCGTGCGTGGTACCATCCGATCGTACCCTCTATAGATGATTCAGGTGAGCAGATTTTCCACAATTCCTCCGAAGTTCTAAAATATAGATGCTGCGCTAATGTACTGGCTATTCGAGGTTTCACGTTGACGAGATTCCACGATAGTCCTTGACAGTTTTTTTTGAAGCCAATTTATTGTCCATCAGTTATTTCCCACCGATGTAGGCAGTTTTGGCTACCATAAGTAGCTTTAAGTTGATGACTGATGTGCGAGACCGCTGTGAGTCCTTGAGGTATGTATATTTAAAATTGCGGAGAACCTGGTTCGTACCTCGATCGGTGTTAGGGGCACACTGATCACGAACGCCACCTACGATTACAAGTGCGGGATACTAGTACTGTTCTTACGCCAATTTTCATCCACGGCACCAATCACCTTATCTTTCCCTCCGACCATATGCCGGCGAAGCGCGATACAGAACTTAAACTATGTTCTCGGATAGCGCCTTTACGGGAAAGAACTAGACGTACGAAAGAGCGTCTACGGTGAATTCTGTGCACGCTATGATCAGCCCCGAGCCTTTGATATTGAAGACGGTTGCCATGACCCAGAAACTATTACGGATAACTTTACGTGCCGATGCACTGAGTAATGCACAGTGTGGCGCCCACCTTCCCAACAATAGAACTTATGGAACGTCGCGGTCATCTGAACGTTTGGATGATACTGAGCGTCCTGGAGTTAGTTTGTATATATATATGCGTACCTCGGCTGATACCAGTAGCCATCTTGCATCTCTTCCTCACTGCCTGAAGCACAATATTCTTGCCTCTCGCTCTCGCAAGGGATCTCATCAAATGTGAGTGTTAAAATATCTTTATCGACGATATTTTCTACAATTCTGCCTGACTTTCACCTTCATCCCTACTTTCAAGGGATGACGTTAGCTCATCTGACCATCCCGGTGCTGCGACCGAAGCAGGTGCCCGAGGGTCAAAAACTCCAGACGTGTGCGTGGCGTAGTCCTTACCGTTCCGATGTCGACTGAGTTTGATCATATAGGGGAAAACGGCCACTCTCTGCTTTAATCATCGGAATCGATAAATATCAGTCAAACAGCATTGTTGACTTGGACGGCGCCGTTAGCGACGCTCAAAAAATCAACAGCTTTTTCAGCACTTATCCAGGTCTACCTTTTTCGAAGCCCGACATCACATACTTGGAGGGCAAAGACGCTACTCGAAAGAATATTCTCGACGCCCTGACGGCTTTACAATTTAAATCCTCAATCCATCACGGAGATCCAATCGTCATTTACTTTGCAGGTCATGGATCGTCTGGACCAGAAAACGAGCTAGAGCCTGCGAGGGGAGATAGTAAGAAGGTCATCGAATTCATTGTTCCTTATGACTGTGACGAATATACGGCGGGTATACCGGATCGGACGATCGGGAGACTCTTGAGTCTCCTAGCTCATGAAAAGGGTGATAATATCGTCAGTTTCCCCCTAATTTTCTAATGAAACCTGAGACTGACTTATGTATTCGTTTAGACCGTGATTCTGGATTGTTGTCACTCTGCCTCCGCGACGCGGTCCCTGAATGGCCTACGCAGTCGTCATACCGCACTCCCTACACGCGCTATTCCAAGCAACCTCGACCTCGAACTATTTCATGAGTTGCCCAGATCCGTCCACGCTCGGGATGCGATGGCCATGCCTCATTTGTTTGTGCATGCGGGACTTCACTCTCACATCTTGCTTGCTGCCTGCGGCATACATCAGCAAGACCGCATCTGGCTAAACCTAACTATTTCGGTCTATTCGGTCTACCGGGAGACACAAATAGATCATTTGATGGTATCTATTCTCGTCTATTTTCTTTGGACCTGCCTTCTGGGAGGCATGAAATAGAGCGCAATAGAGCGCAATAGAGCGCAAATAGATCCCCTCAGTTCTCTCATAGAGCATCGGATAGAGAACAATAGCCTTGATTCTCACTAAACGGCTTCAATGGTAAAATGTATTTTTATTGCTGAAACAAAGCAGCTGAGTGTACTATACATGAAACGGGACCGGTACATTGCAAAAGACAAAATTATTGTAGCGTTCAACCCGACCCACCACGGTCATCCAGTAAGCACGATCCCAATTGTTGCCTAGCGCTAGAAGTTCGTGAATTTGAAAGACTTAGAGTCAGATACGTACATAGCTATTCACCCCGATCCGTCAGCCGCACCGTCAAGTCACTTCGCCATTGTTGAAGTAAGTGGTAAGAGGTGAAAGCGCCGTGGTGGATGGAGAGGTCGACGACTCTAATAGAGCATCGAGGTGAGCAGGAAAAGTGTCAGAGAGAATGAGGGAGGTGCGTGCCTTTAGGGTTTGAGTGGCATCATGTTCCGTGCAGGAGAGGCTAGACGAGGAGATGAAGAGAGATTAGTCATGGTTGAGAGAACAAAGACGGATAAACAGAACATATGAAGAACGTACATATGTACCGACTATGACTCGCAACAGGGCTGCCATTCGCGGTTGCTGCCCGAAGATGTTACACAAAAGAAAAGAAAAGAACGTACATATCAATCAATAGCCGAATCAGATCTAAAAACGTCACCTCGTCCCAGCTGTGCACGCTGCCGATCACCTCCTATCGCTCCTGATTGCCTTCCTCGACAACTTCTACCGGTGCCGTGGACGACGTCGAGCGCGCTATCGGCGCTTTGACTATAGTGGGGTCAGGGGCAGAGGTCGTAGTCGAAAGAAATCGTCGAGCCCAAGAACCACTCGACCGAGGGTGATCGTTCAAAGCCATGTACGGCGGCCCTGCATTGGTGTCTGCACCGATGCGGTCAGGGAGTGACAACCAGCATCGGCATGCCTTTCGGCCTTGGGGCTATCAATGTTGCTCACACATCTGAATAGCATGCGAGCCGTGAGTTGAAAGGCGTACCACACTATGGTCACGGGGCAAGGTGAGGACAAGAGAGCTGAATGAAGATGGGAAACGAAATCATATTAGTGATAGCGAGAATGAATATTGAAAGAAGGGCTATAGTACCTAGAAAAACCTGTTGTGAACGGCGTTAGTGCGGAGTAATGAACCTCAACATAATGGTACATCAATATTAGTACCATGGAGGCTGTGAGTTACCATTCGTACGATCCTCTGACGCACGGGCGAGAGACTGACTACATAGGACATTATGGGTGATACTCACGTCGAAACCTGTCGAAACACGAGTTGGCTACCTACAATCATGACCCTGCATCGCCGCATGCACAAAGCATCGACCGGCCTGTGCCAACAGATTCCCCCGGCTAGTGAATATGCAAAAGAATGAGAAGTAGATAAAAGAACATACACGACGCCCGAAGTGCAAGGAACAGACGTGGCGGGTGACCACTGTGGTAGCAACCTGTTTCTAGACACGGAAGAAGAGGACGGTATGAAGTGTTCAAACGTTCACGGGCAAAGTGAAGGGCGAAGGAGCGAGTTGGGGGAAAGAAAGTGGAGAAGCCGGTGCCAGGCGCGCCGTCAAACGGAATCAACGGGGTCACGTGTTGGTTTAGGGCGGGCTCGGCTTGCTTGGGGCAGGCGCCAGGGATGGTTCGACGTTCGTCTCGCCCATTCATTTTTCTTACCGTCACCGACCATCTTCAAGTTTGAACTTCTGCTGCATGTTCGTCATTGCACGGACAACATCGACTCCCTTTTGACTCAACTCCTTTACCCGGTGACTCTGAGCATCGGCACCTTCTGGCGTGGCGACACGCACCTCGGAGATAGCGATCTTTGCGAGCACAAGGACGATGGGACGGTCGTCGATGAGGAAGCGTTAATCCGTATACATAGGGATACATACGGGGTAATGGGTCGGCTGTGAGCTCGGTCAAACTCGCTAGGTCTTCTGCTGCACCACCGTCGCATTATACCCTTCGCTCGGAACATCTTGCTACTCCCGAGTCAGTGCTTTCCCAACGGAATCGTAGTACGACTGTATATGTACTGGTTAGTCTTTGTAGAACATCGCTCTGTGCAGGTATCGGGTGGTAGGTATACTTTGAGCTCTGATTAGTAGAAATGAAGAAACCTTCAACGAGGATCACATCTCTCAAGTACCCTCTCGTGTCCTTTCTATGTTTGTGTGCTGCACGGTATCGTTCGTCTTGTAGTTCTTGTAAATACTCGTAATTAAATAAGGAGGGCTGCATCTGTATAAGTAACCCACCCATTATGATTACTATGATTCTCGTGAAGGTGAGGCGACCTTTTTGCTCTTCCTAGCTCTACCAGAGCTACTGAAGTACGATGTATCTATAGCGCACAACGCGACTAGACCGAAAAGAAGGCATAGACCGGAATAGACCGAAAAGCTAGGTTTAGGCAGATGCTGTCTTGCTGATGTAGACGAAGACGCAAACGAAGCGAATGGTTCCGGAGTCTTTACGAGTGCTCTACTACAGACGCTCAAGCAGGTTATTGGACAGAATTTGAGTTACAGGCAGTTGATGGCGAGGATTCCTGACTTGAAAGGGTGAATTTACATTATTTAGGCCTTAATTATTACTCTTCTGACTCCTCATTTTTTTTTTCCTTTTTCATGCATTATTCTTCGGCAGGCAAAACCCACAGTGCCAGGGATTACGAACAATGCTTGATCGCAGAATATTCTCCACGGAGACGGCCCCGATTGTGGAACTTGTGAGAGCCCTTGGAGGCGAGTCCACCGTAATCGTTCGGAGTTCATCCGACAAGCATGGCTTCGAGGCTAGTCCTTCCGTTCGCGCAGATACGGCCCGGGGACAGCTGTTGACCACCAATGACGCACCTGCACTACGCATCCATATCGACTTGGAGAAAGGCCTCGAAAGCATCGTCGAACCGCTCAGAAGGAAATTTGAAACAGACGGGTTCTGCATCAATGCTCTTAGTTTCATGAAGCCGAAGCCTGGAGATGCACGACTCAAAGTATCGATGGACAAAAATGTCGCCGTCTTCGATGATTTGACCATCCTCCCAACAATCACCGCCTCTCTGACTTCTTCTCCCGGAATGGAAGAATTCAAACGCCTACCTTTCACCACACAGCCGGATTTTGATCATCTCTCTCCTATCCTGTTCGCCGCCATCCATTGGTACTACCATCTCCTACGAAAGCCAGCACAACATGCATTGACCGGGACCGGCGAAATCACCGTCGAATTCACAGAGCTCGAGCAGGTGTTCGATGCCAGAGGTAGGCCAAAAGACCTCAAGCCATTTCCATACGATCTCATCTCGACAACCTCCGGAGGCCAAGGCGTAGTCGACATTTTGATAGACTCGGAGAAGTTATACGGACAGAAAATCAAGAATGCATCTGATCTCGACATACATCCACATCTCTTCTACTTCAGCAATAGTGATTTCAGCATCAGTACGATCCTTCACTTGGAGACAATCTACAGTAATGACGAATTCTGACTATTTTCTTTCTATACCTTTGCGTAGCCTCAGCTTATCTTCCGTCCATCCCTACCGCAAATGGAACGCCTGACCCGCTCCTTTCCCAGAATTCTTTGCCTATTGGTTACGGCACGGGGGGTGCTTCTCCATACACCTATGACCTGCTCGAGGGACAAAATATTGACCGAGGCTTTTATAAATTGTTCATAACAACGAAGTACGTCGACCTCTCGTGTATCACACAAAATTCGGCTTTCGAAAGGAGAGCTGGGCGGGCGCACCAGGGGGTCCCGAACTGGAAAGAGAGGTTTCAGAAGTTGGTGTGGGACGAGATTACTCTTACGATTGTGCAGCGTCGATCTTGATTCTGGCAGGGAAGTGATACTGGAGAATAGTCATGAGAAGATACGAAGTTTTTCGAAAGGTGAATGTGGTATCAATACACCGTTATACCAGGCGCTGGGTGCTTTGTACAAGATATGATGTTGATATGCTCGGCCACTCGTATCGTCCGTTTTTGATACAATGCATGTTATCATTACTCTGATACGGCGTACTCTCGCATGGCTTAAAGTAGAGATGTTAATGTCGTGGAGTAGATGCAGAGAACAGATTATTGAGTGTCTACCACGCAGAGTCCTTCGTAAAGTCAGTTGCAGCTGGAAGATTAATTAGGTACGAAGGATGGTCAAGGGTTACTGCGAAGAAAAATATCGATAAAATGCAGCAAGCTACCTCGATGCTTGCAGATAGTCCTGGAACAATTAGTTCTCTATGAGTGCTGAGACAAATACAAGTAAGGGACATAGTGGCGGTCTTGGCCCTCGACCACTTCTGGAATGGTCGACCATTGCTAGCATTAAAACACACGTCATATATACGGTCCGCGGAACGTGAGTCCCTTCAAACATGGGCTAAAATGTCTACTGTTTAGCAGAATTGAACCTCCTCTGCACCACAGCAACGGTGACCTCGTCACAAACATTGCAACTAAGCATCTCCACTCTTTTCCTTTCATCGTCCTGTTTTAGCTCCGGAAAAGGATATCCTTGTGAAATCCAGGCCATGTCGAACCATGTTGTCGTTAAGAATAGCTTAAGATACCCTACATCGATGTCCTTTCCGTCTGGGAGAAAATAGCTATAGGGCACTGCGTCGTCCGAGCCATAGCCTACTCCCAGAGCAGGACTGTCTGCGGATAGGGGGGCATTCGCGATATTTCTTGAGTTGGAGTTCGGCACAAGATAGCATGGGACTGAAACAGTCGGTAATGCGGTATCCGAGTAGGGGGAGAGAAACGGTATCAGAGAAAGGTTCTGGACTATGGCGTAGCGAGAAAATGTAAACAAAAACAGGACGTACCAACGCTAAAATCACCACTTCCAAAGTAGAACAGGTAGGGATAGAGCGCATGAGGATGAGAACTTCTGATAGTCTGCCCATACAACTTGCTACTGTCCACCACCAAATCGACTACATTTCCAAGTTGGGGACCAGTCGATACAAGGTTCGGCCCCGAAGGAACGAGATGGTCCGGCATCTCCATGTCATCATACACGACTGCGAGCTCCGTAAAATCAATCGTCACCTTACCGTCGTCGCACAATATGTGCTTCGAAGGTTGACATCGGAGGTGACAATACCACCGTACGGCCGCCAGGATTACTGGAGAGAGAAAATCGATATCGGGCCTGGCAGTGAAGGGGAGCCTGGTCGGAAGTACTGAACTGCTGGGTAGGGAGTTATGGTCGAGAGGGTGTGTTGTGAAGTGGTCAAATACAGCGACGCCGTTCACCACGGATATTTGAAGACGAGCATCTAGTGGTTCCGTGGAGTCCTTTGGTGCAGCAGATACAAGTGTATTGGTATCAAAACCATCTGCGATGAGCCTGTCCATGAGAGGTTGGACCACATTGCCTAGCTGGTGGTCAACTTCGATGCTGATCCGGACAATATACTCTCTGCTCGTGGGCAGAGATGTCGCGGCTGATAATGTAGCGTTATCACGGACTATAGGCAGTGTGGGTCGCCGAAGAATAACAAATGACGAAAGGAAATTTGCATTTTCATCGCTAGGAGTTCCCGCCGATTCCGTGGTGAAAAGAAGTCGGTCGCGATGATTGCCCTCGCATCGTGGGCTCTGCCTACAAGCAATTTACTAAGATCAGTTTCAATGCACGAAACCTGCACGCGCGGGTCACGTCAATTAATATCACTGGGACGTACGATGGAAGAATAGCGAGCTTCTTCACGAGCTCCTCGCAACTAACGCGCTCACTTGCCGCAGACTCGAGAACCTTCAGTAAAGCACGTGTGAAAACACCTCTTCCATTCACTTCATACGCAGATTCGTCCCCTCCGCAAGCGGAAAGAAAAACATGCGAGGTTTGATGGCTAGACATGGAGCGGTCGTGTGAGGGCGGTCTTGGTGACACATGGGCGTCAATGTCCGAGAACATGAAGGAAGTCTGGAGCTCCACGAAGCGTGTGCGAAGACTAGGCATGTTTTCAGCATGGCGAGGATCGGGTTTCGAATGAGAGCAGTCCGCTATAAGTGTCTGAAAGACATAGCAATCTATGAGTATCCGACTAACAGTGCAATATAAATCAAACTAGTCACAATATTATCACCCTTGATATTAGCTAGATCGTCCAAATAAGCCACTATCGTTCGATCCGATATCGCGCTGACGGTCTCGTCGCAGTCATGAGGAACGAAGGTTTTAATTTTCTCCGGGCCGTGACCATCTCTGGAGGGCGAGCTACTTCGAAGTCTTGGAGCAGCAAATGAGGACCCATAACCAGCAAAGTATATCAGTATGGGATCATCGCGCTGAATACGCTCGTTCGTTTTCAAACTCTGAAGCTCGCGGATGATGGTGGCTTTGGTCGCCTGCTCATTTAAGAGGACTGCTGTATGGAACGCAGAGAAATGCAGTTGCGCATAACTAGATATGGAGCTGCAAACGGCTAAGGCATCCGCGACGGCTCCAGTCAGGTTGGGGATCTGATCGGACCGATATGAGTCAATGCCGACTATCAAGGCGAACATATGTCTTTGTCTGTGGCTGAAATTAGCGTTAAACGATGTATATCCGGACATCCCGTGGACTTTTACCTTCCTCTATCCTGATTAATATGAGTATGTTCAGCTCTCAGCGTCATGCGGTACATGATCACAAAACAAACCTGTTGAGGGGCGTCTCGAGGTCGAGAATGTCTTCGTGTAAGTGATAAGAGCGCGAGAATAATAAGACAGGGTGACACGCATAATGTCATCAAGGCGAAATTCTCTCGAGAAAACAGCATCAGTACCCACACTTCATTCCCCAAAAGAACGAATAAGTTAGACAGGATCAAACACCCGATGTACATATACGCACACTGGCGAGCCATCAAGTGAGACAGAGTTTCTTCAGTCATGGGCTTTGAGTTGGAAGAAGCAGACAGTTTGAATGGACTCGCTCGTAGGTGCCATACTTTATACACCCTCGACTGATTTCAGCCGTAAACGCGCTCCACGTCCTTCCACGTGATGGCATCAAAAATTGGGCGCTAGTATTCTCCATGTTTAGTTATGGTCAAAAACGGAGCACCTCAGACTGAGAGGACGACCTGCTTTCCTTCATCTTAGCAACCTCGCTACAAGTGGCACGAAGTTCACGAGTAAGTAATCGAAGACATGCAGCTGCCGCATTCCTTGTCTTGCTGTATAGGCACTGCCTGAAGTTTTCCCCGTATCTCATTGAGAACTAGGTGATCGAGTAGGTCACTGAACCCCTCCGCCAAAACGGCACGCTATGGAAGTATAGCAGGGGGGTGCACTTGATCATGTACAGAAATTTTCAGTACAAGTAGAGTTCGGCAGGACATAGGGCATAAGACAGTCGTAATATCTGTATGCCGAAATAAGTCGAGAGGACACGCTGCTAATGCACACCACTTCGTCGCGATTGTGATGCGCTTGGGATTCGATAGGAGAACACGACGTGTTATGCACCAAAGCTGCCGGGAACAATGCAACGTTGCTTAACAAAACAGCCACGAAACGCACTGCGGCACTTCTTCACGTTTTGCAAACCAACGCTGCAACGTTGTTGGCCCGTCCTAAGTTAAGTTCGGGTGGCTGCTGCATCTCCGGATATCTGTTCATTAGGTCTCTCATCGCATCGACGTAAACTGGCGCCGTCAATGAAAAAGTGGACTCACAGATCAATATATCACTGTTCAGGTTCATCATGGCATTACCTATTTTGATGCAAGCTTGTTAGAAGCGCCGACATCAAGCCCAAAAGAGTGACGTTTGTGCGTTTTGCCCAAAGGAACTCATGTTTCGAAGACATAAGACACTTTGCTCATTGAGCCTGCAGAACTTCGCCGGCCATCGGTCACCTCCCCAGTGCCACAGGCTAGCATAGTCACGGCCAGTGTATGACCACTACACGGCCCTCGAAGTAACAGCGAGGCCCGAAGGACTTATAACAGAGGAGACCATGGCCTTGGCGGGGGCAAGCAAGCAGGACCTCGCTGAATCAGAGTGATACGACAACGAAAGGATTCTGCAAAGAGACGTAAAGTAACGAATGCGACGATGCTCAGCCTTGTGGTCGACAAGGAAGCCGCAACTCAGTCACGTTGTTACCGTGGACGCTGTGCCACAATGGTGAAGTCGTTTCACCCTGGGAAGTGGGTGCGGTTCTTTCTCTGCTTGCCCAATGAATCCAATCGGCCAGAGGAATCGTCTCCCTCTATTCGTGAACGAGAGGTTCGGGTCTGGCCGCCCACATCTAGGGTCGTCGCTCCCAACGGGTTTCACTCCCTATTCTAGCGTCAGTCGTGACAACCATCCGAGCCCTCACGTCCCTCTGGTCATCGCCAGTCTTTCCTCTAGATTCTGGCATGTTTCAGAGAGCTGGAAACGCTGGACACGTGCCGATAACGTTATGAAAAAAAAATGATAAATAAATAAGGCAAGCGGCGGACTGACCAAAAGAGATGTCGTCCATAGGACGGGCGAAGCGCTCTACATATATAGATCGAGTGAGAGATATTGTGAGAACGTCGGAAAGTGTCAAGACTTCACTGTATACGGGCCGCGTTACTCTGGAAACGTATATGGGAGTATTGTTCTTAGGGAGCATCGAGGATGTAGCATCGAGTGGCGTAAAAGCTACTTTTCGGTAGCTTTTTCCCCGCCAGAAAATGTGGCATTTCGTGCTTTCGCTTTTCCCACGCTTCCCCAAAACGACGTGGCTTGCTTTCCGCTGCTTCGTTTCCTTTCTCCCTCCACACCCTCATGCATCTCTTTCATCCTCGCTGCTGCTGCTGCGGTCACCGCCTTCGCCTTCACCTCCTCCTTCACTGTCATTGCCTTGCTCGCCCCTCCACTGTCGCGACCTCCGGCGCTGTCTGCCAGCGTTTGTGTTCTCCCACGCAGCCATTATGGCGTCATGTTGCTGTCGCGTACAGCGACATGACGTCATTGTGAGTCCTCCGCGTACGCTTGAGCTCTTCGACTGCCGTTACACTCTAGCTCTGTTGACGTTCTTCAGGTCGATTTCCTTTTGGCTCAGTCCTTGTCTCTGCCCTGTCCAATTGCTCGGACATAACTAGTGTCGGCTTGTTTCAGATCTTTCTTGAATGCACGAATTAAGTATATATGTGTCTATTCGGGACGTGCCAAGCCCGACTCCACCTGGCGGCTTCCTGCTACGAAAGTCTTGCTCGCTGGTCTGTCGTTGATCAGTCAAGCATACTTTTGACCTTGCGATCAAGCTCTCGCTTCTTAAAGGTATGCTTTGAGTCTCTTGGGTGGGTCTCCGGAGCCTTGAGCCCCGAAACACGCAAGTGTGAGGCAGACATTGGATGTACAGTAGTCTGTCCTTTTAGTACTTCAATATAATGCACTTTCTTTTGAGGACAAGCAGCTCGTACATGAGCCGGAGGACGTGCATGATGCATTGAGGAGAAGTGCTGTATGCACGAGCCAATCACTCGGGTCTGAATGTCGCCGCTACGTCGGGTGGCTTGGCAAACATGGTTGGGTATTCTCCTTGGAGGTGTCGTCGCATGCTGACACTACGAACAAAAGAAGTATGCTGTATCAAAGAGTAAGTCGTGCAATGATACTTATTAACTTCGCTTTCTGTGCATAATGCTAACTTCGAGTCCGCAACACTAGCTTTGACATCACGAATCTAGCTTTTATGTGACAGAAGTAACTTTTCGGTCCCCTTGTGTTGCTTTTTCTTTGCTAACCGTACTTTTTCTCTATTTCGTGTAGAGGTACCTTGTCCTGAGTCTAGCAGGCCATAAAGCACGACGTACAAAGTCATCCAAGCATTCTCGAGAACGCCCCGGCTCTACCCCGCAATCCTGTTTTGCTTCCGTTGACAGTGCCACATGCTGGGATCGCAGGGGCAATGGCTCTCCCTTGTGAAGTTTTTCAAGAGCAACGTCCACGATCTCACAGCTCTCGACCTTCTACTCTCTTATTCAAGATCACATACTATGTTCCGGCGCTTCCTGGAGCATATTGGTGTCGCCTCTCAACAGCAGATCGCCGAAATTGGAGAGTCGTTGTCTGACGTCAAAGAGACTTTAAATCTCCTTGTTGACGTCCAAAATCCAGGTACGTCCCGCAGTCTCCATCTGATGTCTAAGCTCTCATGTTAATTCTTATCAAAGGAGTGCGATCACAACCCCAAAATCCGACCGCCGCCGTCAATAACCCACAACCTCAACCCGCCGCTTTGCTGCCTGGTCCTGAGCTCGCAACAAATGGGGCCATTATGCCAACACCCTCCAGTGCCATCGTATCTAACTCTCGGTACCTAACTTTTTTCTAATTCTCTTCAGTTATACCGTCTATTTGACTCAGATCTAACATCTTGTTTCCTTCTTCGCCACCTCTCTTCTGTCTATCCATGATCACTCACTCCGCACTTTCACTATCCCACCTTACAAAACATAGCATTGCGCCGCCATGGCCAGGTACCCATCCTCCGCAACCAGCCGCTCAAATGTACCCAGCCATCGCCACACTCCCAGCTCAGCAGTACATGATCGTTCCAGCTGGCCCAATGCCTCCCGCCACATCTCAGCCCACCGATCTCACTCACCAGCCCGTGCCACTTTCCAGCGCAGCTCCTTCGCACTCTACTCAACCTCAATCATCGGATCCTTTGGCGGCTGCCCATTTGCCGAACGTTGTGATGGGGCCCGGGGTCATAACAAACGACCGTAGGTACTTCAACTCGATTCGCAACACGTATACGATCTTAAACGAGCATCTCTAGTTCTCGTTTGGCCCGATGGATATCAGTTCCGGGAGATCCTCGTTGACGATGTCTTTGACGAGTGGAAGCTCACTTTCTGGCAGTGGCGTTCTAACGGCAATCATCCATTTGAAGGCCAGATAGTTGGTGTCCGAAGGTGCTTGGGCGTTCTCATCTGCTCGGACTCTGTGCCTGTCAACGGAGTCGTTGTGAAAGGTTGTGGGAAACTCACACGTCCCGCCACTCAGAAGGCATCTCGTACTGCACAGGGTACTGAGCAATGCTCTCAGGCCGGCTGTTCTTCAATAACGCACATATTGGTTCAATGTGGAGCTCGGTCATATCACTTCCCCCAGTTCGAACGTGATGGGAAGCTCTGGCTGCTGTGGAAGCATAGCGAGATTGGACACGGTCATCCACGCCCGCCCGCTCCTAAGACCAAGCTCTCTCTTGCACAGAATAACGCACTGGATCGGCAGGTCGCACTTCGTCCCGACGCCACAGCTTTTCAGTATCGAGTCGGGCAAGCTGGCCGAGGGTCGGTTCCCCTCAGCAACATCAGTCCCGTTCTAGCGAATCCTCGCGTCGCCCGTGCTCAGGTGGCCAAATCAAAGAGTCGTTTAGGCTTGGAAGCAACGGGTTCACGTCGAAATGACACCGATATATTCGGTGGAATAGCGGCATTCGAAACCAATCATGGAGATGTACTCATCGACTCGCACCTTCACCGTCCGCAGTACATCACCTTCCAGACGCCGTTCATGAAGAAGATTCTGAAGGAGTACGTCGAACGATGGAGTGTTGAGCGGGAGGAGGGAGGGCCTGAGTCTGGACGACGTGGTGGTGTTACGGACGTGGACCACAGTTACTTCCTTGTGGGAAACGTCCTAGCAACCTGTGTGTTTTCACCGGTACTTCGAGCCTGGGTTCCTGTCCTGTATTCGTGGATCAACGGGCTGGACGCAGATCACCTCCGCCCTCACTTTCGCCATCTCTTTCGCCAGATTTACGAATTTTCCGGAAACCGCTGGAATCCCGAACTGTTCACCCAGGTACGCTTGATGTTCACTCATCTTAGGAGGAAGAGCTACTTACTCTCATGTTCTTCCTTGTTCGTTCCGATAGGTAATGGACTTTTCGACAGCCCAGCGTCGAGCATTTATCGACGAGTATGTCGCGCTACGCTTTGAATCTACGAAGGGCTTGGCCCAGATGTCTGCCGAGACTCAGCAATTGCAGCGAGACCAATTCACGGAGGAGGCGACAGAGTTTCTTGTCGGCTGTTCTGTGCACTTCCAGCGCTCTGTGATGCGCTTGAAAAGTAACGGTGCACTTGTACCCCAGGATCGTGTTCCGATTTTTGAGCGGCTTATTCGTGTGCTGCTCTCGGATACCACAACACTTGATCAGTTCGATGCTGCTGTTCTCGAGCTTCGGGAGGGTTTCCCTTCGGTCTCGAGATGGTTAGACTGGTGGCTCCAACCGTTAAACGCGTCCATGATCTTCCCGGTCAAGTCTACTGTTGCTCCATCTACACGTCAGGACGTTCCACGAACATCCAATCCGGTCGAAGCGAAGCACTCTCTGCTTCATCGAGCCTCTGGAACCGAGAAGGGATTGATTGCTGGACTAGAGGGAATGCTTCTGTATGTTCGAGAGATTGAAGCATTATATGAAGCAATCAAGAGTACGTTCTACCTTCTCCATCCACTCTTACTTGTAGCTGATATACTCAATAACTTAAATATGTTCTACTAATCAGCCGGTGATGCAGCTGCACCATCTCTTGAATCGAACTTACGCTCTCTACGCCGAAGACCTTGGGACCCGAACGATGGAAGAGCACCAGATACCGCCGCTATGTTAGCAAATGTGGTGCCCCAAACAAGCAACGGTGATTCTTTCGATACCAAGTCTACATACATGATCCTTACTTTCCTTCTAGATACTCCCAATGTTGCTACTCGTCGATCTCGTCGGAAGGATACATCAGTTGTTCAGCAACCGCCTGGAGACCCCTCATCTCAAGCTCATTCTCCTTCGACCACCATACCGATAATAGGTCTCAAGGATCGAGAACTAGTTGGCTATCGTTGGCGTGCTCCGAACTCGTGTTTCTGGGACTGTCCCCTCGAGATTTTGTACCGGTGCTATCGCACCATGTCACCAACAGTACGGTCAAAGCTAGTCACTGATCTCTCAGCTGCACCTCCGAAAAAGGCTCGTTCGAAGTCGCCTCTTCAAAGACTTATAACCCATTTCGAGGAGAGAGACAAGTGGGTCGCTGGGCGTACGAAGACATACAAGTCCGAGCCGAAGGGCCTGCAGATCCTCAGCACTGCTCAGCTCACATTTCGAGACATCATCGAAAAGGACTGGGATATCGGAGATCTCGTACGGAAGAATCCCGAGGACGCTAATTCTGCTGTCCGCTACGGTAGTGCAGACAGTGTTTTGGCAAAGTTAGTTTCGGTGAGCTCATTTGTATTTATGTGAGATTTGAACGTTCCAGACTGATTAATATTTTATCTCAGGACGGTGTTCCTACTGCGGTCTCCCAGCACTTCGGAATGCAGCATCATCTTCTCTATTCCTGTTCTGCTGGCCATCAATTTGAGTTCCCTGCCTCATCACCACAACCACGATTCAGGTTCATCCTTGAAGACATTGACGCTTGTCGAAGCCGTTCTACGAATGGCCGCGTTTCGTATCAAGATTTCTTCAGGGCCCTTATTCCACGCACTCCTGAGGGTCCTTCATGGGGTACTACTGTTCTACATCAGCAATCTCCGATCGCTTGCCAGAGCAACCACTGCGACGAGGATATGACACTCCAATCGGTTCGCACTTCCTGGCCTGCCATACTCCAAATAGGCCCGCCGGAAGACGCAGCTGCCGACAGGGCTCGGTCCGAAGTCAGGACCATGCTCGCCTTCTCCGTAGCGCATTCCAACAATCGCTCGACCGTTCAATACGAACTCGTCGGAAGTATTCGCCATCACGACACCTCAGACGATGACGGAACGGCTGCCAATCATTATACTTGCCGTTTTCTCCAAAAAGCGCGCGTATATTCCTACAACGGCATGGTGCACTCTGGCCAGCTTCAGGAAATAGGCCCGGCATCATCAATGCTCGACGTGGATCCGCTGGTGACGACATGGATGTATGTTCGTACTTCGGACACTTCGGTAAGTGCTCATCTACCCATGTTCTAGCGTACTAACTCTCCTACTTCTTGTACTGCATCACGGGACTAACATAATTTTTGCTTCAGACTACCAATCAGACTGTCACTCAAATCGCCGCGAACTATGTACCAAAGCTGCCACGCACGTATGACCAAGGTGATCCCAGCGTTCAGATTGATTTGACTGATCCGTCATCCGAATCAGTACCGTCAGGCAACGTCGCCCAAACGTCTACCCCTGCGGTACTACTTTCTTCATCGTACACAAACACAAATATCCCCCGCCCGTCCAACGACCACGCAGAATCCACAGGCACTCCAGGCGCTACGACTACTCAGCCTGTGGCAAAACTTGCAGCACCATCAAGCTACGCTCACGGCTCTCTCGTTTATTCATACTCATCTGATTCTTCGTCTTCATGCTTGCGTTCCTCATCACCTCCAACGCCTATTCTGACACACCAGCATCCCCTTCCCTCGTCACAACCCTTGCCAAGACACAATTCTGCCATGGAATCTTCGTCGGGGTCAGAGTTAGGGCAAGATGACTTGCTGCCTTCGTCACAAGAGGTTGATATTTTCATGCTCGCCACGGTAGACGCCATGAAACGGAAAGAACGGGGTGAACAACCTATATTCGATCTCGATCCCTTGCTCCAGCAAATCGATTGTGTTGGGTGTGGTGAGAAGGAAGACAGGAATGTGCTCGGGGTGGAGGACACAGACACGATTCAATGCACTCGTTGCAATCTGTGGTCACACATAGCCTGTATCGAGACGCAATTTGGCAACTTGCCTACTGGCTCTAATGAGCGCTGGATATGTAATAGATGTAGGGGAGCACGGATATGGGATGTTTCCTTGTAAGCCTATACTAGAAGTTTTGGTTAACGGTTAACGGGCTAGCAGCTGATCTCATTATTCGGATCATATAGCATTGGGCGGATCGTTTTTCTTCGCCTCCGCAATTCCAACGACCCTCGTCTTTTCCCCGCCAAAATCAAGTCTGCCATTAAGGGTGTGGCTACACTCGAGTGGCAACTTGGTCTCATCGACTGGGCAAGCGGACGAAGAGTCAAGAAGCCAACTTCACCAGGCTTTTCTTGTCCTGTTCAAGAGTGCGTGCAAGCATGGTCCTCAGTCCGGATCGATGCACGAAATTTAAAGGTCAGTCAAGACATCTATTACTTCTATGCTGACTGATATGCTCATATTTTTCTGTCAAATCTCACCAGTTCGTGAAGATCATTCTCCCACTTTGCTTCGCCGAAGACGCTACAGAGAGAGGCTACGACAACGCCGTCGTAACCGACGCATTAGCGAATGCAGCAAGGGCAGTGATAGACGCGATACGAGGTACTTCACACCCCGTTATGAATCTTTGGAACTTCGGCGAGTGGCGTTTTACGATCTTGGAAGATGAATATGGGAATATCCTCGAGAAAAAGCCGGTTCTTCCTAAATTTATCACACCAAATCGTTTCCTATCCTTCTATCCATCGGTTCCTATCCTTCTCGGCGACCAGGCATTAACTCAAGACACCATGACCGCCATAGAAATGTACACCGGTAGCCTGCCACCATCCCCGGATATATCCAAGGAGGACATGCGCGACCGTGTACATGGCCCAGGGTACCTCCTCCTCCTACTTGTCATCCTGCGCACGTACCTACACCGTAAGCCCCGAGATGACGACCACATCTGGCATTTATGGAGACAGGAGAGGATAGTTAGGACTTGGACATCATTCGAGGTAACGCTTGCTGCATCAAGAGGGCAGTCACAGATGGATTTGGAGAGTGACGGGGGTATCAGGTTCCTCACGACGAAAGGGGAACAAGGCGTTACATACGTTGATGGATCCCTTCCTACAGGAACCGATCTGGTACACATCGTTACCAAGGGCACCACTCCACACATCTGGCCAAACGGTGTCAGTGCTGGTTTGACTGGTGAGCCGCTCGTGTTCGAGGTGAAGGCAGTTGGGCCACCACCAAAGCCCCGTCCTCTGAAGAAGAAGCCTGTGGTACGGTTTGAGAATGCAGAGGGTAGTACATCTGGCGGTAATCCTCAGGATTTGCCTCAAGAGCCTGTGCAAGAAGAACAGTCTGGTCTTCGGAGGTCTCGGAGGAATCGGGGGTAACAAGTAGTCGACATCTGGACATTGGCTGGACATGGCGTGTAGTCTACTATAGAAAGTGGTGCAGATGTCGCACGGTGCTTGTACACATAATCTGTAGTATGCAATGCTTAATTTCAGTATTACTTCAAGTATTGCTATGTTTCTCTATGAACTACTATAGAAGACGCGGAGTGCACAAGGAGAAGGTAATTTAGACAGAGAGCAATAAGACGGCTCGAGCAGAGTGGCACAAGAAGGAAGCGCGGGAACACTGGCTGAAGACGCTAAAGAGGGAAGATGACGGTATAAAATAATAATAAAGGATCCCCATCAGTTCTAAAATAAATTTTGATAGAAAACATAAGGACCAAGAACACATACACAAGTTTTTGGAATATCTGTGTGGGTCTGTTGTCCAGGAGCAATTTTAGGGAGCAGGTTAGAGGCAAGGGAAGTCTTCCCGCGAAGTGCCGAGAGTCCATGTGGCGGACCTGGAATATCGCACTGAGATATCTCTAGGCCGGCCCGATTAGCCGATAGCCCACCGGTGGGCTGAGCTGCTGTGGCACTTTTGACACACTCTCATTCTTTCAGTCTCTTACGCTCTCATTCTCGCTCATTATAGCTTTCGGTTGGCACATGCTGCTTTTTCTGGGAGACGTGACTTCAGGGTTGCTAAAGTTACTTTGAGATGACATTTCTCGCTTTGGCTAGAGGCAAACCTAGCTTTTTGAGAGAATTCGGTGCTTTTGGATACTTTGGGCTCTTATATGACCTTGATGATGCATCTTAAACTCAAAGAACCCTTTCTGGGCTGTAGAACAATGGTAAACAGTGAGATCTCGCCGGTGTGCAGCTTAGCTGCAGAAAACACGATTGCTGTCGGACTCTAGATGACTAGATCAAAGATCGCATGACATTGGTATAACGATCACTTCTGCTCATGAATACTTATACACTCCGTGACACTTGAATCAGTAGACATTGTATCGAGTATCCAATCCAGCGTAGACTGATTAATTTTGCAACAAGTCGGTTGTTCAAAAAATATGTGATAGAGCTCGCATGTCGCCCTACGACCCGATCACAGTCACCAACAGCATGATTGGCCTCTAAACATCGACAATATTGAACATTGCCTCCCTATATTGAAGGAGAAGTTTAGGATGGCCTGATTTAAGTCTTGGAGAGTGCCCGAAGCTCAAGTGGCGAAGGTGGAGGTATAAACTCGGTGCCTCAGGCAGCTTATCACAATTCTCCATTGGTCTGAGAGCTGAGAGGACCTCACAACAACTAAGACCAGTCACATGACAAGAGAGGATTCGAGCAACGTTGTTTACACTGAGAAGCGGCAAAAAGTAAGAGGGTAACCCATACTTGCTTTTTGTGGCGAAGCTAGCTTTAAAAGCTAGCTTCGCCACAAAAGCTAGGAAAAGCTTACTTTGGAGGGAAAAAGTTACAAAAAAAGTTACTTTCGTACTAACCTGTAGCATCGAGTGGCGAAGAACACGACCGGGTAATGAAGGTCTCGTCGCGGCCACGTAGGACCCGTCGCATCCGCAACGCAGCGGTATCTCTTCATACATACTTGATTGCACCGAAATGAAAGCCGCCAACAAAAGCAGGAGGAAGAGTAAAGTAAGCGAAACACGACTGACCATGCATTTTGAGGCTAACATTGACATAGCCCGATGTCTGCCTATTACCCGACTTCGTTCTAAGTTACACGATCCTTAATCCGTCGTCACACTAACACTCTAGTTTGATCCTTCGGTGTCGTCACACCGCGTGCAATAGGTGGAGGGAGGCGATTACGATGGGGGGAGACGTATCAAGTCCGAGTTAGAGGATTGTTGAGCGCGATAGAGCTGTGGTAAGGCTGAGATTAAGAAGAGGGGATATCGATAGAGTTGAAAGCTCACATTCCGGTGGAGACTGCGGAGTCGACGAAGCAAGAGGAGCAGACAGAGAAAGCGTGATGTATCGCACCGGGTATGCTCATAGGGGGAGCGGGGAGTATAGTACCTGCTTCAAACTTACGATGAAGAGAAGTACTGATATGTCAAGAGGGCCGATGTCGACAGTGAAGAGCATCCGCTAGTGAAGGTCTGGAAAAGGGAGAAAACCGAGCACACGTCAAGCGTCGAACAAGAGTGGGATCATCAATAATACAGCCCAGTGACTGCGATGGGACCCATGGGTTTCGACGGCTGAGCTGTGGATGGTGGGTCGGAAAGGTAACAGAAACAGAGCAGATCTTTCAGTACACAAGCAGGTTCGAAGCAAGGAGGAGGTTCGAGGTCGACGGCAGGAAATTGTTCGGTGCCACATCTGGAGATAAGATTAGATGGCCGAGTGATAACTGAACAGTGGGCACCGACATTCCCCAGCCTCGACGACCTCACCCACCCTAACATCCTGCCAGTCACGGCCAATATATATTTATACCATCACGCTAGCCTACTGAGCATGGAATCCGAACCCACTCACAACAAAAGCGAATGACAACGACGCGGAGGCGCGCCACCTCACGCACTTGCTCACAGCCATGAAACAGCAAAGCGTCCTTCTCGTTCGAAGAGTTGAAGTCCAAGGCAATACTATGAGACCTCGAGGACCTGAGAGTAGTTTCCGTGCACAATACGCTTGATCATTCGTTGCCATTCAAGGTCCGTCTCGTCGCACTTTGTCTCTCCTCTTGATAGCTGACGCTGCACAACGGTGAAAAGTTTACGGCGGGGGAAGTGAGCTGCTGGGTATCAATATCCGTCAGTTTCGTTGAATTACGACCTCCATCGCGACGGTCAACACTCGGCATCCCCTTCTTATAACCTCCACCTTCGCCCGCTCCCCCTGTCTCTCCTCTGCAACCTCTACACCCACGCCCCCACACCCACGCCCCCACACCCACACCCATACCCACATATCCGCCCCACCGTCCCGATAGGATCCCCGCAGTCGTTCTACGACTAATTTTCACTCCTCGATAGGTTGCTAGTGCATAGCCAAGATCGCATTTTCAGGAAACATCTTGGGTGGTTTGAGGTTTAGGCGGACGTTTCTGAGATATTGGTGAGGAGGGTAGAGCAAGTCTATGCCGAGGTTGAAGGGATGGTAAAGAGGTGCAAGATTGTAGGAGGCTTGTCAGTGGTCGCTGGCGGAGGGTGCGATTTTCCTCCAGGGTTGTGTTCCGTTCGTGCTGAACTTGACACGTCTTTGTGTCGTGTAGGACCTGTTGGTGAAACAGCAGGAAGCGATCGGAAAGAGACTCGATTGTCCTCGGTAGTTGGAACGCGCGACGAGGACGCTGAACCATCCGGGCGGCTCTCTCGTCCTCCAGACCGATCTCCTATATATTTTCGAACGCGTCGATCGACTTTCTCAATACTCACGTAGGTTCTTCTCCTTCTCCCTCCTTTCTTTGCCCTCGATTCGTTCTGATTGCTGACTCCGTCCGAATGTAGTGCCACTCTCGCGAAGCAGAGCTCTACGTCCTTCGGTTCCAACAGTGTATGATTCGCGCGATGACTCTCGTCAAGATGTTTTTCGTCCAGTCTCTATATATGTGCACTCACACAGGATCTCACACGGTGCTAATCTGAAAAGGTGCGTTCTTTCTACCTCGCCCATTGTATCTGCGCCACACTATCTATGCCACACTACCCTCCGCCCACTTCCTTGCATCCCCTCCCACCGTATTTTATCGACGACTGACCACGCTTATATCCATCATCGTGGCGCAGGACGTCACATCGATAACCCAACACTACACCCGCTTCCAGTCCGTCTTCCATCAAGTAGCCCCGCTCCTCTCCGAGTCAAGGGAGCAGCACGAATAAATTAATAAACCGGAGGGGGGAGGGGGGGTAGGTCCGGTCGGGGCTTAAACGCGAACTGGCCGGCAAGCACCGGAGGCCTTCCTAAAGCGATCTCCGGCGCTTGTTTGTTCTTCGTTCTCACCGAACGACGTCCAAGACGCGTACAACATGTACATCGCGGTCATTGTCATTGTACTTGGGGTGTATCCACCATAAACTTATACATTATATACTTCTGGGCAGCGCAGCTCTTGCCAGTGCATGGATATGTGGTGCAGCGGCGGGTTTCGGCATCACAGCTGCGAAGGGCCCAACATTTTGCTTCCGTTCGCCATCGTCGAACGGAATGGACCAATGAACGCTGGCCATGGGCGATGACCAACCTCCGTTTCAGCTACGGCCGAAATCTGAGGTCTCGGAGTGCGACGCTCAACGGACGTGCCGTGGTCTTCCGGGTTTTTTTCGTCGACCGTCATCAGCGTCCCCTTTGCCCCCAAGTTGCCTGGTCTACGCTTCATATCCTCAGGTATCCCGTCCCATAGACTTCGGATTTCTGCTAGCAGTGTTTTCTCAAGCTCATTTCACCATGCCGGACAAGAGTAAAAAGAAGAAAGAGGGAAGTGGATCGAGTTCGAAGGTACAATATTTGTTTCTCGGGGATGAAAATTTCTACTTCGGCTTGACTGACAATAACCATCGCCCAGGATCAGAGCAAGTCCACCGACGAGTTCGATGCTGACAGTACTCGCTTCTGTGAAGCTTGCAAGCGTGATGTTCGCATCGGCTTTGGAGGCGAGGCGAACTGGCAACAGCATCTCAAAAGCTCTAAACACCGGTTGAAGGCTCCTGTCCCTACCGCTCAAGGCATCAAAAACTTCTTCACTCGAATTGTATCCTCCGCAAAACCAACTATATCGTCCTCTCCGAGCGCGGCATCCCTCAAAACTCAGCCTTTGCCCAGCCTTTCTTTAGGTATTTAGCTTCTTTCCTCGCAACCACGAAAGCACCGCTGACATTTATACACTGTCCACTTGTCTCAGAATCTGAAGTAATCGACGTAGATGCATCTGGAGATGTTCGCAGTCCTGGCGTCCCCGATAAGCCTCTTTGGCTCGTCTTGTCGTCCAGGTTACGTTGCGCAGACTCGCAGCTTCCACAGGCAGTCCCCCTAGGTGTTCTAACGGACGCATTTGCTGAGATCTCTGGCAATCCGATGCATGGTGTGGTAGACGTGGAGGAGGCTTGGGAAGAACACTTGAATCCCAGTCTTCATCGTGTTTTCGGCTATGATTCTTCGGTAGAGAGCTTGGTGGGCATAGTGAGAAGGGGAACGGTCGGCTTGGAGGGTTTTGGCGACTGGGTGGAGGCGATTGGACAGGCAGGTGTAGATGTTGAGATGTTGAGAGAACGGGTTGAAAAGCTCTTAGAAGCTGCTCGCATCGTGTACGTCCTCATCCAGTCTCTTTTGTCATGCGTACTCTTCCTCATTCGGCCTCTACAGTGCCCAGCAACACGGTGTTCAACTTCAATATCCCGATCAAACACGTCCTCTGGAGCCCTCTAATCTCGACGATATACCGCCGCCACTAGAACCTATTCGATCCGCTTCTCCGAGTTCTAGTCCAGCGCGCCCAGCCTCGATTGATCTTGACGATATCCCACCACCACTCGAGCCCATTCCGAAGCGTTCGAAGCCTGTCGCGCTAGCAGTCGTACTATTTACCTGCTTAGGCTATCGTATGGTGTTCCCAGACGGTGCTTCTCCGTATCTTTCCTACCCCTTCGCCATCCACGACATTCAAGCGCTTCCCTGGAACGTTGCCATCATCAACCCAGGCCCTCAACTCTACCTCCGTTCGCTTGATTGTGCTGGCCAGTCTACTCGCCCCACCGGCGCGTCCTGCCGCAAGCTTGAGAACCACTCCGTCATCATGGGCATCCGGCATCGAAACCTCGATGGCACTCACAAGAACACGCCGTGGGCTTACCTCTCCATCGCCCAGCTGTTCGACTGGCTCAAGCGGAAGACTAGTCAGATCGACGCTCTTCACCTTGACGGTCTCAATCGTGGTCGCCTCATTGCCGTACGTGTTCGCCATCTCGATGGTTGGCGCCGTCTCGTCATGTCCATCATCAACAACGAGATCCCTCGCATCCGTGTTGCACTTGCTGTCCAGGAACGGAACGGTGCGGGCGTTTTCGGGTACTTACGTGCCGTCGATTCTGCGGCTAAGCAGGCCTACAAACCGAAGAGCTATCAAGAGGCAGACTTCCAGCGCGCGTACTTAATCTGGAAGCTGGGAGGCGTCTCTGCCGCAAATATCGCTCATCGTACGCTTGGGACACCCTCAATTGATTCTACTCGGCGCAATATGACCGTCAATCACATTCGCGCCTCTTCTGGATTTCCTACCGTCAACGAACTCGTAGCCAACCTTCGTGCCGCGTTCGAGGATTGGGCCCCAATGGCCGCTACCGGTCCATCAGGACCGCTGGTCGTCTATGGAGCAAGCGTATCATCTGACGAGCTCAAGATTCAGGAGCGTCTGCGCTGGGAGGCATTCCTCAATACGATCCTGGGTCTGTGTCGCGAGCATTCGTCTGGGCTATGTCTCGACTTTCGTTCTCTTCGACAAGCTGACGTTGTACTGGAGGCACTGAAGGCTGTCCCACAGCGAGTTCATTTCGCATCCGAGGTACGTTGTTCTTCGGTTCCGGTATTGGTACCAAAGTTTAACATAGGTAAGTTAAACTAGTTTTCAACCGTTTCGTCCAAGAATTGGCTAGGTGCTAGCTATACCCCTCCTTGATACTGTCCCAAATTTTCTAAGGAATTGGCGGAACCGTTTTTGAGCTGTTCGTCGTGTAAGACAGTGTGTAGAGTCTGAGTGGCCACCTTAGGTTAGACTACGGATGTTGTAGTCGTGGTATCGATACCACACTAGAGATCTTGTAGTACACTACGAAGCTTGTAGTCGTGGTATCGATACCACACTAGAAGTATTGTAGTCGTGGTATCGATACCACACTAGGGATTTTGAGTACACTACGAAGATTGTAGTCGTGGTATCGATACCACACTACGGATGTTGTAGTACGTGGTATCGATACCACACTAGGGATCTTGTAG